TAAAAAGAGAATAAAAGAGTTGTTCAAATCAGGAATAACTGAATATGTTATTCGTGAAATGCATAGATCGTGTAAAGCGAGAAACGGCCAGAAGGCATCTTGACAAAAGAACAGATCGCTACCCTCGCTTCCCTAAAAATCACCGATTGTACTTCTGTTGAAAAACTTTTGTTTCTCAATTTTGAACTAGATGTCATGAAATAAAGCCATGTTATCTAGATTAGTTTTCTTTTTCGAATAGCTAAAAGTAGCATGTTTGTGTTTGTCGACAAATGCCTTTCAACGTTAGAATCTTGAGATGTGATGACGTTCAATAATAACATTCGTGATATATTGCAAAAATGGAATTCTAAATGAAAAGAAAAAAAAAGATGACTCCCAGCTGTCCATTTATTGATATCACAGTTGCGCTACCGTAAACTAACGTTGAAAAGTATTTTGAAGTAAGCCAAGCCTGAGCGGCTTTTCAGGAAAGGATGCTTCAAAAGGAGAAAAAGAAGTTAAACTGTAGTTTACTGCCTCTATAACATTTTATTGTACTGATTTGAAAACAAGTACACCTGGAAGAGCTGGCATTTCAACCATCCTTGTCGAATGTGACTTGTAATCTTGATAAGTGAAGTGGTTTAGACGTTTATTTGACCAAGAACGGGGCGACATGCTCTGGCTTGTCCAAAAGGACGGAAATCTAGGATAGAACTCGAGAAAATTGCACGCTGATTTCTGGGCTGAACTCAAGGATTTATGTCTACCATTGCAAATATCCAGCACAATCAAGAGACGGCATGTCGACCACGCCTCATTTCGAGCACGTCAAGAAAGTGCGATATCAAGGGGTCATGAATAATTCATCTATTCCAACCAATGCTACATTGCTACAATGGAGACGCGTGAGATATTTTTGGCCCGTACGGGGCACCTGCAGTCTGAACATGGTGATGTAGGTTTCCTTGACAGAAGACTACAGCGCCGCGAGGGCTGCAGGCGGGCCCATAGCACTCCGTATATTTCAGGAGGAAGCAAAGGTATGAGGAAGCAAAGGTATGCGGAAGCATACTTAGTACATACATGAGGGGTTCTGCGGTGGGCGGGAAGAAACCGCTGCGAAGAGAGCCCAACTCTCCTTCGAAACGGCGATGTTCCATTCGAAGGAGAGGATATACGAGCAATATCTGTGTGCGATTACAAGCACGGAATATCGTGGACCCGACGCAAGGGGGAGGGGCTCTCCGCAACAATCCCGAATAGAACATATCATTTATTTGCGATGACCTTGCAGGTTTTACGTTACCACCCCTTTTCAATTTCTATACATAGAATGTATACATGGGTGTGAGCCTTTCGCGAATCTCATCCCCGGTTTTTTCTGGTCAAAATTGGATAGGATGTCTTTGTGCAGCGCTCGAAAGCAGAATTTTTCAGTGATCGCTTGTCGACAAATAAAGACGTATCGTGTATTGCAGGCCGCGTACACCAGGAATTCTCTCCGAGACAAAGAGACAAAGTGAGGCCAGAGTACAGAAGAATTCGAAATTGGCTTCCATCTTTTACACAGAAAACCTATCTCAGACCCATAGCCTAAGCCAAAACTGGATTTGACTATGCTTCATTCAGCGATATTGCGGGACTCTTGCCTGGATTTAGGCCCTCTCATTGGATAATCGGTTTGGTCAAAGGGCCCAAGAAGCCAATTTCGAATTCCTCTGTAACTTTCAAGCTAGATAGACGCAGAATCAGCACGTACTAGGAGGGAACCAGATGACATCTCATAGCAGTGATAAGTGCTGGGAGGGAACCAAGGACATCTCCCCAGACCATCAATAATCACACTAGTTGCAAGAAGAGGTACTATGAGGGAACCAGAGGACATCTCATAGCAGTGATAAGTGCTGGGAGGAAACCAAAGGACATCTCGCCAGACCAGCAACTATCACAGAGTACAGCGGGAACAAGTATTGGGGGGGAACCAACGGACATCTCCCAGTTCACCGATTGAAGAAACCATACGTGAAAGATCTGACTAATGCAAGATATGGGCTCAATTTAAGTCGAGGGGTACGGTAAGTGAGGGGACCCATGAACGTAACTCCAATGACTATCAATTCTCACCCTCAAGATGCCGAACCACTCGATGTTTTCCTAGTCTGCAGGCGCCTGGACCGGTCGATAAGCAATGAAACCTGGTTGCAGGCACAGGAGGCTGTGGTCGAGTAGAATAAAAAAACCTATCCAGCAAATAGTTGGGATACTTGTAATTACAAGTAGTATCCATTCCATTCTCGGTTAAAAGCGACCATGGTTCAGTCGTAGAGCGGACCGCTTTTTGCGGGACGGAAAGCGGAAAACGCCAGATCTACCAATGGAAAGAAATGGGCGAGACGATTTTTCGAAGTAATTCCTCGCCCATTCAAATCAAGACAATGTCATTTCAAAAAAAAAAAAAAAAAGATAGAAAAAAAAAAGAAATGGCCTACAGTTCAAGGCCCGCCGGTTCTGGTTGAGGTACGTTCGACGCTTTAGAAGTCAACATGGCTGAAGCAAGTGCCGCCCATAGATCTGCGACGTGATTTGCACAACTGACCAAGGCCAAGTTTGGGTACCCAAATAATCGACCCCAAGGTTCTGGTGAGTTTGTGGCGCATAGCTCTACCCATGGATGCAGTTCTTGAACCGGTGGATAATAAGGGGAAAGTGTGGAAATGGCTGTCCTGAAGAAGGCGTACGAAATCGATCCATGTAAATAAATGTAAACAATGACCTTGCCCTCTTCGCCCTTCTCGCCCGTAAAGTCTTCATTTTCTACAAAACCTCACCTCCTCTCTGTTCTGTGGTCCTAAAACCGGTGATAGAGCGCTACAATTGCGAGAACTACGAAATGGTGGTCCAGAGGAATAATCGCAGACCCAGAGGGACAGGAGCTCCCTCCTCGCAGACCACACGGCCTCCGCCTACAGGTACGGCGGGGTTTCAATCCACCGTACGGCGGCCACCGCCACGTCAAACAGCGGTATGTCTTCCTAAGCCCTAGTCTGACCGACGACCGAGGCAGCTGCTCATACAATCACTTCAACAGGCAACAGCGAACCGGCGATACCCGCCGGCTGCGGACAGCTCTCGAGGCCTGGATGATGACTTCAATCTCGTTCATGCGCACTGTCGAGTAGCGATCAACAATGCCGAAGTGCATAACCGACAGCTCACAAACCGCCTCAACGAGCAACAGCGTGAGATCGCTGCTAGCAATCAGCGACTCAGCAGGGAGAAGGCACAGACCAACGCCAAACTTCGCCAGTTATCCTTGGAGAAGCAAAAGGCCCTAGAGGAGGTGGATCGCTTGAAAAGAGAGATTGTTCAATTGAACAATCGGCTTGATATGGTTGTCAACGAAAGCCACAATCTGATATCTCGCACAGAAGTGCAGGATGTGTTGAATGAAATCCACGCTTCAGCCGAGACATTCATGAAATCCTTGACAACCAGAATGAGCGACAACGAGAATGTCCAGCTGTCTGGACAGTTGCCTGCCTCTGATGTTGTCCACGATCCATGGACGAACCAATATGGCCCGTTTGAAACGCTGCACGACTCCGCTGGGACTGAGGTTCCTGGCCCTGAATACCCACTGGCAGACCTGGAGGGACTGTCGCCGCTGGGATCTCACTACGAGTTTCCGGATATCGATATCGAGGGCGCAGTATAAAACTAAAAGAGAGCGAAACAGCCCCTTTGGTGGCTGGTCGAGATCCATTTGAGGCTCGCCGGACCGTGTGGACTCTTCCCTACCTTATGATTTGCGGTGAAGGCAGATATCATGTGAACCCCAATTGATACAATTTTGGCATTCCTGCATTTTTGTAATTTCTCGGTTTGCGTATTATTTAGATTCGATTGCAAGGCTAGAAAATCAATAATTCATCAATTCATAAAGCATCAATGCTGTTGTGTTGCGTATTTCTCGGGCTGGAACGGTGAACGTTTTTACAAGCAATCAGCAGTAATTGGATCTCACATTCTTATTTCCTTCACTACACAAGTTTTTTACGGCCTCTCCAGAACGGTGAGTAGAGATGGGTCGAATTCATCAGATTGCCCAAAGCCTAATAGTATTGCCATTTATATGTAAATCATCTATCGCCAAAGGCTCGTTAGGTGCATATTTTACCTCAACAGATTAATCAGGGCAATCTGCTACGACAGGTGGGTCTTGCCGGGTTGCCAAGCCCCGGCCGACCGAGAAAACTCTGACGATCATTGCGGGCACCATGGACGAGATATTGGGCCACAAGACCACTTGGCTTTTCCCGTAGCCCCACTAGCACCAGTGTTCACACGCGCACCCTTTCTCGGTCGTACTATCGCTGATCACTGCACATTGGGAGCCTAGATCCTTCCCACGTGAGATAAGAGATCAAATGCCTTTCATGGTTACGAGCAAGGAACCGAGGGAGCTTGTCGATCATTGATTCCAGAACTATGCCATTCTCAGTTGTCGAGTCCGGGGAGAAACCCAACCCGGGGAGACTGGATGAAATAAGCTTTGATACTTCGTAATCAGAGCGACCCATGACTTTGGTAGGGATAGGTCCTCGCAACTTTGAATGCATTGTCAACACAGAACCTTGCACCTGGGAAATACGCAAGGGTGCTGTGAGGTACGGTGAGAAAACCACCTCTCGCTGAGTACTTCACACATTCTCTTGTCACCCCCATTCTCTGCCCTGGATTTTGGCTTCGATCGCGGACTGCAACGTTACGCTTCCTGACGCCCCATCAGAGGCGTACCGTGGATAACATGGGCCAGGGATACACTTTCCAGGCCTTTCGTCTTAATTGGACTCACCGGGACTCCATTCTCGACAATGCCCATTGTGAGACCAGTAAGAAGGCCCAGGGTTCTAGGTTGACAAGTGAAAAAGCCGCGTCCAAGGAAGATCATTCTGACTACAAATGTCTGCTGGCTCGTCAGATCTGCGTATGAAAGATTCAATCCAATTTTCACTATGGGTGGTACTCCGGCCAACACAGAGAACGCAGCTCCAAGCTTGGAGCGCCAACTGCTGCGTGCATTTTCTTTGTCTTCCTCGACATCCGGTGAGTCTCAAAGCTCAGCCAGTTCCATAACGGGAGACACTACCGAAGACGACACCCACCCAAGGGACACCAATTCCCGGCCAGGAGACAGACAAGCAGGAGTGAAACGACAGCGTACTTCAAATGAAGGTGACAGTCTACATCGTGATCAAGACGATTTAGATGTCCCCGCTCCGTCCGATGGACTTGAGATGTGCGACACGCGGGTCTTTCGATGCCTTGTAAAGTGAGTACCAAAACATGGCTGTCAGAAAACATTTATTCTAACGTCGTTCTAGTCTCATCATCTGTGTCAGGTCAGTGCAACCATCCTCTAAATCACCAACATCTGCTCATTTCTTCCAGACGTATGGAGCGACAAGCTCGGGACCAAAGCTATCCAAGTCATTTTGTAGCCAACGAGATAGAGAATTTGACGGTTCGGCTGGCCGCTATTGAGTCGGCGGCACAGAAAATGGCAAAAGAGACAGATGAGGGCAGGTGAGATTAAGGCCGTCGGCGGAGAGCAATCAAGGCTGAATGCCGAAAGTAATCGTCAAAATAATGGCTTAATCTGGCTTATGTTTTCCTTCCTCTGTATTTTGGTCTTTTATGCAAGTGGAGGGCTCTTGTCCAAAATGAATTGTTCATCCAATGCCTGGTATATCTGATTCTGACAGTAATAAACAGACTCATTTTTGAAGATGAAATTCATTGTATTGTACCAAAGCCTATACATGTACCCAACGCATAGTCCAACGATCTCCATAGTGAGGCCCAGGAAAGGCATGTTAGTCGGGAGATCTGGGTGGCTGGTCCACATATTACTGAGCAAGAGGCCGGATTCCATAATCTCTGCACTGCATTGGTACTCTTCGGTACTATGAGACTATTTCAATAGCCGCTTGCGCTTATGAACCTCGGCTTCAAGGATGAGTTTGACAGCGCAAGATTTCTCTTTTTCTGCGATTGCGTGTCTTAACTTCAATTTCCGGATTGGGACGTCATCGCGAAGACGCTGTATCACTTTTTGATGCTCGTGTATCCGCGCGTCTCGCTCCTCAATGGCCTCGGTGAACTCATCATCCAACTGGTTCATTATCTTGAGGAGTCTTCGGTAGATCACTCGACGCTCTTTCTTTGTGAGTTTTCCGTCGATTTGGGGGTCCTGAGATAATATTAGCGATGAAGAGACATAAGATACATGTAAACGGATCCTGCATGAATTTGCGAGTGCTTTGCACCCACTTTACATAGAATATATGAGGATAATAAACATACTGGCTCTCGAACAATCATAGTCGTGGTTTTCATGGCAGTACGGCCGTCGTCGGTAAGATGGGCTGGAGATATGACGCTGGGTTCTCCAGCAAGGAGATCTTGTTTCTCCGAATCGTGGGCTGTTTGAATATTGATGATATTCAACAAGTCTGCCTTCATGCTGGGCCGGGTTTCACAACAGTCAAGACGGTCAGGAGTATACAGAAACGTAAAGGCTGCAAAGTCTATATTTTATTTCCGGGCAGGAAAGGAGATTTAAGTTAAGCCTTGGACAAGCAGAGACAAAAATCGAGAGCCTGGCATGCTCGGCCTGTCGCCCATGCAAGATAATTCACTCAAGGGCCCCGGGTCCATCATTTTGTTGAACTCTAATGATTTGTCAATCCTAGATCGGTACATTGGTAAGACTCTGACTGAAATCAAAAGTGTACCGAAACACTATGGGTGATCTGCAGCATGTTCCTTGGTGAGTGTATGTGAATATAACACGGTTTCTCCTCATTACCACGGGTCACAGTGGGGTTGAATTTACAGTTCGGATTGGGCAAGCACACGATATAGCTTCAACTCGTTCATGGATTAATTCAAAAGAACAAAGCCTAACCCACGGTTCAATTACTGTGGGAATGATCGCGCCGCGTGGTAGTGGGACAATAGAGTGGTTCTCAAATTACTGTCCACATGGTTAAGTCGCAGTATTAAGGGTTGCCAATATGATTTTCCTTGTTTGATAGACCCGGCATCAAGTGACTTCCAGTTCGATTTGCATGCCAAGAGAGTGGTTTCCCTGGGTCTCAATAAATTTGGTATTTGAAAAGGACCGCACCTGGTTTTGATTATTGACCTTCATGAATAGAACCGGAATTTCACATGTAACGTTACTGTATGTATAATTCATTAACTCCTCGTTTCCTTTTGAGCTTCCAAAAGCTTGCGTCAAGTCAGATACAGCTGGTCCTTGAGTATGCAATGTACCGGGCTACTTTGCACTGTGCTTCGCAGAAACCACATTCTTCCTTCTGCTGATAGCTTTGACTTGGTCCTCGAGGTCGTTCACTGTGGATTCCATTTCTCGGAGTCTCCCATAGCCCGTAGCCAATGCCTCCATCTCCCTCTGCATATCTTTATTCCAAATCTCCTGCTTTTGAAATTGCTCCTCCATCTCCCTGTGAAAAATATATCAGCTATTGAGACTCGAACCCTGTGCCAAGGGTGAGGAAAAAATCCATGAATCAGAGAAAAGAAAGGACCGCTTACTGCATTCGTACATCTAAGCTATAATCAAGTTAGCTGCGGTTAGAACAATCGGTGTATAAGATAACAGCAAACCTCTTTAGAGTGGTAAATGTGTCAAGAAGATCTCCGGTTACACTTGGTACAGACTTCTGAAAGGATTTGACGTTTGCCCCCCCCTCTGCAAAGGCGTAACTGGCTGCACCAGTCTCTTTCAAATAATGTTGCTCTTCGTTTGCCGTCTCAGTGAAGGTATCCTCTTGTGGCCTCTCAATTTCGTACTCGAAAGGACAATCCGCTTGCTGCGAGGTAGTTTCAGACAGTGGGATACTGTAGATCGAGCGCCGGTGCGTGGCCGAGGGAAACATTTGGCGCCAGTTTGCTGAAAAGTCAGTTGGTGTGAAGATCTGTTCCTGTTCCAGGGGGTCCATGACAGGCTCTCTGCACAGAAGAAAATCGATGTCCTTTCTTCGTTTAGAGAGAGTGCTTCAAGAATGTGTACCATGGAAGTATTTCTAGAAAGAAATATCATTTGAGTAAAGACCCAACGTCTAAGGACACAAGAAAAGCCGGGCGTAAAGCTGGCTTCAGGAACAGTACCTGCAACAAGTAAGGGGGATCAACAAAGAAAGCATAATGTACTGATTGCATAATACAGCGTCAATACAGTACGTGGGCAGCCCACCTTTTTGTGAACTATTGAATCCCATTATGGAGGGGCAGGCTGCAGTCCTAAAATACACCGCCATCCCATTCATTGGACGAATTGAGTGACTTTAACTCTATACTTCTCTTCTCTGGGCAAGAACCCCAGGAAGCCCGACACCAACGTGTCCGTAACATCTAAAGCAACGAGTTCGATAAATTAGTCATATGTAATCACACAACAGGTAAATTAGCTTTGTTTATTCAATTCGGCTGCAAAAATACCGCGGACTGTTCAAAAGTGAGATCAATCTGATCAACAGAGCCACGGACAGTAAGAGCCATAGTTTACACATATCCACAATCAATACGACGGTGACACGATGTGGTATCAATCGTGAAGGTTAATTTTGTGAGATGGGTTCCTTCTGCTCAGCTGCTCGATCGACCCGTGTTTATTCAATTCTCGCTCAGGACAAGAACCACTGCGGAAAACAGGAACAACAACGCCAGCATTACTCCCGCCTACTTTCCTTACCTTTTCCTCTCGATTGAGCGTGCAGAGTTATATCCTCGGATGTTTAGATAAACCATGATGTGATTGACATATTCCTACAATGAAGGGCACGACTATGAGGCACTGTATACTTGCCCATAGTTGGCAAACTTGCGGGTCGGTCAACCGGGACAAGACTGATCTGCGGCTTATCCGAAAGTAGTTTAGACTCTGCATCCGTTCCCCACTTTGATCTTTCTTCTCGCCGCTTTTCAGGGAGAAGTTTTAATCTTATAATGAGTCGGGCGATACGATAAGAATAACATAATAACCCTCTGGAGACTGTCAATCTTGATCAAAGCCGAAACTGGTTGTCAAGCGGTCGGAAAAGCGACAGGACCTTTTATTCTACTCTTCAGTTAGCGACCGGTTCGAGACCAAGGCCGTCTTTCGTATCGGAAATCCCCCTTTCATGAGTTCGCCACTTGCGTCATTGAAGCGATCTACTAAACAATTGAAACAAGTAGCCTTCTACCCGTAAGATGAGACCGCGGAACAAAGGTGGATTTGCGGGTCAGAATGACTCCAAGAATTGATGTCAGTGCGCAACGACCTCGCTAGCGCAGAATGAGACCAAACAGAAGTCTTACAAAGCTGGATAACTAGTCTTTTATTGATTATTGCCCTTTCGTCTGCATTCTTGTGTGCCAATTGTCCTTCCGCCCTCTGCCACGTACTTGAACTCGGAGTTCCGCCGTTATCTAATGGTTTAGAAAGCAGTGCGCAGAAGATATCATCATGTAGCCATATGAAGAAATTCATCTATTGTGTTCAAAATGATAGCGTATTGGCTACATAACTAACACCCTGATTAGAATATAACATCATTGAAGATTGATTCTTTGGCTGTCAATAGCTTTACCAGAGATACTGACAACATTGGGTTTGTTGCCATCTTTATTCGTAACCTCCCCATTTATTTACTGGCAGAATATCGAGATGAATGGTCAGTACCCGCCTAATTGAATAGTAACCAGCCATCACGTCAGCACATGTGAAATTCGCAGCCGCAAGAGGAGGTACGCAATCGCAAGATTGAGAAGTCTGCCATGTTAAAGCGCTTGAGAGTTTCGAAGCATGTACAGTACGTGAAGTTTCAAATGATTGCTTCTAACCATGCTGGGTTTCCATGTAATCATGCAGTGTACGTTCAAATCATTGGCAGTAAAATGGTGAAATCCCGTGTGATAATGCGCACGTCTGGCTGGGGAAAAGAGCAGATCTCATTGAGCTTTAATAAACTTTTAATTTCCAATGTTCATTAGAGGCGACCATTAATATACGTACATAACTCTCTCTAAAAGAAACCACATCCTGGGCAGCCAGGTCATTCCCACTCATCCTAAGACTTCTTCACGCCCCCTGCGTTGTGTACATGCACCCACTGCGAGGCAGCTCTTGAACAACATCATCCAGCTCTACCGTTTGTGTTAGATGTCTGATTCAGAATACGGTAATTGCCATCTGGAAATTCTGCCGCAATGGAAATCTGAATTTCTATGTCGACCGGCCTTTTGCAAACGAGACTGGGTACTTCTCGAGTGCCCATTATTCAGCACACTGGGAGAACAAATGAGTGTGTCCTCACAGACTGTTAACCCGCGGGAGATTCACTTCGAGCCTCCCGAGATATCACCGACTTGGCCAGACTCAGGGTCCTTAAACACTCAATCTTTTATGACCCTCGGTGGCGCCATGAGTCAAATGTCTGATGTTGAGTTGTTCGATGAAGCACGACACTCGGCATCTTGTGATACGACAGAGTGCATCGCACAATGTCTCACTGGTACCTCCACTTCCGGACAACTGTTTCATGCTTTACAGAGATTTGTCCCATGCAGCGAAGCTTTCGAACCAGTCGAGAAGAGTTCTTCCTCTTCAACAAAGGGTTCAATCAATCAGTGCTCCGTTCCCAACTGTCAAAAAAGCTTCAAGCGCCGGGAACACTTGAAGCGCCACATGGGAATTCATACGCAGAAGAAACTCCATAAGTGCTGGGTTCCTCAATGTCATCGTGCATTCTCGCGCTTCGATAATCTCAATGCACATTACAAAAACTCACATAGAAGAAGACAGGACGGGGTCGGTACGCTGCTACTCTGGACGAGAAAAGCCCTTATTATGACCCCGAGTTCCGGGGAAAGTTGACCAGGGAGGGTTGTCCTATATACGCCAAACAACAGAGACAATGAGGTCGAATACAGAATTTTACATTGCTCAGAGCTTTTCGACTGAGTGGGGATATTTGATTTCACTTTGCTTCACTTGTATGTTGGCTAGCTGTCACTGATGAAAGACTGGCCAAAAGTCTGTTTCCGCGGCTTGGGTTATGTGACCTTTCTACTGCTTTATGTTCGAAGCGCTATTCAAACTGCGACTGCGCTCGTAATTCCGAGGGAATTTATTATCATATATCACTCGATATAATTTTATTGATGTTCGGTGCAAGCCCAAACCCAAACTCAAGTGGTTTTAAAGATGACAAAACGAACCGGAAATTGTCAGATGTAAAATCAGCGATATATTGGGACAAAACAAGCTATAACCCACGCAACCTCACCATACCTTGCCATAGCATTGTATGTATAAAGGTCATAGAAGATCAATTTGTTCAATTTAAATCTCGTTCTACTAACCAGCCTCTTTTTTAAGCAGCCTGATTGCAGTTTTCCTTCCGCGAAGAAACCTTCCAAATAAGGAACATGGACATGTGTTTTAGTGAATGGCGGATACTTGACTAACGCTACGAAAATTACACCGTAACAACTATACAGTACACGGCTGAAATCTGACGGACACTCATATTTCTGACATGATCCGCAAGAAGCTATCTAAACAATAACTTAGAGGTAAAAGGTGCCTAAGCGAGAAGCTTCAGCTTCGTTGCTTCCATGGGCATAATATTGAGCGCTTGTACAAATGAACTCGAGCCACTCGTTCGTACATCTATTGCGTATCCCTTTGAGAGCGAATATTTTCAAGAAGATCCATTATGGTGAGGTTGCCCTGCTGTCTTGCTCGCTCCTGTGGCGCGATGCCATCGTTGTCCGCTGCGTCGAGTTTTATCTCGGGAAGAAGTGACAGCTTTTGGACGAGGTCACAATTGCCTGTATTTGCTGCATGCCAGATGATTGAACGACCCCGAGAGTCGCGCTGGTTTACCATTACGTCCGGACTTGAGATCAAACTGTCCAAGATCTTCCTGCAAGATAGCCCGCCATCGAACGTTCTCGCCGCTAAGAGAAGTGCAGTGTCTCCTGCAGAATCTAGGTGATTCAACTTGATCATTTTGTGCGTCATGAGAAGATGAATTGCAGTGAGGTCATCATAGATGACAGCAAAGTGGAGCGCCGTTCGACCTCTTGAGTCTTCCGAGTTGACATCAATCCGGTGGTCTCGTAAAAGCATCGCCAGAATTGAATACTGCTGGTATTCTAGCGCTTTGAAGAGTAACTCCCGACCAAGGGCTCGAAAAATGTTGGGATTGGTGCATGAGTGGTAGAGAAATTGTTCGATCGTGAGAATGTCGCCCGTGGAGATTGCAATCGATACCGCGCTTAGATCAATAGCCTCAGTCTCAATGGCTTGAGGAGCTTTATGCTCCTCACTCGAGTCAACATGTTCAATCTGTCGTATGAAGATCGACGTGATACAACGTAATGCTCTGAATTTTGAATCAGAACATCCTCCAAATCGGGAGGCAATTGAGAATGAAAAGCGATGACTCCAGTTTTCAGACACCCAATCACAATGGGAAGAAATGGATAATCCCTCACGTTCTGTTTCCAAAGAAGGAGACGGCATATTGGTGATAACTAGGCACCTTGTGGTAAAAACAATAAGATTGGAAGATATTTATGCAAATGAGAGGAAAGTCTGGGCGATTTTATATCGACATCTACTTTATGAAAGTCGTTTTAGATCCCAGGACTTTGAAGGCCTAGAATGAGCTTGGGATTAGCAGGAATGGTCGTGACATAGTTTCAAATTAGTCAACGCCAAAGACATCTCCAACATTCTGATACGTGAGGAGCCTCCTGGGATCGCTTAATTCTTGTGAGAAGATACTGAAAATGTCTCTCGGCCATGGATCGGTGGCTCATCATTTCGGTTGAGCCTTGCATCCGGGTATCTTAGCAAGCGAGAGGCCTATCGAAGTCACGCAAACAGATATGCACTCACCTGGATCTCGGGCTACGGCGAGCATGCAAGAGGCGGTTTTCATTCATGGCTCGTCTATTCAGACTGAGGATGGTGTCTACCCTTCTGCTTAGATTCAAGAAAGAACATTCGTCCGAATTGAAGATTAGCTGGGGTGTTATCATGTATGCGTAGATGAGAATTTTATCTTCCTACAGGATTGAGTGAAAACTTGTGACAAATGCAACGCGGGGAAGAACCAAAAGATAGCCCACACGTGCTATGGCAAACCCCGACCCACCATGTGAGTCCGCACCCTTTGTCAATCGTGTATACTTCATACAAAAAGGCTCCGAGGAGCATCCGTAACAGTCTAACGAGCTCCTAGGAACCTAATTTCTACCGAAAGCGAATAGTCGCGTCCTGGGAGCCAACAGAAAAATATTTCTATAGTTGTTATCCTTGAAGATCCACCGGCTGTGATTGGTCTTTTCATATAAATCTTCAAATTGCCCGCTTTGGGACTACGTTTCACAACTCCATTCCAAGTTGCTGACAGACCGAGTTGTAGGCATGATGAGCTTCAATCAATTACCTGTCGAGCTACTGAATCGTGTCATCGGTTTCCTCACAAAGAGTCAACTTATTCGTTTATCTTTAATCTGCCGTGCCTTGAATTCATATCTAGCAAAGTTCATCCCCTAGATCTTATTACAAGACGAAAACTCCCGGTTTACCAGGCTATAGAGACCGGAAATATATTGACGGCAAGAAAATTGTTGGATCATCACAGCGCGGATATCAATGCTTTTTGGCACGGATCTACCACATTGATGATAGCACGTGTGGATCGACAGTGGAAGGCCGTTCATTTTTTGTTGAGTGAAAAGACCCTTGACATCACTTTCCAGAACAATAACGATGAGACGGCAATGGATATCGCTATCCGAAACAGTGCCAGTGCAATCGTCAAACGGTTTCCTGCAACGGATCTGCATCTGCAGGACGGAGGGCGCATAGTTTAGTTACCCCCTAATGCATGCCTTCGATCACGAGCAATACCGTATATTCCAATTGATTCTATCAGATCCCGGACGGCCATGGATGATAAAGCGAGACGCAACTTGAACCGAACCCTCCGCGCTGCAGTCCGAGACGGAGACTGTATCGCTACCGAAATGTTGCTCTCGCTTGGCAGATCTCAATTGTTTCTTGCCAACATCCAAGTGGAACGTGCTCTTCTCGAGATTGTTTAAATCTATCACCAAATTAGCTCATTGAGGCTTCCACTTCAGGTTTTCGATTGCTTGCTCTCGAGCTGTCTTGGTATTGATAATAATCATCAAGACCAAAATGGAACAACCTCTCTTTGGCACGCAGTATGCATCAATGACGAAAAACATGTTTCCCACCTACTCCACGTCGACAGTATCAACATATGCGGCTGCGAGATCAGCGGCGTATCTCCCCTAGCTCACTCGGCTGAGAAAGGTACTTATCGCATTTTTAGACTCTTACTCAGTCAGGCTGGCGTTCGTACCAATACACACGAGCCACGTTGTGTACCTCCTCTGTGGGCTGCTTGCCTTGCAGGCCATACTTGGGCAGTGAAAGACCTCATGAGCTACAAGCTCACTGATGCCAACCAGACTAGTCTAAATGGTACCACAACGCTTCGGGTGGCGCTGTGCTTTCGCCACGTTCAAATTGCACACCAGCCTTTGGACCATGATCCGAAGCTCTCAATTCACCATAGGAACACGGATGGACTAACTGCATTGATGATCGCGTCATCTGGGGGTTTCCAGGAGATCATGCAGATATTACTGCTTCATACAAATACTGAAATCAACGCTGTTGACCACGGTGGCAGAACTGCACGATGGTGTGCTGCGGCCGGCGGAAACCTCGGCCATTTGCAAACCTTATATTTACACCCTCAGATCGCAAAAGAATATTGTCGATCATGCAGGAAATACAGCGCAGAGTATTGCCAAAAATCACGGGAATCTTGACGTTGCAGATTTTCTTAGCGAATTTTAATCGTTCAGTCCGAGTCGAAGGGAACACAATCCCCAAAGCACATCACATGGGGAAGCTTTTACCTTGGTAGAATAAGGACGTTAGCTTCTCTCGCTCAGAAGTTTCAATGTTCAGTGATTACGACGAAGCTAGTCATACTGCAGTATTTCATGACTATTCGCCCAGTATTTTCTCTCTCAATCTAGCTGCATTACAAGGATATCTGTAGAATGAGTTCACCAGTTCTCCCAATTAGGTAGGTCATCTCTTATTCTGGATGACTATACACTTCAAAGGTGTCTATTCTTGACATAGAACTGAATTGAACCAATCTCATTGTTCAACAGTAATTATTGGCATCTATCGAAGAGCGGCTTGTCGGAATGAACCCCTTATCACTTTCCGGTTTGGAAGCCAATTCAAATGAAAAGACACAGTAATCTCCAAAATAAACAGTCTAACAAGCATGGAAATATGAACATTCATTCTTTAACCTCACTTTAGTCAGAAGACCCTAGAAGCGAGGAATCGCTTCTTTTTGTAATGCATGTCTGTATCTGACAAGTGAACTTTCAACCCACAATTCACACCAAAATAAACAGTCCAGTTGAATTGGGCCCAGTTTGAACATTATGTGGATATTTTTTGTTGGATTCTATTAGATCAACAGGCAGACTTCCGAAAGAACTCACTGAGATCGGGATAACGCTGTCGTATAATGAAGGAACGCTAGCTTGAATTGTTCTCCATCTGATATTCTCGCTATTGATTCGATCGAAGAATCTTCAACTCTGGGTAGTTTGATCCACACACCATTTTTGAGGGGAATTCTCTTGAGTTTTCCAAAGACTTGCTTTCTCTCTAAAAGCGGCAGCAACATATTTGAATATCTGAGAATATATACGCCAGCTATGGTAAGGCTTCTATCCTGGCCAAAAGAGACTGTTTCCTGACAAGGCATCCTCCTAGATGTCAAAAAGCCAACGCTGGTCAGTGAATGAGACAGTAATTCTCATTTACTTTTCGTCGCGACAAGTACGCTGCAAGGCTCTGCGTTGCCTTCTGGCACGCCGAGGCTTCTACCGTTCCCCTCGCGCGATCAAACACCGGGCATACACACTGGCCAAGTCTCATCCGGAACTGAAAGTCAATGGAGACTTTTGGGACTTGGATACCGTGGATAACTGGATCGACAATATTGCGGGGGACCATCGTAGTGTCAACGAGCTGATTTGGTTTGGGGAGAAAGATGCCCGCGATGTTATGAAGGTGAGTAAGACTAGATCTCAGAGATTTAAACCATACTTATTATTTTATGCAACATAGAATCAACCCATTGAGTCATTGCATGGGGTATTTGAATGGTTTGATTTCAGAATGTCGAGTGTTCGAGCTTTTCCACGCGAACAGAAAAGAGATGGATAGGGCATTAAATGAAAACACCCTGCTAAATGTATAGACTATAAGCAGGGCTTGCAGAGAACTCCATAGTATCTCCGAGCCTGTCGATAGTTTCTTGTTTACTTATATAGAACACAAAATAAGGTGGAAAGGTAGTATTACGAGCTATCAGTGTAACTTATTCGAATATAAAGTTCACAATGTGTTATGTTATAGCCTTACTCCAAATTAGTACTAATTTTTAGTTCTGTCGGCCTTGGGCTCAAGACGGCTTTGCGGGGTTTATATTTTGACATATAAGATCTATTCTCTATGAAGTCCACTTACCAGATAGAATAGCACTTGATATAAGAGAACTACCACTATATGAACTTGTTTGGTCCAGTACGCTTTCAGGTAAATAGCTTATCGGAGAGAACGAGAAGGCTAGTGGTCAAGCAATGGATGGCTCTCAAAATGAGAAATGATAGAAAAGAAGCACCTGCAAGTTAAAAAACATTTAAGCGTCGGTATGTTTCCGCAATAAGGTCAAAATGACACAGGCACCCAAGACCTGTCAACTATTATTGGCGCTTCTACGCATAAGAGGACCCTCGTCGCAGCAACTCTCACTGTCAAACATTTGCGAATTGTAATGCTGACGTCTTTTCCGGAGATATAGTTGAATGCAGATACTGTATCATGCGCGGTGGGCATAGCCCGGACCGGAGATTCCCCGTGTGGCGTGGTACGGTACTCTGCATGCCTTTGATTGACGTTCTCTTCGGAGTTTAAACGGTCTGTTACAGGACAAGAGGAAAGGGGAATTGATAAGCAGAGTCAGAAACGGAACATACAGAAAAGGGTCATTCCTTACCACTGCTCTATACTCGGTGTTGCGGAGTCGAGATTGGGTGGTCTCCAAGCCATGCACCAATTAGCTACTGCGATTAATCGAAAGTGAAAATTTTCAGCTGAATGGAAATATCGAGCACTTGTTCCCTCAATGCAAAGAGAGCTCGACTAGAAAACGGGGGAAATGGCAAAAACGTGCAATCTAGGGGAGGACCTGGATCGTGTGGTGGTACGGTAGAGCAGCGACATGGTAAATTTAACAGATAATAATCATGCCAAGAAGTTGTTCAAAATGCTACAGTACAGATATGGAGCCAGCCTCGGCGGATATCGTAAGATATCCGTCGGGTAATAAACAATACAAATAAGCCAAGACTCGTGATGTCGTGGAGCCTACATAGATTATGCAGTTTTTCTAGTATTTTTTGTGTATCTGCATGGCATAGCATTATCGAAAAATTGAGGATTTCGGATGCAGTTCTGTTATTTGATACTCAGCAGTGTGTACACTCTTTGATATTGATGTGAAGGTACCCCTGCGGGGCTCTGAACTCAGCTAGTTTATATGATTTTGACTATTTACATCAGATCTTTTTCTATTTCAAAGCCATCCGGCATTTTTGGCCTCTTCCGAATCCCCCCCCCCCCCCCCCCGATCGCCCCTGTGTAGCCTCCTCGGTTGATATTTCAGAAAGTGTGAGGGTATGTATCACTTATCTGTTGATGAGGGGCGTGTCTTGCCAATGAAGGATCATATTAACGAAAGCTATATTCGACTCTAGATACAAGACGTAGCGCGAGGAAGCAGAAGAAAGATATCTTCCTCGCGTTCAGGGGAACCCAGATGTGCCATGTGGGTCCGCGTCCGCTGCTTAGCGTGTATGCCTCATGTATACCCCTGACAGCTGCTCTCAGGAGCTCCACCGGCGTTCCCAGGAGCCACTTGGGCGATTCTGGGAACAACTGAATGCTTTTTATAAGCTTTACTCTTCCTGAGGTACGAAATAGTATCCTATGAGCTACTTCTTCCGTCCTAGGAGCGATGCTGGCCCTCCTAGAGTCTAGATTGGTCCTAGAGACTATTAGCCCTTCCCCTGTGAGCATCTGGAGCCCATTTAACTCCACAGACACCATTTATGGGCCACGTAGACTCAATCCGTACATTTCATTGACAAGTCCCTCATTTTGCTAGCTCAGCGCTCACTCATTTTGCGTATGTTTTGTGGTCCTCCGCCCTCAAAATTATCACCAATTCCTCAATCATATTATTCTATACATTCATACCTGACGCGGCAGTTTGACCCACTTCCTTCCAAAATGTTCTTCAATTCCTACTAATGCGCTTCTGGGGTCGGCTACTTCTTTGACGGAACGACAGGAAATCCACTCCCAGGCTGTTGTACACCCACGTCCCATCATTATCTTGCAGCCCAGTCCACAGTAAAGCATTAGAATTGGTCGCCTCGTATGAACCACATCATGGCACCTGTGGAAGGTAATCACTACTCCCTCATCTTCCAGACCCGACAATGATGTATCGTTCACAGGTTGCAAATTCCTGAGGTCGTCTCGCGTTTTGTAACAACACAGTAACACTTTAAGCAGTCAGTCTCGGACAAGTGAGAGGTGCACGGTATACTTGTAGTTTACAATTCCCCCGTTGTTTATTAAGTAATCTTCCACCATGAAGTCCTGCTGGGCTTCATTCTGCCAGGCTTGTCATACATCATGCCGGAACCGCCCGTCAGTCTCTTTCCCGGAACGATTCCGAAATCGATGCATCAACTGCGGCCAGCTTAAATCCGACAATCTATACACATGAATGCTAAAGGAAGAAGCCCAGATGAACTGGAAATATGATCTTTGTGCCGGTATTGCAAATTGGATACTCCTGGCTGGGTGTCTTGTGGTGACAGGCACTTTCGCCTCTTTAGAAGATTCCATTGAGGCTCAGAGAACGCTTCAGAACAATGGTGCTGGGCGCGCTCTCTTGCATACTATGCAGAACCCTCCCCTTCTTATCATTGCTTGTATTTTCCTCTTTATTGGAGGGCTTATGCTTGGATGGCTTTCTGTTATATTTCGAGACAGCTACACCAAGTTGATTAACTGTATTTTTACGTGAGAGCCCCTTCATTAGATCAAGTACATATACCAAATACTGAGATAATATGCTTTACAGGCCGGCTTTTTTGAACGCTGCTGCTGGGTTATTCACAACGTAAGTAAGCGTGTTTGGGTCACACAGATGCCAATGTCCCCTGATGGCCCTCATAACTTTCCTGGTCATCGGAACTACGCTGTGCTTTTTCCTCGGTCTCATTGCGATATTCAGACTTTGGAAACTAAAAAAGTCATTGAGGAAGACAAGCTTCAGCACTTTCTTATCAAGCCAAGCCTAGTACTTTCTAATAAATACCGCAGTCAGGGTACTTGAACATCTTAATCCATCGGGGCTTTGAGTTTCAGATCTGAGCCCTAAGCTCCCCTCACTCAATGTACTATTCATTACATGTAGCATTGAGTTTGAAAACAATAAACGGAACAATGGGCAGTGGGTATTGGTCTTCATCTACGCTTATAGTAGCAAATGATCAGGTGACAAATCAGAGTCTGAGACAGGTTTTCATGTGAGTCCTCCTTCACTACACTGCATAAACTGGCGTTTAGTTCTGCTATTTTAATTTTAATGTTTTCTTCTTCGTTTTTGATACACGTTTCATTCAATGGCCGGAAGTAGTCTTCCAATCAAAGATTCCTATTGGACTAAGTACCGGAGGGATGGTGAAACCACTGGTCTGAATGGCAAGCAACACGCGGAACAGTTAGATTTGCACCCCTCTAGCGACTGATTGTGTTTATACTGAGGTTTATCAACTAGCCTAGTGGGCTTTAAATTATCACCGTGCATAAGCTCGATCGCTCACCATTGAGCCGTATGTACATAAGCGGCTATCTTCGTTTACATGTTGGGCACAAATAAGAACAGACAGATCTCACGTCCCCATTTCAAATGGCGCTTCTTGATGTGGTGTTCCATTCAAAAGGCTAAAAGCCAATTACTGACGTTCTTTCCCATCCATCCATAACAAAAAGTAGCGTACACCTACGAGCATGAGTGACAGTATTCACTAAATTGATCCGAAGATGGTATATACCGTAATATTCTATACGTGAATTGATGGATTCGTCCATCATCTGTGTCATGATTATGTTCTCACACTAAGTCTAACTTTTCTTAAGAAACCACGCAACCTTGAATTCAAAATCCAGCCAAATCTAGAGGGTGAAAACCCCTTTTAGTTGGAAACATTGCGATTTGGGGTCAGAAAAATCGACAAAACAAATCTCACAGCTTACTCAAAACTATTGCACTGCTTGTGCAAGCAAGGGTTTGATAGAAAGGTGAGTTATATCACGCACCACTAATAATGATTGTTGAAGTTAGACTGGCAATCAATATTCAATTGAGGAAGTGCACCAGAATGATTTTGAATTTTGCATAAACGCGGTGCCACTAGGATACTGCCCAAAACGCAACTGATTCTAGGAGGGTTGCTGTAGTTGAGCAAGGAGATATATAAGTTTGTCTAGGTCACGCACTCATTCTCCTCAGTCAGACCTACCATTATTCATCAACCATATCTACCCCTTGAGACGAATCTCCACGAATGGCATAATCAGTCAACGCAAAAGCAAACACAGAATGGGCGAATATTCAAGTGTTGCAAGTGTGGAACAAGCAGCGAGAGACAAATCGTCGACAGTGCAGAAGGCTACAAGTGCAGTACTCCAAGCCTCTAGACCTTGCGATGGCGATTTATATGAGAGGGACACTGAAGAAGCTGCTGAGATAGAAAGACAAGCAGATAAATGGATGAGTGAGTATCGAGAGCTCGAAACGCTCGGGGAAAACAAGGAATTATCGACTCTGGAGAAACAAAGATTGTCAGAACTTCATGATGATCTCCAGAAATATTACCATGAAGACCCTCGAAGATTTGACGAGCAATTTCACGCAACCAGTGGCTGTATTCGTATGGGCGATGAACAGCCTCCTCCAAATCACCAAGCCACAATATCGCACGTTGATCGTCGACAGAATCATGATGCCAACAAACAACCCGAGTCTGATAAAGCCAAGCAGAAAAAGGCAGATAGGGACAACAGTACGCTTCAAAATCTTGATAAATGGCTGAACAGTGGTGGCAAACCTCCAGCAACGTCGTCAGCTCCCAGTCAGCCAAACCAAATGAATACTGAGGCTCACAGTGAGTCAGAGTGTGATGAGGTTGACAAGTTCTCCCAGACAGCGGCAGCGACGGGGTCTTTCAATACCACTACAGAGAATTCAGGCTCGGCCGACAGTACCAATGAGCCTCCAAAACCACCGGATCGACCAGGGCGTATGCTGACGTCGACCAAAAGTCAGGATGGAAGCCAACCCACCAGCAAAAAGACCAAAACAAAGAGAACGGAATCTTCACTGAATACACCTGAAGGAGCCTTTCCTGAAGTTTACTGTAAATTCAGCTCATGGCCAGGCTGCTGCCGAATAGTCTTTGGCTATGGAGAGCCTGGCAAAGCAAAGTACGAGATTGGAGATGCGACAGAATATGCACAAGACGCGCTAGCCAACTTACCATTGATTTCTGGAAAAAAGGAATCCGTCTTGGACATTCGGATCAATGGTGCCCGTATCTACGGGCGTCGCAACATTGGAAAAGTGACCAATGTAGCTTCGCTTACACCTAACCCGGATCGAGAGCGGAAGCCGCGTGTCACCAAAACCGGCAAAGTCATACAAGTCTACCCCCCTATGCTGATAAAGATCCAGTGGATTGACATACAGGAGATCCATCGTGAAAAGCTCCTCAATGGCGAAGATTGGAATGTTCGGAGTAACATAACGAAACGGCTCAAAAATAAAGACCAAGCTTGGCTTGACGAGCAGATTGGTGGTGCTGCCAAGACACAAGACAAATCTTACGAGGAATGGGCTGCGGAAAAGGGGATCGATGGTGGAAAAAGACCATCGACTTTCTTTCCGGAGAAAGGTAGTTTTACCAGCCAATCGCAGGGAGCAAAACAACCCGCCAAACCTCAGCGCGTCCATGATGCGGCGAATCAAAATGACGGGGCCCAATCAAATGATGGGCAGCCCCTGAACACCAAAAAGCGAAAAGCAGATTCTGCGACCGGGCGTCCGGGCCAAGACCGCCGGATGAAATTCCAACACATCCCGAATCCGCCTAGCAAGTTCATCGACTATAATTCCTACCTTTTTACTTGCATGATGGACCAGAAGCTCACCCATGAGAAGCTCAACGATGATCCGGAGGGTTATCAAGCGGCAATGGAAAATATCGAGAACGATTGGCCCGAATACAAAAAAATGATGCTTAAAAATCACTACGAGATAAGCCCGAAAGGCGACCAGAAGACTCAAGCGTAGGCCTCCAAAACAGCCTGGCACAACACCGAGTCTCCCCGCTCTTTCCTTTTTATCTGCTCTAATTTAATCGATATGTGAATTGATGTGCCTTCTCCTTTGCTTTGCTTGATGTTTCGTAGATGATGTCTTCCACTGATTTTCGTCAAAAGTTTATTACTACCTCTGCGTTCTTCATTTGGAAGCTTTAAAAGTCAGGAAATTGAGTGACATATAGTGATCTCTCCTTTTAGTCTTCAATTCTCGTCTCGTCGTTTGATAGAGGCCCCAGCCTTATACATTCGTCTACGGCGTCCATAGCAAACTCAGTTAATTGCTACTTACATGATATAAATGCCGCTCGGAAAGGGCTGCAATCCGTAGATCCAAGACAGTAATTACGTATCATGTGATTCCTTGTGATGAATGAATCTTCAAGGGCACACGGGGTCCTCAATCACTGAATTGTCAGGTTATTACATCATTGTCAACTTTGGCTTTTTACAAGACAGAATGGCGAAATACAACCTCCAAAGCTGCTTAAATGCGTTGTGTCTATAATGACGAATGATTGCAAGAGTGGCTTCGGTAGAAGAGTGTAGGTTAAACCCAAATATGATCGCATCGATGGTGAGTTTGGTCCACCAAAATGGAACTCTGCCAGCTTTGTTGGCTTCCAGCATCCAGGCTCTCCAGGTCGGCGCTGTGGTCTTGCATGCCCACGGATGAGCAGCCAAGTTGCCCCTCTGTCTTCCCTTCCGCGATCTCTGTCGAATGAGATCGAATTCGAAAATCCGACAGTTCGTGGCTTTCCACGCGACCGCCGGATGACTTCGTAGATGATCGTGTCTTATAGTCCTGCGCCTGAGTGCCACTGGCATGGAGCATTACGAGCCCGCTTGATTGTACCCAAGAGAGAAATGGCTGCAACTGTGGCCAACACGCGGCCACTATACCCAGACATTGGATCACCATTTCGAAGATTGTGATGTTGCACAGGTCGTACGCGGGATCAGTCGTCTGGGTGGCTTTCTTGAGGAAAGGGATCTCACATATCGATGCAGTTATCACACTGTGAGAGCTAGGATATGAGTCGCGTGGAGGGCAGAAAAAGGAAAGTGCAAAACATACAAAAGACGTGGCATGAAAATGCTTCCTACGATGAGGCGATGCTTGACGATCCGGAGAGTCAACACCAGCGGAATTAACTGCGAAAGTAGTAGCGTCTCAGTCGCAATATTCGAAATGACCACAAAATACCGCCAGGCGAGCTAGGTTGTGTTAGCCTGAGAGACGTCGCAGAAATTTGGAACCGCGCCCAAGTTTCATAAGGTGGAAATTACCAGGTTAAAACATTGACCGTGCCATAGATCCCAAGGTGGGGACTTGCATTGAAAGGCACTGCCCAAAAGTGCAGTCAATGCCCAGACATATAGAGTAATCTCAATGCCTCTGGACAGCCGTTTCCCTTTGGCCACTGGCGTAAACTGCCGGATGAAGATGACAAAAGACATTTTGGATAGAAAAAGACTCATGATATAAAGGAGAAACGCAGCATATAAGCTCTAGGGATTCCATGTCAGGGGCCCGTACGGAAAGTGGGGAATGAAGTGGTGTCACAATTCTCTCTTCTCACCTTCATAACTCTAACAGCGTCAGGGCTGGATATCTCTTCGAAGTGGCTGCCATAGCCGGATCCCACCGCCAGAGATACAACAAGGGTCTGGCCGACCGCGAGAAACTGCCCAAATCGTCAGCCAAGAGCGGTCCAACTTAGAAAAGACAAGACAGGCGTACAAGTGCAGCTACGATCAGGAGGTCATCGATATCAAGCTTATGAAATAGTCGATACTTTGTACCTAGTCGCGTGGAAACGCTGAGGATCATCACAACCAAAAGACACCAGGCAGTCACATTGATTGCAGGGTCCTTGGTGTCATTTGTAAATCGAGTGCCCATGTCTGGGGGAAAGAGAAAACGAAAGAAGTGTAGGAAAGAAGTCTCTTTGTGACGGTGGAACGGCTGCGGATCAACTTTTTGAATTTTCGTGCGGTAGCTATGAGTGAAAAGGCTGTCAGGAGCCAGCTTGGTTTTCAATGCGCACTATCGTGCACTGATGACAATTTGCGCACGATATGGTATGCCAATGAACGATGCCGGATGCGCCAACGGAATCCCTTGAGTCTAGAACTCATGGTCCCAGGAGCTATCCCGACAATTATGATAGCCTTCCAACCATTGACCGAGATTCATATAATTTATCTTTCTTTTGCATCCTGGGCCCTTGGCACAAAGCGTCATCGTGGCATTGGTTAGGAGTGGTACACCCCACCTTGACCAACTTAGGCCGTGGTTCTACTGATAAGAATAGACTATTCCATAGAACATTCCATAGATCATCCCATAGACCGGAAAGGTTGCATGTGGAAGCGCCATTCATCACCATCATGTGTGGCCAATGAGATCCTTATGATTTGCATCCACTTCCTCCGATATGGTTTCATTCCATGGTTGAAGCATGTGTTTCTGGGCTCGAAGTCAACTCTCTGGCTTACTGCAAAGCTAATCTCCCGTTCTCCCCGACCATCAGCCCCACTTTTCGCGATGGATCTAGGTGGGTGCCCGCGAAACGATCACAAGCTGTGCCATTGGTTGTTGTGCAAGGTATCCAAGCAAAGTCTAGTAATGGGAATGTTGATCTCAAGCAAGGCACCTCGAGCGCGCCACACCCAATCAGATTACTCGACGTCGATTTCTCGCGTGCCAATTCTTCTTTTCTCTTAGTATTTAATTCTCCTAGTCTGTGAAGTCTCCATCCAGACACACAATTTCCTCGATCTTTTCCAACTCTGCTTCGTCTGCTACTTCAGCCTCTCTTTTTCCATCTTCGATCTTTATACTGTCTGCATTTGAAGTCAGCGACATGGATTCAAGCGACCAGAAGAATCTTGTTCCTTCCATCGGAATGGACAGCCCAGCAAAAGCTCACGCCCCGCAAGAGCGGGATGATGCCCATCTCCAACGAATGGGCAAGAACCCGGTCCTCAAGGTATGCCTACCAGTGATGGGCAAGATGAGATTCACGAGTCCAAGCAGCTGACACTTCAAGCGAAACTTTGGCATGCTCTCAATCTTCGGTTTCAGCTGTACGATCCTAGGGACGTGGGAAGGATTGCTCGGGTACGACTCCTCCGCTTCGGAATGCCTGGGTGAAATACTGACGGCTTGCACAGCACCTTCATTAGACCTCTGGAAAAGTACGCTCCTTGCGCAGACATCAATGGTTATCGTGCTAATTTACTGAAGCGGTGGGTCTGGTGGTGCAGTATATGCTTTCATCTTCGCCTGGATCGGCACCGCATCCATCTTTGTCGTTCTCTCCGAGCTCTCGTCAATGTAAGTTTCAAGCTTGGATCCGGTGGCGATGCCTAACTGTCAGCTAGGGCGCCCACCGCGGGCGGGCAATATCACTGGGCAGCTATGTTAGCACCAACGAAGCACCAGAAGTTCTTGAGTTACATTACCGGTAATATCCCAGCGCGTTCATCACCGTGACAGGTCTATATGCTAAAGTTCGGATTGACAGGTTGGTGGACTGTTCTTGGCTGGCAGACCGCCCTCGCCTCTCTGGCCTTTTTAACCGGAACGACGATCCAAGGGGCAGCGACCTTGGGCAATCAGCATTATGATTCTCAGCCGTGGCAAGGCACTCTGCTCGTCTGGGCGGCTCTTGTCTTTGCGTTGCTCGCTAACCTGGCCGGGGGGAAGGTTTTGCCCCGACTCGAATCACTGACCTTGGTTGTGCACGTTCTAGGGTTTTTCGGTATCATGATCCCCTTGGTATACATGTCAGACCATAAGTCCACCAAAGAGGTGTTCCTGCAATTCTCCAACAGTGGGGAGTTTGCCACCCAAGGCTTAGCCTGGTTTGTCGGCATGAGTAGCTGCGCATTCGCACTTGCCGGGGGCGATGCCGCTGTCCATGTAGGTTACTTGCATCTTTCATGATTTTCCGTCGCGTACACTGATGATCCTAGATGTCTGAGGAAGTAGAGAGTGCATCGCGCGTCGTTCCCCGTGTGATCCTGCTAAGCGTCCTCGTCAACGGCTGTCTTGGCTTCGGCATGCTGATCGCCATTCTCTTCTGCGCCTTCGATCCTAGAGAAGTGCTCAATTCTCCCACCGGCTATCCCTTCATGGCAATCTTCTATGAGGCGACTAACTCCCGGTCGGGGTCGTTGGCCATGTGCTCCATCGTACTCATTAATTATGCCTGTTCTCTAATTGGATTGATGGCCGCGGCATCACGACAGCTGTGGTCGTTTGCCCGAGACAAGGGGGTTCCCGGCTGGCGTTGGTGGGCACAGGTAGGCTCTATCTGTACTGGATCATCTGTGATTGATTTCTAACCGTGCCAACGGCAGGTCTCGTCATCCCGCCGGCTTCCCGTGCATGCGATTGTTCTGACTGTGTCTGTCAGCATGGTGTTGGCACTCATTAACATTGGTTCGTCCGTTGCACTAGATGATGTGTTATCTATGGCCGTATCAGGGTCCTATCTCTCTTACTTGATAGTTTCTATCCTGTTGTTTCGTCGCCGTATCCGTGGCGACATTGCGTCTACCGACGACGGCGAGCAGGCTGCTGTCAACGTTCCCGGTGGGAAGCTTGTATGGGGACCATTCCATTGTCCTGGAGCCTGCGGTACGGTCATCAATGGAGTGGCTATCATCTATACCACGATTGTGGTGTTCTTCAGTTTCTGGCCATCCGAGGTAGATCCCAGCGTGGACAAAATGAACTGGAGTGTCTTGGGTATTGGTGGCAGCAGTGTTATTGCCGTCGTGTATTACTTTCTGAGAGCACGTCACAGTTATGCTGGGCCAGTCATGGAAGTCTCATTGTGAAGTCTCAAGAGACACCCAGACAGGTTGGAAAGAGCACATGTAGAAGTGCAGACTTATGGCAATTGCGGTATTCTGGCGCACACGAAGTAAGCCGGCAGGCCAACGGAACCGCTGGATTTGACCTTCCACTCCCCTAGATATCGATGGCATCCGAAATTCATGCGGGTACTATTTCTGGTTGAATATTATCTACACATCCAACGAAGAAGCTTGATTGTCAGCTGTTGGCTGTGATATTAATGAATCTTACATGTATCTTCGACTAATGAGCCGCACCAGTCCCGCCAATTGTATACAGGAACGTTAGTATGGATATGGGATCTTCTTTCCTAGTATACGCTGAGTTCGATGTAAAGACTCGAAGACAGGCCCTCTGTAAGTGCCCGGGAAGTGACTTCATGACCCAAGTGGCAAATTTTCGGGGGTTTTCCCGGCAGGTAAATAGATCGGCGACCATCCCATGGATCGTTAGCTGCATGGCAGTAGAAACTCAATTTGTTGCAAACTTTAACCCATCGAATCAAGTTCGGCGGCAGAAAATTGACTACGGAGCGAATGGCTTCGAAAATTCACGGATCAGGCCCCGTGAGGAAATTGCATGTTTAAGAGTCAACTCAGGCGATTCGTGGCTGTCATAAGCCGAGAAAATGCCGGAGGATTGCTACAGACACAACACAAACCATGTTTCATATTTTGTGCAGCCACAGATTATCTCTCGCCCTTGGTATCCGTGAGCGGTTTGTTCCAGAGCCCTCTGCCGAGACATCTTCTCCAATTATCGACAGTATGGCACAAGCACAATCCGAAATAGATTGCCAGCTTAGTATCAGAGGTAAATGGATTTTATTTCGATCTAGATGTAAACGGTTTTCCAATGGCAGTAAATATTGTAAATAGAAACAAAAGTCGAGTCATCGATGCGTTGAAATGAAGGAGCGAATAAAAAAGAAAATAAGCGAAGAAAGTTCTAAGACAAGTGGAAAACTCTATGTCAGCTGAGCAGACCCGTCTCGTGGTATCTTAAACCCATTTGCCAAGTTGTTTACTTCTCGCCGCGAAGTCTCCATCAATTCTATTGAAAGTGCGATCGATAATAAATGGCGCGAAGTGAAGAGAGACGAGTTTCTAGAATTCGATCAAGCAGCTTCCAGCTCCTCCGGGACATCGACTGGTGTCGCCGTTCAGTCTGTGACCGTTGATTGCTTTGGACGGTCCCATCTGTTCATCATGATAAGCTTCTGTTTGTTCTTCATACGTATATAGCACAGCAAGTCTTACCTAGATTTAGACCCTTTTTCACGAACGAGAAATTCGATTTCAAACCTTCCAATTTTTGCTCAGCTGCAGCATCATTGTCTCTCAGTCCAAGACGCGGTGGGGAGGTGGGCATTTGTAGCGTCGATCTACGCCGTGATGATTTGCGCCGTGCTTGCTTGGGTCTCTCTCGCCGTGACGTAGTGAAATGCCGTGGAATCACACGCTGGCGTCGAATACCTTTGAGAAGTTGGTTATATTTCCCACGCAGCGATTCCGGGGTCCGTGGCATGCCAAAGTCATCCGTGTATTTCTCAGACTTTTCTTCCCATGACAAGCGCTTGTGCTGTGCCAACCAGCCGAGAAGAAGCGCTTCTTCTGACTCGGTCCATGGTATGTAGATGGCTTTGGGCATGGTGTAAAAACAGAGTGAAAGGATTTTGGTAGCAGAGAGGATGGAAGGAGAGAACAAACAGTGAACTTCAAAGTTTCCAGTTTTTAGTAGGGTTTTTGGTTAATAGCTAGGCTAAAGGGAGAGAAACACGTGTTTTATTTTCTTCTCGTCTGTTGAACATCATTTCTAGAGTATGTGAGTGTTACCGTAGTGTTCATAATGGATACGTGCAGACCATGGATGGACACAATAAACAGAATTTTAAACTGCATATTGCTCATTTACCTACAACCTTAGACGTTACAATGCTTTTCATGGGCCAGAAAGCAAGTTGAACAACCGTCCAAGACCTGAATTACTATTTTTCATCTTTTTCCACGCTTTCTCCTGAGTTCAGTTTTCATCATGCGATATATTGAAGAAGCAACCAGCAAGAGAATTACACGAAAGGTGCTCTGGTCATTCCGCACCAGGCCGCTCTCGTCGTTAGACTGCACCAAGCCAAGGAGCTAGAACGAAAATGCCTATAAACTCGAAAGAGCGAATATCCTTACTACAATACATACTGAAAATTCTAGATAAGTACTCATGTCACGTAACTTGATGTGTCATAAGCGGTTGTCGATTTTCCACTGCCCTGTAGCATGTAGATACAAAATCTATCCTTCAATTTTCTTACCTTTTTCCTTTTTATTTTCTCTTTTTTTTGGTTTTGTTCTGGGCTGGGGGGCGACGCTAAAAGTTTAAGGGTGGAACAGGTACTGTTCTCAAACTCAAACAAAATTTGCCTCAGCCATATCCATGTTCACAGTAGCATATATGTTTCTCCTCCCCTCCAGCCACTTCCTTTATAGCTTTCGAGTTTTTTTTTTCTCTCTTATCATCATAGCCAGCTATGAACTATATGCTAGAGGATGAGCCTTCCACAAGACCAGCCAACTTCTTAGCAGACTGGCGTCAAATGTTCAAAGGAAGCACACAACAGCCGGCTTCAATCTACAGTGTTCCTCTATCTGGAGTTGTTTCGGGGGAGAACAACTACCGCAATGAATATGAAGGACCCGTTTACGAGGACTTTTTAAAGGACACAATGGTTAAACAAAATCATACTTCCATGGATGACGCCCCTCTGGGTACGCATGGCCCACCCGAATCTTCCCTGGGTATGACGGCCAAACAAAATGAAGCACCCAAAGTTCCCATAGATCTGGTTGATACCCTCTCAAGGGAGTAAGTCTTTGTCATCCCCTCAGATATTTGCGTCCACGATTGACACATTTCTCTATAGCTTAAATGAAAGAGCGCAGTAGGTACCGTTTTTATTGAAACCTAAAGAAAGCTCCTTTATAATCGCCAATTGTCTAATATGTTGCCTATAGGAGAATCAGAGATCACTTTTGGAAGCAGAACATGCGGAATGTTGATATGCAAAAAAGTCTAGAAGCCATGGCAAAAGACTGTAACAGAATTCAAGAGCTGGAACAAGAGCTTGCAACCCTTCAGCAAAAGCTAAACATACTCAGTGAGGAAACAGAAGGGAATCCCATGGAACAGAAATCAAAACGAGCTAGGCGATCTGCACAGTCAATGGGAATGAACTAGCCTCCGGCTTTGTATATTGAAATTAGTGGTTGGAATACAATCGACTTAGAGGTAGCGTCAAGGCATACTGCGGGGCCTATACCACATTTTATACAGCGCGCACTTTATGTTGTCTGTTCATTCAATTCATTCCATATAATTGGCTTGGGAGCATGAGTGGACAGGTTGCCCGGGGCAAACAAAAGAAGCCTGGAGAAGCTGACCTCTTGCAAGCATGCCAGCACATATGGTGGAATCACTGAGGCGGGAGTTAGATCTTCTATCCAAGCTATGCCGTTGGCAGGGAAGTCAGTAGGCCCTAGAATCTTCACAACAAAGCTTCGCAGTGGCAAATCTCGATGAGAACTTTCAGAAGTAAACTCTCCACGCCACATGGGCGAGCTCCTAAAATTCTCACCGGTGTCCCGGTGGTCGACGGGCCGTGGATTCATCCATGTGGCCCCTTAAGCAGCGATCGATTAGATTTGGCCGAACCACTTTTATGTGTGTCAAACATTTGAAGCAAAATGTAAATCACTCCGAGCGATGTGAGAAATGCTGTTGCATCGTGGAGTACAGATACGAAAAATGGCGCCACCAGAGCATCATGGCCGAAGTGTTCGGTTGGCCCACCCCAACGTCCCGGAGTGGGTCCGCCCGAGCCGTGACGGTCAGAAATTCCAAATCTCTCTGTCGATCCCAGTCTTGGCAAGAGCTCACGTGTTTCGAAGTTTTGGTGCTCAGCGAGCCGAAAAATAAAATAACTAGAATAGAATACAGTACTTGGTTTAGGTGTCGGAAAAATACCGCATTAGGCATATTGACAATCTTGATTGGCGGGTACGAAGGGGTGATTCCGGTTCAGCCAGGATCCCAACCATCAGGCTCGTGATTCCTTTGTGAGACCCAACTGTAATGCCTAGATCTTTAGCTTCACGAAGGTTCTCTTGTAGCTCCCAAATATTCACTATCATAAATACGGTCTTACAAAATGCACCTTGCCTCTCTTCTGACACATACCCAACGGAGCTGGGCCAGGGTTTTGAGATGGGTTCCCGACAAATTCATTGCATGCGCGATCTGGAACCATTGTCAATTGATAGTCAGTCACCCGTCATCTGTACCGTCCAATACCACTCCTAGCAACTAGCACACTACGAACAGCCACAAAGTCATCAAGAAACTTCTGGGACTCTATAGACAGCATGCCTGGGTCTATCATGAAGCGTTTCTGTACATGCTATACGGAAAACCTCGAAATCCGGATCGCCAGTTCTCTCAGCTAACTCTCACGATCGATCAACCGATTCCATGCGACAATTAGGATAGATTGGCCGCTGTTGTCTGGATGAATTTAGTATGGCGTATTTTCTTGTAAATATCAATCAAATGCATATAGCAATAAACATCGCAAGACTGCCTCTAAGACATCTTTTCGTTTGTATCAATTTTCCGACTGAAAGGTCCAATCTACTGTAGGCCCGTCTTTGGAGTCTGCCCGTTTCTTATGCTTGAACGGTGACAATGGCACACGCTTGCAAGAAGACAACGGTATAATGGAAGTTCCGACAGAGCGACTCGCGCTTGTTGGTGTCATGATTTGCTCCGGGTGAAATTCTGTATACTGCGCTTTATGTACGAGATGAACGTCCATCGCTCATTCTCCTCCACGTGCCATTCGTCATCCAACCGAGCAGAGTGAATCCAGCTTAAGCAGATCTTCCACAGGTTCAAGTGCACCTTGCCATATATCTTCTCTTGAAATTTAATTATGCATACCATCGCGGAGAGTAAAAATTGATTTCTCAATTAAGGCTCAATTGCACAAAATCTCCGTATTGGAACTCATCTGTTGAATTCGACGATACTTTTCATGATTAACCACGTACACTATGTCAAATAAGATGTTATCCGTCCCCTTTTCAATTGAACGCTGAAAAGAAAGCTAGGAGAAAATTTTCAACGTTCAAGTCACGAGCTTTCAAAACTCAACTACAATTTTGGCAAAGCTAACACAAATAGACACCATTTGGCCTGTAGTGAATTATACGTTCAGATGAGTCTCCTGGGATCTTTCTCACTTTTCATTGCCAAAGGAAAGAAAATTTCAAAGAACTTTCTATCATGAACGCCCAAAGAGTAAAAAATGTCTTCGGCGCCATGATGCCCTTAACTATCGTGAGTAATAGCTCCTGTAAAATGAAAATCCTTTCACGGCATGTTTAAGTATTGATTCTGACTTAGTATGTAATATGGTAATCTTGGTTGGTCAATGTTCACCCGTTCAGAAACTCATGCTATCTCGCGGGATATTAAGTTTACTATTGGGCCCGTCACCTTGGGACGCAAACTCGTTGTACAACCTAGTCGGATAACCAGCATCTTGAGTTTCATGTTCATTGGTCCTTTTTATCATCCACTGCGTTCTGTCCTTTATGATAGTAGGTAAGTTCCTACTTTCTAGATTGATATCCACCTGTCTTCTCGGTATCCCACGTCTGGTTAACTCCACCACTCCGAATGTATCAATCTGTGATACCAGTGTCTTATTTTATAGGTGTCTAAAATGGTACAGTGATGTGCCATTGCTCAAAAAAGCCTTGGTTTGAATAATATAGTTTGCAATCCAACAGGCGATATCGGTATGGGATATTCACTAGGAGATGAGGATTTTGGTGCAGCTTAAGCCCTGCTGTGGTTTCAAGGAGCCACCATAATGTTCGGGTGTATGTTGTGATATTTGTACCATTGATACTACTTGTCTCAAGGCCCTGATAGAGCTTGTAATAGTAGCAAGGCTAGAAGCATCAGTGAGTCGCAAATAGTCGTCTCTTGGGACTTCCGTTGGGCAACTTTGCTTCGTAAATCCATATATCTCTATGTACTTCTCCTCCACGGTTCGGTCGCCGTTGGATAAAGTCTGCCAGGGCGAGTGTGTAAATAAGTACGAGGAGGTCAAACGAACTCTCGCCAGCCAGAAATTCATAAACACCCACGCTCGCCTGATATTCGACCAGCCATTAAATTAGGGGCTGTCAGATCTCAATTCATTTCTTGGTGGGCCTTCAAATCTTGTCTTCTGTGGTCTCTGTATATCGGTTCAATTAGTCTTAAGTAGTTCGTCATCGCTGGGGACGTATATAAATAGACCTGGTAATCCCTGGACACAATTTGCTGTATGCGAACTCGTTCGTCGTGAGAGATTTCCTACATCGTGGCAATCAAAGCGTTTTTGAAGTCTTAATATCTAGCCATCAAGGTTTTATGATGGATTCAATTGTGAGTTATCATCAGTAGTTGAGACTTTTGCAGCGAGATTTTCGCTCATCAATCATGAGAATTTTCATCAGGATACCCTTCGAACTTTAACGTCCTTGAACACGAGAGCCATCCGAGCCGAACGTATTGTATCGAAATATGAAGGAGAGTTTGCTACGTTGCAAGCCTCATTCAACCAATCCAAGGATGACATACACGAGATGGCTAAAGTGGTCGAGCTTCTTTATGAAACCAACCGCGTACTCAGGGATGTAGTGGACTTCTTGGTCAAACAAAAAGATATCACTCCGGGCGACGAGGTTTTGCAAATTTCCGACAGGCTGTGCAGTATTCTGGCTCAGCAAGTCCGAAAATATGAGCCATACACTTCTTCTGGAGCAGGCGAACAAAGTGAAATCAATGGCAAATGTGAACAGGATCAACAAAATCGTCATATCTCGCCACTGTCGGACAAACTCTCGTGAGACTGGTGCGACAGCTGTCAAAGGCCAAGCAAGTGGAGACATGGAGACAGCCAATCTGGTCGTTCAGATTCTAGACTTCAATTCATGGTTATAAGCGTCCATCGGTTCAGAGATACTATTTGATTTGGAATATGTTTCCCATTTGAGGTCCAGCATCTTTTTACACTTCTGCAAGTCCCTCATTCATCCAACTTTCCACCCAATGAGCTATGTAGGCTGCAATATCACCTGTAACAGTCGGCTTGACCCGTAGAGCATATCTGCCAAGCGAGGCGCCCTTCGACGAAGCTGTTGCGCAGCAAGCTTTGCCAGTCGCGAGCGATGGTTGACAAAGGGCAGTACTGTCGGGTTGCTCGGGTCTAGGGCGGGGAGCTTAAGTCATTGAAGTACATATGATCATTAAATTGGCCTCATCAAAAGATACGCTGTCCACACATGTATATGTACACTAGCCGTGAAGCCGAAGCTAGAAGCTCAAAGCTCTTGGTACGAGTAGCCATATTGTGCGACATTGACAGATCCCAACCCATTTGGTTTGTTCTCCGCACAGGTTATTGGGAATAATCTGGTTCAGGGTGTGTGGATGTGAAGTAAATGTGTCTTGTCTTTAGGAATAAAATGTATGGCACCACATAAGCATGGCAGGCACTGCTCCATTTTCGATCTACGTGCCAGCATATTTGGCTGCAATCGCTGTAGACCCGTACCCTACTACTGAGCTCTCAAGGTTTGCAGGCTTTTGCTAACGCTCATCGGCTCGGTGTTTGGACAACGCTGAAGACACCTGATTGCCTCTTGCACGCTGGTCTTTGTCCACTTCAGCTCTTCCTGCAGCTCCATCATCACGCCGTGACCATTTCTTAGCTCCTGCTCCAATGTAACTGTCCTTGCCACCCATTTCTGCTCGCTGCTAAGGAGTTCTTCGCCGCGGGTTCGCGCCCGAGTAAGCTCCCCTTTCAACTGATCATTCTCTCGCTCGAGTTTTTGTATAATTGCTGTAAAGGAATCGGCGCGGGTCTGGCTCGTCAATCAGCTACTTTTTGGCTATAATGAACGGACCCAGAAGGTCTGAGAAGGGAGAACATACCGATTCGCCCGCGTCCAACTGTGTAACTGGCTCAACCGAGGCCAGGATCTTTGGATCCACCGCCTCTATCGTACGGCCAAGTTCCTCCAGGATATTATTGTAAAGGCCAACGGTGCCATTGCTGAGGCTTGTCTCCAGAAGATGAGCGCTAGTCTTCGCTACAGACCAGGCATAGCCATCCTCAGCGGACGGCTGCAACCGCACCCGACTGGGAGCAACCGAAAGCTTCAATCGGACATCTGCAAATTGCCATTAGCGGCAGTCTCCGCGAAATATCAACTCTTCTTTTCCTACTTATGTGCGCTGCAAGGGCTTCGCGACACTGCTGCCTTCGCTGGGCGCGTTTTTCGTTGCTGGTCAAAGCCATTTGAGATCGCTGAGCTTTTGACGGGTTTGACCGACTGTTCGAGATGCTCACTGCGCGCTTTAACAATCTCTCATGGCATTCCTCATTCGCCGTGGACGAGTACAAGCAAATATCATCTGTTCAACTTGGCAAATCAGGCTCGGTCGGGGCCCAGCATTACTAGGCAGTGGAAACACCGTTCAAAAGACTGACAGTTCGATATCGCCACTCGCGGTGTTGAAATCACGCGTTCAATACGTTTCGATCGATCTGCACACAGATATTTTGTTCGGGCGCAAAGTAAATCTGCGCAAAGGACTAGACCACGGCTGGCAGCTGCAGATCGCGGACTGTCGGGGTGGATGCGAACTTGCTTAGTTACACTATGAATCGCCCCTTTTCTTGCGTCGTCGTCGATTTGAGCTACGTCGCTTCCTGTCGCCGAGGAGTAGCCGAATTGTGATGTTTCCAAATTCCCCATCCATTACATCCTGTAAATACTGGGGGGCTGCCCCTGTGGTCAGAATGGTTAAGCCTGCACATCCACTGGGATTTTGGGGTCGCGACAACCCACGGTGATCAAGATAAGAGCGCTCGAAGTGAAAGGGCCTTCATTTCACATCCTTGTGGCTTGTAAAGGCGTCAACAAACAAGTGGGTATACAAGGACATTTCAAAGAAATGCTGGCTCAACGAACATCCCTCAATAGAACGTTGCGGGTTGCGATGCGTGTGACGCAATGAGAATTGATATAGCAAGACGAGAAGATAAATAGCCTCAAGCGGACGCAATTCTTGTGGCTATCAAAGATTCGGGATTTCCTTTCACCCGTCATGACAAGAATCCCTCACGGACGGCGGCGGCGGGAGGAAGATGATCCCGAGACAATGAGTCTCCTGGGCCCTTCATCTGCCCCACGAGCAAAGCCGAAGAAAAGAAACACTTGCCCTGCTGCGCGCGTTCTCGAAAGGACCAGCGGGGAGAACATCCATGTCAATCCCTCAGAACGACTGACTCGTCTCACTCTACGCCTCCGATGCGGCAAACGCAAGAAGCCAGAATATATGCAAAATAGCCCGTGGACCGCTTCGGGTCTATACAAAGAGCATCAAGAGGCGCACGGGGAGGAGTCTGCTGTCAAAGAGCGGATCCGCCAGGAATGGCTCAAGCGGTTGCGTCCCAGACCCAATCGCCTGGACTAATGCGCTATTCGTTAGGCCACACTTGGGGTCTTGTATACACTGCTATTTTATCGAGCCATCCGATGACAGATCTGAAACCAAATCGCCGTACGAAATGGGTGCAATTTTGACAGGGATGTCCGACGAAAGAGTCCGTTGTTGTACCAACGTCGGTCGGTTCGCGCCAGCGCTCACGTTTAGAGATTGCTCTTCAAGGTGTCTCCCGTGCGGAGCTCTCGTTTCGTAGCTAGATGGAGTGGGGTGACTAGAAGCCTAAGGTGGGAGAGAAGGTGGGTGGGAGAGGAACGTTGAAAGGCTGGTTGCTCTGCAAATTCTAGTCAGAGGATAGCTGAACCCATGTCAAGAGTGTACCGACCGATTATGATAATGAATGAATTGTTGAATACATCCAAAGGCCTGTTCCTAAGATTCTTGATGCATTGCCCGATCGAAGTTCGAATCTGCATACATAAAGCGACATGATACATGAAGGGATCGCGATCATCGCGCACGCGACCGAGGTCGCAAAAATCAGCCAGTGATTACTTCAAGTTGAGTTCCCCATATCACTCATATCATACACGGGGCATTTGTTCCAATGCATCCAATCGGGAACATCTCGACTGGAGAGCGCTCTTAAAGCTTTCTTGACGCCTTGACGCCTTGCCTACGTATCACGCTGTGCTTGTTGTAGTTAACACGCGACTTAAATGTGATTAGTCATCTGTTGACGGTCCCACATCTATCTTTGGTTGAAGCGGGCATACAGTTGTGCGTAGGCACGATTTTAGTGTCCGTAGGCACGGAATCGGCAAAACCACCCCTCCGAATTCCTACCTACGCACAACATCCATTCTTTCCCGTAGGCAGATTCTTCAAGCTTATATAAGCTAAATAATGCATGTAAAATCTTTTTCTTTTTCATTTACACTATGTTACACTATTTTACACCAAACATTATGGCAAATAATCATTTAGAACATAATATCAACACCCTTCTCTATAATATTTCTACAGAAATCACACCAGACTCTCCTTTATCAGTTTATGAGGACTGTATTGATGGAAGAGTCTGGGATAGTGATCATAAGGATTATATACAGAGTATAGAGAGTCCATACGAAGCTACATTTACACAAGATGATCTTCCATTGGGGGTTCAAAGGGGGTTCAGCTCGGAAAATAAACCCCTATTTCAGGTATAGTGGCTTGGCAGAATAGTGAAAAGATGCATGAAATTAGTAAGATATATAGCACAAATCGTGTCTACGGGAAAGAATGGATGTTGTGCGTAGGCAGGAATCCGGAAGAAAGGTTTTGCCGATTCCGTGCCTACGAACAACTGTAACCCGGGTTGAAGCACGGAGTTACAATTTGATCAACTTACCTTCATATATGGATGATCAGACATTCGGACTCTGGTCCTAAGGATGCTTTAGCCTTGGGTTGACCTAGTTATACAATTGCTCTAGGCTCTTCTAAAAGTGGACACGTGTCATCTAATTGTAAATGTTTATATAGTATCTGTCAGTGGCCCATGGTAAATGTAGTAAATATATATATATGCGTAGACAATCCTACGGAAACCTCCAACAGGGTGAAATTCGTCTACTCACCAAGAAAACAGGTCACGACTACAGTCAAGCACCGAGGACAGATATGAACATGAGATCCGCGCCAATTCTTTAGTCCTCTATGAAGATACCTAAATCTATTCTATGAACGTGATCTACGAACGGCGCAGGTTACGGGTACCCACCGGACCCGCCAAGAGCCCATGGATCGGTATGTTATAGGATTACAATGGTCTTACTTGGAATCTCCCCGTTCACCCCTTGCGAACGGTATATATTACAGTTGCTCAAAACGCGTGGCGGATACGCGTTGGTCACCCACTGCACGATCTCCCTCTCACAACCACAAAGTTCCCGAGACCTACGCATAAGAAAATCCAAGCATCGATGCAGGTCTTCTGTGACGGATCAATAACATCGCTGTAGCTCGCATGTGAAGAGCCAGCACCCTGGAACCTCGACCGACGATTGCGAGATGCGTCACGCATTTGCTAACAAACATTCACGATAGATGTACGGAATTACCGCGGCGAAGGAGCCCTTGAAGGACATCCTCCACCCGATCGGTGATGATTGCTAGCCCTTCGGCAACTCGCCACATCCCGCATTCGCGCGAGCGCAAAACCATTAATCACAAAGGTCGATGTCAATACCACTTCTCTTGATAATATTCAGCCCATACCCAGGCTAGACTACAGATATGCGTGGAGTCTGCAAGTGGTCTGCATAGGACTGGATCTAGGACATCCAAAGAACGAAATTACCATCCTGTGGGAGAGGTCTTCATGAAGACAGACACAATCCGATCGGCTTACCTACCAACACCTTCCTTGGCCACCTTGGGCAAATACGCTCAAGCTAAAGCCCCCCGTGACGCAAAAACTGTTTTCCCGGACTTCGCCAATTGTCCGCACCCTTTCATGATTTCAATGAGACTACCCTTTTTGGTCCGCTGTGTCGTCCCTTCTTGCTTCTCCGTGCGCTAGGTCATTCCACGCTCCAAAACTAATTGAGAGACCAAGACCTCAATCACATCCGTCCTTGGGCTATCCTCTGCCTAATGAAAATTTCATGGTTTTGATTCTTGTTTCCCAACACACGATTCTGGGACCTGTCCATTTGCGATACTCCAGTCGAATCGTTCGCATGCATGGGTGTTGGCCTTAGAGGGGTTGCCATTCGAACAGGTGGCACACTACCACGCGGAGAATCCGTAGACGGCAAGTCTTTCACATGCATAGGGCTTTGCGGTGGATCGTTCTTCGTGCCTGTATCACTTACCCATCTGGCTACTGGCTCCAAGTCAAGATCGACTAGTTTTAGGTCGTCGTTGATCTTTGGCGCAGCGGCTTCCTTTACGCCTTCGCGAATGGAGGAGTTCGAACATACTGGAAGGAGTTAGCAAAAAAATATTCCAGAAGACTCGACAAGGGTCACAGAATTCGCCGGCCCGTGTACATGTATTGGTATGTCAGATGGTGTTGTTCTGCGCCCTACAACTTACCTCCAATAATCATTCTCCCGCATTGACTATCGATGAATCTCTCGACTTGTTCCTTTGGATCAAATTCTCCAAAGCAGGATTGGATGCGTCTGGAATCCGGAAATTGGTTGTGCGCTTCTGGAGGGGCGTCTGGGCAACATATTCTCAGTTGCAATATCTGCCCTGGTCAGTACGGCGGAATGGTAGAGAGAGACAAGAGGGAGTAAAAGCTTACTTCGAAGCCCCCGAGATCACCCAATTGGTGGTGCAAGTGTGTCTTTGGGCCATCTGTGCCTACCGGGGCTTGGACGCCCAAGCCATCGCCGCGTCGTCGATCTAGTACGAACAGCTGCTGGACGCCATGCCACACCCATATTTTATAGTCAGATCGCTTACAATATTCGATTTCGTGCCTTTGGGCTTTCATGTCAGGCCTATCGCTCTCTGCCATGTCGGACTTGTGCAGAAGCTCGAGCTCGACGATGCTATCCCACTCGACATTCCACAACACCTCTAATTTTCGCACTATGTTCCTCCTTCGACGACTGCCGTGTACTAGGTGTTGAAGGAGTGGCAAAATGCGCATGAGCCCGATATCCTCGACTACGAACAACACCGTTCCGTATTGTCCGAAATCTAGCGGATGTCCAAAAGGACCGAACACGTGAATAGGGAAGTCAGTCCTGGACCTCGAGGAGTCGCGGACAAGCCTCTCGGTGAGGCCCGATCGATGTCGGACAAGAATATGCAATCTGCGGACCTCGGAGGGCTCATCACGCCTTTGGCCTCGACAGTCCTCCCAATGCGCTACGTAGAAGAGCGGCAGGTGGAGGATAGAACGGTACCCCGAACGCGGCATCCACAATTGTACATGTTGGCCTGCTTGAATTTGCCAGCTGCTGGGTACCGCAATTTGGAGCCAAAGAAGTCGATTCGAAGCTATGATTTGGGCCGAAACTGCCGTCCTTCGCCATTTGCGATGGTTGATCATCTGCAGGGTCCACATAGCTAAACATAACGTTACCCACATGGCAAGACCACCACTCAGAACCCAGAAGTACATGGTCTGGCTGTGACGTAAATGGATCATCAGAACAGTGATCCCGGCGATGACTAGAACATAATGGATCTTGAGCATAAGCTGGGGGTGGTGTCGACGGATTGTGGTGAGTGTTGTCGGGAACACTGCGACGAAGCCGATCGCAGCCTGGGTAACATCAGTATGGATTTCATTGTCAAAGGAAGCCGAGTCATTACCATAAGTGCCATCAACGTTGGGCCAGCGATTGGTCTCGGGACTGGGGTGGATGAGCCATGGAACTTGATTATCATTGTGCCATGAAGCAAGCAATGAATTATGCATAGTCTGCCTGACCATCGGTGTAGCCATGCCACTACCTCTCGGTCGACGTGAAGTAAATGAGAGACAGCACTAAACGTTGGGCCAGCGCAAAGAGGCAAGAGGTGAATGACGGCCAGAGACCCGGCTCTTCGTTGTGTATCGGCGAAGGATGGAGTTGCGAGACAAAGAGAGACAGCGTTAGCTGCTAGACAGATTGCTAAAACAAGCAGTTGCCCGTAGGAGCCTAGATCAAGTGATTGCATCGAGGTCGGGACCGGAGAATGCCACACCCGCCTCCAAGGAACCGTTCGTCGTAATTTGAAAAACCAAATCCCACCAATACAACAGCAACGGTAGAACAAGGATGCCACAAGCAGAGACGCCATGCAGAGACCGTATTTGCTGGGGAGAGAGGCATCCCACCATAGTTCATTGAATTGGAATGCCATGAGGGCTGCTCCGTCTACCCTACATCACGGGTGCTGAGAGGATATCCCGGGCACGCTGGGGCTTATATTGACACCAAAATGTAGCTCATAAACCATCAAAACGGTCGATTGCTATACAGTCAAATTTGTGCTGGGGATGTGTTGATCATCGAGTAGGACAAAGGTATAGCGAATCCGGTGTTGGGTGTCAAATCAATCCACTTCAACATCTGTTCAAATGCTGCATCACGATGATTCGCTGTTCAGGGAAAGCAACGAAGGCCCCACTTGATTTGAAACCGAAGTTCCGGAAAATGGGCAAAATGAGAGGGCAAGATCAAAGAGGGAAATGGACAGACTGTGGATGAGAAATTGCTTTACTTGCTTCCCGGCGCAATTCTTGCCAGATAGGAAGCCGAAAAAGTGCTGTACGCTCAGTCATTGGGATGATAACACACAAATAGACACAAATACTCATAAAAGGGGCGAGATATGTAATTAACCCCACTGTTATCATCACTGCGGTGGAACCCTGTTCATAATGTGCGTAAACGGCATCTGTGCCGCTTGAAGTATGATTGGTACCGTAACCCCTACACTTGGGTTTTACGGAGCTGCGCATTTATGAATGAGCATGTGAAGGCTATTTGATTGCATCATCTTCCTGAAAATCCTTCCCCAATCCCACCATGTCATCCGGAATAACACATCAGACTGCGGCAAATGACTGTACTTCTAGTGTGTACAGCCGGTCGCTTGGATCTCTTAGACCATCAATGAATGAGGAGACACAAGTCGCTCTTGTACAAGAAGGCCCGGAGATCAACCCGCTGGACCACCAGATTGCAATGTCACGAGGGTCAACCATAGCTCTGGAGACCTTGCCGTCGCGGTTGCAGCGATCAAAACGGGAACACGAGCTGTCACCCAGCCAGCTACGAAACGACAAGCTTCGTCAGTGGGAGCAGCAGCAACACGAAAATGAATTCTACGCACTTTGTCGCAGCAATTTCCTCGAGATCTCGCAGGCGGTGGTGGGGCTGTCCCAGGAGATCACTTTACAATATCACTTTGAGCCGGAGATGGATCCGGTTGGAGATATAAGACTCCTACGTGCGATCGAATCTCTTCGCGCCGCTCTAGAGAACTCACGAAATAAGGAAGCCCAAGCGGAACACGCTTGGAGGCGTTACTGGAATCTTTCACGCGTCTGGAGCTCTTCGGGTCCTTGGATTTAATGTTGTCACTGCTTTTTAACAGTGTCAAAGCGACTCTAGCTTGAGCCAGGGCTATACTTGACACTTCTTGCGAAGCTGCGAATACTAGATAGTCACATGTATCATTTTACAGATCTCCCCATCTCAGATTTATTGGTTCCTTCCGATCATGCTACAGCACTGGGCGTCGGAGATGCCGCCGGGCACAGATTTAGCTTCACCTCGTTCTATTCAACGGTACTATAGTATCAACCATAGCTAAGAGAGGGGAAAATCGCTCACCGCCATAAATCAACCACACAAATCTACTAGGTGCTTGTAATTCACTTTACAGTAATGATTCTCTTTCTCAAAGCCGTCTTTTCTTGTACTCGGCGGGAGGCTCAACAATCTCGATGCGCCTTTTGGACCCTCGCGAACAGAAGCATTTTCTTTCTGGTGGCCAAGTGCCACTCAAATGATCCACACGACCAAAGTAGTTTCCCGCATGCTGCTGACGAAGAAGACGCTTTACAGAGGTGGGGAACCCCCCGATCTTCTGCTGAAATGAAGAATTGACAACTTCAAGGGTGAAGACCTCATCTAGACTTTTGACCGTGAACGAGATGACCTTGCGATAATAATTGCACATACTGCATATATGAGACTCTTCAATCGATCCTAGTGAGCACTTTCCCTGCATTCGAATTTCAGCATGGGGTACCTCTGCGCACACCCTCTCCACCGCTTTTCTGGGCTGTGGGCTTGCACAGAGAACTGATCCCCGGCAGTGAATTGACCCTTCTTCTGCTTTCGGATTCTCATCCAGCTCGAAAAAGAACAAACCAGTCACCAGGATTGCGCGAACAAGGGTATCCGGCACCTCGAACGACGATCTCCCCAGCTCGATTAATTTGCCCACGTCGTCCAGTCGTGGTAGAGGTCCGGACAGCGGAAGGTTTAGCCGATAGATGTTGGATCTCATATGATCCGGGACATAGTTGAGTGCCTCAAGATATGCCTGCTCGCCATCCATTGCTGGGGATGACATCATCGCACGGATCATACGGCTAATAGCTCCATCCTTCAAGATACCACGGATCAAGGGGTTTCCGTCACTGCCTTCAGGCCTAGTATATCCGGTCCCCACCGAGACTAGTAAATCATGTCGCGTCTTCGTGGGCCAAATGACGACAGCCTCTCCTAAGGCAATGGAGAGCGGATTGTTTGCCCGCACACCTCCATCTTGCAGTGGACCGAAGCCTGGAAGATTTTTGGTCTGAAAAAACCTAGCGATACAATTGTCAGCTTGTTCCTGCGACGATATGCTCTGACGCCTTACCATGGGGCAGCAACACTACACCTCGCTCTAAATATCAATCATCAGCCTCACAATGATTCCATTCAAAACGGTCGATAAGAAACGTCACTTACACTTTCCACAAAGGTGGATTCTCTTCCCAGCTTTGAGGGCTGAGAAATTCGTAGGAAGATTCGTTGCCGGGATGTCGACCAGTACCTTGGTAGTTTGCAAGAACACAAGCTTTGCCATCCGATATCCGGCTGGTGATGATTGCCACCCGACTTCCACCACCATGGGTTGTGCTGCCGTCAAAAATGCGGCGATCAGACCCGATAGCATCTTTAAGCGTGTGCTCCAAAACTTCCTCATCATACCTACCGTCCAAAATAAGGTCTTTCAATATCGAAACCCACGCCAGACATTTCATAGTCCGGAACGGGCTTGAAGGGAGATTGAAGACTTTTTGCGCGAGACTTGGAAACCGCTCAAAGGTTTTTGTGGCCGAGTATTTGTTGAGAATCAGATCAATGGTGTTGAGCGCACCTGAAAATTATTAGTACGGAAGACTATCGAGTTGTATAGAATCTCCTTTGATAAACTCCACCCACCCACGCTCGTGCCTGTACACAAGTCGAATATGGACCAAATGGGAATGCTCCCGCCGAGTCGCTTTTCCAGGACCCGAAGTAGGCCGAGTTGCAGAATACCACGAATTCCACCTCCATCGAGACTAAGCAGATTTGGGCCTTTGGTTGGTGGTAATAGGCGCACGGAGAATTGGAACCTCGTGATACACATCGGACACTGCGTGATGTTATGGTGGTACTCAGCGGCTGCGCTCTTTGAGCCAAATATCACAATGCAATCATCGCAAATGGCGTGGCGGCAGGGTAGCACGTGCTCTGGAACTTTGCTCATACAAAACAAGCATGCTGTGAGTGAATAAAGACCTTCTCGTTCGTTGAAGAACCTATTTAAGACCTCCCGTCGAATCCCCGCTGATGACCGTGCCGGGTTCATCATGGTGAACAGTCTGGTGAATTCAGCCTTGACTGCATCGCAACAGCTGTCTGTTTCAAGGTCTGCTCGCTTCTCCAGGGCAGCTGTGAAATCGTCTTTGTATAATTCTTCGAAAACATAAAGCGGATCAAAACCTGAACCCGTCAGTTCATCCTGCACGAGGTCGTCAAAAAGCTCCGCTCGTGCGCTTCCAGGCCCCGCCTCACATGTTCAGGGGGGTCACTTACGATGCATGTCAGGTGGATATGCATTCATCAAAAAAGCCGAAGCAATGAACTCGTAGATCTTCCTTACATCATGCTGGCCCGCAAGAGCTACTTTCAGAAATTCAGCCAGATAGGGGGCTTTGCTCGACTCTTTTGGGAACCCTTCCCGTGCAATATGGAGGCAGTTCAACGGGCCTATTTCGAGCTTTTCAAGTTTCGACTGAAGGCTTTTTTTCCACAAAAAGCACATATGCGTAGCTGACAATGACAAACCATGCTCACTTTGCTCTGCCCGAATCGTTTGGAGCTTGTCGAGCAGTAGATTTCTTAGTGGTTCGTATCTTGCTTCTGGCGACAGTTCACTTCGATCTTGTAGGTTGAGATAGGTATAAGCTGGATCTTGGTGGCTCGACATGACATCACCCAAGAAGTCATAATTTCGAGGAGAGGTGAAGATGAATATGACTCGCATGAACTGGGAAATAGAGTGAGAGCCCACTTGTATTCTGCGAAAAGGCTGACTAAGAAGCTTGAAGCACTCTTGCATTTCTGTATGGCTATCTATGAACAGACAAAGAATATGGGCCCATGGCAAGATGATCTGGGACATCACATCGCGGTACACATTTAATTTCGAGCAGTCCGCTGGAAGTGGGTATCGCTCAACATTGGGATTTGAGTGCCAATACGATGTTGTGCCAGAAGGGTCCGTGCTACCACCCATGCGGCTCTCTGCGAACAAGACCGGATACTGTGTACTGGCAGTCTCGGTGCTGACGTGCAGCCGCGCAAAGGATGCCGGACCTTTGCGCGTCACATTGTTGCGAGGGAATAAGGCTCGAAGCGCTTTGACTCGATTGTTGTTTCCAGCAAAATGAATCAGGACTGGGAATTGAGTCTTGGGATGGCTCATCGACTGTAGCAACGTCTCTAGCCTGCCCGTGTCCACCAAGGTCCAGCCTGATGGGCCGTCAACGATATCAAGCCAAGAAGCCATCCGGAGGGTGAAGAGTATTGATCACTTGAGATGGTACTTGGGACGAAGCTTTATATTGGAGGTGTATCGTATTTAGGAGCTTTCATATGTCTATCTTAAGCATCCATCATAAAAATTGCCGTCAAGATGACGACTATAGAGTATTTCTTGACCCGCACTTCCTGTCACTGGGGCTACTCAGCTTTGAGAACTCTGGTAGGCATCATTTACTACAATCCAAACGAATATAGCTTGAAAGAGCTTCGTAACTCACCTTCCTTTCATTTCACTAGTCTAAAGACTGGAATAACGAATTATTTCTTCGGGAAAGGAATCCTCGAAACAAAACGACTTGGTTCTCATACACACAGGATATGCCAGTGGTGGAAAGATGATGAGTCAAGTTTGCCAGATGAGGGGGATACCTTTCTTGTTTGGTAGAAGCTAGGAGAAAAAAACATTTTAGTAGGTGTCATTAATGTACGTGACTGATGGTCAAAGTAGGGTAGGATAAATGAGGATTCAGGATGCGCTAGCATCGTTTCTAGAGGCCCCGTTTGGAACATGTCGAACAGGGTCCGCCCATTTTGATCTTACCGGTGAATGTGTGTGCACACTCATATTATTTGATTTTGATTTCTTCTGCAGCTTAACTTTTACCTTCATTTTTGGAATTGGACTCACCAAAGCTGCCATTAGATTATACCGCAGTAGCAGGGCCAAAAGGATAATTTGTACCGAGCAATGGGAGACGTGTAGCTCGGAGCGCGATGATTTTGGAGTGGAGAAAAATTGACCGGGGCTTGCAAGATACAAAATGCACTACACGCGTGGAATAATTACTATCTGGAGTATGATAGCTCGGCTAGAATATGCCGTCGCTTGGAAAAGGATAGCTTGCGGGCAACGGAAACCGCTCTGAATCAATGCTTGGAATGCAGGCCTATAACACACTATAGTAGTCTTACGAGATTGAAGATTTTGCAAAAATTAGAGCACTGGCTAAATAGGCTCCTAGAGCTAGTGATGGCTATGGGTTCCTTTTTGCGGGCTGTATAACACGATTTGTTCATTTCAATATTCAACGTCACGATAGCGCCGGAACCAACGCAACTCGATCCCCACATGGCCCTTCTACCCTTTTATGCGGTACAGTACTGATACCAAGCTGAGGGGCTAAATAGAGGCCACTGAAATAATATCAAGGTGACATGGAAATTGTACAGTATCAAGTCGAGAAAAGCAATATTAGGCCGTTTAGGCCGCGAAACACGGATAAAATTCTAGCACTGCCACTGACACCAAATAGCAATATTTCACGCTTCTTCGCCACAAATTTAGAGTATGACTTTGGAGATTTCACTGATGATTGTTCCTGAGCATTTTCAAATGTTGTTGAGGTATTTCCGAACATCTCTTCCTATTTGCCCGTCGTGTGCCGGATTTATTGAGTAGCCTTAAGAAGTTGCCGCGACAGATGCACCGCACTGAACATCAAAAGAGCATGCATCGAGTATAGGCTAGGCTGCCAACCACTGAAAAGACCTATTCGCTCCAGTGGTCTCCCAAAATATTGCGCTACCCCGACAAGATTGTAAGCCACTAGGCGAATGACCTCCGACACTAACGGAGAAGTATCTTGAACCGGATCTGTCAAAGCTTGAATCACAGGCACCATTCCAATCAAACCTAGAGCAATACAGTGATACGGAAACCTGTTCGTAGCCCTTGCGAAATCTGCAGTTTCCACTAGCAGGTCGACCAGATGCGCCGCAAAAACCACAACCAGGGTGCAGGTATAGCCCAGCTGAAGAGTAGAGTGATCCGGGAACTGGAGTATGATAAAGGAAAGGCTTGTCGCGAATTCGAAGAATAAAATACTTCCGAACTCAAGCTTCTGCAAAAATTGAGCTCTCGCGTCTTTGAAAACAACCATCGTCCGGTGGGCGAGGCTCAAGAAGCACCAAGAGACGACACTGGCCCCGAAAAGAAGCGTAGCGATTGAGTGAAGAATCTCTTCTGTCGATGTAGGAAAGTTAAATATAAGGCATTGGATGGTGAAGATAGAGAAGTAAGTTATCCCAAAGATGTCAATGATAGCAATCACTGCGGAGTCGCGCAGAGAAGATTTGATGTTTTCTGCCATGGACAATAGGGTAGAAGAACTGCAAAGCTTGAAAGTTCTATCAGCTTGTGCGCGAGAAGAATTTATATCTTCCTCCTCATGGAAGGAGGGCAATTTTACTCATGACAATCGTTGGTGCTGACTGAGATTTGCGTTGAGAGCCGGGTAAATCTACGGTCAGAATGCGAGCAAAATAAATTTGACTATATTCACACAAAATCCATTGAGAAAAAAAAAAAGTTCAGAGTAGTCTTTACAATACTTAGTCGTACGGAACTTTTTATAAACGGACAAAAGTCTGAGTTTATCCAGGCTCTTCACCATCCCGCAAGAACTGCCGAATTCGGGATACACTCTGTTACTTTGAGCCACCTTGAAAGAATCACTTACTTGCGCGAGCAAATATAGTTCACGTGGGCGTTGAAATTAAACAGTGTGTTTTGCGACTGCCATCTCACGGGGCGCTTTGGGCTCCAACCATGAAAAGCTTACGACAGACGTGCATTGACGCCATGCAACGTAGAGACAGCAGAAGATTTAAAATAGGCGATGAATTGACGGAACTAGAATATGTACCTAGTATATTGAAAGCTCACCTCGATCCAGTGGCATCTTTGGCAATTGACCCACCCAGTCTGAGAGAAGGCCAAATCTTGATGGTAGTGAGCACGCACAAATTGACAGGCCTTCATTTGCTTTCTGATTTTTGCAGTCCTCAATCTTGTACAACATGCCTCGGGGCTTCAGAGGTTCCCAAATAGAACCAAAACCTATCCATATTCAATAACGAATAAAATGGGCCACGTACAGTAGTGAGAGGTGTGCAGGTCGAAATCCCTAACTTGGCTAAGAAATGAAGACACATATGTTTTGAGGCAATTTTTATAGTCACTCCTGGGGCTTGATGGGAAAGTCGCCCTTTGATAGTGGCCCTTCCACTTATTATGACTTAGCGTACCAGGGACGTCACCAAGATTCCACATTGATAAAATCTCTGGGATTCATGTAATTCGAGTATGGAGACCAACAGATCGTTTAAAGTAGAATTTCTCATTGTATATAAAGCGCATCAATTGAAGCGTACCATCGCCAGTATTTCAAATTACCAAGAACAAATCTCAGACGATGTGGGAAAACGGGGATGTACATTTGCTCATTCGCCCAATGACCATTCGCTGTAATGGCATCCTTGTCTTCGAAAGGAAATTAATTGGCAACTTCACCCATATTACTGTAGTCGCGGACTTTTCGTCAGGTCTTTGAATCACATCTATCCAGTAGCCATATTGTGGATCATTCTGCAGAAGAGCCTAATCAGCAGCTTCCTGAAAGTCCACAAGTCGCGATTTGACCTCGCAAACGTTCCCCCTCTAATATGTCTGCCCATACCAAGGGCGTCTATCAGCGCGAGACCATAGCTGTCATAATGAGAGCTTTGCTGCGTTGAAGCTAGCAAGACATGCTACACCGGAAAGCAAGACTGCGAACCAGGCAGCCACGATTAAACTTCCAATCGTAGCATTGCCACCCACTTTTTCAATGGCCCTTTGGATAAGACAGTAAATGATGGTAGTGCTCGCTGCTCCGGCAATTGTAAAGATCCAGGTAATCTGCTTTAGTTAGCAAATGTTCAATACCTCTCTTGTGTGAGGACCCACTGTAGAGATGGCAAGATTCGTAAGAGTTCCCCAGTGTCGTATCTTGGCCATGGACCCGCGCTTTCTCCGTTCAAGGATTGTCCACAATAGGGTAGCAAAGACCCCTAGAATAGAAGTGGTGATACTTGTTAGATAAGCGGAAATGGCAAAGTGTGAAGCTTTTTCATATCCAGCAAGTGCTTTGTCGAAGCGACTTGGAATATGTAGAAGCTGCTTGAAACTTCTGGACCTGGCCTGTAATATGCTCAATATGTCGAATGAGAACATGTTGCTCGGTTGAGAGCATTTCAAATAATCCGTATTGTCTTTTTTCCCTTCACAATAACTTCTTAGGCCGACACTGTAATATGGGGGCAGCTGAGAGATCAGGTTGATGACAGAGTCCTGCAGATGACTAGATATTTGCCCTGTGCCGGCTTGGATACCTTCCGAAATTCGAGTCGCACCAGAACTAGCAGCCTTTTCGTCATTTTTTGCCACCTCTGCTTCTGCCTCTTCTCCCAAGTGGGGATTGTCGGAGCCGGGGATTGATATGGACCGCGGTATTGAGTTATCGAGAGTGTGTGGAAGGGTTGATAATGCGACCTGTTCTCCCTTTAGTGAAATAATTCCCAAGATTGGTATAAATATATTTAGTTACAGTACCTTCAAAAAGAAGAAGCTTGATGGTGAGTCAATAGACGTACATCCACTGAATATAATGCACAAAGGTATGAGAGAGAACGTAAGTGATACTGCCGTTACGATCCTCCAGACGCTCACGCGGCTCAACATCCTATGTTCAGGTGTTAGGATGGCCTCTTTAGCCTACAAAGGAAACGGGCTTCTAGAGATTTTCATATCTCTTTTATAGAAATACAAGGCCGCTAGGTTTGAGTTTTGCCATCTAAGCCTTGAAATGATTGAGACATGTCTACTGGGTCACTGCTTTTCTTTCGGGACGTACGTTAGAAGCTGGGTAGATGGGAAGCGACATCATTGAAACCAACAGCTCAATAAATTGTCGAGTCGTGGGAAGGGGAGAAAATCACACAGTATACTTCTGAGCACCTTAGGGATTTCTGTGTCTAATGAAGTCACAAAAAGGGGTTCTATATCAATTGTCATTTTTGACGGAATTGATAAATGATATATCATTGTGTTCGCAAGTTTGCGCGGTATTAGACAATAACAAAAAGAGCTGAAAGGTCTTCCCTGTGCCCCGGTCTACTTTTTTTACAGGAAACTGCAGTCAATCGGTCTGCAACCTTGATCTCACTTCCACCTTCATCATCATGTCGCTTTGGTCTACTTTCATAATCATTTGCATGAGGCGACATAATGGAACCAACAGAAGGTGATTGCGGCTACGCTTGGCTAACGACCCATGGCTTTTCTTATTGTGGTGGATTTGAATGTTACTGTATGCCAAGTTGCTAACTACAAATAGTTGCGGGTCAATCTTAGTTTCTGCGATAGCAGTATATGACCCTTGTGAGACCAAGCATTGAATAGTTTAAAGACGTAAACGAAAGTATACGTCAATTGAATATATTCTATTACATAGCTTACGTGCCATTCTGAGAAGGTCTTGTATTGGGGAGAGCAATATTCGACTTGTTTTCTTTTCCCAATGTCTTCTATATGAAGACCGATAATTTTTGGGTAATGAGTCTGAATAAGTAGAAAAATGCGGTCAAGGCTCTCTTCATCACATTAAAAAGGCCGGCATTAAAAATGCACTAACAGCGAGGAAGAAAATTGCATTGCAATATATGTGAGTGAAGGGGCTTTCTGCAGTCCTGATTCTTACTTTATATCCATTATAAGTTTGTTAGTTCACTTCAAAGTGGAACACAGTCTAGTTTTCTCCAGCGATTACAGAAAAGCATCCTGAAAAGAAGTTCTGAACGGTCTCAACAAACAAGGCACTCGATTGAAGACATGGAAGCAGAATCAAAAAATGATATGCTGGCGCTTACTGATATTGTGCGCGATATTGGCCGCCAGCAGGGGGAAAACGTATATTACCGGACCTGCTACCGTCTCCTCAAATATCTACAGGACTCAGTGGTTCGGGCTGTGGAAGACTTGGAACGCATCACCGCCCCACCTCTAAGCTGCCCTGAAGACTTTGTTGCCGCCCAGGAGGTAGCCAGCAGCCTCCGAAAACTAGCACAAAGCCTCATATTGCAAGAGCAGGCAGCACTCTCAGCATTGGCTGATCTGTATTCTACCCACGAGTCTCATCCATGACAATCCTGTTTTATGTTCTCCCGAAAGAGATAAGTGGGTTGACCATAATGACAACGTCATGGGCTCGACAAGTAGTACGAGCCAAATATACCGGAGGAAATTTAGGGATCAAACTCAGGCTGTCAATAACAATTGAAAAGTTTTGCTACGACAAGACTAACGAGAGAAATATGATACATATGTCCATTTAATACTTGGCTCTTACCAAGAACGGCTGTGTCAGAACAAGACTTTTGCATTTCCATGGATGCCAGGCCTAGCGAACATTGTAGAGCCTGTAACTAACGTTCTGTAAAAGCACCAAAGCAAGAATAGCAAATTGTATCACGAATCATTTCACGAGTAAAGCCCTTCAATTCCTACCTGCTGCTACATTTCCCACCCATCAGCGGCAATCCTTAAATGGTAAGGAGCATCGACCCGCGAATCATTCTTGATCATCCCAACCAAAAAGCCAAACGTGTAGAAGTCCTGAAAGCGGCAATGTTGCGAGAGAGTTTCAGACGGATGTATGAGGTTTTCACATTTCGTAACGATGGGGGTATTGTTCTAGCTTGCGTGAGTGCAAAGAAAAGGTATCAAAGGGCATCCAAGATCTTAGTTACTCACATCATTGCAGAGAAAAATGCCCGAAGATTGTTGAAAAGCAACCCGTGTGCAGGTATGTGGGGCCGCAATACAGCTGGTATTTTTCTCGTCTTTGAGATGGGAAATATTTGCATCAGTGGCGTTAACGTAAGCAATTCCCGTGGTCCAGTCACATTGTATGTTAGTCGATGACTATAGTATTAGTTCGTTCTTCAGGCTTTGCGGATGGGTGGGATAAAAAAAAGGGCTTACGGGCTCGCGACTGTTCAGCATGCTCTTTGATGAACCCTCAGGGTATGAGAAAACAGGGGAGTCGATGATCTGCACGGCTCAGTGCCAACGGAGTTAAGATAGAGATATTGATCACACCTTAGAATATTCACCTTTTCATTTTCATGTCCATGAAGAGATTTGGCGTTCTTGTAATATCAGCTATCCAATACTGTAGGAGGCTTCGTGTTTCACCCCGAACCAGGGTTAAACTCTTGAAAAGTCTACCTACCGTGAGAAGTAGCAGAGAACATGTCAAGGCAAGAACACGTTGAGCATGCATCATAGCCTCGAGCACTTGTTTGAGCAATGCACAGAAGTACAGTAGAGTATATATACATTCAAAGCCTATAGAAGAGATAAATTTGTAGAGGAATCATACATAGCAGCACTGTTATTGCTTCGAAAATAATACTGTGCAATTCAATCAGAGATTCAACAGCCAAACATGTGAGCCGAAAGATAGGGTGGCAAATTGATTGAGTCAAAAAATGGTCTTTTGCACAAATCTCATGAAAACGGCGGTGTCCAAATCAAAAGACCTGCATAATCCTGCATTACAAACCAGATGGATAAATAACCTCCACGGGACTGCGAACGGAAGCTGAGGTAATGCTAAGCTATGCGGTACAAAAAGCTTTTCACCAACGTTCACTTTATCTTAGTCCGGCAAAGTTTTTGATCTCTGCAGTTGAGACACTGGGCTTATAAAAAGACAAATTGTGCCTTTCTGGACTCGCAATAAGAACTCCGCCATCATCGTCGCAGACTTCACCGTGAAATCCCACGGGAGATTGAAGAATATCACAAATTATAATACGACATGATCCGGTCTGGGTTGATCTTTTCAGCGCTAATCGCTTTGGCCCATGGGACATTTGACACGAGGGCTATCGCTTTCAACACTTGTGACTTGCTCGACCAATGGGCACAGATATCTCCTTTGGATGGTTCGGTAAATTACATCCAAAACAATCAGACCCGCACCACATCACTCCTTCCAGACTGTGCAAATATTCTCGAAAAGGCAGCTGTGCTTTGTGAGTACAATAATTGCTCTTGTACGTTAAGAGGTCACTAATTTGAATAGGTTTGAGTGACTCAGAGACTTGCACTCAATTCTCTCTTTCATGGGCCCTTTCTCCTTCATCTTCTAAACATGTAGGCAGCAAAAACGACGAAAAGAAGCTGAGAAGAAACGCGGATGTAGAACACTGTTCTTGTGAGCATGGGAAAGCTCCATCTACTGCTCGCTCTGTTACGGTGCCAATGGTGACCACGACACAGACCCTTTCAATCTCGACATCAATTGCAGGAATGGTAACCGCAAGTCTTGAAGAGATACCAACGGGGAATGAAGAAAGATGTAGCTCCCAAGGATTGATCCCAGCATCTACGGCTTATCAGTCACTTGGTCATATTACTAAAACTGAAAAACTCTCCCCTGGATCTGATCGTGCATGCATCATCAAGCTGCTTGACTTCAATTCCACCCCGCGTGGAAAATGTTACTGTTCCGATAATACGACCATTGATTACGTCAACGGAGAGTGTGAAGTCTACTCGTGATAGGGCCTCTCTGAGTGCGGAAGGATCTTACTTAGAACCATGGCTGAGGAGGGCGATGTTTCACCATGAAGAGCATAGCATGTATAGAGAACTTTCATTCTAAAAAAAGAAAAAAAAGAAGGAGAAAAATAAAAACGCTCTACGAGTTGAAGCCAGCTCCCATTGAGATGGCGTTTGAGCTAGAATAAAGCGGCCTCACCGGCAGATTCATTTGTGTGACTCGTGATGGTACTGTACTTTCTCATCTAGTCTGGGCGTCGATTCATTCGATGCAAGTGATTGAAATCAAATTGACGTGTGGAATATGAAAGTTGTGTTTTTCAGGTGATCTGATGAAAAAGCAGTATCGATGACTACTGCGACCGTATGTGCTGCTCTAATAAGGCTTTTTACGTAGGCCTTCTGGGCGGGTGAGTATACTCGCATTCGCTTCTGCTACAACCGTTGAACTTTTGAAAACTCACTCGACGCTTTCAGAGTAGGTTTACTATGTATCATGTCTCATGTCAACTTGTATATACTGTACTGTTTGATGTTAAGTGATGTGCTTATATTGTATTTTCAAAGAGTGACGATGCCAGATGTCGGCGAGAATAAATCCGTTGGTGTAGTCGTCAGCTTCAGACTATCTCCCCAAGCGTTCGAGTTTTTGAGCAAAGCATTTTCGTTCGGAGGAACCCCCACGTCCAAGCTAATCGAGTTCTTTGAAACAAGCAAAGTGCGCGGGTAAAATCGACCTGTTTTTACGTGGCTACAAAGCTACTCCTTTATGCATAAGCGTCGAACAATAAGTAGCCAACAAGATGATTAAAAGATGACGATGATAATGCAATTGTATGTAGAAAAGCTCCTGCATAATGGTTGGCCCATGATTATGTCTTTGCGCGCCTTCGAATTCTATTGCTGAATGTATTGATGAAGGATATTCCATATATCACTGCGGCGCCCCGTCACGGAAGAAACTGGTGATTTCGGGATCATCGGTTGCTTTGTGGTAGATGAACCGTAGTCTCCCGGTGTTTTATGAATAGCTGATTTTGAACGCTAGATCTCATTCAGTGAGATCCGTTTGTTTTATCATTCTTGAGCTCTTACCATATCAGCTTCAGTCGGAGCGGGAACTTCGGGATGAGAATGATAGGTGTAAATCCGCCCATTTGGCATCTCCATAATCAACCAGCTCCGGATCGAATAAAGACGCCAAAAATCATTGTGGCGCCGAAGAAGATTGTTTCTGCGTTTTCGCAACTGTTCTTGTTTCACGCGGTGCGATTGTGAAGTCATTCTCAATACCGCTAAGCGAGAAGATGTTACAAAGAAAAGCCCAGGGTACGCATGTACGTCTGTAGTAGTGAGTCCACCTTATAAGTCTATTAAAGGGGCCTGTCATGGAGGGGCTTAAGTTGGATACACTGGAAAGACATCATTCCTGGAAAGATATTAATACGAAGTGGTAGTGATCGTGAGGGTGCAGGCCAAATAAATGCTTCTCGTTCAAGATATTTAACAGACATGGGCCTCATGGTTAAAGCCAAATGTCCCTTCAATTTTACACAGAAGCTGAATCGGGGTTACTAAACTACTAAGTAGGCCATGCTCTTTCCGCTAGCTGTCGTGGAAACAGGGCTGCTTGGCTCTCATTGAAATCGATATCCTCGACACAGATTCTTGAAAATCTTGAACAGGGGATTGGAGAAAATCTAGTTTCCTTTGACAGCAGCTCTCTAGCCACAGAAGTTTGAGGATTCCATTCACCCGGAGTTGACGAGTGGACTGGATCTAGATGAGTTTAATTATGAAACGCGAGGATTAATATTACAGCTTATTTCCCTATAGTTGAACCCGGCATTGGCTTCCATAATCTGAATTCAGAACTTTGAGAACAACGTGCGGGGCTCGATAATCCAGTAAAAGCACAAGGATCCGGGCCACGCCCCATAATTTCTCCTAATGAAGTATAGTCAATTTTATTTTCGGCCTAGTTTTAGTGTCCCAGACAAATTGTCTGTGTAAAAGATGGAAGCCAAGTTCGAATTCTTCTGTACAGTAGAGCAAATCCATAGCGCTAGCTGAATGGAAAATTGGCGAAAAGAGAAGAAACCTTTTCCATATGAAAAATTCGAACAAACCTGAGGCTTTACGGTGTCTTGTTTCTTTGATCATTTGCTGCAACCCTAACAGCGGGAACTGCGAAGAGGACATCCAAATCAGACAGATGCTTCATACAGACGAGTACGAAGTTTGCTCCTACCCCGCATAAATATAAACTGCCTCAGGCCCAGTCTAGGCTAATATCATATTTGACAATGATTCACGGGACAATGGTGTTCCCCGAACTCCCGTCTCTTCCATTGGACAGCCTACATTGTCTTTTTTGAAAGTGTGCAAAGACAAAGATGTTCTTAAGATTAATTGATGGCCTTTACACAGCAGACATGAATAATCGCTCCTCTGATTTGAAGCTTGAAACCTTTTATGAATTGTTGTTTGAGAAACCACTGATACGGAACTTTGGCTTTTAAGAAATGTATGCGGGCCGCGACGTAAACGTGGATATTTGTCCTCCACCCCAAGCCGAGCGCAAAGGCTTTGGCACATGGATTCAGAACTACATACCTCATGAGATAATGAGCACCAGTTTCACAGTCAACCACGCTGATTAGAATGGAAGGTAGTCAAATTTAAAGCACAGGATCACAAGAACAAGAGCCGGAGAACAGACGATCAGATATTCATCAAGTGAGACCGGGCTCGGACAGTTGAATATCTCTATTTTGGGTGGTAGTGGTGCCGAGCTCTCCGATGCTGCCCCCAATGAGATCGAACTAGCAATCTCTGTTAAACATGGATTGTGGAACGAGACACTCGAAATGTACACCACGAACCTCTCTTTTCAGCTGGAAATAATATCTTTTCTTGCGTGTCTTTAACCTCCTAGTTAATGAATGTTAGACATGCCAAGGGAATATTATAGGCCACTGCTGTTGAAGGTCTTACCTTATGTGGGGGCTGAAACGGAGGATGAATAGCGAAGCCCATTAGCTGAAATTGGTTTAGCATAATTCTCCCGTAAACGAATTTGACGAAGCTCACAGTAGTAGTACAGAGTATCATCATCAAAACAAAAATTGACAAAATCATCTTCATCACCAAGGTCTCATCAATTCAAGAAGCAGGGCCCAGCTCAGATTATCGCAACGCTTGGCTGGATCAAAGTAATTGTATATATAAATTGTCTTTTGGGGGTATCCCTTTTATCTGCCGAAGACAGCAAAGATTTAAACTCCCTGGGGTTAAACTTAGCCTGCTGAACGGTCAAATCTGTATTTTGAATACAGATGGCCAGCAAAGAAGGTGACATATGACTATGAGGTGTATCCAACCTTAGAGGCCATTAAAGAGAGGGTTGTCCCGGCGAGAAACCAAAGCGAACCATCCGAAAACTGTAAAGCAGCCTCGCAAAATTCGTGCCGAGGCAAAGGACGATTGGCAATAAATAGACGAGACAGGCGCGCCTTCGAACACCCTTTACGTATGGCAGATTACATTTCTTGTGTCTTCGTATGTCTCTTTCGCAACCAAAGATGTCTGTCAAAATCACGCACGACGACGAATCTTCTTGCAGTGGAATAACCTTAACTTCCCGCGAGTCACCCTTACAAGACACCTCGCTGTCAGAGCTTGACTCGGAGTATGTTCCGTCCGAGACGAGCGAGGACCGACGATTTGTTATTGACGACACCGATAAACTCTCATATTACTCCGATGACGTTTTTGAAGTAGCAGATCTTCTTGATAACGATACACGTATGATGGACTGTATCATTGATGATAGCCCTGAGGTGAGTACAGATCTCTCTAACTAAGCCAAGCTCTGACACATGCTCTAGTCTCTCGAGAGTGGCGAGAAAGTACCTATTAAAACGGTTGCGAAGCGAACGGTGTATCGAAACGGACAAGTGCAGACCCAGTATTTGGTACTTTGGACATCATGGGAGGTGGCTGAAGAGTTGCGAGAGTGGAGTTGAGGCGGGAGATGGCTTTTATATTCCGAAAAGTGTTGGAAGGTACCGCAGAAGAACGAACGATCTTGATTGACCTATACAGCATGACAGAAGGCTATTATGAAGTTGAACCATCATGCGTGCTTTTAAATGATATAGCCCCGGCCTAAAGGCCTCCATCGATGAAATGAAGATATCCTCAGCGATCATCAACCCACGAGCTAGCGAGAAGAGGCTCAGATTGTAGACCTGCAGCTGAGTAGAGCGGGCACATCAGTCCCAAAAAAGATGAAAATGAAATTCCGATATATATATGTATATGAAAAACAAAAATCCCTAAGCTAGTTCAGAATCAGTAGAGCATCTTTGACTGCAAGATCCTTTCAGACACATAGCCGCCCTTGTCGCAAAGAAGCCGGGGAAATGATTCCCAGCGTAGTAAAATAGTTGTATGGCTTATATCGGAGAAATAGGCCGCAGATATGCTGGTAATGCTTCACTAAATATCTTGGAAGCAAATTCGGGAGATTAATGTACTGCGGGATTAGAGCACAAGTCAAGTCTGCATTCATAGACTCAACGACTCCCAGGATTCGAGTAGGGTAGAGACTACAGATAGTACAAAAGAGGATCGCGCATCTGTTAACAGATTATTTGGCCATTTACAGCGGCTGTCTGCCTGGTCATTGGAGTTGTGGGTGAAACGCAAGGGTCGGGCACTGCGATGATAAGCCAATAACATGTGCATGATCCATGACCATGAGCGTAAACAACTACCAATACAGCACAATATGACCTCGCGAGCCAGATAACCACAGACTATTTCGCTTCGGGCTAGCCTGACTCGAGGCTTGAGAAAAAAGGTCTGAGGGTCGAAGGGGTAGTCCGTCTTCGAAAGCGACCACACGGCCTAGTGAGCCGGAATTCGTGAGCATCGCCCGCACAGCCCAAAAATACCGCGGGCTTTCACATGGAACGGGTTGGAGAGGTTCTAACGGCACGTTGGCATCGGCTCCACTTGACATGCTCCAGTCTTCGTGGCCATCCCAGGACCGAATCAAAGTGCGCCACATCTTTGTTATTGCAGACAAAAAAGGACAACTCGACTAGCACGCGAAATGGAGATATTATTTAGCAACTGGCTTTCTGGCCCATATACGTTTGGCATACTGATAGGCATGAGTGCGGGGGTTGGTCAGTGCCTTCCGCATCTGAGCAACATAGACTAGCACTTCATCTTTGGACCACGGCACCGGATCCCCATACTTGGTGAGTAAGTACATTGAATATCCTTCCATTCCGCTCAGCCAGTGCTGCATATTAACTATACCCGCCTCTTTCAGTGACTTATCCCGCGCCCAAGGGCCGATCGGCCATTTTTTGTTCTCTTCGTGAATTTCAACAAAGCCAGCCTTCTCGATAGACGCACGCATTGGTATCGTGACATCGAGCGACTTCCCGAGCTTTTCGCCCGCTGCAAAAAACCGTGGCCCCCAAGTCCATAGCACACTACCCTCCTCGATACTATCGTCGTCACACTCGCACCGAATATTCATTTCGATCTGTTCAAACCAGCCACCGGGTTCCAGGGTGTCGTAACATTGCCCGTATAGGAAGTCCCACTCATCAGGTGTAAACGCGCCAATCCCGTGTCGTAGGTGGATCAAATCAAACTTCTCTCGCCAAGTCCATGTTTGCAATACGTCGTCCACTTCGAAAATACAGTTTGGTGGGATCCAACTCCCTGGTGGTGGGAAGAGGTCGACACCCCGAACAACAGCGTCAGGAAACATGTCAGCAACGTCAATGGCCCATGCACCTTGCCCCGTTCCGACGTCAAGCACCCGCTTCGGGTCCGTAACAGGAGCGCAGAATAAAGGGTTCGGTCGGGCGGAATTCATGAGCAAGGCGGCGAAACGTCCCATTTCATACGTCTCAAACTGTTTCTCGTCGGCAGGGCTAAAGTAGCCAGAGCCTCTTAGGGCTTGATAACGTCGGCCATTCTCCATAAACCCTTTGTATAGATTGGAGGCGATCGACGTAGTCTCGGAGTGCCAGTCTTCAGGCTCATAGGCTCCTGATTCGGGGTGATGCGGGTATGGATCGGCAGCGATGTGGATATCCTCAAAGTTTCCCGCCATCATTGAAGGGCACAGTACCACTACTTACAGTTCTATTTCAAACAGATTTCAGCAGGCAAAGGTCAACGATTGTGCGGAGAGAGGAACCCATTCTCGGGTTGATGGCTAGCCCCACATACTTTCCTTTTCACTCCCACCGGTCCCGCTGTGATTTGTCGGGGAATGTAGCTGAGAATCCCCGGTGATAGTGTAAAGTAGCAGCCAATCATCGTGAGCGTCTGAGGGGTCTCCCACAAACCCGTCCAACCCGAGGCGTGATGACCCGACCCTCGCCCACGATCAACACTCCCTATGTCTGTTATTTGCAAACATCGTATTGAGCCGCTGCTCGTCAGAGTTATGACTAGGACTTTTTTGTTTCTTATCTGATCGCAGTTGCTGTGTTTTTCCAATAGCAAGAACAAACGTATGCTTCTGTTCGCTGACAACTCACTACATTTTCACCCAATTGACGCCCTGGCCTCGCAGGCCGCACCCACAAGCCGCACCTCATATACACACCCTCGGTCAAAGATCCTCGCTTTCATTTCCACACCATCGCCGCCGGAACTCAACGGAAATGGTTGGCAAATGGTCGGGATCGAAGAATCGACGACACGGTCGGGCCGAAGGCAAGAGAGGCTTTCTTTAAGGACGGGAGCATCTACACCGGGGTGGGTGGTGGTACAAATTCAAGCATGCGAACGTCTCGAATAGGACAGCGATGTGTGTTGGTCGCAACTGATGAAGATAATACCAAAATGGATGGCAGACGGAGCTGACAGACCAAGTCTCGCCGGGCTAGTTTGCCCGCCCAAGCAAGGTGTCTCTATGCCTTCGAAGATCATCATGCACGCTTGCTCGCACAGTCGAAGCGCAATTGTCGATCAACATATGGGATACGTCACGTATTCTCCCGGACTTCCGGACTTCCGGACTCCGAGCATGCGCTCGCATCGTGATGATGAGCCCAAAAGACAATTTCGACAGTCAAGCCTAACCAACTCAATCGGCACAATTCTCGTCACCCCAATGATCCCTCGCCGCTACTATAGGACTAAAGTCGCAAAAGGTGGTGGGAGACAGCCAGAATACTCAATAAGCTCGCGCTATGGACTTTTTTGCTTTTCTTCTCACATTGCGGGACTGAGCGCGAACGGGGGCCAAGCGAAACATGTGAAGACTGTGAGTCTTGCGGTACATAGTGCAAAGTAAAGCATAGGATAATTTGCAGAATACATGGGTCATACATCGGCCTCACAGCAGCAATCGCAATCGTCCACCGGCTGTGGAGATGGCGTCCATCAGGAACGCCCGCTCTCGTCTGGGATCATGAAGACTAAACTTTCTCGGTCTGGCCAAAAAGCCGCATCGTATTAATCACTGACTCGTCTTCCAGCCCACTCTTCCGTAATCCGTCGTCTCCTCGGCGGCGGAAGCGGAACCGTATCCTCCACCATATTTCGCGCTTCCTTGCGTGATTCAAACGGCGATGACGGATGCGTGTGTCTGCTTTGATAGAGAAGCGTTGTTCAAGTCGTAGTTAGTTAGGGAAAGGCCAATACATGGAGCATCTGCAACCACGATTGACTCTTTCAAAAATCAACTTTGAACGAACCAGAAGTTTCTGGCTTTACTTCAAACAATTTAACTCATTGCAAAGGCTCCACAAGCCCGCTGCTTCCACCAAAATAACAAACTTCTAAAGATTCTCGATGATCATTTATCATGACACAGGTCGAATCAATTTCGAAACACTAGAATTACGTGTTCCGTTCGGGGCCTGTTCAATTGGAGTCCAATTGAACTCAACATAGGTGATCTTGAACGAACATCACTTTCAGTGTCATCCCCAATATGTCAATGAACTCTAGACTTCAGATTTCAGACCGCACATATTGGAATTGAGATACCAACTTCAATCCTGCAGTGGAACAGGGCTATTTATTATGCCATGCGGAACTCTCCAGTTCTGTATTCTTAGCCTCTGCAAACGTGCCCTTCGATATTATCGTTCACGGAAAGCACTTTCCAGATGGAGCCAGGGGTTATCAAGTCGTCCCTTGCAGCTGTCGACGATGAACACAGCCTGGTACTATCGGAAGTGGCCTCGACACTTTGTGACAGAGCAGATGCAGATATCAGCTTTTCTGGTCCCATCGAGTGTCCGGAGCTGAGGTTTTCTCAAGATAATTCAGCCTCTGCATGTGTTGCGCAGAATGGTCAAAACTTTCCCGTTTGCCCCGATCACCGAGACTCTAGCTTATCATTTCATCCATGGTATGATGTTTGCGCACTTGAAAGCACTATCAGGTATCATGGGTGCTGTTCTAGGCTGGTCTCATTCAACCTGCCTCCAGCGCCACCATTGTCTGCTGATTTTGTCAATGGGCTTAATTTCTTGGCGACAGTCAGTTCGACAGGATCTCGGAACTTTGACTCTTCCAACACATGGGAAGCTGGAAGGTACAATAGTCAAATTGTGATGGGCTCGGTGCAACATCAAGATATACAAGAGCCCTCCTATGCAATTCACAACGTGGCAGAGCCTCACCACGCAGGCTTGGAAAATGTTTGGTCCAGCATGCCCCAGCAGCAAAAATTCCAATGTAGTCACCCTGGGTGCAGAAGCTACTTTAGGCGTCGAAAGTCTTTTGCTCGCCATCTGACTAGTCATTTGGAAGTCAGACCCCACGTCTGTTGGGTCCCTGATTGCCACCGCAAATTTTCTCGTCGCGATAATCTCAACGCTCATTACGTGACACACGGGAAACGTAATGGACGGAATCGCTATGTGGCCACTCTGGACCGAGCGAATCCGGTTTATAATCCTACCTTCTGTGGCCAATTGACACCTGACGGCTGTCCTATTGAGTCACCATCCGGCCATGTTCTCCGCGAATGCGAATTGAGTCTACAATGACTTGCTCGACCTTTTTGTCGACGAATTTCCCGAGTCGCCGTTGTCACGAACGCAAGCCTGATAGGTACAATCTGAGAAGAGCAGGCGCTCCGATAGTCTATAGGAATGATAATAAGATCATGAGGATCGGGATTGTTGGCTACTCCTTCGCATGATGTGCACCAGGGTGCTTCCCCGATTAGCATGTGATAATGGTCGATGGGTGAAGCAATGAGAAGTGATGACTGGCTCCATTATAGGGAAATCTTTTATCCATGTACGACATATGCAGTGGTCGAAGGATCATTTTCACTGAATTACTGGCTTTCATGCCGACAGCAGCCATAGTTAATCGTACTTCTTTGACTATATTCAACGTTGCATTTCACGCATGAGGATTTCATTCTAAGAGATGGTCCACGCAGATTCGAGAACTTACTGAGGGAGTAGCCTGAAGCCATAACGTGAAGAATACTGCACAAAACAGCTGGGAGTGATCGCGGACGTCCACGCCGAGAACCATCTTGTCTTTTTCATTGATGTGCTCCGTTTAGAAACTACAACGTGATCGAAAATCGAAAATTACAAATTACAACTCTTCAATACTGTAGGGTGGGTGCCCGAGTCGTTTCCCAAACCACAAGCCTCCCTTCCCTGTATTGGGAATTGCTGCGATCAGGTGATGGAGGGGCCCAGCCCATCGATGGCCAAGCGGAATGACACCTCAAGGAACCTAAAACATACTAAGGACTTAGTTTCTGATAGTTCAGTGTATGTTGCCCAAAGCACACAGGGCACTCCGTTAACCGAGAAGAAGTGGAGTTTTAGGGCGATTACGGATAAATTAGCGGGTCCAAGATGGCGGAACCATGGGTCAGAGTTTGTGAACCAGTGGATGAATTGCGGAAGTAAGCCAGGTTTGGTTTGGATCGACGGGGGCTCCGCCCAGTCATAGTACTGTATTGAGAGTGAAACTGATGTGGCCGAACATGGTACCTACACATTGCAGCGTGCCCTCCAACGTTCTGGTAGATTGGTACATAAAGCTGAGTCATGTTGGTGAACATGTGGTGAGGTGGACCGAAGAGTCACTGCTGAGCCAGGAGACTACTCAAGAACACTCCGGCTAGGAAGATTTTTTATCGTTTGTATCGCGTCACGACTAGCACCTGGAGCCAGAAGATGGTATTAGACTGCAGAGCAACTTCTCAATATCGGCGGGATTGATAGATAAAGCGCTACTACTCTGTACACTGTATGTAGTCTTGTGAGAACCTGGTTTTTCTTTTTCTTTCTTCTTTTCTTGCGGCTATGTCGACTTTCTTTTTAATTCCTGTCTCGACCCTTTGTATAGCCTCCCAATTTTGATGATACTGCGACATGTTGACCAAGGGCGTCGCAGGTGTGTGATCTAGTTTGTCAGTGTACATGTATCAGGTTGTGCTCTACCCAATAAGTGCTCGTATATGGAGCATTGTTACCGACCGGGAGGACCGTCCCGTTAGGGGAAAGTGGAGTGGTAACGGCTGGATGGAAAATCTATGAAATTATGGGAGGCCAGCACGAGAATGATCGCTATTGAAAATTTAGTGTCGGCTAAGCCCCATCTGCAGACGGAACTCGGCACGCGGGCTCGATGCTGACTCCAGAAATGGCAAGAAATTGTCAAATGAGGCAAGACTCAAGTGTCCTACCGATCATGATCCATGGAACCTGGTGGTGAAAGGTCTCACTAAGATCAACTTTGCGTTATTAATGATCCTCGCCAGTGGGGCCTCACGGATGAAGGTGATCGAATTTTTGATCAGCTCACGCCAAGCTCGAGGCAGGGGTAAAGTGGGTCTTTAGTATACTCTAGTATTGCGATGCCTCCACAACTCCATCCTACAGGCCCTTCACGTCCCTTGGATCAAGTCGAGTGGGAAAGAGCAGGCTTGAGACTAGTGCTAACCCAAGCAGCACACCCACTTAGCCAGTATCACTTATTTTAAAAAATGGTATCACATTATGACCGTTTTGGGCCGGTGGTGTACAAGCGCAACTGGATCTTTCGCCCACTGAGGCACGTGTCTAGCAAGTGAAGCAGCATGTCACAGTCAGAACATGATCGGCTCTGGGAAGTTTGTCGAAGCATGGCTGCTTAAAGTCAATCAACACAAATCGATTAACACGCAATGGGTCCCTGAAAGACATCTAAATCGGGTTTCTCAAATGGTAGCAAAGGCAAAGAGATAACCAATCTTAATTCTGCCGACGCGTAATTCCTTGCAACGGAGCTAGCGAATTCCCATGGATCCACACCATCTGATCGGCTTTTCTAAGACAGAAAGGCACGTGCACCAGGATTGGGGTTAAAAGGCTCAAAAGGATCCCTTACAAATGCTTCCGGTCCAATTCAATTCCCTGGATACAGCAGTCCGCTGAACATCCTGTTTGATAACCCGCGTGATGTCCACATCAGACCAGTCCCTTCAAGACGATGACCAAAAAGAACAAATTGGACCCCCGTCCAAAAAGCGACGGATAATTGACACAATAATCTCGGTAAGACCAAGATATGCCCATTTGTTTGGCCGGCGGCTTTCAACTGAGACGTTGACTAGGACTCCGACGGAACGATTGAGGATCATCAGCTATGCGACTACTTGATTGATTCCAATTGGGAGGCGAACGAAAGGCTTCGGTCAAAGCTTAAAGATGCCCGAGTGAAGCTCTCAACTGTTGAAAGAGACTTTGATAGCTTGGAAGCCACGCACGCTCAATGCCCGTACTGGATCCAGAAGAACGAACATCTTGTCGTGATGTTGGAGGATCATTGCGAAAGCCTTGAACAGGACAAGAAAAAACTCGAAGAACGCTGCGATTGGCTTGAAACGCAACTTCGAAACCATACATTTTCTCCCAGAGAAAATAATCGCATTATTCACAGGATCGGAGTGGGGCATGGATTAGAGAAGGCATGATCTGATCCTGGAAAGCGACACCGAGACACCACAGTTGTGTTGTAAAAAGAGAAAAAGAATGCAAATGAAATACGTGTACATACACTACTGATATTTTATTGTGACTTGAACCAGGAAATATGTATATTTGCCCTCTCTTTCACACTTGACTTTGTCAACGAATCCAAAAGAATTATTGGCTGGCCCATTTGGCGTCAGGCGAGTAGGCACTGGAGGACTAGGAGCCGTCATGACATCCAGTGTGTTGAAAGTGGGAAGCGGAAAATGCGGTAAAAGAAAGGTTAGAGGAACAGCAGTATTATACTGTTCCACTTCCCTTGGGGCGTGGGCGTTGTCAGTTGCGAATCGTTTCCCCCCACTCATCATTGCAGAATGATAAAGGGCTGCAGGTCGTCGTTGCAGCATTGCCCTGGTACAGATTTTGAGTCAGTAATTGAGCGTTTTGAGAGGTGCAGTATTTGAAGATTATAGTGTACTGGGAAGGCGCGAGCTGCATAGAAGTCGCGTACGACACAGGTGTGTCCGACATTTTTTGGAATATTTTCTCACTTAGAAAAGAGAGACGACGGAGATAGGCGGTAATTCGGAAAACAAAGGATAGGGTTTGGACTTTCAGGCAGTATCGAGAGATTGTAAATGAATGATGAGTAGTCCAGTTGTTACAGTAGCTAAGTGGTAGTAAATAAAATGTAAAACCACCGCGCCTAGGACCTGGAGTTGCGAATTGTGAGGGGGGCTCTACTATTTGACAGATTTTATACATAGAACTAATAGTAAAATTCTGCTCCTTGGGCAGAAAATCAACTTCATCGATGCTGACATGACTAGACCCAAGGCTCTAAAAATATGCCAAATTCAACAGGCTTCATTCTGTAAAAAGATGTCGAGTTCTCACCTCCCTCCACGGTGTGCATTTAAGTTTCTTATCCTAGGTTGTTTGAATTATCAATAAAATGACCAAATAAACCGACGTTTAAGGATTTGAAGTGACATATTTGCGGGTGGGCGTTCAAAGTGCTAGATTCATTGATTGGCATCTATTTCGAGAAGTAGAGCGATAGAATCCATCAATCATCAATGTGACTCTTGCGGGTCGCATGTTGAAACCCTCTTCAATTTTCCACGATTTTGGTGTTCAGAGTAGTTTGCTAAGGACCATTGTTAAGGACTATGGCTGTTCTTTGCTCTGTCTAGCTCAAAAGCCACACGTGTGTATTCCTTGTAAAGGCCTGAAGTGTAACCATGAATCTCTTCCAGCTCTTTAATCATTTTAGCGACTTGGAATTCGAGCTTCGAGAACTCTTCTTGTACCTCCAGAAGTGTACGAAAGAATTTTTCACTGTTCGGGTCTGGACCTAATTTTTGGAACCAAAAGCATATGTTGAAATAAGTGAGAATCACTGACCTTGCTTGAAACGCGTTCTTGAAGATGACAGACGAATGAATGCATCTTGATCTGTTCGTGTTGACATCTTGATTGATACTGGACAATATTTGTTCGTGGAACTAAGTGATATACTCAACCCCGAGGGGTAAATATCATACGGAATTGGCTGGGTTTAAGTATGAGAGTAGGTCGGTATGTCAGGTGAGGTGCTTTACATCTTACATTTTCGAATCTGCTGCTCCTGGGATGTACTGTATGAAGCATTTTCACTCCCACATCAGTGACGAATAAGGCTTGGCTGGAGAATAGATAGTGGTGCAGACAATTTTTGAAACTACTGATAAGAAAGGCCACTGCAATGATGGCAAACGATGATTATGGTTTATTGTTGTGATACCAACAGGGGAATCTACACTGGAACAGGATAAGAGAACCGTAATAAAGGAGAAACGGAATATGAGTCTATTTTACCACCCGTTCATGAAAGGAGGGGCCGAAAGCAAGAGCAAGACACCCACTTTGACATGCCGGTGAATATCCAGTGAAACCAGATGATATTGCCATCGCCGCATCCGTACCGGCACACGAAGGTCTTTTGAGACACTGCGTAAGACATAATCCAATGGAAGAGTCGGAATCGGCGGTGAGGATCCGCATAATCCGTGCCTGAATTTTCGTAAGATTTACTACAGTATAAGCGTACTTTAATCACATATAATCAACTTTCTGAGTAAGAGCTAAAAGCAGATTCCAAATGCCTCCACAGAAGACATAGATGACTACGTAACGTCCCGGGCGGCATTTGGTAGCAGCTACACATTCCACGCCATCGATGTGAACAATTCCTTATTATGGTAGACATTTTTTTGGAATCGATATTCTTCAGCCGCATCAAGGTGACCATTGCGGTATTTAGATGCCTGAGCTGATTAGGTTCACAGATTACCTAAAAGCGCGGTAGAAAGAGTACCCTCTCTGTATCTTTTATCATGGGTACCCCACTGTACAAAAGCATCAATTAGAACAAGAGCTGGTCTAAATCTGTGGCCTGCATGTCGGTTGAAAATTGTCTCATGAAAGTAAAATGAAAGTAAAATGAAAGTAAAATGAAAGTAAAATGAAAGTAAAATGAAAATAAAATGAAAATAAAATGAGTTTGATGTTATTGATAGTCCCCCTTCAATTCAGTCGCAGGAAGAATTATCAACATTTAACGACCAATTGCACGTTGAATCAATGGTCATAAGATTGACCCCACTGGGCGTACTAGACATATCAATCGGGTGTTTATTGAGGAATTCAAGGATTTGTGACAAAAATGGCTACTAGCGCCAGTTTAGAACCGTGAATTGAACAGGATAGACCGGGGGTGGAGTGGAATCTCAACATAACCATACTTGGTGGATCGTCAGATCCGCAGGGTAGGGGCATCAAACAGCAAATTTTCTCGCGCATGGAGCATAGGATGCGTTTTGATGATCGCTTATAAAACCATATCCGCAAGACGACCATGGCAGAGTCAAGCACAAGAATCGGTTTTAGCAACATCATGGATTTTGATCAGCCTCAGCAAGACCGACCTGAGACTTGTTTCTTCCCCGAGACCCCCAACTGGGCAAATATATCGCAGGCTCCCGGGAGCAGAGTGTCCAAAAGGCACGCGAAAGATCCTGGGTCGACGCTAGTCGCAGTAAAAACTTCGAAACGACAACGAGCGAATACATCATTGCGTCCAGAGGCTCCGAGTACTGGAATTCAAATGTGGGACAGTGATCCGTGGGATGCTTTCGAAAAAGGGATTGAGATCTTTCCTGGACGCCACGTATATCTCGCTAGAGACCATGGGAACAAAGCACGGCTGGTTCACATTCAGCATTTGGCCGAAGGGGTCGCGGGATGTCTGCTGGAAAACATCAATCGCCATTCGCACCGAAGCTTTTTGCGTCTTCTCCACTGTTACCAGTATGGGAGCTCGTCTTTCTTGGTATGGGAACCAGTCGAGCTGTCTCTGTCGCAGGTCCTAGGATCTAAGTGCTCCATCCGTGAGGCTGAAATGGTCTCCATAATCTGGCCAGTATATATCCCTTGGCTCTTGGCCTGTGACCTATATTCTCTAATTGCATTTTCGATAGATCCTCACTGGCATACGGTACTTACGCGATTGCCAATACGCACTTGCCTCACTGGCCAGCGATACGATTTTGTTCACGGAGGGCGGCGACGTGAGAATCGGTACGTGGAAACCCCATCTCCAAACGTCAACGCCAGCAATAAAGGCTTATGAAAACGGGCACTAGCGGGAGTAGAACACAGTTGTGAAATCTGCGCAGCAGATATGAACAAGGTTACAATGAAACTACTTGCCCTGTCGGATATTGTCAAAGAACTCCGGAAGAAGATGAATCCTCTGCACCCGTGGAGCACACAGGCTCAGGAACTGCCTGAAAAATTAATGGATGTGCCATTGGATGACCTGTTGCGAGTGAGTGATTCTCGCAGTGGAAAGAAGCAGACCAGCTGACATGTGATCAGGACGACATATTCAGGCAGATGAAAGGAGGAGATCTGAAGATGCTGGTTAGTATTGCAAGTAAAACCGGGTACTACAACATCCGGTTCCCTCAATCGTGAAACGACCGCTTGGCTTTTTACTGCCACGCTAGCAGCTTAGCTGAATCCAGGGTGTCATCCAATAATTTGACTTTTGCTTTGTGAAAAACATGCCTTTTCATTCTATCCGATCACACATTCCGATCAACATTCCAAGCAGAAGGGTCTTTGGAGCCGATTTCTTACCTAGGGTGGATGTGCTTGGCGAGTCAATCAAAATATCGATCGAATTGCCCTCGTTATGCTATGTAAAACCCAACTATAGCTCGACGCATGGCGTAAATTCTTTGTGGGACTGAAAGCGCTGCACCTTATTGTGATCATGAGAGCTGTGCGAGTCTGCAGTCTAGATTCCCACCAGACGGTTTCTAGCCAGTTTATATGATCGAAAGCCGATGACTTATTGAGGACTGTATCTCAGTGAATATCTAAATGTTTTCCTATGACGGAGCATTAGTGTTGCCATGCCAGTCCAACGATAGTATGCACATGGGACGAAGTTGACACAATGGCTCTATCTAGAAACCATCCCTCTGTCAAGAACGTTTCCGCATGGGGCTCTGCTCAGTCCATACCATATGAGTGCAATGGCAATGTACGTACTAGCCTATATCAGACGTTTGCTAGTGTATATGTCGCTGATAGCATTTTGCAGTCATAGCGAAAGTCCGGAAATAGATGCGATGTCTCGCTACATGCGCCATTTAAATAGGTCAGTTTACCGCAAGCGTCCTCGCTCCAAGACTCCCCGAACAGATTAAAACCTCCAGCAGCCTTGCCTGAGCCTCGATGGTGCAACTGCATTACTGACGACGTTCAATCGCCGAGGTTGTCATATTATTTGGCTTCTCCCAGGCAGTACTGGGATCAATGTTCTGCAGGGGGGGAGCATGTGCGAAATTGCACTGAAAAGACACCTGATCTGATAAGCTCTAGGTCTCGCATACAGTCTCCTGCACGATAGCTTTGAAGATCGGCTTCTTGCCTTCCATTGTCGAATACGATCATTTTCTCGTCTGGCCTTATCATAGCCTGTTGGGCTTGTTGATCTTGGTGGCGTCTGTGGGAGATGAACGTCTGCTGAGGATCGTCGCCGATTTCGACACGGCTCAGCACTCTGACTGTTCTGACCGTCATGCAAAGTCCCGACTGTAGCATCCTTGAGTTCAATGACAGAGGCAGGGCCACCACGAGCCTCACTTGACCACCTTCACTTCCAAGGTCTGCCTCCTTCGTCTTGTTCCTCGTTTTGATCTTCATCACACTCTGATAGGGCTAATCGACATAGGAAAAAGTATTTCGATGATCCAGCCCATGGCTGTAACTCGAGGTTGTCATATCGTTCCTTCATCTCGACTAGAAATGAATTCCACAACACATGAACAACCCTTGTTCCCACCTTTGGCACAATCGCAAATTTGTTGTCGTCCCACATCTTACGTAAATCCCGACTTAGCAGGATAGTGTTTTCAACGCATCGAATGTCGACATCTTGCTCGGGATTGACTTGGAGCAGAGAAGCATGCTGTTCCGCTGCCACCATTCGCTCTGCGCGGCGGGTATAATGTGCGCGGTCTCGTTCGGGAGGGCCCAGGAGGTGGTTCGGCAGGTAACATCGCGGCGAATGACGTCGTCGGCGGAGCTCAGTTGGCCAGAAGCGGACGATTATGGAGGGAGTAGCGAGGCTGAGCAGCGAAAATGGTCGAATTCAGGACGACTGCATATTTTCCACGTCTTCAACACGAAAGTAGTATTGACGATGAGGAAGTACACCATCCATATCAGTAGACCACAGGGCGCCATCGCGGTTCCACGACAAGAAGCCTTCTCATCGTCCGTTGGCCACGATGGCGCACTCGTTATGAGAAATTCCATGATGAATACCCCCGATCGCGGAGAATGATAATAAAATATTGTGATTCTCTGCGTACCAGGGTGGAGAAAGAAGACAAGCGGTGAGAACGAGGTGAGCCGGTACATACTTGGATGGTCCAGTAGATAGTCTGTTACTATGTTTTCAAAATAACGGCTCGTCGTTTAGTTGCACGTTCCATTGCAACAATCGCGACTGGAAATGATGTACAATACTTTGCTGCCCCTGAGGTGAGTGCGATAACCACGAGGATCACGTGATATTAACACGCTCACGGACTCAGGGGCAAGTTGCATGATGCCGCTTAAGCATCAACCCGAGCCAACAATGAGTCACAAAATAATTTGTTTGCTGTTTCCTCAAAAAGCACTGCTCGGAATTTGATTAGTAACCGGTCCGCTATCGAAACCTCCGTTACGAAAATCCGTTACGAAAATCCGTTACGAAAATCCGTTACGAAAGGTAACGATATCATATGGCTTGCAGTATGTTCCGACTCAATGATAGCAAAAAAAAACTCTGGACTGGCTGTCTTTCAGATGTGAGCCGTAGTACACTGTTCTTACCTAGCACATGATAGCGTGATCCAAGGCTCATCAGGCGGTTATCATAGATGGACAGGAGCTCTGTAGGTTCATTTGTTGTACCTTCTGGAGCCTGGGTACGTGCAATTTAGATAGTAAAAGTATGTTACCCACTCAGGCTTAGAGAGATTGTGAGTGTCTTCTCAGCGATGGAGCAGATACATGTGAAGCTCGTCGGCTCCTTATTCTTATATTTTTACGAGGGTCATGAATATGTACATTATACATCTTGCAAATAGACTTTGTACAGTAACCTCCATGAACTAGTAGAAGATGTTACAATGGGTAAATTCGGGCTGTGTGTTGTCTATCGGTTCCATCTAGTCTTAATGAGGTGGTGGTCGACTACGAGAATTCAATCTTCAAAATTTGTAATACTCGGTACACGTATGCACACCTATATGTGAAGTGAATACAGTATATCTCAGGAAATAGTCGATACAGATGAAACGCGTGTCCTATCACCCCTTTCTGGATGCAGTCTTTTGTGCTTGTGCGACCAGCAGAAGAAATATATAGTTACAAGATTGTAGATTTTCTTTTCCACTGCGATAAGACTCGTCTTTCTGTTTCTTCCTGTTACTTTCGTTGTGCATTAGGAATCAGCCACATGCGGACCGTCCTATAGTACCATCTACTTTTAATTCTGGCTGCCTCTTGCGCTAAGCTCCAACTGATTGAGTTTCTCCTCGTTTCCCTGGAGAGTGTGTTTGGCCATTTGTTTGAAACTCAATTTGAAGTAGCAGCTAAACTCTCATCTCCTCCACAGATAATATGTACATATATCTTCCAGACCCTGAATAGTGAATCAAAGTACCGAATTGTAGGTGAAGCTTCATCGGGTTTGTCGCTCCAAGCGCTGATTCTGTAAGGAAACACTATGAAGCTAAGCATTATCACAATTTCCTGGCTTCTCGTCCGTCTCGCAAAAGCCGATACACAGCCAGGTTCATTGATCGTACATAACAACTGCTATTTCGCTGTCCACGTCCTGGGAGTAGCTGATATGCCGTACTTGCAACAAGACTTAAAGGCAGGCGAGACTTTGCATCTCCCATTCCGAGAGTCAGTCAGTGGCACAGGCAATTCATTGAAGATTGCCACCGAATTTGATCATGGCAACATGGCTCAAGTCGAATATAGCGCATGCTTTCTTGGCAGCCTCTGTTTCCCTGAAAACAGTGTCTTCTACGATCTCTCTAATATCAACGGAAACCCTTTCCTTCCCTATGGGATAACAATTTCCCCTTCACGCAAAGATTGTACGACTGTGAGATGTCCGGCTTTCAATCAGCATTGCGACCTTGTGTACTATCAACCATATGACAATCAAGCTACTCAGGGGTGCGACGTTGAAACCAATCTCCATGTCGAGCTCTGTTCAGGATGAACGCCAAAAAGCAGAGCCTCACAGCATAATACGGTTCTTGAACTCAACTCAACTTGGCGAGTCGTTTCCTTTTGAGATTGTGTATTTTGCTTGGCAAGTACTTATATTGGAATTCTGTGCAAGACAAAAAGTCATATACATGTACTACAAGATAACCATGCTGTATGTAATTTCGACAGCCTTTCTGCATTTATGTACAAGGCATGGGGCAGGTTTCTAATTGCATGATTCAAAATATTGAGTACTCTACTATATATATCCGTTTTTATCCATCTTCTTTTTAAGTGTACACCACCGGTTATTCTCCCCACATTGTGTCTGCTCGACACCTACGTCTCTCACACTAACCGCCTGGTCCCTCGCTACATTACACATCGGTTTATTGAAAATCTTGACCTGAACATTCCCTGTGTTACCAAAAATGTACAGCGGTGATAGAAGCCTTTGGAATAAACGATGAGCGGAGCCTCCGCAAGGGTATTGAGGGTCATCTGAACCCAACGATCAGCGGACAAACAAGCCGTTTCCCAAGCCCAAGCATAAAATATTCTTCGAGCGGAGCTGCAGAACAAGCAAAGTATTGGCAGAGCAACCAGAGTTTTAGCACTTACGGTAACCAGGTCGAGTCACTCTAGTGAAATTGAAAGAGCTACGCGATACTGTATTTTAGAATTATTTTGTAAGTTGTAGGCCTTCAGTAGCCCTGTTTCCTACGATAACGCAGTTTTTTTCCTACGTACATAAACTCTAATCAGGGGAGCACTTATCGTTTGCATAGCAAAAAAAAGCAAGCATATGTAGAGGCAATAAATGATCATGGACAAATTACGAGACCCATCTTGCGTCACCTTTTTTTCTTTTCTTTTCTTTAGATGCAAGAACTTTTTCAGAAACGGGTTGCTTGGAATGCTGATTCATACCGAAGACGGGGCCTGTATCACACTGATTCCTCTTACAATACTAGAGAAAACCACCCCACGAATTATACATTTATTCCCTCAAGTTTAGCCAGACCCTATTTCATCATTTGGTGTGTACTTGAGCCTATAAGACCCTAAGCAAATGACACCTGGGAACGACGGTTTGACGCGCTCAGACCCGACAAAGTTTTGCTCCATTGTCGGATATTTGAGGGCTATTGCTTTGATACACGGGATAGACGGCTCAATAATAATGAGACAAATAAAAGAATACGCACTGTCTTTCATCCCAGTAACAGTGCCAAATAATGAGGAGACTAGGAGAATGTTTCGGATAAGAGAAAGAGCGGGTCTTTGACAAAATGATCAACATAAATCTAATGGCAAACTGTTTGGCGTATCAACATGGAAGATTGTAAACCTGTATTTGGAGTATATATGAGTTTCTAAAGCCCTTACTGACTTGAAAGAGTCTGGCGTGATTTCGGTATCCGCTAATATCTAGAATCGCGGATTGCTCGCAACGAGCTCCACCTTATGACCGGAAGGAGAGCAGGCAGGTATTCTCGACATCGGAAGATTGACCCAGAGAAGCAGGCCTTGGTGGAACAAGAGGAAAACACAGCTTTCGTATATCAGGTCAACTATTTCAAAGGGACTGCCCGTGTGAGCCTTACGGACATCGCAATCGGAAACAACGTTAACCGGCTAATTGACGGCCATGAGAATGTGGCTCGTCTGAAAGAGATCATGAGAATTGAAGGCTGCTTTCGCCTGAAGAAATCTTGCCACGTTCCTGTTGCAATCAGTTCGGCCGACTGGGACTCACAGAGAGTGTGGTTCGATCAGACTGCCGAGCTGCAGGCTGATGCGCCTTTCTCGTCCTTCCCTCGGCTGTGCAAATGTGCAGATTATACCCTTCTTGCTCTTGATAGGGAAAGCCTCATTACTGCTGCAAAAGAGATATTCCAAGAGATAGGTGTACAAGACCCTTGGTGGATCGTCGACGTGTATGTTGTCAGTCCAGGTAAGACAGCTCCAATACACCAGCGAAGAGATTACTCGCCCGCGCTGAATGCATCAGACCAGTCGGAACTGACGGGAAGACAAGACCATGGCGCCGATAGAGATGACGCGTTCTTTCGGCCGCTTCGTGAGAGTTATCAAAAGGAGCGTGCTCCGTCAGACGGTCGGATTTATCAAAGTATTAGATATTATCAAAAGCGCCAGAACGGACCGGCCGAGAGGTTCTGGTGGGCTGTGCTGCAAAGAGAGCCTGCTAGCCGGAAAGGGGATTACTTGCGCACTTTGCCGTCGGTCCTGGCCGAGGCGTTCGACGCGCTTCTTCCGATCCCTGGTCTCTGGGCGGGTATGAATATTGGGGTGTTACATAAGCTAAAAGCCATGAAATGTTACGAAGTGAGTTTCAGGTACAATTCCCCCAAGCTCACCGCCTTCTTCTTAACCATCTGAGCGGCCAGGCTATTACCTGTTATCTTAGACTCATTGGTGACGTCTTCACCAATATGGCCGGAGGTCGTCAGGAATTGATGAGCCGATTTGACGCTTCGACAGTAGACATTCTGCAGTCCAGAGCCCCAGGTGTATCGACCTGGGACTGGCGATTTCTCCAGGAAAATCAAGGGAAGCTATTCTGCTTCGTCGAGGACCCCGGCGACCGTCATCAAATATGGGAACGATTGAGAACGATTAGATCTCCAATTCCCACGCTGAAAACCTTTTTCCAGGATATTCTTTACCTTGAAATAGGCCAAGTAATTATACAGCAAATTTGTCTTACTCCGCCAAATACTGAAGTCACAATAGATCAAACTCTAAAGCACCAGCACGATGGAGTCCAGGGTCAATTGGCATTAGAGCAGGCACCGCCTCTATTGGATGGCCTAAGCACGGAGGCACATCTCTGGGATCTTTGGCGCTTTAGTCTACAATTTGGGTTTGAAATGTCAAAGCGACGAGACCATTGCCGCCGTCTTCTTCGGAAACGAGAGGACATCGATCGCCTGGCTCAAGTCGGCCGCGAAAACGATCCAAGTGAGGAGCTCTCGACCGCACTTTGGTGTCATCTTTTTTGGCTAGCCCAAAGCCACGGGTTCACTATACCTCCCAATCATGAGCCTGTCATGTTGAATCATGAAATTCTCAACCCAGCGTTTATTGATCTTCCTTTAGATGATACACAAGACATCAATATTGAACGCCGATGTGGCCGGCCATTCATAGATGCTGCCAAGCCCGATCGATACGCTCTTTCGCTAGAAGCGCTACTTGATACTCGATCTTCATCACGGGTTAGCAGCGTATCCGTGAGGCAATCGGTCTTCCGCGCCTTTTTCAGTTATCTGGGCGTGGCTATGGTCACCGGTCCAGCTGAATTCTCCTCCGACCCCTTTGTAGAACAACATTTCTCGGGCGACGAGAATAACGTGACCTTTCACCTGACCCCAAGTATAAGCTCTTCGACTGGTCAGTCATTTGGTGACACTTTTGATGATATTCCGATAATCGTCACTCCCCCGCCGATTTTACCACCAAGTCAAACCGATAGTCAGACGTATATTGCACCAATGCCTCTCTACCACTTCCAGTTTGAGGTATTGGTCCTCCAGCATTTGAGTTCCATTTGGCTGCCAAACAACAGGAATGTGCTTAATTCGTTCTTCGAAAATCTACAGAAATTTGGCTTTCACATCTATCATTCCAATGATCTGTCAAGAGCTATTTATTGGTCGGACTGTTACTCGCTATACATCGACAACCCCCGGTTAAATCTCCGAGCTGTATATTGTGAAGGCTGCTTTGAACACCCATGGAACTATTTGGACCATCATGATGAGCAAGCTGTGCTGTTGGAACCTAGCATCGTGCAAGTGACCACATGGCTTAGTGAAGAGATTATCAAAATGAGGAACATTGTAGCAGATCCCTTTTGATCAATTCCATGGACTCACATAGAGTGATACTTTTGGTCACGGTGGAATTGAATTGATACATATGCCCCAGACTCGTCAAAATCTGGTTTCTACTACTCAACGCTTTGGAGCAGTACCACCGCGAATGATCCGAAATCGTAGATTCTTGTACTGTACTGTATTTGAACATAGTGCTGGTTTTCCCCACGCACTTGGCCGCGGATGATGTCCCGAGGTTAAGGTTTGACCGATTCGGTTAAAGAGAAAATACAAATTTCCATTATACAGTACGCAGGAACACACTTCCAGGAATTCCTCGATGCGCGTTTTATCTGATACTTCCCCAACCGCACGCCTCAAGGGAAATATGTCTGGTGACAAAGTGGACAGTCAAAGTGCTCTCTAAAAAACCACGTATCAACACACTCCCGGTGAAAGGAATGTAGACAGCGTAATTCGCGGGTTACTCGTGAATAGCCCATCTGTTCCAAGCAGATTGCACTAAAGAAGGTCGTCAATATCGTCCGTAGCTTCCACTCTATCTGCTCGGAGCATTGAGAAAGGACGCGGAGCCAAACGAACAAGGCAGTTGCATACTCACCAGATCACAAATTCAGTCAAAACTGCCCTTGAATCTCCGTTATCGTGGGGACTTATTCCCCGTTGCTCCGGAGTATAAACGCGTGAAACCGCATTCAAGCGTCTCAACAGTATTTGTTGTCTGCTTTTTACGCGCAGCAAATTTGCCCGGTCTTTTCGACGGACATAGATGGTGAGGCTATGCGGGGTCAGCTTGTCTGTCGTCGATCTGGTTGATTCAGGGGGTATTGTGGGTATTTTTGAGGTTCTGGAGAACCAACCGTCCGAACACGTCTAAAATCCAAAGGAGGTGAGACCTACCCTAAGGTTAATGCAATAAGCAGTACGACACTCAGGCCGCCACCGAGAGAAATACAAACGTATAATGTCGTGTGATCTGTATTGCCCATGGCATTGCTTTGAAACAATCACGGTTTAGCAAATTTGACGGCTGGAATTGGTGCCGCGTTCTGTACTCACAATGTTCAACTTGGAGTTAGCATGGGATAGATACCGTTCTAGAAGCCAACTCGAGAGTAAGCAAATTAGAAGGAGTTCTATTGTGTCTTACAGTGAGTTTTGAACGCGATTGTGATGACAAAGCCTATGGAACTGCAGTTGCAAAGGATGCCTCGTCTTTGTGCGATTCGAGAAGCAAAGTTTCATAGCCAAACAGACTTTTCGCGTCGTCTTCTGACATTTTCTCCTATAACACGCTTCTGGAGAACTGTGTCAGCGTGACCCAGAGAGTAACAGATTCCAGGGCACAATCCGGGCACATTCCAATCGCGTCATTTTGTTCAGCTGACGCGTTCCATGTCTGGAAATTGCCGCCTTTTTCAGAATTTCTTCAGGAAGGTTGAAATTTCCGAGCAGCGAATGGTCTTCTCCTTCATAACCATGGTGCTCGTTCACGGTTGAGGCTTCCAAGCGGCTTCACTATCGTTGGACTTGGTTTTCGAGCAGTAGCAAGCCCAACCCCTTACGCGCAGAACTGAATTGAAATTTGTGAAAAACTCTCCCACACTGAGATATTTACTATCGTCTGTGACAACAGTACATGTATCAAGAGTAGCATAACTTTAGCTAAATGATTGAACGACCACACTTGCAAATGCTGCCCTCCTCATTCCTTTAGAGCAACCATGAGGTGGAAGTGGCTTGTGGAATGAATATTGCTACGAGGAGAACATAGATATGTCTTTGATGTAGGTGTCGTATCTTTGCAAGCCTTGTTGAACACAGGATTTAGGCAGCTAATAAATTAAAGACATTATGCTTAGTATTCTATCCCGCCAATAAAACCCGCATCTCATTTTGTTTAGGATTCTGGCGTGCTGAGTCAATTACTGGGCCACCATTTGCCCCAAGACTTCCGCACACCGTGATGCGAACTAATTTTCATATTCTGAGTAATAGTACATACGAGTGCTGATGATACGTCCAAAGGGTTGTATATGGTGACGGAAGTTCTTGAAGTCATACTTGAGAAATTACGGGGATCATATACGAATGTGTGGTTTCAAGATACATGTACTGTAAACAGAGCTTGCATAATCATTTGACAAACGGAATGTCGATTATTGTAGCTCCGCAAAAGTTCACAGAGCTAGACTAATAGTCTAGAGGCGCCCTCTTCTATCCCAGGAACAGAAAGGTCCCCGGGTCAAGCAACATTGCTCCCAAAAACACTTTACTTCTTCAGATGTTCTGACGGGTCCTGGGAACTGGGCTTGGCCCGATCACCCGATTTCGGCTTCTGGAGCCGGTGAATAAACACCGCAAAAGAGATGAACTTTGAAAATCTCCGAACGTCTTCGATGAAGATGGTTGGTCATATCTCTAGAAGGTACAGTATAACGAAAGACGACAAACTTCTTTGATCTAAACTCTTCTAATATTTGCGGTAATAGAGCTGCGGTTACAAGCCAGCCTGGCTCTTTTGCCGGCTTTCGAAAACCTTACACATCCAAAATGATTTTTGTCACGAGCAACGAGAATTTAGCACCCTTGGGGCTGCAATCATGCCACTCATGCTGTTTATTTAATCAACCCGTTTCCTTTTATGTTCGGGGACCCTACCGAGGCTGTGAATATCTCGCTGCGAATTCCGGGGGGTGTTGAGAGGAGGATAAGCGGTTTTCCGAATAGTATGAAGTGGTTTGAAAAGCAGCAAATCCTAGATTTCCCGTTCGGCAAATATGACATTGGGCCAAAAACCTGAGAGTGCTCGGTGTGCTCAAGATTGTACAAAAGGAAGAACCCGGATAGCACTATCTCGGTGACCACAAAACGCCTCAAGAAATGAGCACACCGAGTCCATATATTGAGTGGGTCGTTACTCAAACATGATTATGATTTATCTTGCAAATGTATACTCATAACACTTTATTGAAATCGTTTAATTTTGAGTATCACCCTAGATTCTAGAAGTCTGAACAATTATGTCACGATCTCGCTCGGGTTCATGCTTAGGAATTAATTTCAATGGCGCAATAAAAGCCGATCGATAGCTAGAAACACATACGTCATTTGCGCTGCTACGTGGAAATGGCCCCCATCACCCACCCACTATGATTAACTTTCGCACAGTCACTGCGCAAAATCATTGACAGGGTTCCCCTCCCAACGCACAGTGATCCTTGCTTCTGTTTAAGAGAAGATAAGGTGGGATAATTTGATTCGCCGTACCAATGAAAGACCGTCAAAGCCGCTAGGACAGTTATAGTCGCGACTCCGATCGGTCAAGCCGACAGTCTATACTCCTAATGGAACCGGAATCATATTCCTCAATATGCCTTGCCACCTTGTATTTATTCTTAACCAAGCCCAGCTTGTATGATTTTTGTACAAGCACAAGAGTGGTGTTCATCGCCATGAAATCCTAGCCACATATTTCAAGTTTTGTTTATTCAGCAGTCATACGGTGCCATGTTTATTTGTTCACCAGCTGACCGAATATGTGGCCACTGAGGGATGATACACGAGCCTCTTTCGCCTTGTTTTGAGGAATTCAATGGAGTTTCTTAGCACCTTGAAGCCACAAAGTATATTTTTAGTGAAGGCTCTAGACTCGCATATAGGAACCCCGGATCGAGTGTGCCGTAGTGGTTCAACGTGCATTAGCGCGATCCTGGTACTTTTGGAGTAAGCGCTCTCCGCCCCAATGCGACAAAGTACGGCCAGTGCAACGCGTCTCGTATTGCTTGCCCCACATGATGAACGTTGATTAGAACAGCTTTTGCCTCTGTCTTTGCCATTCGACGATTATTTGTGTGTGATGGGCCAGCATTACTTTGGATAGGAGCACGACATGAGTCAGCAGGATTATATGGTGAAGGTGACCCGCTCAGCACACTGCGCAGTAATTTTAAAATAGCTCAATTATACGGCGACAAAGTCGCCCAAGCTCAAGGAAGACGCTCACTCCGTTCTCCAAATTTCTACCACCACAGTTTGCGAGCGCCACGGACTCCTAGTGGTACATTTGGATCCTCGTTGTATTCTATTAAACACCTGCAAACATGCTGCTCACATTACCACCGGAAATCTTGCTCATGATCCTGGACTTTGTTCGTGACGAGAAACCTACCCATTTTTTGATGCCACGTTAACATATTGTATTTAGTGCAACCGAAAGGAAGTTTTGAAAAATCTCTGCTTAGTCTCGAAAGCCTTACACCTTGCAGTGACCCCGCGACTTTACCGATCCCTTACTTTACGTGCCAGAAACGAGGGGAATATAAGCGACCTTGCCATTGATTGTCTGTTGGAGCCCAGCTGTCAATATATTGAACATACTAGAGATGTCATATTAACAGCGGAATTCCATGAACTGCTTTTTCGTCGTTGTCACGATTATGCGTCTTCTGATGACGGTACTGATGATGAAGATGACGAATCCTCCTCCTCCTCCGATAATAACACCGATTCTCTGGAAAATTACCCCGAAAGGGTGATTGGAGAGAGAACGAGCGGAGATGATCACCACGAAGAAGATCCGAAATACCTGCCGGAAGTCATACCACATATTACAGAATGGAGTGGAGGTCACTCTGACCTTTTTGCATACGAGAAATCTAGCGTCGGATCTTCTGAGTCTTCTGGGTGGGACTATGATGAAGCTGAGGGAGCCGACGTTGAAGTTCCTTTGGAGAATTTGGAATCGAGAATCCAATCTCTTCTAGGTCTGCTTCCGGAAGCTAAATTGAAAAAGTTCAGGTGCGACTATTTCGTTGTTACTTTGTTTATGATGAATGCTAAAACGAAGCAACAGCTGGAGTCTGGGTACATGTGTTCCAGAAGGCGTCATCGAGTACTTAATCCTGACACAGTCTCAAATTACGTGTCTCGAGATTGTCACCGACAGCACATGTCTAGGTCAAGGCCATCTGAACATATGCGATTTGCACGGATTGAAGGCTCTTCGACGAATTCGATGGATACGACGTAACGAATGCTCGTCAAAAACCCCGGGAAAGGCACTTCGCGCCAATGCTTTGGCGTTGGAAGAAATTGAGATTGATGAGGTTGGCTGTAGAGGAATACGGAGAAGTCTCGCAAACGGGAGTTTGCTTTTGAACCAATACTGAAATTAACTCCAGGGAGCACTCGACAGTTGTTTCCGTCACTGAAGATACTGACATTGAGTGCCATTTCCTGGGAGAAAAGCTGCCACGGTGTGCCCTTTGTCTTCTCTTTCAAATACCTCCATTCGCTGGTACTCAGGAACTGTCGGAAGGCAGCTGATCTTCTCGGTGTGCTAGGTTCTGCCCTGCCATCGATGCAACTTAAAGCATTTGAATTTAGCGATAACGGGTTGAATCAGGGACGAGGAATTGTTGGTTCACTGTTTGGTTTCCTTGAATCTTTCGACGGGCTCGAAGATTTGTACTTGTCGTTTTTTGATCATTTTGCAGGCGAATTACTCGGCGCAATCCTCAACCACAAAGCCTCTCTTAGGAGACTTGTGTGCCATTACCCAAAGATAAACGCAAGGGTAATACAACCATTGGGTGGACTTCAATCCCGTTCCTTTGCGGATGCCCTGAGATAAATGCCAAATATTACTTGTCTGGGGATAAACCTTCCTCCCAAAGATCTTGTAAGCATAATCTTTGACATTTCCAGAGGATTTAAGCTAACGTGACAAGTACTCGGTGTTTTCTCAGCCGGATATATGCTCTCGCCTCCAATTGTTACATGTGAGAGCACTTGGCCGGCTAGAATTCAACGGCTATCGAGAGCGATTCCTCGATAAATCCGAAGAAGAATTTTCTGCTGCTCTTTTTGACATCCATAAATTCGCAATTTGGGCGTTTGGGCCGGAAGGTCTGCGAAGCCTACAGGTTCTTTGTTATGGTGACTTTTCTTATCACGGACGTCGCCCATGTCTTGTATTCTGCAGATCTAAACCATCAGACTCAATATTCGATCGAATATATAAAGTGGCCACAAGGCTGGATATCGTGGAGCAAGAGATCTTGCAGACCAATGCCCGTTTCTTGGAGGCCTGTCCAGAAGATTCCTTAATGTATTTAGGCGGCCACCCTTTCTGAAAGTCGTGCCCAGTCTAACCGAGGCCATACAAGATTGCGATCCGAATTTAGACACCAATGACGTCTAGAGGAATGATTGATTGTGCACTGGAACCAATAGGGCGGCTTCTCTAGATTTAGATACATTCTTTTATGTCTAGTTTCTGACTGCAAAGTCCTTGTCTACAGGAGGTGACGATAGCGATAAAGAGTGTTCTTCTTTGTCTGCTGTAGAAGTAGCGCATGTCGGGCTGTCTAGAGTAGGAGTATCTATAATAGAACAGCGGTAATAGATAACACTCAACAGAATCCTATTCAAATTATATAACACTGCAATGTGTTGATAGTTGATAGGTGTGCAACAATAATCCTAACTGCGGAAGCTGATCGCGATGTTCAATTTCCATACGCAGGGAAAGGGGAGGAGGGGTTTGATGAGACAGAAAGGGGCTCCGAGAAAGATAAAGAAAGATCATTGGACTAAAGGGACCTTAATAGAAGTTGTGGGCGACAGCTAAAACGAGACCTCGAGTTGTCAAACATTGCTCGTCTGCATCAAAAAACGTGCCAACATCGATGTCAATTCAGTACAAGTATGAAAATATAGACGTATAAACACAGACGAGTTGGCTTTTTTATAAGCCTTATTCCAATAAGTTTTGTTTCGTGACCTGTTTCGGCTTAAGACCTGCTTCGGATCGAAATCGCCTTTCCTGCGTATCTGTAATGTCCTTCTCGATCGCTGTCTACCTCATAGGATGCGTTTCGGATGTATGAATACAGAACACAACCTCTGCTAAATATTGTTTCGATGTTCTCGTTGGACAAGATCGAATTGGCTGAAGGTTTGCAGACCTCTGTTTTTTTCTCTCCGCGGAGCACGATCGTCAATTTTCTTTTGTTGCAAACGCTCTCCGGCGCTAAGATGGGGACTGTCTCATGGCCGAGGATGCAATGAAAGCAGACGCGATGACCCCCTCCTTTGAACATCCCAGAATTTCTGTCGTACTGAAATTCATTCAATCCTACGTCGCAGAATATGTTCCAGAGTTCTTCTGTAGTCGCTGAAGATGGATGGTGTCTGCATTGGTGGCAATTACACTATTTGATACGGTAAGAAAGGAGCACTTAGAAAATTCAGTATAAAGACAAAGACTTACGAGGGCGTGAGGGAATTCGTGTATTAAAAGGTGAGACAAGGCTTTGCACGTGCAAGCGAGATTGAGATAATCTTCAGGGTCCGGTAGACATCCTGCAATACACAAAATTATCTCTACACTGAGTGTGAGAAGAGGACTCTCCATTTATCTTGAAAGATTGGTACGTCAGGAAAGGAAACCTTGGAGTTGACACAAATATCTAAGAGAAGGAGAAGGGCTGACAAATAAATAGATTGAAGCCGATATTTTTCGCAGCTCCGGTTGGAAAGCCTTCCCTGGGAGAATACAATTTGACAGTTGCCCACTAGTATAAAATGGTTCGGGTTAGTCAAAGCGAGAGAATCGGAAGTATTCACGATATGAACGTCCCTTTTCGATAGATTGCGAATAACCACCCCTTGACGTTGTGGACGTGTGGTCTTATCCCCTTCTGCAATCTGGTTATCGAGGTCCGCTAGTGTAATTTTGAGGGTGTCAAGCTCGGATTATAGAAGCCTTTTTTCTAAATCCAAATCTACAGCACTTTGAGCAATACGAAATCTGTCATGGGCGGCCGAATCTGTATTGTTCGCCACGCTAAGTGCCAAGCTGTTATATAAAAGGGCTTATTATTTGCCAAGTACTGGAACTCAAACAACCTGTGTTCTCTTTCAACCCTTTCAATAGTGATATTCATTATTTATATTGTCACATTTAAGGATGACCCAAAGATCCTCAGAGTGAGTTAAAAAACGACATTTCGCTAATACTATACGTGCTGATTTTGGTTATTAGTACTAGTGCTAGCGCTCCTCTGAGCCAAGATAATGTTCGACAAATTCCATCGGCGCCACGCCTGAGTTTCAACTATTATCTCAACGTGCCGTCATCGGTACAGTCCTACTATCTGGCTGCATGCGAACAAGAACGTGAATCGCATCATGCCAAGCTCTCAAAGACAGTAAAAGCGACGGAGTCTATCTTTAGGATCGATCGTGAAAAATCAGACAAATGTGATAATGCTGTTCAAAAGCCATAATTGGCTCTTAGAATAATCTCTTGAATTCCATCCAAATTCCCCTCCATGAGTACTTTAGAGGTGCAATACATAAAAGTAAAAGAAGCCAAAAGATCAGTCCTCCCATTAAGCCAAACTCCAGAGCGACGGTATCTAATAAAGACATAGCTAGATACCGTAAGAAGTAAGACACTTTCTCTGTCTTGAGAAAACGCTATATCTCGAAACTTGTCACGGTATGCATCTGGGCTGGAGGCAGAGCTTGAAAAGAACATGTTGCGAGAAGCCTGGTTTGGAGAGCCACGCTCTCTTCTGCGACCAGAATAGTTCTTAGACCGAGTATACGCCCAGCCATGACGCCTTTTCATGTGTAGTTTGCAGTTGCCCTTACGCTTCGAGGTATAATTGCAAGCCTGGAAGTGGTATTTAAATAAATGAGGAGCACTAGAGTGCTTTTCATTTATGTGGCGATCGCGCACTGACTTACTTGGCCAGCCAACTTGATAATACTTGCATGTAGAGTCGGTACACTTCCAAGGACGCGAATGACTCTTCTTATGGCTTGTCAATTCCCAAGTACGCCTGAAACTCCTATTGCAGTGTGAGCAGTGCTGGCTATCTTTCATTTGAGGCCCCTCAGCATCGGGCATCTCTTTTGCTGGATAACACTCGACCGGGGTGTTAAAGTTGAGTCTTCAGTCGAAATGTAATGTAGATATAAGTTTTTCGTACCAATTTTTTATAATTGACAGTGCTGGTCTCAGGATGGGCCGGTATGTTTAAGCAAAAGTAATTAGAAGTGTTTTAAATAGTAGACGAAGGTATTTTGGGAAAGACTTCTTAGCATGAACTCCTAAGCCAAGGCCGGTTGGGGATATTATGATTTTATAGTTGAAGATTACTGGCCCTTAGTACGTAAATCTAACCTTCAAACTATAAATTATCATCGAAGCCATCTTTCCTCTTCAGGACTCCGGTCAAAGAACATTCGCGCAAGCTCCAATAATCCACACTCTTTGGTTGGAACAATGTTAAAACAATCAACATCATTAGAAAGCCACATAAGCCAGGCTAGAGAGCCAGGCAATCGAGCGAGCCCATTTTAGAGAGCAAGAGGCGAACAGCAACGTTTAAATGGCTATCTAATTGATTCCATAAGGTATAATTAGAAATATTTGACCTGTCTCAAGACTTGGAGTTGCCATGTTCCGATAGATTGATATGGTTCGTTTTATGGCTTAGGAACCTGAAGCATGTCCGTATTCTTTTGAATACATTCAGCAAATTCATACAAGGTATGGTAAAATATTTTGAGATGTGCGTTCTACTTTAGCAGGTGATCCATCAGCTCTTTAATTGTAATCGCGATTTGCGGGCCTATGCTAAAACATTACTAGATAAGATACCATTAATAAAAGAATAAGATCCAGATGTTGAACATTTGAAGTTGTGATAAATATCATACGGATCGCAACAGATTCCTGAAACGAAAGGAGCAGATATAGGCCCACTAGCGGCGAGTGGATAGCTTCTTACTGTTATTCAAGATTTAGGTGACTTAAAAGGATCTTAATTTCATGGAAGACGATTACCTCTAGTCTCAACTTCTAGATTACCCTGGTATATCGAAAAATGTAATACCTTGCAAAGGAATGTTGTATTGCCCGTTGTCGCCAACTTCTTGGAGTGGAATTTCTCCCTTATAATAAATCCACCTTCTCAAAACTCTTGAACAAAGTTCGACAAGACTCTTTTGAAATTCAGCTTTGGCTGCTCTGGCCTGGTCTCGAATTGATGTAGATACTGAAGTGGGATAGATATTTCGGTGCAGATTTGTCGAGCTTCAATAGGAAAACGACTCTCCTTGAGCAATAATTCAGGTCTAGGATGATCGACTGCCAAAAAGGTCAACGAGATAATCAACCTAGCAGTGTTGTTTATCGGGTAGAGATATGGATAGAGTATGCATTTGTGAGCAAAAGAAGAGACTTCATAGTCCAGTTCCTCGTTGCTAACTCTGTGAGCAGTATGAAGTGGGGAGTAATCGTTCTCTTGGAATTCCCCGTAGACAAAGATAGGATCGTATTTCCCTTTGTCGTTTCTGTTGATCATGCAGCCAGCGATCCATTGAATATTTTGACCAAGCCCCAGTTGAATCAGTTGTTGATACCCAGGGATGACCTGGTTGTCCACTGGTCTGTTGAAATCAAGTGCGTTCTTTCCAACGGGGATACCGAATCCTGGGAGGGAAGATAATGAAGACTCCGATATAGAATACATAGAATAAGACATGTTGAAAAATCTATATTCCCTCACGTTTTCAAGAGCCTACTATCATCTTATATAGGTAGTTTGCCTTGACTTTGGGGCAAACCCTGATACACTTGCATGCAGAAAGTTATCATAGCGTTCAGCGGGAAAGACCCAAATTCAATTTTTGGCTGCTTTTAGACCGGCAGAAAAGAACATTCAATAAAGTACCTCAGTTAAGAAACTTGTGCTTCATTCCTACCATTCTAAATTATATGTTCGTGAAAGCATCTAGCTTCAGATAAAATTATGAAGAGTCATATATCAATCCTCATTTAGGCACACTAGTCGCATTTTCCCGTTGATGATCTTTACAGTGCCTGTTTCAAGTGCCCATTCGGTCAAATAGGAATCCTCCCTCGCATCAGTTGCATTCCCTTCTTCATGACAACTATGCTCCATGCGTTTATTCCATCCGTTCTTTTCCAGAAACAGCTCTTGACAGAATGGACATTGGCTCTTAGTGGGTGGGTACCGTCCATGATGCCAGGAACTATTACCCTCACCACCTTTGACAAATTGGTCATGATGCACACGGCGCTGGTGTTCGATGAGCATGTCTTCGCGGACGAATTCTGTTGGCCGACATTTATCGCGGCGCTCTTGAGAGTTCAGGCATATCTCGCACCGATATAAGTTTGGGACTACATGGATAGTAGTTATATGGCGTTTGAAACTCGACTTGTAGTTGAAGGTCGCTTTGCATCCGTAGGGCGCAAAAAGACATCGGAATCGTAAGCTGCCAGATTCTGAGCTGCAATACAGATTCTTGTCAGCGTCTTCTAATGAGGTGTTAGGTATGCTAGGTTTCTCGCCCAGCTTTTCAGCAAAGCCAATCCCGGGTGAACATATGCTCTTGTTATTTGAGCCCGGGGAACTGTCGGTAGTAGATTTGATATTTGGTCCGATCAATGGAGAATAAGATTCCAGTAATGTTGTCTCTCCATTCAGAGTTAGAGGATCGATATTCGGCGACGGCGATGCTTGTATAACACGAACAATAGAGTTGGATTTGCTGGACTCATAAAGCTTGACGCATAGTATTTCAGCAAAAAGCCTTGTATCAACACGGCATATACCCAATTGTTTAAAAATGCCCGGTCCATAAGAAGGGGATAAATTGTGGAATGCTTTCGCGAGTCTTTTAATCGCATAATCTATTTACTTTAGCGCCATGATAATCACCAGGGAATATGCGGTTTCATACCTTTCATACTTTGATTTTCGATATCGAAATCTGGGATTTGTTCTCTAAAAAGTCGAGAACATAACTTTGGTATAATCCGCGGATCTAAGGCTGCAAATGCTCGTTCATAATAGGCTATCACTGCCCTATGCTCATTCAAATTGATAATTTGAGGTAAGATCCAACAGCATCTTTTATCTTCAAACTCAAATACGACCTTGAGTGATTTGATCATCTGTTGCAGCTCAGCAGCCGTAACGCCTTCCTCAAATGCTGGAGACGAATGGAGCATCAACAAAAGCCCTTTGAGATCTAAGTCCCAGTGATACTCTTTCCAAGCTGAGATATCTGCTAGACCAGAAAAGCAGTAAGAAACCAGAGCTATACTTGCTCGCGATCCAAAGGCGCGGTAAGGGGGAGAGGAGACTCCCCAATCTCTATAAAGAGAATGAGATGAAGACGAAAGTTTTAGAAGTGTGCCTATGATATAACGCACTTGGATTGACATATCTTCCATAGAGGGGGATAGTTGCGCAAGAGCTTCTCGGGCATTCATCCACCAAGGCGTCAAATGATAAGACTGAAGCTTGAAACAATCTACCCAGTCTTGGTCTCGGCGCTCAATCACCTGCAAGACTGCATTTTTATTGCCTGGATCTACAGATAGAATAAAGAGGCAGCTCAGTACTAGTAAAATCTGGTTTATGTCACTAGTGGGTGCTTTAAATGTTGTTAGTATTGCCAAATCGATCAATAACTGTGGGATTACATACCTTGCGATGCCTTCGCAATTATGGATCTGCATCTCTCATGATTCTTCATTATGATAAGATCTTCTCAAAAGCGATTTCAAACACGGACGATATCATTATAACAGGCAACAAAAAATGGAGGAGTTTAACTTGAAGGCTATTCTGATTTATATAGCTCAAGAGCATTGGGGTCGGCCTTTTTGACTCGGTCAGAACTATCCTTGAGCCGACTTTTTAATGTCCACACTACAGAAACTTCCGTATTATTCTAGTAATTATGCAGATAACGGTAATGTGAAAGCTTTTCACATCTAGAAGGTCGTGATTCAGATGTACCTCTCAGTATCAATGAGTAGATGCACTTTAACGGGTTCCAGAATGTTGTTTGTTACATAGCGCAGGAATGAGGTAATGGTAATTACAGGGTGTGATAAGATTGGTGGTCCTGCTCTATTGCAATATTACAATTTTGACAGGAAGAGCCGCGTTGGATTTTAGCTATAAATAAAGTATCTTTTTCTCTCGCGAATATACAGAATTCACTTGAATCATAGTATGGAACTGATGATCTATAGCTCAACTGATCTTATCGTGACAGGGGTACTGTAATCAACAACAGGAAGGGAAGTTAACGTAGAGTCTATAAGACAGGAAAGATAGCATTGGTCTAAGTTGTCGTATTCTAATTTGACATTTAGAAGAAATATGTCTATACTTCGTTTGGTTCAAGTTTTGAAATTAGGCTCAGTGGAGTGAGCCTATTGGTATATAACGAGTTTCCAGAAGGCCTGGGAACTAAGTGATTGGATAGCAAGAACAGACGATTAATTCATTTCATTGACTTCATAGTTGTAAAGTTTGTGGTAGACCCCATTCTGTTCCATAAGTTCATTGTGTGCCCCCCTTTCAACAACTCTACCATATTTTAGGACGAAAATTATGTCGGCGGCTTTCGCAGTCGAGATTCGGTTGGCGGTAATCAGAGTTGTCCCTCCAAGCTCTGCGAACTTTTTCAAAATGCTGTTTTGTGTTTCTGCATCAAGAAAGGAGGTAGGTTCATCCATCAAAAGGGTTTTTTCGCGATGAAGGAAAGCACGTGCAATCCCGATCCGTTGTTTTTCTCCATCTGAGAGCTCTTCTGGCCTCACATGGCTTTCATACCCTTCTGGAAGTTTGGAGATAATATCATGCACTTCCGCATTACGGCAAGCCTTTTCTATTTCTTCAGAACTAAACTCACCGCCGCATTTCAAATTCTCGCTGATTGATAGATCATCAAAGGTCTGAATACCCGCAGGAGCAAATGTGATTGCTCTGCGCAACGAATTAAGTTGAATGTGTTCGAGATCAATGCCATCAATTAAGATACGTCCCGATTGAAATGGGAAAACCCGATCAAGTATCTTGAATATCGTAGACTTGCCAGAGCCTGAATGACCTACGATTGCCACTGTTGTCCCTGGATGAACCTCGAAACTGAGATCCTTCAGGATTGGTCGCGGTCGGCTGGAATAGGAAAATTCCACACTGTCAAAAACAATATGACCGTTTGTATGTTGAATTCTTCGGGCACCTGCACTATCCTTGATGCTTGGCTGCAGCTCAAAAACATCCAGAAGTTTTTGGATGCCATCAAACATGGGGACTTTTCTTGAGACCCCTGTAGAGACCGACATGATAACGTTCGCAATCGTTGGCCAGTAATGTGTTAGAAATGCAATATCTCTTGACATAGAACAACGCTGGATAAAAAAAAACAGCCGTCGTTCTATTATTCTCAAACAGTATACTCTGAGAAGGCTCTGTTTCATTTGAGTGATTTCATGTTGAAACAGTACTGCAAGGGCTTTTTCGAAGCGATCACAGAAGTACTCCGTAGCATTGTAGATCTTGAGAATAAAAGGCTTTTCCAAAACTTGATTCTTGGCCCTCTTCATCGTGGTCATCTTCTCCGAAAGACCAGAGTCACGAGCCAACCCGCTCGTATGGCTATCTAGGCCCATATAGAATATAGCTCCCAAAAGGAATAAAGAAGACACTAAGAAACCCAGCTTCGCGTACAAAATTGCACAAGCCAGAACCAGTTCAATGATAGCTGGGATCAATCCAAATAGCACCTGGCAAAAAAGGCCCACAAGATCAATAGCCGTTTGTATAATTATATCTCTTTTTGCCTTGTCATGCTGGAGATGAAATTCTAGATCAAGGCTCAAGACATGCTTCATGGTGCCAGTCTGTAACTGGTGTTCCAGAAACATCGCAAGTGGAATGTCGACAACTTTTGAACAATTTCCAAAACGACTGAGATCCAATCTAATCGGCTCCAGTTTTTCAGACTATCCGCTGGGTGTTCCATCAAGAGCCCAATCTGGAGTGAAGTCAAGGCGGTGATTGCAATTTTGCCGAGGACAGACAGAAAGCAGGCCACAAGCCAAATCTGCGCTTGAGGGCTTTTCCTGGGGGAGAACATAGGTAGGACAAGGGATAGCCTGTTCATGTTGTACCTCCAAGTCCGTATTTTTTTGGGCAGCGATTTGATCGAGAAAAAGCAGAGAAATATAAAGGCAAGCAGAAGAGGCCGGATACTTGAGATTGATATCAAGTCGTCCCATCCCAGGAGTAGTGGATGGAGCTCGACTATGGCAGAAACAAGAAAGGTACGGAAGGGATCAAGCCTTAACCTCTCTGGTGCGAAGATACATAAGGTCCACAATATACCGAGAAACAATTTCAGATAAAGATGAAAATTGTTTGGTTCTAGGCCGAGCGCCAGCAAAGCAAATTCAATGGAGTAGAATATGGCGAATCCAGTATATTCAAAAGATCCCATGGTGATAGAAATTGCTTGGTTGATCAATGAAGTGTAGTTGGAAATGAGAGGTCGGCCCTTTATATAGAAAATTATTGTTTGGAATGAATATATCTGAATAATTCTATACTCACTGTATCAAAAATGTCCTGATTGGTACTGTGGCTGGCGCTAAACAAGACACCATTGGTAGAACAGGCCTTGGAAGAACTATTCGAGGCGGAATCGAGCTCTATAACATACATAGATAATATAAATATTAACAAATATTGCGAGAAGTTATGGGATAATACGGTTATAGCCATTTCACTTTAAATCAAACAGTCCGAGTACAAGCAGTTTATTTAAATCCCAAGATACCGATCCTAAAAGCTTCAAGACTAAAACAACTCAAATAGTCAAAGGGACCACAAATAAGGCTAGTAAACAACGTGGCGCAAAGATGAGACAACCGTCATTAAGCTCTATTCCCTAATCGCATCATACACTCCCCAATATTTATCTTCACAAGAGGGGCGTCTTTCATAAGGTCACCAACAAGTTCACTACCGTCTGACATAGAGAAAATATCCCGAAGATCGGAATGTAGCTCCAAAGGGGGCGTAATTTCGTTGTGTAGAAGCTTCAATACAACGACGATACGAATTATATCATGGCCACAATCACCACATCCAGAATCTTTGGATCCTTCAAACAATCCACTCGGCGCATATCCAATTTTGCTGGCTAGCATCGGCCTCTTGTCTGCGGCCTTATTGGAACCTGAACAAGCGCTGTCAACATACTTCAGAACAGACTGGTAGTTGATATGGAAGGACGTTTTCTGCTTTTTAATATCGCGTTTATTCCCTATCAAATCAGATAAATAACTTCATTTCCGAGGGATATAAACATACACCAGCACTTGATATACATCTCCAAGTGATCACAATCCAGACCAGCGATATCAGGCATCTTTGAAGCAGATCGTAAACGTTAAAAATTTTTTATTAAGCGATAATAGCATATAATCCGGGCCTCTTTCGATTTAAGTATTATAGAAAGGCTCTTGAAAGAATCCGGCAAACCTTTAGGCGGGTATCTTCAGTCTCGAGGTCTTTTTGCTTTATTGAAGCTACGGTACTTGAACAAATTTCTGATAGACTTATTGGTCAAATATTGAAGTTTTGAGCTGCGGAAGCTTTAAACAAGACCAATCGGAAAGTGATTAATTTGATATTGGAACCATATTTTCTTGAAGTATCTAGAGTCTGGAAGTGGTATTATTATATTCATAAATGAGATGCACTGATATGCTACAAGAAGTTTTGGAGAAAGAAAGAGATAGCCTGTATTGAAGTCTATGGAGAAGCGCTATCATCCGTCTTAAAACACTTAAACCCTTCTGACCGGACCTGATATGGAATGAGCGGAAATCGTTTGCACAAAGCTTCCCATTCATTCAGTCCCATTCTATGCAGTTCCCTTTTTAACAATTTTGACTGGCAGATTTGACGAGGCCATTCTTCCATAAGTGAAACTTCAACTAAAGCAGATTCCCCGTTATTTCTAACCAAGAACCGAATATATTGATCAGAAGTCGTATCATAATATTGAATCATTTCGCAATTCAGCACTTGATAAAGCTGCATCTGTTGAATTCTCCAGAAATCTTCAGGTTTTCCAATGTCATTGAGTAAACACTCAGTTGAATTTGCGAGTTCTGTAAAACCCACATCTGGTCTTGTCGAGGATCTTGTGAGAGTATTGGATGGTACAGTTATTGCTTGGAATTCCTTCCATTCTCCAAGATCTTCAAAGTCGTTGACTGAATACTCAGTTGAATTTGCAAATGTGGTAAGATCCACGTCTGACCTCGTCCGGCGCCTTCTGAGAACATTGGACAGCCTAATTTAGATAGCTATTTAGCGTCGAAAATTCATTATGGTGAAGTGAAGTGTAATAGGTACAGACCGACGTATGCAGGTGGAAATCCTTATCTTAATATGTGTTAGACAGGACATTGTGACTCTAGGATTTAATGGACTCCTAGGGTTGAAGATTAATATAAATGACAGTGGTCATTTCCACGGGGATGACGAGCCTTTTATCTGATCTTCTTTCCTGCGTTCCATCTCATATACCTGAAGTATATATATATTGGTATGAAATTCTAGGGGAATACTACATGAGGTGAATATGTCTCGCAATACAGGTGTCCTTTTCCCACATGACGGCGCGACAAAGATCCTAGGAGTCGGGATATTATTCATAGGCATAGGTCGACAGTTCTCAAATTTCCGTATGCAAAGGATAGCATATATCAAATATAATCGGTGACTCCTCATAGGGCGGGTCAAATGCAAGCAGCAATCCAGGTTTCGATCTATTTTCCTTGGGCAAGTCACAGATCTGCTTCTTAGAAAACCAGCTGCACTGTAAAGCATTCGGGTAATCCAGTGACCTTGCATGAGAGAGGCCTGCAGAATAATCGATAAACAAGCCAAATGACACCTTTTGCTGTCCATCCTTCTCTAGAATAACAGATGAGAAACCCCTGACTTGAACTACTTTGTATTTTGTCAAGTTTTCCCAGTGTTGGCATGCAATTTGTAGGACTGTATCCTCTGAAGAGAAATGACTACCAATATCTATATATTATTAGATATTTGAATAAGGATAGGGCTCAGCTTCTACTTACCAATAATTGATGGGGCCCATTGTCCATTGTGATGAAATAACAGAATGTTTTGTTCCATAGAGACTGGATCGGTCCGTATTTGAGTTACTGTGATTGCGATTTCTTGGCAATCATCATATCTTCTTTTCAGCTCGGAAATCGATACGTCAATACTTTCGGTTCGAGTATTCATACTTGTTGGTTGAAATGGCCATATTTCGGCGGGGTAGTGTCCTTATAAGTACCAATTCCAAATTAAACATATCCTATCTAAGCTTCGTTTAAGACCTATGTAGAGCGATGCGTATAAAAATATATTCTGGGGTCTTCAGGCTTTCCAGGGTATTGGGGCTTCTCGGAGATCAAATTTCCTGATTTTCATTTCTTAGTACTAGCGATCGCGCCTCTCTCAGCCAGAACAATATCCAACAGATTCCATCGATGCCACAATACAGTCTCAAACGATATCACGATGCGATACCATCGGCAGAGCCCTACTTTTGCGGTCTATCTACAGAAGAACGAAAATCGCACCTGGCTGGGCTCACAAATGCAGTACACGAGATGAAAGATATGTAATCGAACAATTTGTCGGATCGCTGCTTATATCTCTGTGGCAGCTGAGCGTTACAGTTGTTGGATATGGACGGAAGCAACATGTCGACTGAGTTCTGCTGCCGAGTAACATTTTTCGGTGCAGTTATCCCATTCACACGGAAAGCGATTCCATTCAATAAGGATCATTGGTGAACCCACACTTCCGGGTCCTCTTTTTTGTCCTTTTTCTCAACCTTTCCTGAATAAGGCTGCGCGTACTTCTGACCCAAAGCCGTCATTGTTGGATTTTAAGGAAATTGCTAGTTGCTATGCAAGGCAGCTGAAAGAATAGCGAATGAATTTCTCATGATGAGCAGCGCGATCCAAATATTTATATCCATTGACAGGGAAGCTCGAGGTGCACGGTTGACAAAGGAAATCAGACAATAGCTGCGCCGGAGGCGCGCTTAGCTTGAATCAAGCTTCTATCCAATACCTAGGGAAACAGATTAATGAATTGTTATTTTGCTTTGGAAATAAACATACATAAAACCCCTTTGGCTTAAACCCTTGGCAAAGGTGGCATAATATTGGAATTGCGTTACCGTGCACCTCTGCAGATGGAGAGTTGAATACTTCGTCGTTTATCACAGTGATATAGTGAATAAATAGTGCACACTCCAGGCACACAAAGGACCTTTCATGGAGAGAATTGTAATTCCGGTGGTTCTGAGCGCGGTTCCATAGACATCTGGGTAAGAAATAGACAGCACTTTGACCACTTTGCGATCTGGAAAGGCCATCGGCGGATTTCCCGGTGGCTCAGTACTGAGAGGACTAGGCGACTGATGTGGAACATGTATGGTCTCAGTCTGCAGATATTAGTACGTCGAAATCCGAAGGGGATGTTTCAGTGTCACCTTAGAAGACCCAAAGCACTGGTTGATCAGGCTTATGATATTGTTATCAAACCAAGAAAGAGTGAACATTTGTGCGAGTCTAGAGTCAAAGCCCAAGATCCCTTGTGCGGTCCGCTTGGCTTTATAACAGGTTAATATTCTACCCCTTTAGGGGACGCTTTCGTACTTTTAACCTTCAATTGTACTCGAAAATAAATTAATCTCTTTTTAACATTGGAAGACTACGAACATGGCCAGGGTTGCTCGTTGACACAATATAGTAAAAGGCACATTCCTAAAGCCTCATGCTCTGATACCGTTCAATCACCTTACAATAGTTGACTCTTTTTGTCTTTTGGATTTGAAATTACTAGTATTGCCATACAAAGCAGACAGGGACGTGTATTTTGGTTGAAGTGTTAGAGCCACATTTTTCCAATTTTCAAAAAACGGTGTAAGATTCCTCTTGGTGATTGTAAAAGGTTTGAGACGGAAGAGGACAACTAGTCTGTTCCAATTTTTACTGTCAGCAAATTTCTCTGCAGTGAAGAAGTAAAGAAGTTGAGACTCACCATTATGATGGTTGGAGACCCTCGAATTTCTTTTTCCGAGATAATGCTGCCATAAAAGACAAACAGCCACAAAGGGAAACCAAAATAAATAGGCGTAGGGTGTGAAGCCCAAATTTTTGAGGTATAGATCTAGCATAGTCGACTGAAGTTTATATTTGATGGATTGAAGGGTCAATATTTTTTTTTGCAATGTGACTGATACTCCAAGATAGAAGGCTTAGATGTTTCTCTTGATAAATAAACAAGCTTGGAGATGTGCACAAAGATGGCAACTCCTTGAAGCTCAAGACATCCATACACCAGAACGATGATAAAGAAGAAAATCCAAAGACATATGTCCATCAGAATCTATTGTATTCCGTTGATATTCAACTCGAATATTGTTGAGAATACTACCATTCGGTTCGTCCAGGAAATTTCGTAACTGGCTCAGTTGCTCGGGGGTGATCCGGTCGAATGGCCGAGGTGTTGTGAATTGCCAAGCAACGTGCAGTAGTTTGTGGATCGTGACTTCATCAAGGTCCTTTGAACATCTATCCACATAGTCATCGATGATGAGTAGATCTTCGTCATCTTGCTTCAAACTTATAACAGTGTCGTAGATGGCCTTTGCATCCTTGCTGAAATTTTCTGGAATCCTAGTTGTCGCGAGAGTTTTCATTCTTGAGAGCAACAGCTCTCTCAATACAACTCTCGCTAAACCACGTAGATGATCATTGAGATAGCTCTACATATTGCAATAAGCATCTGAGGGTACAAGAACCTTGGAACTGGTGTGTCAAACCTTTGGTAATTGGCTATTCATGATTCAGCTCAATTTATACGGAAAGCGTTGATGATAGATAGTAATTCCTAAAACACTGTGAAAGACGGGATTAAAATTGATTTATATACAATATAGAAATGTATGATTTCTTTCCCGACAGTCTAGGTGGATGTGACTAAACAAAAAGAAAAGCAAAAAGAAAAAGAAAAAAAATCAGAAAAGGACATAGTTTCGAGGTCGTGAGGTGTGAACGTGGGGCCAGTCATAAACGATTCTCTGACATATGAATGGTCCATTGGTCCACCCCACTGATCACTAATTGAGGTTAACAGGAATGCATCGTGGAAAATAACACGCGAGGTTTCGACCTCCAGGGTGAACTGCATGTGTCATTGGCACCTCATGATTCCCTGTGCTCCCCGGGCAGCGATAAGAAAATACAGTAATGATTCATCATCGAGTCCAGTATTGAATATGCCCACTCAACTCATTAAAACATTCTAGAGCATTCAATTTCTCAAACATAACCGACTGATAATCAGAAGCTAATGGCAAGAGCAGATGTCTGACTCATTTCGTAGCTATTCATTCTTGACAAGATCCAAGACTTCTTCGTCTTCTCCGTCGAGTAAGAGCCAGTTTATATCATCTGCTCTACAGCCGTGAGTCCGAAGCCAATTAAGGAGTGACGATGGATCCTCATTGTAAATGAAAATCTCACTCAAAGCATCTGGTGATCTAGACACTGCGTCTGAAAGGTCGATCCCATACAAGAGCATACGTGAAGCCAGGTCGCCTGTGGCAAATCGACATATATAAATGCAGGTTGAATCGTTGAAGGCTTCATGAATGAGAAGCTTCAAGGCGTTAACAATGCCCTTGCTCTCTATCCTTCTCCAAACATGGTTGAAAAGTGTTTCATTCATCGCTGCAACCTCCAGTGTGGTAAGATGAGCCTCAAAGCTGTATTCGGTTGCAGTAGCTGCCGGTAAATTATCATAGGCTCCGGGTAGCACCATAGCACAACTCAAACTACTTTGAAGGTTCATCTTTCCAATTAAGTCTTCTGCTATACAGGATTGACCTGTACAAATGGCGAGCAAAAGAAAGCTGATTCCTGCACAATTAAACCCATTTGCAGGTATTATGCCGAGCTGAAGGAGTCTGCGAAAATATTTTGGACGATCATGTATTGCTTTAGAGGCAATGTCAGGAAACGTATCACTGTGCTGAAGATTTCGAGATGCAGCCGCCTCTTCGAAACATTCGAATATAACCCAATTCCATTTAGCCATTTGTCGGAGATGGGAGAATTCAGTGTATCCAATTTCACACAGTTCTTCCAATGCTTTCTCGGATGAACTTAAATCAGTCTGCAAGATCATCTGGTATAGTGAATCAATCTGTTTCCAAGGCCAACATCGCTGATCTTTTCTCTTACAATTATCGCAGACTTCGCCATCTCCAGCGCAACGTCTCTTCGAGTACCGACACATAAAACAGGTGGTGTTTTTTCTTTTTTTTCTTCTCGGATGACCGGTGCTACATATTATATCGTGTCGCTTACCGTGATCACAATCATTACGATCCCCGGTGCAACGGACTTTCGAACGGCGACAACTCGCACATGCAGATGAAGGTGGCATCCCTTAACGTAATTCCCAATAATGGAAACTAAATAATTATTTCCACTCTCCGAAATGTAGATCACTGTAGAGAAACATCAGACTTTCAAGAAGGCTTAATATAGGTCAGGAACTTTCACCACCGGAGCAGTCTTACCGGTGTCTTCAAGCTTTGCTCTGGGTAGATACATATGTAGCATTACCTGCAAATGTGTGGATTGGGTATCATCCAGAATTGAGCGGACGGACCGCGAAAGAGTTTTGAGTAGGACTGGTTGGAAATCGATGTTGGAGACTCTGGAAGTGGTATCCTTATATTTATAAATCGAGAGCTGTAGAGCCATGTGTCAGCATTATGTGCCATAAGAATGTCACATTGTCATTGGAACTCCTTTCGTATAGACTCTTAACAGTATGTATGGCGTCGTTAACGTTTCTTTCTCTGGGATGTATGCGCTGATATTTAGGGGCTTTGGAGAAAGGAAGAGATGACCTGCATTGAAATCTATGGAAAAGCGCTATCATCCGACACGTTTTTCTGACTGAACCTGAGATGGAATGGATGGGAATCGTTCGCACAAAGCTTTCCATTGATTAAGTCCTATAATTGGTACTGTGATTGGCGCTAAACAATACATCATTGGTAGAATAGACTTTGAAAGAACTATTCGAGGCGGTCGAAAATTGAGATCTCCCCAAGTTCAGGCGGCATGACCCAAGATGGTATGATGCATGGTTGTAATTACGTTCGAAGGGTAACGAGCTCTGATAGTATAAAATGAATCCAAGAAATGCCAATAGTTTTTGACTGTATTCATTTTGACTTCGATCCACTGGTATCGGCGAGGGGGTATACGCTATGCGCTTTCTCGTAAAGGTTTTCATTCTCAGCTGTCAGCCTCCAAGAGCTAACTTAAAAAGGTCATTCTGAGCTTCAATCTCTCCAATACAATATGCTTTCTTCCTCAAGTAAATTAGGTCTTCAGATCTTCCAGGATCTGCTCTAAATTGGGCTCTTCGGCAACTCGTATCTTGCGTGAGAGCTCGGAAATTTGCTGGTCCAAATACTCCACTTTCTCCTGATCAGGCATCTGGTAAAAGCCTTCAGGCATCTCAGGGTTGGTTTCCAACCTGATAGACCTTATGTCGTACTTCCCCGTCAGCTTTCTGTGCCTTTGGGAAAGTGATTGTAGTTTTCGTAGTTTCCGATCCAGTATCGTGGGAGGCTTCTGGGGTCTTCTTTTCGGCTGCCCGGAAAGATGTTCGTCGAAGAGAGCACTCGCCTTCCTCTTGGGGCGATTCTGGGTGTGTATCGCAAATCGGGTGGAGCGAGGCGTATCAATAGTTGTAGATTTGGGGTTCTCAAGCTTTTTTGAGTTTTGGGGCTCCTCGGGGCTCATTGCTGTGAGAATACTTTCGCTGGTGGGCTATAAGATTTGAGATTGGGCTTCAAGAGAGCTTTTGTATTGGGCCGATAGACAGAGGCACCGTCGAGACATGTCATGGAAGATATTGTTGGACGCAGCTGGGCCTTGATGACTGCTGCTTATAATAATCTTGGCGGAATTCGGCTCCTATCAATCTTGATTTTCTAGAATGCTGAAGGGGGCGATAGGCTTCAGCCGCTAGAAATAAGCCCATTGATCCACGATACACAGACGGTACTTACAATGATGTTGACCCGAGTGTCTATTGCCAGAGCTTCTTTGTCTAGTGTCGTCTAATACACAGATGAGACGAGAGGCAAAGGGCTATAAAATTAAACCAGGCACGACAGGCATATGGCACAAGTCACCGAATGTAGATACTGGTTCACGAATAACTGGACTTCAGGATTGGAACTTTAAGGAAGAATATGTTGCAACAATAACTTCTGTAGAATTCTAGATACAACCAGGATCTAGAAAAATCCATAGTACCTTAGAGCCGCTTTCATGCCATCTGTCACCTGATCATTCATTTCTAATGTGTGGCTTCCGTTTCTTCCTGTGTTATTATCCATGAGAGCTTAAAATAATGGCACTTGTAGCAAAGGACATTCGCTAACTGATCAGTCATGCCCGGTTTATACGCCGTTCACAACCCCATGGATAGATTTCATCTGTGTATACTCGCAATTTTTTTTGGAAATTTGTAAGCCAAGGCGTAATCCATCAAAGAACCTCAGAGACGTCATTAAACTCTATGCCACGCTCTGAAGTCGCATCATACACTCTCCAATATTTATTTTCACAAGGGGGGCGTCTTTCATAAGGTCACCAACAAGTTCACTACCGTCCGACGTGGAGAACATGTTCCAAATATCGGAATGTAGCTCGAAAGGGGGCAGAAAATTGTTGTGTAGAAGTTTCAATACAACGACAATATAAAAAATGGCATGGTCAAGGTCTTGATCGCCACATCTAGAGTCTGTGGATGCTTCAAATAACCCACTCGGCGCATACCCAATTTTGCTGGCTAGCATCGGCCTGATGTCTGTGGTTTCATTGGATTTCGAAGGTGGACAAGCACTGTGAACGTACTTCAGAACGGACTGGGAGTCAATGATAATGGAAGTTTTCTGGTTGTTAAGTCGGCGTTTATTCCCTATCAAATCAGATGAATGATTCCATTTTTAATCGCGATATATGAACATACACCAGCCCCTGATATACATCTCCAAGTGATCGGACTTCAGACTTGCGATATCAGGCATCTTTGAAGCAAATCATAAACGTTGTAAAAATTTATTGAAGATTACTGTATACAATCTGGGATTCCTTCACCTTAAGTCACAAAAGGAAGCATCAGTCTAAATTGTCAAGAGTGTAAACCGACGGTTGATGATCAAGAAACGGAGATACAAGTGAAACCAAATTAGCGCCGCAGAATAAACACAGAAGAATCATATTTAAGTACACATTTTTGTTTATCAAAGTATAGTAAAGAAAGTAGAATTTGTCGGGCAGCTGAGGCTCCAGGAAAGGTATTAGACCGGCAGAGAGCAAAAGGTCGGATCCGATTCCAAAGTAAATAAAGCCAGTAATTTCATTGCCGAGGCTAAATCCATCATATATGTTTTATAAAGTGACCAATAATAGGATTAAACGTGACCCTCGCTTGTCTTTGATGGAAAATGTATTGGTTCCGAATCTGGATGCCTATTTGAAGTTCAGACATCGTGGTTGGCTGAATTTTCGTTCGTTTGGCCCATCTAGCCTCTTCGATTTCTTGCTCGGTCACCCAACGGCTCCTGGAGTTTGTAACTACGCTTTCGTAATCAACGGCAAGTAGGGTTAAAGAGACGCATTGTGCATTCTTGGTCGTACGGTGCAGAATACATTTGTCTGCAAAGGAGGCGATATTGAGGCCCAGCTCTAGGGAAACTCGTTTTGCAGTATGAAGTGGTGTATAGTCTGTCTTTTTTTCGTATAAGCCATTTGGCCAGTTCATACAAGTGGATGTAGGATCATCTCGGGATCGCGCGAGGAAAAATTGATTCCGATCAAAGATCATACATCTCACCAAGACAGGAAGCTCAATCATACGTATAATATCGTTGATATGAGTTGTGTCCATTTTAACAGGCTCATCGAGGCTCTTGATTCCAGACTGAGCTACGAGTTGCTCCATGGCAGAATGAATATGGGGGATCAAGCGTTGAGTCAGGTCCTGCCTTTCAAGAGGTTAGGAAGGATTCACTTCCACGGGGATGACGAGCTTTTATCTGATCTTTCCTACTTGTCAGTCAACTCATATCCGTGAAGAATACATACTGGCATGGAATCTGGGATGAATTGACTGCATCAAGCCTTAAGAAAAGGGCCTAGTGCAGAATACTAACTTGTAGCTTTACCAATGTAACCGAACGTAGATGGAAGAGTCTTGCTATACTCGCTGTAGATCTCATTCCCTGTAATTTCTTGTCATTGGGATAGAAAGGACAATAACCAGAGATCATACCTATCAAGTAAAGAAATCAATAAAAGTACCATCTCACCGTCCATTCCGTTCTACTTGTCACCTGATTAATCCCTTTCTCGCCCCCGTCTATAGCTGCCATCCATAAATCAAATTAGTACGACTCAACCTATTCAATATTTACTTCATAGCATTAACATGTTGCTGGTCAACTAAGTGGAATACAGTGTAACAAAAGTGATTGAACAGTTTGTCGAAAGCCTGCTTCCCGTTGATGTGGCTGGGCGTTACAGGTGTGTAGATTCGAAATGAACTCTCAGTGCCTCTCATTTTGGGCAAAAGAATAAGAGAACTTCAGTCTCTTCCCCGGCGACGCCGCTTGCCAGGCCAATCAACTTCACGGTGCGCCTGTCGTATGTGTCGGGTGAGCCCATCGTTGCGGCTAAAGGTCGTTTCTTTGGCGCACAATTGGCACCGCACCCTTTGCTTGGCATTGTGGATACTATCCTCGTGTCGGGTCAACTCGTAAGACCGGGAGAAAACATAGTTGCAAGGCTTTCCAGTAGATAGGTTGAGGCGCTCACACTTGGGGCCTGCCTGAGAATTACGTAGTGTAGTGTCCCGACAAGTCGGGCGGCCTGGCATAGCCAAGACCCCATCATCCCAGGTGGGGGTGCGATCTACATATGTCGACGTCAAGAAGCGGGTATCGACTCCATATACAGACGCCCCGTGGTCATTACGCCCAGATTGAGCGAGTATGGAATCCGACCAGTTTTCTATGGAGCTCACGTGAGAACGTAAGGCGGTTGGGCTCGGTAGATTCTGGAAGGTGTCAACCCACTCACCATGACCATTCAAGTTATCCAAACAGTCTGGCTGCACTCGATGAAGCGCCACATCTTCAAAGGCTGACTCTTTCAAGACTGGTGTAGACAGCAATTGGATAGATTGAGGCATCATATTTCTAGGAAAACTTTGGTTGGGTGGGGCGAGGTGTGATCCATTGCGCACTTGACAAGTTGGACAAATTTTAATGAATTGGGAGATAAACCACTTAGGTACCCTTAGATTGCATATTTGTTAGAGGATCATTGAGAAGAAACTGAATTGAACTCCTACCATGAATAAATGCGTTTGACTTCATCAAAGGTTCTGTCACACCCCCCATGCTGTAATTCCTGGTGTGCCTTGGTAATGATTTTGAAGAACTTCTCACAGATTGCAACGGGCTTTCCTCTATGGAGGATCACATCACAGGCCTAATTCATTTGTTAGGACTATGTCATGATAGTTTAAGCTTCAATAATGGAAAGCTACTCGCCTCAGCTCCTACAGAGGACACGTGCTGTAATTTGAACATCTTCCTGACCCAGAACCTATTTCTCTTAGTATTCATCCCGGAGACAGATAATAAATGGGCTCACCGGAACCCTGCAGATTCAATTTCTTCGTTCTGGGGATCCCTTAGGACGTCCCTAATTGTCCGAGCTGTCTTCGCATTAATCAGCACCTCGCCTTGGCTTTCAGGGACTAGCTGATGTATATATCTATTCGGACAGCTATAATGAGTATTCGAGTCATAAAGCTGGAGGTTAGGGTCAGATGGATCGGAATATACCTGATTATTGATTTGTCGAATTCGATGACATCAGGCAATCCGTCTAACAGAAGCATTACTGGCTCCGAAAGCATTGTATCTTCATTGTAAGAGAATTGGTCTTCGATCTCTGGCCACCGAATAGAATCGCTTGTATGAGGATGTTGTAAGTATTGTTGCTGCGGCATAAATTGCCAAGGCGGATGGTGTAGTGACATTTCCCCTGGAGTAGACATTGAAGGGATTGTATAATCCAATGTATAACTTTTGTTAATTAAGTTCTATGGATGGGCAAGACAATCAATTTATCTATGCCCGAAGATAATAGAAAATAGGCTTTGCAATGTACGCATAGACTGTGCCGATAGGTTTACATACCACAGTCTGGGCAACCTCCTTTCGACAATAAGGAACGATCCCTATGAGCGGCCCGGGCCTTGAACCTTATTCATCAAGCGATTGGCAAGCGACGCTAGTGACTCGTCGGTTTTCGTTGATTTCTAGGCGATAAGTTTTTGCGGATGCGAGTCTACAAAATTTTGGACGAAATCCTATATTTCTCAGCAATAGCGAATAAATTTGGTTTTTTAAGGGTAGAGACATATCCAATAGTCTCTTCCATACGATATTCTTCATTTTCATAAAAATCGGCCATAGTTGAGGGTGTAAAATGGGATAGGTAAAAAGTCTTTTTCCCTTACGGTGAAATTCGGTGGGGGACACTAATTCGGGGTCGCCGGATTAGTGACCGCCCGGCACAGCTACTGCAATTCAGACTTATGTTCAAATTTAGGTAGGATAACATTCAGAATATTGGCAGGAGTAAAATCTGTTAGTACTGTCTGGCTCCATTCTAGGGATTATTCGATTTGCGTATTTGAGCTCAAAGCTCTATTCGTTTTGAATTGGACTAGAGGTCCACAAACTCATCGTACGTCAAGTGATCTTCAAGGCGCTTTTCCGTAACTTGCTGCATCTTCAGTGGCACAATCTTTTCCAATTGATCCAATTCATCCTTCGATAGAAGAGACAGTCTGTCTTCAAGCAATCCATCACCAAAGTACTTTTGATCAAGGAATGTCCAATAGATATCATCAAACATGTAGCTCTTTCTTGCGGCAAGACAAAACCAAAAGACCCCATTTTCCATAGACTGTGCCATCTTCTTTGAGAGCCGCTGGGATTCATTCATTGACTGCATCTGAATCTGCTTGTCTTCGATAGACTGGAGAATACTCAAAAAAAGTCCAAGGCGTGGAGTGAACCTATGTAAAAATAAATTCAAATCAGGCTCCCAATTCTCAGGGGCTTCAAACAGAAGCCACCATGGAGCAGCATAGGTGAATTCTGCAGGCGCCACATATGTATATTCCCAGTCAATGACGCCCATTGTTGTAAGATCGTCCCCTGCAACCAGCACATTTGATGGGCGCAGGTCATCACAGTAAAGATGGAAAGGGCCTGAATTGTCCGTAGAAAACTGCTGGGCGATCTTTCTGAAGAGACATCGAGCTATGTATCGCTTTCGGCAGTCATTTTCATCTTCCACGGCATCATTGCGTTGATATTCAAGGTGAAGAAGTTTCTGGGCTGCTAACTCTTGAAAGTACCCATTGGCAGTATCAAAGCTCTGCTCAGCAAACTCATCCGGGGGAATGTTTCCGACGCGTACAAGCTCATTCATATTGAGAGTCAATGGTCTGTTCGCCACTTTCCACACTCCCGACTCTTTAACGAGAGTACCGACACGCGTGAAGATTGGTTTTGATAATTCTAGTACAATATGGGCCATTCCACGTAAAGTAGACTCAATAACAGGACCCGACATAGTCGCATCTAAAGAAAGCGAGCTTTCGAGGCGTTTGGATAATAAACTCCCTTCAATAAAGCTCATGACAATGTAGGGCCCACAGCCCCAGCGCCCCGCACCAAGGACTAGGGGGACAGGAATACTTGTCTTTTGACAAAGAAACCTCATTACTGAGATTTCATTTCTAGTCTTCTCGGTGCGAAACCGGCTCCGTCCCAAAATGGGAAACCGAACGACCGCACGAAATCCATCCTCAAAGGTGACCGTACAACAAATATTGTATGCCCCAGTCGTAAATTCTGTCACATCAGTCGCGCGTGCCTCTCCATGGCGATGTTGACTTGCGAGTTTCAATGGCAAGGCGGGCGACTGTTTCAACAGCAGCTGAAACCAGGCCAAAAAATACGTTTGGCCCTGTTCCTCAGCTAGATGATCCCAATCCATGACATAGGCGCTGACAGTATGTGGAAATAAAGCATATGGCAGTCGAGTTCAGAAAGGATCAGAGGAGGGCTAAGGGGGAGGGGAACGAGTTCATAAATAGTATTTTAGATCACGTGAACAGAATCATGTGTTAGAGATTAGAAGCAATATTGGTTCAGCGAAAACGATGTATAAAGTTACACTATGCCATTCAACTGTATTCTTGTAGGTTCGAAGCTTGTAAAGTCTAGACCGGGAGACAAAGGGGCTATTTTCCGTACAAGAAGAAGGGTGGGAGTATTGGCATAATGACGGTCGCAGATTACCGGCTAAGAGGCGGTGAATATTGCAATTGTGGATACCCGAGAGGATGACCATACTAACCACTCCACGCACCCATTTCAAACAGCATAGCAAATAAACGTTCTGACACATCCCCTGCACCTCTCAAAGATATTTCCAAGCGAAGCCTGTTAATTTCCTTTCTTTTTCCGACGCTTGATGGTGCTAGCATTGGCTACCTGTAACATAATCTGACGATCTCGATCTGATAGACCATCAATTGCCTCCTTAGCTTGCATCATCTCCCGAAGTTCTTTCTTCAATTGCTCTGTTTGTTCTTCGGATGGGACTTGTACTGCGATCGGGATGTCACCACTGGATTGGCTCATGAAAGAAGGAACACGCTCGAGGCTATTGCGGTTGTGCGAGTAAAAGGCATAGATTGAGGACAAAGTATCCCGAGCTTTCTTGGCCTTATCTTTATCGCCCATAGTGTGATCTAGGTAATGGATAAGGATACGCGGAACGAGATCTGGAGTTTCCGGTTTGCCCAACACTAGATGGTATGGGGTCTGGCAGCGATGGGGATGATAATTGATTTATAGAGAATTTGAATGTTGAATGTGGACGATTTGCACCTAGAAATACTAGATTATAGATTGATGAAACTGATAATATACAGGGGGGCTAGGTTGATCGATCCCCTATTGTAGGTCGCACTTCAAGCTAAACGAGATCAACTCGTCAATGAAAGCCTAATCTTTCTTGAAAACTAGCGAACCAAGAGCAAATTACTCAGTATGATGGCTACAGTGGAAGTTGATCTTTTTTTTTTTCAATCAGTCTTCGCTGGGTTTGATCGTGCTTTTCTTCGACGGGACCAGTTCAGGTTGATCACTTCCTTTTTCTGGATCTACGGCGGCTACAGCAGAAGTCTGTATGGCTCTAGACTCCTACATGAACTATCGATGATCCAAATCTCCAACAAGAGGCTGTGGTGTCGATCCCTTCTATTCAAGGACTCTATGGCGGCTCCGTAAATAATTATGATGCGAGCCAGATGGAATTACCCGATTAAGAACCCCCCACCCGGGGGGTTCTTAATCGGGTAATTCTGGGTTTTGGGTCCAAGTTCGCCCTAACCAAATGACATGACGTTGACCTTCCTCTATGCCAGTATTGAACATTCGCTAGCCAAGTGATTGTATCAGGATGGTTCTGGTAGCCATCATGCTTAGAGAGCAAGGGATTCATCACAGTTTGAGGAAGGAGGATAAAGGGAACAGAGAAAAAATAGATGCGAAGGATGCAGTGTGATGGATTTATCCTGATTTTTGAGAGAGCGAAATAGAATAAATAAGAGGAAAGAAGGTGGTGAGGGGTATGTAGTGTGACAAAGCCTGCATCTCTGTGGCGCTCAGATGTGATATCCTTGCACGTGAATGCAGTCCAGAACACGCTCCGGCCACCTCCCTACGAGCCTGCTTTCGCTTTTAGTTCTTCCAATTGTTAGAATGTGATACAGCTGTGGATTGTTTTCCTTCACATTTTCCCTTCGCTTACCTGAAATATGCGTCGAGAATTTGAGTATGAAGGTGACGACGCTTCTTATATACGATTTCTCGAAGCGAAAGTTCGTGAACTTCAAAGCAAACTTGAGCGCGGTCGTCCATCGAACCAGAGAACAAGGACAAGACGTAATTTGGACGTCTTCCTTGGAAATATTCCTTATCCAAGTGACTGGGCGCGCCTTGGTCATGACTCGCCAGAAAACAGTACAAGAATACTCAAAGCACTTATCGGACGTGGCATCCACCTACGAGGCGGCTCTGTGGTGCCTGGTGATCCTGATATGAAGAACTTATTGCGCCAATATACCCATCTCACTATACAAACAAACGTTGAAGATGAGTTCTTACAATGTTTGGCACATTTCCGTGAACTTGTCTTGGTGTCACTGTTCGCAGTGAATCTCGGAGTCGTGAATCTCGGAGTCGTGAATCCAGATGATACACACACAATCTATGACATAATGCGAGTTTATATGGAATCCCAACAAAAGACCAAAAAAACAAAAGCAACCCACAATAAGAAGACCCCTATGACCGAAAAAACCTTGAGAAAGCGGATTCAGGGCGCGCTCTGGGCTAATCGCATGATATTCGCTTTATCCCAGTCGCCATGGGGCTCAAAATGCTCACTTTGTTTCTTTGTCGGTAAGTGTGCCACCAGTAGTAATTTGTTCAAAATTTCTAACTTCAGGAAGCTGGGCAACCGGTTTCGTACTACGCGCGCTACGCTGAGTTTTCGGACACTCGTTCTTATCTCTTACACCATATGCGAGAAAAAGCAAATGATGAGCCTGACCAGCATCCAGAATCAAATGATGAGCCTGACCAAGAATCAGATGATGAGTCTGACCAAGAATCAGATGATGAGTCTGACCAAGAATCAGATGATGAGTCTGACCAAGAACCAGATAGCCAGCCTGATCAGGAAATAGTTGATGAGCCTGATCAAGAAACAGTTGATGGGATTGATCAGACACCTGGTCTAACACCTCTCGCAATACCTCTCATTATCAAAGAACTTATGGGAGGAAGCGTATCGTGAGTGTAAGTCTTTTTGCATGTCTTGTATCTCAGTCTAATTCGCTCCTCTGCAGACTACGGAAAATATGTGACTCTCTGGGATACAACTTGGACTACGTTTTAAAATGCCGCCCCCTCTTTAGGAAAGCACTGGATAGGGAGGAAAGGCCGTCCCCGGTAGAGGAAAGGCCGTCCCCGGTAGAGGAAAGGCCGTCACCGGTAGAGGAAAGGCCGTCACCGGTAGAGGAAATGCCGTCCCCCGTAGAGGATAGACCCTCCTCGTATGGGAAAAGACCATCTTGCTTCAAAAACCCCAGAAAATCTAAAAGAAGGCGTCCGAAAGCATATCAATCATCAATAAATTGTTTCTCTATTCACGAGAGTGAGAGAAATAAGCTACAAACTCACACTGTTGGTAAGGTGTCATACCTCTTGGTAGGCTTTTGCTGACTCAACCCTTTGTTTGGCCAGGCAATACCCGTCGAGAATACCCCGCCGCATCCACTTCAAACAATTCGCAAGGTGAAGGATACGTCATTGATATCGGTGCTTGCACACAGAGTCAAGCCTCACCTGCACAGACAGGAGTGTCACACTCACGACGCGCGTCTTCCGATCAAAGCAATCCGCCTCTCTCGCCGTCTATATCTGATAGATCACATTTCTCAGTCCACGCCATATCTACTATGCCAGCATCACAGTCTTCAGATGCGGCAATCGATGAGCCCTTCAAGAAATGCTCGATCAATAGATCGAACCCAAAGGAAATTCCACTTAGCAACGATATAACCAATTCGCGGAACGGAAGGATGAATAACAACGATATTCACTCCTCAGCCAGCAAACCCTTCGCATCACAAAGAATATTCACTCAGTTTGAATTTTATCAATCTCCTCAAGGGGTCGACATACCTGATTCTGCCTCTTCCCTGTTACAGAATAGAGTTGGCGGAGCTAGTCTCACAGTGAATGAACTTGAATCCGAGAATCAGAATAGTCGAACTCCTATGACAAACTTCCCTTCCGAAATAACCAGATTGCAAAATATGTCGCAACAACAGGAGTCTTATCCGGATAGCTGTGACCCACCAATGCCCCCAATAGATCTGGAGCAGCTCTACAATTTGAGCACTGACGACTTTACTATGCCAACACTGGACAATTCTGGTCCGCCAATGCCCCCAATAGATCTGGAGCAGCTCTACAATTTGGGCACCGATGACTTTACTATGCCAACACTGGAAAATTCCGGCCCGCCAATGCCACCCATAGATCTGGAGCAACTACACAATTTGGGCACCGACGACTTTACTATGCCAACTCTGGACAATTCCGGCCCGCCAATGCCCCCAATAGATCTGGAGCAGCTCTACAATTTGGGTACCGATGACTTTACTATGCCAACACTGGAAAATTCCGGCCCGCCAATGCCAACAATAGACCGGAGTGCGTATACATGTGTCTTGGATGGGAATACAAAGATCTTCCATTCGCTCCCGAATCATTCACAATTTTCCTATACACCTATATCAAGGAGAGAGAGTACTTCCCAACATGCGATAGATAAGCACCAATCACCTATGGTCTCATACACAGCCCACCAGAATGCTTCCTATTCTCCAAGCAGTGTCATTTCAGTGATGTGAAATCACTAAATAATAAGAATGAAACAATACCTCTTTATATAATGATAATATTGCTATAATAAAAGCCACAGCCCAGACTATGGCGGGTCAGCAGGGTACAATGAATAAAGCAGTCGCCCCTGCACCTAGGCGCGGCTCATCATTAACTTCTATGAACCACCCACTCCTCAAGACGCTTTCCGTTGGCTCTCCAGGATTCAGCTGAATCTCGCGTAGTAACGGTATAAGGTATGCTTTCTTCTGAGGATTAACAAGTCTCGTGATTATCGACCAATATCGCAAGCGCCCCTCCCAATTCTAATGAGAGGGTTTAGTTAAATGCCCCGACGAGAAGTAACATCATGCCTACCTCATTAATTTCCAGCGCAACTTTCATCTGAGTAATTAACTCTGAAAGGGCGTGACCGCCATATTTCTTGTTCCCGTGCTCATCCCTATCAACATCCGTGACGTCTGGTATCAACTTCTCGATGTTTTTTCTGATTGTGTTTGCTGGGAGGGGTAATTCAATAGGGTCCATTGAATCCGGATATAGTCGATCGAAATTTCCTCGGGATGAATGTTAGTCGAGATTATATTGGACTCGGGTTCAATTATCTTACAATATCAGGAGCAAGACTTGACTTGTTTGCACAATGGAGTTGGGAGGGGTAAAGATAGAAGTGGGACATATCATTGTGGCCGATGTTAGGCAGTAAATCACGTGACCTCCTCTCATGCCGGCTTAGTGGGCAGCCAACCATCAGGCCTCAAGGTATCATACTGTCGGAAAAGTGGAGGTCTATTTTACTAGCGTCTATGCGTTTTATTCAACACCACATCATTTTTTTCATTTCTTAGGCATCAACTGCTGAATCAGCACACTCAACCCCCTTTATTTTGCAAATCATCCTGTATTTAGAATAACACATCTCAAGTACTGTTTGAGGATCCCATTGGTCTATCTCCGTACTAGTGTGTACAGCCTTCCTCGGAATCGACACATACGAATTCGAAGGGCTACTTAGTACTCTTTCATTGCCAAATACCCAAATGCGTATTGAATATTATGAAAACACATTATTTCGAATACAATAATATTTCAAAATACCTTTCGTGGATCGAGAAAGATCCTGTCCTAATAACCTTACGCTTGGAGACATATGTAATCAGAGTGAGAGGTTGGAGATACACGAGCCACTGTGGTTGGGTCGGTGAGAAGTTTCATGTTCGACCTTCTGACCATAGCTATGAAATGAACAACTAGTATCCGGAGAAGCTGGTAGTAGTGGTATTATTTTTCACTGGTGACCGTTGTCTTGTAGAGCGACCGCGAATATCTATGCTTTGCAGGCCATGTAGGCATAGGTACATTATTCTCTCTGGGCGGTGTGAAAATGGCAGAACCTCCTAGCTTTCGGGCTTCCCTACTAAGATCTGCGTCAAAAGCTTTATAGTGGCCTGTTCAAAAAGGATTACTTCGATGATTTTTGGGGTCTGGGAAATTTTGGAATGGCCCATTCTTGTCACATCCCAAGTACAACATTCTAAGAACGCTCTAGGAAAAGATATAACCGAACCCAGACCAAAGGGTCGTGACCGCGACAACATATTTGGGGGAAATCAGCATAGGGAACCCACATCAGCGATTCAGGCTATCTTTTTACCTATCTCTCGCCTTTTGAAGAAAGGTCAGTCAATAACAACTCCAAAGTCTCCTTATTTTTGGCGTCGGTCATGCGCGTCCATAAGAGAAGGCCCGGCGGCAAAACACACCAATTCATTGGTCAATGGAAGAGTGTGCAACAAATTTTCATGCAAGATTTCTTTTAGCAATCACGTCAACTCCAACTCTATCTAACCGTCTTTAGTATGGATTCATGGGTCGGTTTGACGCATGTGGAGACTCACATATATACACCCTGGTCTCTCATTCTGGGGGCTAAATGATAGAGCATTATTTGAACCCCAAACTTTGGGGACTTATTACACTTTCAAAATTTCTCTCATCAACAGAATCATTTCCAAAAATCATGTCTCGCTTCGAAGATCTTCCCCCGGAAATTATTAGTTTAGTATTTACTTTTTTCAACAATATTGACGATGCCTTGCATCTTGCACGGTGTTGTAAATATTTCTATGAAATTTTCAATCCCACGAGTATGCGGCTGAATGTGTTCAGGGCGATAATAGTGAGTGACTGACGATTGCACAAATTTACAAACAGATGTTTTGGGTATACCCTAACAGTGTATAGTCACAAGGTCCACAGCACCAATACGATATTCAACTGTCAGGCGGTGGCAATGCATGCAGCATTCTCGTCTGAGTTTTATACCTCGCCAGCCATCCCATCCAACTCCCAGGGTCGTATCAGGCATGTCAATATGCTGGCGCCTCTGGAACCAGATAGCGAAATATCCGAGGAGATGGTTTGGGACGTCGTCTGCAGGTGGCACGGCATGCGTTTCCTTTTTGATTTATATTGTGATAAATCTACATCGGATGCTTATATGGACTCGATCTTCTCATATGTTCTCTGGCCGGGAAAAACGGATTCCGTTGTGATCTCAGCAACCGAGCCTGATTTGCCAGTCCTTTCCCACCAGCCAAACGATTTCGTAAAAAGGTCCACTAGACAGCTCAAAGTAGCTGCTTATGAACGGTTTTACAAGGCCTTAACTGCACAATGGGCTTCCATTGAGAGCCTGTGGCAGGTCAGAAGTCAGGTTTGGCCAAACGCTGAACAATTCGACAAAAACTTCGAGTCCACAGTGGATAAATGGTCGAATAATCCCGCAAGACCCTTTCGTGAAAAGTTAGACATTGTGGAAATCATTGATTTCGTATGGGCGTTTCTTGGGCGAAAAGCATTTGAAGTACCCGATGTACCTGCTTGGCTTGAGAACGAAGGGGACCGTGTGAGACAGGAGTATATCGACGGCAGGGATAGCCAGATAGAAAATTGGGGCTACTTTGTACGAAGCATTCTGCAATTCTTGCGACCTCCCCATGTAATACAACTGGTATGCTGGGACTTAGCAGAATGGAATCTCGACAAGCCTGGGTTTCTTCGCGGTCTGGGGCTATTTGATACCTGGCAAGGCATCATTACTGACGGCGATATGCCCATGTCCGACAATTGGGTGCCTTTGAATATTGTGGATGAGGATGTGGCAAATTCATTTGAAACTTATGGTGAGCTTAGAATCAGTTGGTAAGTGGGAGAAATATCGGGACGAAAGATGGGGCTCAGAGATGAGAGGCGCTTTGTTCTTTCAAGAGTCACCTGAGCAGAGGATATTGAATGGAATTGATAGCCAAGCGAAATAAAGTCGATAGCTTCGAGGCAGACTGGGACTTATTCCTTCCAGTCAGGGGTTCAATCCTTTACTAAGAATATCATGGTAATTCTCCAAAGATAAGCAGTGAAAAAAAAAAGTGATTTGATGACTACCTCTAATACCTAGATCTGCAGACAGGTAAGCACTTCAACTCATACACTGCCCGGTTGGTCTCCTCCACAAATCCTTTCTTCAAGCGTTTTTGCTTAGTATCGACATCATTTCGTTTACGTTTCCGATTCGGCGAGATTATACCCAGTATTGGCCGTTGCTTGATAGTTTCCGCCCGTTCAAAGTCAAAAAAAACCACACTATCTGTTTCTTTGTTATACTTCCAATTCCTTGGCGCGGGGTCATTATGAATGACACCTAAAGAATGGATAGCTGAAATTGATTCCTTGATTTTGGAGACAAGCAAGTCGCGATCCATTTCGCTGAGCGAGTGGTCGAGGGATTGCCCACCGGGAGTTAATAGCATCATATGCCTAAGGTAGGCAATCCCATCGTAGCTGTAGGGGTGATCCAAGTCGATACTTCCGAAATAGATAGGAACATACTGGCCTTGGATTGAACGGAGTTTATTGTATATAGCAGCCTCATGTGTAAGGTGATCGCGGAACTCTGTGCACTTTGCAGGGACAGTGTATCCCAGCGAGGAAAGCGTTACTTTGAGAAGAGCACCCCGAGAACCATGTATACCGAGTGTTTCGCAGTCTGCATTGATGGTCTGCGACAGCTGACGCTTTAATTCGTTCAAGAAGGTTTTGGAATCAATAGTGTGGCAGGTTCTTCCATGATCATGGACGTTGGGACACGCCTGATCCAGATCTTCCCCACGGCCTTTCACCATCCCGCGTAGGCACCTCAGCGTACAGTAGCGTCGCTTGTTTTCCTGTGAGCTCTGTGAAGTTGTGGATGATTTCAGGCGATGAGACTCCGGTTTAGCCCTTTTAGAATCACGTGGAAGAGGCTGAGTCCGGCTCGGCGTATGGGGATCACCTTCCTCGTCTTCAGAGTCTCCCCACCGTTCTGGTGGTCGACAATTTTCAGAAGTAGATTCATGTCTCCTGCGACGTAACTGTATTGGAGACCGAACAAAACTTTCTGTTCTTGAAGGGCGGTATTCAGACGATGGAATTTCCTCATCTGCGATGTCGTCCAAAGCATCTCCAAGTACAATTTCCCACTTCGGTAAGCTACTTGCTGCATGTAACCCCCAGGCCTGGCTCCGCTGTTGCAACTTGAGCGCTTGGAGGGTAAAAGCAAGAGACCGACCCACGGCGGTCAAGTGTAGACGATTCGGGTGATTTGAATAAGGATCCCACCCGGTTTCGTCTCCAACGTCTCCCTTTGGAACAGAGAGGTAATAAAAGAGGGTTGAAGGATCTTCGCCGATGCGCAGATAGATATCTACTTCGCCAGTGCTGAAGACTCCCACTTGGGTACGAGCATGAACCATATAGCTAAAAGGCTGCGAGAGAAGTCCCAGAACTGCTCGCTGGAGCCGGACTGTTGAAGGCTCGTTGTCATTCTGCGTCATAAGTTCGTCGACATCTATGTTATCAAGTCCCCCATAGATTAAGCCTAATTTGACTTTGTGCGGAGACTTATACTCTTTGACGTATGCTGCGACACGATGAGCTGATTCCGATGATTCATTTGGGATATTGTAGATACAGAACTGATCGGCACGAGGCCGCTTAGTCGTTTTCGGCTTTGGTGTTTTTGGTTCGCCTGTATTCGTGTGAGATCGGCTTTGTTCCTTGGCGGCTATCCGTGGTGACCGTCGTCTTGTAGAGCGACCGCGGATATCTATGCTTTGCAGGCCTTCTTCTAGCTCCTGTTCCGGACTTAGGGTATTGGAATGGTTCTCAAAGCGGATGGACCCTCGTAAATCGAATTTTCGGCGGAGGACTGGATCCCTGTAGAGCTCTTCGATGATTTTCGAAACGTGGTCCTCAACTGTCTGGCGAAGAAAGTGGTTGAGATCGAGTTCGGAGCCGATCAATCGCTGCCGAATGCTTTCGCCCATTTCTTCCAAGGTATGGAGAGAAGTGAATAATTTATCTTCAACAATCGAAGATTCCATCAGCAACTGCCAAACCTCCTCTTGTTCTCTTTCAAATGTATCCCATGCTTTGAGTTTTCGGGGACGAAGCATGTTGGTGGTATTAGTTGGGTCTCCGCGTGTGGACTGAGTTTCATCGGGCTGGACCTCGAGACCGAGAAAGAGGTATCTGTGGAGGCCATCGAGGAATGTAGGAAGATTGGTTTTTGATAGTCGCTGCTGGGATGCTGAAAGCTGCTGTTCAGCGTTTGCAAGGAGGCGCTGGAGGCGTTCAATTTCTGTAGACATTGCTGGTTCGCGTCATGGAACGCGCGGAGTGGATGGCGTTCCGCTTTCTTATCCGGGCGATTTGTTGTGATTAAGCACGTGACTTGCCTGTGCTATAGACCTCAACACTGTAAACCTGCAAAGATGCTGGAAGAAAGCTCAAGCCAAATATATCCCAGAAAGTGCAACTTTGTATCTTTTGCTCGAAGAACTGAGCTCAAGGCATTTTCCCCTTAGGTGCGGGAGAAGGAACAGAGCAATTTCCTCTTCCGGATTATGGCTTTTCTATGCCCCTGTACAATCCAATGAGGCTGGTGGGCCTGGAAGGGGGCTGATTGTTATTGGCTGGTTGTATTGAGAGGTGGATAAACACAGTAACAATATCCGAGGTTACAATGATCAATGACCTGTCAACAAGTTCCAATGATTTGATGTGATGAATTGGACAATGTAGGTATGTTTTGTAATCCATGGCTGAGGTTTCATGGCTGAGGTTTCATGGCTGAGGTTTCGGGCGCGAACAGATAGGTCTCGCCAATAGCATTTTCCCTCTTGCCGCTCGCTGCTGCACATTCGTCATGCGGCTGAAAGTTCCCAATGAATGCTGTCCCCCCCCCCCGGCAACATTTCTGTTCTTCTCCCCAAAAATTTTCATTCCATTCTTGTCTATGGTCACATGTGCTATCACTGTGACTCTGCAGCAAAGGGACACATCCCAAAACAACAAAGCGATTTGTTTACCTAGCGTGAAATTTCTTGACTCAATATGTCAGACCCTTCGAACTACGTCGTGGGATGGATTTGTGCTGTGATGACCGAATATGTTGCTGCCCAAGTGTTTCTCGATGAGGAGCATGAAGAGCCCACCTTCGTCTCACCAAATGATACGAATAATTACAAATTAGGCAAGATGGGACAACATAACGTTGTTATCGCCGCTTTGCCTGATGGTGGATATGGGACCGATTCTGCAGCCAATGTAGCGACGAATATGCTGAACAGTTTTCTTAACGTCAGAATAGGCCTGATGGTCGGTATCGGTGGCGGTGTACCAAGTGAGAAACACGATATTCGCCTAGGCGATATAGTGGTCAGTGCATCCCGTGGGAGTGATGGTGGTGTGTTTCAATATGACTTTGGCAAGGCAACACAGGGCCAAGGGTTTCAGTATACGCGGCTATTAAACCAGCCACCAACTATACTGCGCACTGCAATGACAGGAATTCGAGCACAATACGAGATAAAGGGACATCAGCTAGAGAAGGCTGTCCAGGATATTTTTGAAAAGCACCCGAGATTACACCGAAATTACAAGCGGCCAGAACCATCCACCGATAGATTATTCCAACCCAGGGCTATTCATACTTGTGAAGACTGTGCTCTATGTGCTGAAGATCCGTCAAAGTTAGTACTGCGAGCCAAAAGGACAAGCGACGATGATGATCCTGTTATCCACTACGGGCTGATTGCCTCTGGCAATAAGTTGATGAAAAATGCTCTGATTCGGGATCGACTTGCAGCTGAAAAGGACGTTCTCTGTTTTGAAATGGAAGCTGCAGGGTTGATAAACACTTTCCCCTGTCTGGTAATCCGAGGCATTTGCGACTACTCAGACTCGCATAAGAACAAAGAATGGCAAGGATATGCGGCAATGGTGGCGGCTGCATACGCCAAAGATCTGTTACGTCAGATTCCCTCAAATAGGCTTGAGGCTGAGAGGAAGATTAGTGATATCCTATCCGGTTAGTCCAACATAAGGAATACTATTTAATTCATAAATCTGATATATATCAATAGGTCTCCAAACTGTTGGAGAGGATCATAGGGACATTGCACAGAAGCAACTTGAGCTACAGGAGAACGCAGTCAAAAGAATGCTATCCGAAAAGCAAGAAGAATGCCTTCAATTGTTCCGTCTTAGTACAGGGGGCTCAGATGCTACATACGAGTGGTATAAGGAACGTGCGGGAGACCGAGTGGAAGGCACCTGTATGTGGTTCCTAAAACACGCAAATTTTCAGGGATGGCTAGAACGAGAGTCAGGGCCGCTCCTAGTTTCGGCAGACCCAGGTTGTGGAAAGTCCGTTTTAGCGCGATATCTTATCGACAATATATTACCGCGGTCATCAACCATCTGTTATTTTTTTTTCAAAGATCAAGACCAGAACACAGTCCGCCAAGCGCTTTGCGCTCTGCTCCACCAAATCTTCTCGCAAAAGCCATCCTTGATTGAGCATGCCATGGAGTATTTCAAGACGGACGGGCCAAAATTTATTAAATCCACAATACAGCTCTGGAATATACTAGAAAAGGCTTTAAAGGATCCTCGGGTTGGATCTATAATCATTGTGCTGGATGCTCTCGATGAATGCGCTGAATCGGAATTTGAGAACCTTATGCAAAATTTGAAGCGTAATATTCTTCAGTCAGACCGCGGAAGGATGAAGTTTCTTTTAACGAGTCGCCCGTATGAGCAGATAATCGACGAATTCAGAGGTCTACTTCATGCCTTCCCCCATATCCGAATACCGGGAGAAGAAAAGTCAGACGAAATAGGCCAAGAAGTTAGCCATGTTATCCAATACCGAGTCAAAAAGTTGGCGAAAGAGAAGGGGCTCTCAAAACTCGTCAAAAACCACCTGGCTGAAAGACTACTGAAGGTTACCCACCGTACATACCTCTGGGTTTATCTTGTATTTGACTACTTAAAGGCTACAAATTTCAAGAAGACTCTTAGAGGGGTGGATTCTACGATTTCAACACTCCCAGCCAATGTCAATGAGGCATATGAGCAGATTTTGAACAAATCAAAAGATCAAGCGATGGTCCGGAGAGCCTTAAGCATCATTTTGGCAGCGAACCGGCCATTGACAATCTCTGAAATGAACATTGCATTAAATGTTAATGACACCCTAAAGTGTATACACGACCTTGACCTGGAGGAAAATGAGGATTTCAGGGCACGCCTTAGAACTGTTTGCGGACTTTTCGTTTCGATCCACCATGACAAGATTTACTTCCTCCATCAAACAGCTAGGGAGTTTTTGCTTGCCGATACAGTATCACCTGTCTTAGATGCTTCGGGCTTACTTTGGCAACATTCTATCACCAGTCAGAGCGCACACACTTTATTAGCAGAAATATGTGTGATCTATCTGGATTTCTTGAATGAATATGATGGTTCCCAGGAGCTGAAGAGAGAAGGAGAAGAGGGAGGAGACCATATCGTCGATTTACGCGCTTTTCTGATTTATGCGGCCAACAACTGGGGTATGCATGCCCGCACGGCCTGCATTAGCACCCGTTCGGATTTGATTCCTCTTATTTTAAGTATATGCGGCCCAAATTCTGGTATTTCTTCGATTTGGTTTGAAATTTACAGAAGTACCATACGGGGTGGTCCGAATGGATGGTTCAATGATTTGCTGATAACGTCTTATTTCGGGATTGAGGCGGTTGTGAAGGTACAACTTGAGAGGGATGCTGTGATTGACTCTCGAGATAGTGAAGGCCGAACTCCGCTCTCTTGGGCAGCACAAAATGGACACCAGATCATCGTGGAGCAGCTTGTTGAGAAGGGAGCTGTGATTGACTCTCGAGATAGTGAAGGCCGAACTCCGCTCTCTTGGGCAGCACAAAATGGACACCAGATCATCGTGGAGCAGCTTGTTGAGAAGGGAGCTTACCTTGAAGCAAAAGACCGTTATGGGAGCCCGCCATTGCTGTATGCAGTAGGTAATATGCAGTCGACGGTTATTCATACTCTTGTTCATGCCGGAGCCCGGTTGCATGTTGTCAACAATATGCATCAAAACTCATTACACCTCATTTGCAAGGGACCTAGGCATAAAGATGGGTTCGCGCTGCTGGAGTTCTTTATTTCTTCGGGGCTACCCACAGGCCTCTGCGATGTGAATAACATGTTACCTTTGCTGTATGCTTTGGAAAATCGCTATGAGGACCTCGCTTTACTTCTTCTTGATAGGGGAGTTGAGGTGAACTCTCGATTCCACAGACGATTTTGGACCCGACGGATGCTTGTGACATATGATATTGATGAAAGATTTGAGAGTTTGATCAGTGAAAATCCTTCGGTTGGATTGACTGCACTTCACTTCACTGCTGTGAACGGAATAGTGGGGATGACCGCGTTTTTAATTGGGCACGGCGCCAATCCCAATGCTTTAGACGATAACGGCGACACGCCTTTGCATTTGGCAATTCGGTCTCGAGTACAAGGTTATAAATATGAGGATCCGTGGGTAACTGGCGAGTATGCGATAGAGAGGCTATCCGACTATATAACAGATTATGAAGGGGAAGAGGCATCTGATATATGGGCCACGATTGCTCAAGCAAGAGAAGATACGGTCCAGCAGCTTTTGAACAGCGAAGCTATTGATATCAACATTGCAAATAATGCCGGGGATGTTCCATTGCATGTGATACCATTTGAGAAAGGGCAAATATACGATTCCTGCGCTGTGTTAACGCTCCTGCTTGACTATGAAGTAGAAGTATCTATTTTAAATATGGAGCGTCAAACTTGCCTTCACCTAGCTAGTAAGGCAGGAAACCTGGATGCTATTCGCATCCTTTTGAAAAGATGTTGCGACATTGCATTACTGGATAAACACGGCTTGAGTCCTATACACTATGCTGTTTGCCACAATCATTCAGAAGTTATACAGCTCATGTTCGAAGAACGCCACGAGCAACTTTCACGATTTTGCGTCCAAAACAATGATCTAGGGAAGACTATGTTACATTACCATACTGCATCGGTGATGTGCTCTACCGAGATGATCAGTATTCTCCTAGAACTCGGATGTGATATAAATAGGCTTGATGCAGACGGCAATTCAGTGCTGAGTCAATATCTACAGTCTTCCCATATGCACATTAATTATGACGTCTATAAACTTCTTCGTGAAAGGTCAAGCATGGAAAGAAAGCGTTGGGCAGACCAGAAGCAGCGAAATCTTTTACATCTTCTGATGCGACATTGGAGCGATGACAATGTTCTGATTCTTGAAGATCTGATGGATTTTGTGAGCATAACTGCGAAGGATGTTGATGGCATGGGCATTGAACATCATGGCGCGATACACGGTGCATTCAACAAACCTCTGACGCGATTCCTTCGAAAACGGGGTTATCTAAACCTTCACAGTAAGGATTCCAGGCACAAAACACCTCTCCAGTATGCAGAAGAAGAGGCTAATCGCGAGCGTCACCCGGATCTTTTTGAAGGTCATCGGTGGCAGAAGTCCTTGGAGAATTTGAGGCATGAAAACGAGAATGACTGAATGGTCTACATTCGATCGTAGAACACCAAGCTACATTGCAGATGATATATTTACAAATAATACAATAATTTGTACATTTTTGTACGTCAAGCCGCAACAATGTAAAGTTGAGCTATACCGTTGCACGCGGAATCTCTGGTGGAAATTATAGTATCTAACTAATGGGCTTCTGTTTCGGATATCTATATCATTGCTGTTATACCGGCATTATGACTGCTGGAGAGCGTTTATTTATTCTGAGCCCATGAAGATACAAGTGAGTCATGGTACTGAGACCGGCACAGGAGGCACCTGTTTCGAGACACAAAGTAATATTAAATTGATTTTATAGTAAGCTGAAACATGTAACTATATCTGTGCTTTTGCCTTTACGAACGGATCGTACACGTCGTATCTTTTCTTTCGAGCATCCAAGTGTTCATTTTGGCAACAAAGTAGAATTTCGTTCAACTGGCCCCTTTGGTGGTCTTTTAATGTTATCGCATTTCGGGATTGACGGACTCGTGAAGCTGTTACTTGAGAAAGTCGCTATATTCGACTCTAGAAATAATCTTGGCCTGACTCCACTCTCCTGGGCTGCCATAAGTTGATCGTTAAACCGCTTCTTTAAACTCATGCTAAATATGCTGCCTGGGAACTCCCTAATCTTTGACTATTGGGGTAATATCAAAATAGTGGCGGTAGAAGAACGACCCTCGTTGAGTCAAACCGTAGTAATTATTCACAAGCTGTCCTGCTTTAAGTCCAAAGCAGAGAGAACTTCAGTGGCACAGTCACTGCAACCAAGGAAAACTTACAGCACCGTCGTAGTGATCGCAAAAACGCGCATGGACTGTAGACATGAGCACGGGATCGGAGGACACGTCAGCGGTTCAGGCACGTGCATGATATTCAGGTGCAATATAGTGGTGTTCAGGGCGTTCAGGGGAAGGGGCCTGAATGGGCTGAAGACTAGGGCGGCAAGGGAGGATTTCCGAACGAATCAAAAAAAACGGGTGAGCACAAACATACAACAGTCAGGATTCGTACGTGGTGACACATTTGATCAGGAACTGGTGGGATCCCTCGTTTTGGGAATATTGATCGCTGAAGAAAGCTCCCTTGCTAAACGGGCTAAAGGTGTACATACTCCTTGAGCAATACAAATTGCTTTATAAGATAACACTTCGCATTGTGGCGAAGTGCAGATACAGGAGACCTATTGTTTCAGAGAGAGGCATTCGACCCAATCATATCCTGCGCCTGCTCAGCTGAAAGGGTCAGTGCGGGGTGGCATGACGCAGGGTGATTCTCACCCGCTCTCACCCGGCTTCTCACCCTGTCTATTGCGCACTCACCCTATATCACCCTGGTCGCGCGACGCTAAAGCAGCGCTCACCCTGTGCTCACCCGGGCCACACCCACCGGACTATCGACCGCGTTTAAGCCACACGCTGGTCAGTAAATAGTCCGATGAGCGGCTCTATGCGAGTCCTGACTTGCTAGGAAATTCGCACCGCGGGGTCATTTCAATCTCGTTCATCTCATTGATCCCGCTCAAAATCGTCTAATCGTTTCTTCTGCGGGGCCTGATATAAAGGTGAGTCGGTTCATGGATCCACCGATACGTTCTTCGGGCGTTTATAGGAACAAATCAAAGCCTCCCAGGACCTTTATCGTTCTCTGTGAGGATCTCACGTATCGTTGGATGAGGAGTGTGTCTTCCGAATGAATAACTAATGGGGAACCCAGATGCGCCATGTGGGTCCGCGTCTTCGGCTTAGCGCGTATGCCTCATCTATATCCCTGACAAGCAACTCAATGTTTCTTATGAGCATTACTTTTCCTGAGGGGAGCTTTGATTTGTTCCTGTAATCGTTCAAATGCCATAAATTTGCTCGACATAGACTCGGTGCCTCTCGAAATCCGAAATCAAATTTCATTTTCAAGCTATCGGTTTTACTGCTTACTGAAACTTCCCCAGTAGTATTGGGTCAAGGCCAGCCATTTCGCCCGCGGAATTGATCGTGTTGATTTGCATCATCCGGATTCAGGCGATGGGCATAGAAGCGGGGCTTGCCCCCATCCAATCCCGTGCAAGCCTCAGTAATTGCGTACAAATGACGGAGGTCAATCTCAGAGGGCTGATTCAAGGCTCCCTTGGCGTGTTCACCCATTATACACTTGGATAGAAGCTCGCCTCATATCTGTTCAACATGCTTTTCTTTCTTAGAGCATCGAATAACTTCTATATCTCTCTTTTCTTGCCCCAAACTGCTCATTTTCAACCCCTGTCTCAACAATCTTCATAACACGATAACAAGATTTGAATTTGGACCAAATGATGGCTTTGTCCAGATAGGAGTCAATATAGTTAGGCAGTGTGGCCACATCAGCCAGGCCCCAATCGAACGGTGCTCCACCTCTTGGGGGACTCTACGTCTCCGCGACTAGAGGCGATCCTTTTCACGCTGGACCTAATGCTGAAGATATTATCCGTGATGCTCTACGTGATGCTCGGGCCTCAATTCCAACCCCCCGCTAGAGTCTGATCTAAACAAGCTTGGCCAGCTGTTTGAAATATTCGAAGAAAAACGGATAGTTTATGTGAGCGATGACATCATTTGTAATTCTCTTCTACTCCTAAACCTATACCTAGTGGCATTTGGCAAGATTGGAAGGTGAGTGAAAATGCGCTTGGAGTGACTCCTAGGAGTTGAAAAATTTTCTCCTGTTTTTCTTGCATCCCCACATACATTTCAATACAAAATCCGAGTAAGCAATACAGTATTTACATGTACATGTATCCTGGCGCAGGTGAGTAACTCCATATGGCATGGAAGCTAGGACAAACATTATCACTCATCTCCTTGAGGCTGCCAACATTGCCAATGATGCGAGTCACTTTTAAACGGCTACTCAGTCACCATGTAATTGGTTCCCTATGGCCAACCGATCTCTCTCTATGTCCATTATCAGAGCAAATAGGAAAAATTTAGATCTCTTTAGCGCGCGACTAAACTCTGCAGCCATGGCGCCCAAATGATCTACATCTCAATCCTTTGGAGTACACCACGATGCCAGAGCTCACAGTGACATTCCAATTTCTGCCGTTCAAATCAGAACTCATCTCCATGGTCTTCATGGAGAAGCTTCTTCTAGAACCACATGCGATCTACAGATCAATGCCAAAAACAGAAATCCGGGGCATAACCCGGACTTGGACCCCAACTAGTTCATTCCAGTATACAAACTTGACAATGAATATAGCTTTCCAATGGCTAGTGAAGGCGTGATTCAGGATAAAGCGCACGTGTTCCTTGAGTCGTATTGGAAAGGTCATATACAAGCTGGAGATAATTGGCATTTACTGATCAACTCCTTAGACCGACTTCCTGCAATGTACGGTCACAACCAGAATGAATCTCGCACAGTATGCCTGTATCATATTGCAGGAGAATCAATGTAATGTAGTGAAGCTATAGCTAGTGCGATCGCGGCCACATTCAAACACGTGAAGGCTCGATACACAAGGGCGCTATTCTTTGCAAAGATATTTTGTCGGTGATGGAGGAAATCTCAGGCTCCCTCCTATACTGCCAGCTCACCCCGCCATTCTCGAACACCGGGTCATATGATAGCCTTCGATAAAGCCTTAGCTGCATCTCGTCAAAACAGAGGCTCGAGTCAGCCAGGTTCGTAAATATCCAAGACTTGTTGCCGACAAAGTCCTTGCCTCGATGGCGAGTCCATCCTTGCTTTAGAGACCAATCGTGATTGAAGATCTTCTCATCGAGAGCCGACCGAGGTGTGGATAATGGGACGTCCAGCCTGAAATTTGTCCGGTACTTTTTCTGGGCTCCTCGGTCGCGTCCTAGATCAATCAGTCAACATAGCAGAACGCTCTGGTCATGATTGTACACTTACGCATAAGGACCTTCAAAATTCTTCGCATATTGATTGATCAGACCTTGAAAGAAGTTTCTTGGGAAAGGCCAGGTATGTACATATCTCAAACTAGTAGGCCATCGAGTCTTCTTATACGTATGATGCGCAGTAGGATCATACATGACAGTGCTTTTGTGCGGCGTGTTTAAACGAGAAAAACTATTCTATTTCTAGCACTATTAATGAATGTGCATGATCCCCATTCAACCTCAATTTTTGGAGAGGTCTTTCGAACGCAACAGACTTCCCTAGCCGCTTTAGCTTGAGGGACCTTCACTCTATACCAGTTGGCTTAGCCGTGACTCTGGAGAGGCTTACCATATGCCGTAAGACCAACCGAGGAACTGAGGAAATCTAACGAAGTTACTCTGGGGCTGCTATGGGACCTTGCAGCGTGGGCAGAACTCTCAATCCCAGTGACGAACCATGCAAATATGTGCGGGCCAAAGTGTCTCACTTCACATTTTTGCTACTATCCTAGTTGAAATGAATCATAACCTCGTGATTAATCCGTCTTCCAAAATCACTCTAGATTTAGTTGTTCAACTGCTTGTTGTATTTTATTCGTGCTTTCACTCCATTTGTGCTGGCTTTTTGCATCGACAATGTCTTTCCACGCGTCGGATGAAAACGATAGAGCATATCCGCATTAGAAACCATCCAAACTTTAAGACCAAACGGCTATTAGAGAGAGTGTATATTAAATCCGGGGTTATGAGTCTATGTAATGAATAGTCCATGGTACTCGGAGTCTACGATCAAAAGATTGAATGAGGCGAAAAGCGGTCGTCCTGGTGCCACTCGTGTATCTTGTGCTCAAATTCCGCCTGACCCAGTCCTTGAAACCCTAGTCTTGACAAACAGAGCACAAATGGTTCACATATCTGCTATGCCATTTGAGCTGGTTCGTCTTCATGACGTACCCTGCTTGAGAAAAGGACAACTACGTAAAGAAATCTCATGGATACACATATGACTAAGAATCACACAGTAGCAATGAATCTCAACGAGAATGGAAACACTCAGCAAGAAATTATCGAGGAAACCTCAGTAACGGAGAAGAGAGTATAAGCCCCCATAGATTCACCCGTGTCAATACAATAACGGGTGGAAGAGCCATTGGGGAGGAATGTCCAAGTCTCGATACAGCGAGGCATTCCACTTGCTTCGGTTTTTATAGGAGGGAAGTACATGTACCTTCAACATAGATACGCGATGACAAAGAAAACGAGAGACCACCAATCCACACTCTGTGTGGACAAAAATCATGCCGGCGAAAATGCGGCCGTTCGCCTGGGCAGATCCAAGAGCGAATTTAGCAAGTAATTGATATGTAATCTATAGAAGCATTATCTTTCGTATCTGTAGCCTAGTAGTCCCGCGAAGGTGCCAAGTTGATACAATGACATCAAACAAAGACAGGGAAATTCTTCCAGCATGATTGAAACGAGAGCCAACCAGGATGCACGGATCAACACGACGCGTGATAATTGTCCAATGGCTACATATGATGACAAAGCAACTGCTGATTGGACAGTCAAACTGGGTCGCGCTGATCTCGGTCCTCGAAACCCAACAGTTCCTACTTGATGAAAAGCAGCCATCTTTGGATTCTCCCCATGTGATACCTGTTCATGCAATTGGATTTCTTGTTCTCTTACATGTAATGGATCACTCTTGAAGTCACGAAATACGAAGCAGCATATTGCGCGTTGCTGCAACAGTGTGTCAGGAGCGACTGATAAAACTGCGACGGCGAGAAAGTCTAGCACGAGCACTATCCCCCCTTCATCTGATTTTGAGAGCACAGTACCATATACATAACGCGCCGGTTTCTTCCTGCGAAGGAATTTACCTAGCTAACTGCATGAATCCGGATACTCCAGAACGTCAAGCAACAATCCCGATGCTCCTCACGAACACAAACGCGAAGCTTACAGACAAAGGATATCAAGGGATCACTACAATAGCGAAAATCGACGAGATTGGAACAATGTGCAACCAGTATTGAAAAGATTGTGATTGAGCTCGATTCATAGATTGGCGACGCGCGAGGTCGGTTTCTTCGGAGAAAGACTACGGTTCGGGACGCCGAGGTAACTACAGACAAATCCGTGTATTTTTCTGCTGTTCCCAAGACAAAGCGCTGCTTCATGTGACTGTTCTCCGCTGCCCCCATGGCGATGATGCCGCTGTCATCTCCGTCAGCGAATCAACTCCGTCCCTACGTTACACTGTCCGGCGATGGATTTTATGTAGAGTTCCAAAACGGACTGTTGAGTAGATTTAAAGCGTGTTCCCCCAATGTGTTTATACCCTCGGGAACCCTCACTTAGGTTTTGTGGATTGGTCAGGCGCTTAATCATTTCCCCTCGAACAGTCGAACATCCCTTCTCTCTACTCTCGGAAGATAATTTCGAGTGGCTCGGTCGCTCTATCCAATACTTAACCTATAGATGGACTGGCAGTAGTGCGGTTGGGCAATTACTCCCATTCCTACCTATATCTGGCCTCTGACACAGGCTCTTCTTTTCGGTCTTCTTTACTTCCCCTTTCCCTTTTTGCTTGGCTCGTACGCCGTCTACAAGGAGCAATCAAGCCGTTGATAATAGCCTACAGAGGGCCCATTCTAGAATAGTCGAGGTGCCGACAACGGCATCTTATATTGCATAGTCTAACCTACTAAATCCTCACGTGCATCAGGGCCTTTCGGCCCTTGGTTTCATTGAAGAACAGGCTACCACAGCGCAGCAAGAAATGAAGGAAGCCAAAATACTGATCGACTACTCACGCTTGATAGTGCTTCCTCTTACATCCACAAGGACCTGTGCTTGAAGGGAGCAGTGCAGAAAACGTGTTGGCGAAGACCGGAATAGACGGCAAGGAAGACGAGTTTGATAGCAAGCTGAACGAATAGGCATCGTGGGATTGGGTGACCAATCGAGCCCTTGTGGAAGTCGAAATGGTATCGCGATCACTAGCATCAGCGGCACCCTTGCGGTCCCACTGCGCAGTAGACATCATGCCAATGATATCGGGAGCGCACAAACTCGGTCCATCGGTCCAGCCCAAAAGGCGATTGGCGATGTCAGAGGCATAGCAGTGAGTAGCACCACCCTGCCCCAGGTTGCCGCTGGAGGCAACAGTGCCGGAGTTATAGGCACGCGCAGCCTTGTAGAATGAAGCCACATCACTCTTACCGCCCTCCTCGGCCAACAGCGTCTTTAGGCCAGGTCCGGCTTGAGTTCCCTCAACGCCATCAACAATCATCTGGAGGATCTGACTTTCGGGGCAAGGGCTCTGGATGATTCCATCCTTATTGCATGAGCCAGAGCCCTCGTGGCTTTGCATCAGTCCGGGATTGGTGACTCCGTTGTCGGTGGTCTGAATACGCACGCAACCATTACTTTCTTGCATGACGATCGACAAAATGAAGCGCGCGTCGACACCACTTGACTGTTCCACTTGGTGGATCGCATTCTTGACAGAATCTGTCTCGTCGTCCGAGTTATCGAGGAGGGCCCATTGGGAACAGCTAGCAGATATCACAGCTCTATTGTTCTCGAACATGTCCTCGAAAGAGTGAACCCATTGGTCAAACCTCGGCCAGCCGTCGGTGACCTTACCATAGCCTCCCAGTACCGCTGTATACATACCAGTGTTGCGGCCGAGAAGGAGGCCACTACGCTTCTCTGACAAGTTAGGCAAATGTAAAGAGGTATTTCCTGCTTCAGCAAGCCATTGGAGGTCTTGGATTGCCAAAAGTACAAACCAAAAGGCTATTGCGATACCGAAAAACATTTTCCGCGAAAGACAGCACCTAGCTTGGGAGCACTAATAGCCTACTTTGAGAATTTATGTGGCATGTCCGAAAGGGGTGTTAGATCTTAGGAGACTACAGCGCGGTCTCAATTTTATGATATGAAAACGACGGGGTGCGATCAAAGGACTCCCGTGTCGGGTGGGTGTTTGGTCTGTCATCATTGACTGATTTGATGCGAAGACAATGACTCAAGTTGATACAGTACTATGAGGGATCAGAATCCCCCGCAGGTATCACGTAGTGAAAAACTGTGCTTTAAAAGTTGAACAGCGAACAAGCGAGGGTAGAAACAATGTAACTAGTAATGCTCCAGTCGCCCATAGATCCACGATTATGGCCCCCTTTCCCCAGGAGTACCGACAGCCATCGCCAAATAAACCTTGACAATGTGGACTAGGTCTGATGAAGGCTAAAGAGGGCTGTGCTTGGCATATATGTGACAGCCAGAATTCGTCTTCTGCAGACAAGTAATCGTAAAGAATATGAAGGTACTTAATACAGCGCCATGAAACAGCAGAGGGCCGTCAATAATACGGTGCCAACTGGGCCAGATAAATGATCCGACCAAGTCGAGGTCCTACGGACACCTGGGCTCATTGCCTTGCAATATCTCATGTTTATCTCAGCATAAATCAATTTCTCCGGCTATAGCCATCCAAATTGGAGTTATAGCAAGCAATAAAGCCTCAGATATGTGCAAGATTCTTCTAAGAAGTGATAGCACGCCATGAAAAAATATCGTTTATGTTGGCCATTCAGTTCAAGGTTAGCTTTCAACAGCGAATGACCACGCGTAGCCACATCACGAAATAGCATGCCCAAAATTGAACGGAAATCTATTTCTACAGCTTGAGTTACTTCTTGTGCAATTCTCAAAGTGATGAATATGAGGAGCCAAAGCATCCGTGATAAAAAGCATGAACGAGGGGCAAAACTAGTGGAGTTCTCTTGAGACATTTTTAGATGAAGTGGATTTGGTAATATTAAACAATGATGTCTTGCTTGAATTGTGTCATAATTATATGAGAAAAGGCATTCGCTTTGATCTTTTCAACGAGAGAAAAAAGAAAAAAGTAGGATTGCACTCTTATTCAGAAACTCTGTCTCAAGAATTGAAAGTCACGTTTAAATGCACATTGTGCAAGGAAGCCATTCCTACACAGTAGCTAAAACTCGAACCGAATATTGTCGAGGGCTACTGTTTATAACTTAAAGCTCTGACGAGGGGTGACGGTCAACATAACTCTCTGATATGGAGGTATCCACCGGATACTTTCCACGTGCTTTGTGGAAGACAGACACTGAACGAAATTCCATAGTAAGAAATGTCTCGTAGGCTTTAAAAAATGGCTGTTTCAGCAATAAAAACTTGAAACGGCTTAGCTAAAATTCTGAAGCGTCATTTCTCAAAGAGGGATTTAAAAGATATTTAACATGAAGAACATCATATATATATATATATATCAAGGGGCGACGACCAGTCATTGTCGTTTTTACTGGCTGTAGATACGTGTATTTTCAACTTGATATCTCTGGAAGAGGAAAACCACACCGACCCCAATCTAAATCTATTTGGAAGAGCTGTATCAGCAACAATATCGGTAGAGCGAGACTACAGATGTTCAATGAAGAAAACTTGATTTGCACGTTCATTTGCCCAAACATAGCGCAACCTCCTCAGACCCGTTCACAATGTGAAAACTCTAGTGGGATGTCATAGAAGTCAATCAATGTTCATTTCCGTGAGATGAATTGTTTCTAAACACCCTTATCAAGGACGAATGCATCGAGTCGGGCAGGCAGCTGGCGTTCAAAATCTCTTCGAGACAAAAACATGTCCGGAAAACCGAGAGGGCATCAGGTGGTGAAGTACAGCGTGGAAATCAAAGAACGTACCCTCAAGCCATCAGTAATCACAATGCTTTGGAAGATTTATTGGGAGGAAACTGAAGGACATCTCACCAGACCATCAGTCGTAGACTTTGCATCAGAAATCAGGTGCTGCGAGGCAACCAGAGGACATCTCGCCAGACCTTATATATTCCAGTTGTACAATTAGCATTGGAAAGTGCTGGGAAGAAGCAGATGCACATCTCGCCAGAAACAGGAAGGAATGAGGAGGATCTTTCCTGAGACGCCCAGTTGCGGAGCATCGGCTGAATTCAAACTAAGAGTACGGAATTCGATGGCAGCCAAGAACATAACTTCAGCGAGTAACTCTGTTGCTCTTCTTGGTACTGTGGCTTCCGCTTTCCATTCCTAGTCACAAACATGGAGGCCTGGACTGGTCGATACGCGCGAAACACTGGTTCAACCCCGAGGAGAATTGTGAGCCAGGAGATAGAAATCAATAGACCGGAACGGTATCATGCCTTCAATTACGAGCAATATTCATTTAATTGTAATCCAGGAAGCCAACTTGGAAGCTCCTCTAGGGCTCAAGTGGGGTTGTGGGATTAATTCCACCGCCGTATACTTTTTTTGAACCGGTGGATACTCCAAGGGAAACCGTGGGATTGGTCGTCCTGAACAAATGCTGTACTGAATGAATTCTTTACATAAATGTAAACAATGACTTCGCTCGCCTCATTGCTACAATCTTCCCTTCCTTTAGAGCTCTACCTGCTCTTTGGTCGGTATTCCTCAAATCGGCAATAGGAGCTTGTCTTTCAAAGAGCTAGGAAATGCCAGTACAGAGAACTACCCGGAGACCTAGAGGGACAGGAGTTCCCCCCTCGCAGACTACACGGCCTCCGCCTACTAGTACATCCGGCCTCCACCCTACAGCACGTCGGCCGCAGCCACATCAAGTACCGGTATGTCTTCTAGAGCACATTGCAGTGGGCGGACAGGGCAGCTACTAATACCAACCCACCAAGCACAGACGAATCAGCGACACGCGGCGGCTACAGATAACTCCCGAGGCCTGGGCAATGACTTCGATCTCGTTCATGCACATTGTCGAGTAGCGATCAACAATGCTGAAGTGCATAACCGACAGCTCACAGCGCGGCTCAACGAGCGACAGCGAGAGTTAGCAGCCAGCAGCCAGCGACTAAGCAGGGAGAAGGCGCAGGCCAGTGCCCAGCTCCACCAGCTATCTTCGGAGAAACAAAGAGCACTGGAGGAAAGCAGTCGCCTGAAGAGAGAGATTGTTCAATTTAACCATCGGCTTGATATGGTTGTCAACGAAAGCCACAATCTGATATCTCGCACAGGAGTGCAGGATATGTTGAATGAAATCCACGCCTCAGCCGAGACATTCATGAAATCCTTGACAACCAGAATGAGCGACAACGAGAATGCCCAACTGACCAGACAGTTGCCTGGCTCTGATGTTGTCCATGATCCGTGGACGAACCAATATGGCCCGTTTGAAATGCTGCACGACTCCGCCGGGACTGAGATTCCTGGCCCTGAATACCCACTGGCAGACCAGGAGGGACTACCGCCGCTGGGATCTCACTACGAGTTTCCGGACATCGATATCGAGGGTGCAGTATAAAACTGAAAGGGAACGAAACGGCTTACTTGGAGGCTGGTCGAGATCCATTTGAGGCTCGCTGGATCGTGTGGACTCTTCCCTACCTTATGATTTGCGGTGAAGGCAGATATCATGTGAACCCCAATTGATACAATTTTGGCATTCCTGCATTTTTGTAATTTCTCGGTTTGCGTATTAGTTAGATTCGATTGCAAGGCTAGAAAATCAATAATTCATCAATTCATAAAGCATCAATGCTGTTGTGTTGCGTATTTCTCGGGCTGGAACGATGAAACGTGTTTGCAAGCAATCACAAGCACTTCGATCTCACATTCTTGTTTGCTCCATTCCGGCCTGTGCAGAGCGACGAGTTAAGATAAGTCGAATGCATCACAATTGCCCAAAGCTTAATGGTATTGCCATTTAACCCATCTAGCGTCAAAGGCTCGTCAGGTGGGTCTTGCCGGGTCGTCAAGCTTGGCCGACCGAGAAAACTCTGACGATCAATGCGGGCACCATGGACAAAGTATTGGGCCACAAGACCACTTGGCTTTTCCCGTAGCCCCACTAACACCAATGTTCACACGCGCACCCCTTCCCAGCCGTACTGTCGTTCCGCGATCACAGCACATTGGGGCCTAGATCCTTACCACGTTAGCTAAGAGATACAGTGCCATTCATGGTTGCGAGCAAGGAACCGAGGGAGCTTGTCGATCATCGATTCCAGAACTATGCCATTTTCAATTGTCGGGTCCGGGGAGAAACCCAAGCTTGATACTCCGTAATTAGAGCGACCTACGGGCTCTAGTAGTGGCGTGTCCTCGCAACTTTGAACCGCATTAACAAGAAAGGGCCCTAGCACCTGGGAATTATGCAAGGGCGGTGTCAGATGCGGTAACAAAACACTTCTGATTGAATATGTCACAAACTCTCTTGTAAGTTACTTGGTCAAATTACCCTCTCCCTTCCATGTCCTTGGTTTGGCTTCGATTGCGCACTGCAACGTTATAGTTTCTAACGCCTCATCAGAGGCGTACCGTGGATGACATGGGCCAGAAATATACTTTCCAAGTGTTTCTTGTTAGCCAGACTCACCGAGACTCCATTCTCGACAATGACTGTTCTCAGACCAGTAAAAAGACCCAGGGTCCGTGGTTCACGAGGGAACAAGCCGCGTTCAAGGAGTATCATTCAGACTACAAATATCTACAGGCTTGTCAGGCCTGCGTATGAAAGATTCAATTAATTCTCACGATGGGTAGTACTCCGGGCAATACAAAGAACGCAGCTCCAAGCTTTGAGCGCCGACTGCTACGTGCATTGTCCGTGTCTTCCTCGACATCTAGTGAGTCTCAGAGCTCAGCCAGCTCCATAACGGGAGACACTACCGAAGATTGGACCCATGCAAGGAATGCCGATGCCCAGCCAGGAGACAGACAGGCAGGAGTGAAACGACAGCGTACTTCAAATGAAAGCGTCAGTCCACGTGGTGATCAAGAGCCCACCACTCTGTCCGATGAAGTTGAACGACGCTACACAATAATCTTCCAATATATTGTAGAGTGAGTACCAAAGCAAGAGGGTGAGAAAATTACAATCTAACGTGTTCCTAGTCTCGACATCCGTGTGAGGTCAGTGAAACCATAATTTTGAAATAGTAATTATCTGCTTATACTTTTTCCAGACGCATGGAACGACACACTCGTGATCAAAACAATCTAAATCATGTTGTGGCAAACGAGCTAGAGGATTTGATGGGCCGGCTGGCCGCTATTGAGTCGGCAGTACAGAAAACGGCAGAAGAGTCAAGCGAGGGCAGCGAGGATTGAAAAAAAAAAGGTTGGTGCACAGTATTTAAGGCTGATTGTGGAAAATACACGTCTACAAATTGACGTAGTCTGACTTGTGTCTGTGTCCATTCATATGTTCTGTTTTATGTATCATGACTAAGTAGATGGCTTCCTACCAGGATGAAGTGCTTTGTAAACTGCCTTGTATGTCAGATTTGTAATTAAGTAAGACAAGCTCGCTGTGTAGTGCAAGATTCAAGGAAAACCGCAGATATAAATCTCTCTCCAATTGGCAGTCTAACATTCCTCACAACAAGTCCCAAGCGAGACATTCTAGTTTGGCCACTAGAGTGGGCTGTTCGACTCATCGGTGGGTAAAAGGCTGACTGCTATCATTTCTGTGCGGTTTTGATGGTATCCCACAAGTCATTCATTGATGCCGACACGTCATTATGAACACGGCGCAGCATGGGCTGAATAGCAGCCAAGGAAGCCTGGCTATCCTCGGAGCTATGGGAGTGTTTCAACCGCTGCCTGAGCTGACGAACCTCCGTTTCCAGGATGAGCTTCTCAGCCCAAGCTTTCTCTTTTTCTGCAGTATTTTGTCGTAGCTTCGCTAAATCTTTACGATTCTCGTCACGAAGGCGCTGTATCAATTTATGATCTTGGTGTCTCTGTTCGTCCCGCTCCTCGATGAGCTTTTTAAACTCATCGTCAAACTGACTCACCACCTCGAAGCATCTTCGGTGGATCTTGTGATGGTCCTTCTTCTTGCGGGATTTGATCACGCGGAAATCCTGAAACAATGTCAGCGATGAGAAGAATGTCAGATATACCCATGTTGTAGCAGCTCACAGGTGCGTCGCTTCGTTGCAATAAGAAGCCTTGGGAAGGGTCAACGTACCGGATCTTGAGAGATCGTTGTTGTGGGTTCGATGACCGCACAGTCGGTATCGGTTGAACGAGTTCGGGAAGTCGTGCCATGCTCTCCAGCAGGAAGCTCCTGTTTCTCGGGGCTGTAGGCTGTATGGGTATGGATAATATTCAACAAGTCTGCCTTCATGCTGGGCCGGGTTTCACAACAGTCAAGACAGTCAGGAATATATAGAGAAGTAAAGGTTGCAAAATTTATATTATATTTTCGGGCGGGGAAGGGAGATTTAAGCCTTGGACAAGCAGAGACAAAAGTCGAGAGCCTGGCATGCTCGGCCTGTCGCCCAAGCAAGATAATTCACTCAATGGAAAAGGGGCTACGGATCCATGTTTTCGGTAAACTTTAATAATTTGTCAATCCCAGATCGGTCCATTAGGAAGACTCTGAGTCAAATCAAAAGTGTACGGAAACACTACGGGTGATCTGCAGCGTGTTCCTTTGTGAGTGTATGTGAATATCAAACGGGTTCTCCTCATTACCATGGGTCACAGTGATATTAAATTTACATTCTGGCTTGGGAAAGCACACGATATAGCTTCCACTCATCCATGAATTGATTCAAATATACAACGCCTAACCCACGGTTCAATTGCTGTGGAAATGATCGCGCCGCGTGGCAGTGGAACACTAGAGTGGCTCTCAAATTACTCCCCACGTTATCAAGTCCCAGTCTTCATAGTTACCAATACTATTATCATCGTCCGACAGACCCGGCATCAAGTGGCTTCCAGTTCGGTTTGCATGCCAAGAGAGTGGTTTCCCTGGGTCTCAATAAATTTGGTATTTGAAAAGGACCGCACCTGGTTCTGATTATTGAACTTCATGAATAGAACCAGAATTTCACATGTAACGTTACTGTATGTATAATTCATTAACTCCTCGTTTCCTTTTGGGCTTCCAAAAGCTTACGTCAAGTCAGATACAGCTGGTCCTTGTGTATGCAATATACCGGGTTACTTTGCACTGTGCTTCGCAGAAACCACATGCTTCCTTCTGCTGATAGCTTCGACCTGGTTCTCGAGGTCGTCCACTGTGGATTCCATCTCTCGGAGTCTCCCATAGCCCATAGCCAATGCTTCCATTTCCCCCTGTGTTATTACACTCCAAATATCCTGTTTTTGACATTTGTCGGATTGGGACGAATCGTATGGGCTAGTAAATCAAGCATCCAATTTCAAGAGGGTTGTTCTATCTAGCTGCTGGATCGAGTTGAGCGATCCTACGAGTTCGCGGAGGCTAGTTGCATAGCTCGTACGTACGTACGCTTACGTGCACGTTACATACAAAGAAGACAGTATTATAAGATATAAGCACGCGCTGATTCATCAGTCCAAGATAGGAAAGGTGGTGATCTTTTCTGCTGCGGAGTTCGACAACATTACTCCTCCACCTCCCTGTCAGGAACATGTCAGCACTCGAGAACAAAGCTGTATCTAGGGCGAATAAGGAAGACGGTGCACAAGTCAGACAAAAAAGGATTGTTTACTACGTTCGAACATCCAAGCCATCATAAAATTAGCTGGGACTAGACTAATCAGTGTATAAGATAACAGCACCCCTCTTTAGGGTGGTAAATGTATTGAGGAGCTCTCTGGGTAAAACTGGTACTACCACAGATGTTACGCTTCCCTGTCCCTCTAAAAAATCATATCTGGCTGAATCAGTCTCTTCCAAACCATGTTGTTCTTCGTTTGGGGTCTCAATGTAGGTCTCGTCTTGTGGCTACTCAATTTAATACTCAAAAGGACAGCCTTCTTGTTGTGAGAAGTTTTCAGATACTGGAACACTGTAGATCAATCTTCGGTGCCGGCTGGCTAGCTGGAACATCCAGCGCCAGTTCTCTGAGAATTCTGTGGGTATGAAGACCTGTTCCTGTCCCTGTTCCGGGAAATCCATGGCAGTTCTTCTGAACACGATAAATTGAAAAGATGGAGGAAATCAAGGACGCTCTTCCTCGAGAGATAATACTTTGAGGATATAAAGCATGAGGATATTGACAGAAGTGACCAATGTTTGAGCAAAACTCTAATCAAGCACCTAAAAAAGCCGGAGTAAATCTGGCTACAGGAACAATACCTCTAACAAACAAAGGTGGATTACCCGTAGAAGCATAATTTACTGAATGCAGGATAGAGTGTCAGTATGTGATCAGTCCAACCTTATATTCACATAAATTCGATTCTGGTGGGGCAGGCCGTCGTTGCCAAGTACGTCGCACATTTCTTATTCCTCATGCAATTCTGAGTAGCGAAGTCCTATCGCTATTTCCTTCGTTTTCTTCCATGTGACAAAATCTCAGGAAGTCCGACACCACCATGTCTGTGACATATCTCCAACACTGAGCTCAATAATCAGTAATATATAAACACTCACACCAGTTAAAGCCATCGTGGTTATCCAATTTCCCTGGACATATCCTGGACTGTTGTGAAATCATATTCAAGTGATAACCAGAACCACGGACAATCAGAACCATAGTTTACACATCCCCACAATTAATACGACGGTGTCATACTGCGGTATCAATCGCCTAGAGGGACAGTTTTATTTTCTGAGATAGAGTCTCGCAGCTCAGCTGCTCAATCGACCGTTTTTCTTGAATTGTCTTTCGGAATCGGAGCCACTACGAAGAACAACAAACACCTTTCTTTGGCAGCGATGAGAATGATTCAATTTAAAGCTTTGGAAACTTCCCTGAACCTCTTGGAAGTTGACAATGCTCCTACTTATTTTCCTTCACTTTTCAACTCTCAATTCGGTGTGCCTATTTATATCCCAAATCTATGAATGGACCCACAATCTGGTTAACTCGAGTATTATAAAGAAATACAAAGAAGCGCACGTTTGTGGAGTCAGTTACTGTATACTAGAGCATACTTGGGAAACTTCGGTTTCAATTACGACGGGTCCGTCAACCTTGAGATGAAAAATGATCTGCGGCTTATCCGAAAGTGGTTTAGACTTGGAATCCGTCTCCCCACTTTGTCCTTTCTTCTTGCCTTTCCTCTCGTTATTCAGGGCGAAGTTGTCATAGAATCAGGGTATGCAGTAAGAAAACAATATTAACGTGCTAAGATATTGCACGTCCTGATGAAAGCTGAGACTGATTGTCAGGCGATTACAGAAGCAACATAATGTGTTCTTTTACCCTTCAATTAGCGACCGGTTCGAGAGCATGAGAAAAGATCGTCTTTCTCGTCGGAAATCCCCCTTCTATGAGTTCGCCACCTGCGTCATCAAAGTGATCTAGTGAACAATTGAAACAATCAGTCTTCTCATCCAAGATGGGACCGATCACGCGAAGCAAAAGCGGATCAGGGTGCCTGCTAACTTGGTTGTTTCTGTGGGGTTGTGCTACATGTACTGTATCACTGTCCGCTGCGTCGACTTCTATCTCTGGAAAAAGCGCTGTCGGATGAGCTCGCTATTGCGTGGGTTTGCTGCATGTCAAATTACTGAGCGACGCTGACAGTCGTGCTGGTTTTCCAAGTCTAGAACCTTCTGTCAAGTTAGAGAGGAATAGTGGTAAAACCACTCCTCTCTAGGACTAGTGTATCCAGCGCCCGCCCGCATTTTCTATGTATTCCCCCTGAAAAGCTTAGATAGTTCTTCAACCAGACATAAATTCACCATCCTCTAATCGGACATCCTCGATACTAGTTAATACGCGTTCGCTCCAGATCTGACACCTTCCTCTAATACAACCTGCCATCAAATGTTTCCGCCGCGAGCAGCAAGCCACTGTCGCAGAATCTATATAGCTAAACTTGACATTGTCCTGCGCCATGAAAATATCAATCGCAGTGGGGTCATCATCAATGACGGTGAGGTGAAGCGCCGCTTTCTCACTTGAGTGTTCCGCGCTGGCGTTGAACCGAATGTCTAGTAGCATCATGGCAAGTGCTGCATGCTGTTCATATTCCAGAGCTTTAAAAAGTAGTCCCCGTGCCCTAGGAGTAAAGTTGTTGGTATGGGTGAAGAACTGGTGGAGAAGCTGTTCAATGGTGGAAACGTCACTCATTGGAATCGCTGTCGATATGATATTACCATCAGATCGTTGGTCCCACAGCTATTGTCTCAAATCTTATTTTAATCGTCTCTCAACTCTGAGCGTCAAATCAAAGTGGTTGACAATTTCGGCCATGCTATCTGGAAGCTTTTAAAAAGGGGATTAATCTCAAAAACCTCTATTACACGACAGGTAGTTCAATGGGCTTTTCATTTTTGGAAGCAAAAACCTTTCAACAGCACTTAGCTAAAACTGTACTTTTCTAGGCCCCTTGGACTGAGGTTCTTCAGATAATGTCTACGTTTATACTGTTTAATCATTCCCTGTATCTTGATTTTCGACCTATCCATGAATTAGACAACCTGCCTTTGTTTCTCTTTTGATTGTCCCTCAGTAGACCACGGTCGGGCATAGGCTCCATAAACATGACGAGACTGCAGATTCACGGGGTTCAATGATTCAAGCGGATTGTATCTAAAATTTGGTTTGCATTCTCCACTTAAAGTAGCCAAATCAAGATCGAAATATTCCATTTTGCCGGCTTTTGAATCTCTTGGAACCATTGCCACTGGTCAACCCACCAGACTGGCTTTTCGTTTTTTGATACCTCTATATGATGGACATCTCAATCGCAAGACTACTCTGAGCTTCAAGCCCAGAAAAGTCACGAGAAGTGGCCAAAAATGCAGATACACATGTGATTCCGATCCTGTAACGTACATTTTTACCCAACGTTGCTACAATCTCAATAGCCTCAACTTTCGGGGTGCATTGAAGCGGTGAGCATATTCCCAAATCGGGGACAGTTTTTCGGTTCCATCAAGCGGCGTGTACTTTGGCGCTACTGATAGTAGTCCTATGAAATGGATCAGCTAGTTATGCGGTGATTCATGACTGAGCGAGTAGCTTACTACTTGGTGAGCGCCTTGTTTCGGTAAAATGGTCGCACTCTCCTTCGGTAGGCTCAGATAGAGGTGTTCTTTGAAGCCATCGGTCGATTCTGCGCCGAAAAGATCTAGTCTTTCCGGCCCTGGTAGGATGTGGCTGATGGTTAAGATCTGCCGATACTGAATGGTCTGCGGTCGGTTCGACACTATAGTGTCTGCCTTTTCGAAGAAGGTGATACTTTTTCCCTCGCAAAGATTCGATGCTTCGCTGCACTTGGAATTCTTCATAATAGGCACGAGACAGGGCTTTCCAGGATAGCCCCTTCTTGGATTGCAGCCAGGCAAGTAGATTCTTCTCTTCCCATTTTGACCATCCGATCGTGTTCCGGGGGGCCATGGCACAATGCCAAAAATGATCGGCGCAAGGCAACGACGACAAAGAATTAAATGACTATAAAAAATGCAATTTCAAGAGCAGTCATCCAGAATGAAAGTCTCTCGGAGGTTTGTTGAGCAAGATCACCATTTATGAGAAAACTTGCGGTCAAAGTTTGAATATATGACCGCCTAGAAAGCAAGATTGTTGAGCATGGTGAATCTTGGATCAAACCGCGTTGATGGAAAATTCCTACGAGAGACCCATCAGTGCCATTTTTTGGCAAAGTTTAAACGGGTCGTTGGTCTCAGGTCACTGAGTCAACGAAGAATTATTAGTTCCTCCCCGGGAAGGGCACTTTTGACTTTCAAGACAAAGGTTGTAGGATTTGGTTTTCGTTTGTGCGTTTTTTTCAGCAATTATGTCCTTTAAGCCGTTTTCTCGAGATATTACGCCAACAGGAAACATCAGGCTAACTTAGGACCGGATCCGGCAGATTTTGAAAATTGATTTCACGACAAGTATGATCTACTTCAGAACGCTCTAGACCTTTTTCAGGTCACAAGCTCTTTCAAAAGACCCTGCATTGAAATATAAGAATTGGAATAATAATTCAGAAGACTTTTGACCTGCAAGAAAGAAAGCGATCAAACCCGAAGTATAATCTGAAAGCGGCCTTGTCCATACCCACTTCTCGGGTGCACATAATTCATTCATATTGGTCAAAAGAAGCAAGCAAAGCATTACTGGATATTAAAAAGTAACTCATCACTGTCAAGCTTTAAGGAATGGATTCCCTCAATCGCTAGCCCTGATGAGGAAAAGACATTAGAGCTGCTTTATTGGAGTACGTTCCAACACATTGTGGAGGTGAGGGGGGAGATCTCGCAGAATATAGTTCCCTCCCAATTGAAGACGAAACGTTCGAGTAGATAAATCATAATCGCCGGTGAATTTCCGTTCTTCTGAGGATTGAGGATTGACTCCCCATTGCTCTGGGTTATAAACGTGAGGCCTCGTTTAAGCGTCGCAACAGTATTATTTGTCTGCTTCTTGCGCGCAACAAGTTCGCCCGGTATTTTCGACGGATAAAGATGATTATGCTATGCGGGATCAGCTTTTTTGCCGTTGATCTCGTGAATTCAGAAGGTATTTCGGGTATCATCGAGGTCCTGTTGAACCAACCGTCCCAACGTCTTAAAATCCGAATTAGGTCAAATCCGGCCAAGGTCAATGCAAGAAGCAGCACGACACCTAGAAAAATATAAACATACAACGTCGCGTGAACTGAGCCGCCCATGACATTGCTTTTAAACAAGCACACTATAGCCTGTTTGAAACGGCGGGAATTGGTTCCGCGCTCTGTACTCACAATCTTCGGCATGGAGTTACAGTAGCATGGAATAAATGCCTTTCTAGAAGTGAGGTCGCGAGAGAGCAAATGAGAGAGAATTGGATTGTGTCAGTGAGTTCTGAACATGATTGTGATTACAATTTTTTGGGATTGCAGTGGGTGCCTCGTCTTTGTGCGATTCAAGAATCAAAGTCTCATATAGTCAAGTTATCGCGTCTTCTTCTGCCATTTCTTTTCCTACAGCACGCTCCCAGTGAGCATTATCAATGTGACCCAGAGAGTTACAGATTTAAGGGCACATTCCACGCCTCATTGTGTTCGGCTCCTGCGTTGCATCTCTGGAAATCGCAGCATTTTTGAAGCTTAGTTCAGGGAAGTTGAAGTCTTAGAGCAACGATTAGTCTTTTTCATAATACTCAAGGTAGTGTTCCATGATTCAGGCTTCGAGCCGGCTTCACTCCGTTTGGAATTAATTTTCGAGCGCCAATCCCTTCCGGCAGAGTTGAATCAAACTTTTTGAAAAATTGTCCCACGCCGAGATGTTTATTGACATCTTTTACAACAGTATCAGAGTAGCATGCCCCTAGTTGAATGACTTAACGACCATGATGACAAATTCCTACCCTCTCCATTCTTTTGGAGTAGCGCGAGTTGGAAGATGTTTATAGAATGTACATTTCTACGATACAGTCGATAGCGAAAACAGCTTCTACCCTTCTAATCGCTTTTTTTTATTCAGGCCCCACTGCCAAGGGATCTTTACCCCACTATTGTTATAAAAATAGATAGAAGTCATGAATATGACGATACGTTTACTGTAAATTACACGCACTTTACAAAATAGCGTCATTCCTAAAACAGCTATGTAATAATCACCAGCAAAAGTGTGATAGTAAGACAATTTTCGAATTTTACGACCCCCTTCGTTCAGTCATTCATAAATCAAAGTTCCTGTATATATGTTCAATAAGACACTACGACTTGGCGATAACAGGAAGAGACTCAGCCAATGCCCCCTAATTACGGTAGCAGCTACTTGATTTACAAATTCCGAGGTCAAGGGACCTTTGGTCTTTTAGGAGAGATGGAGAGAGGGTGTGGACAAATGAGGAACTAGACGTGCTGAGGATTTTCAAAATCTTGTGTTACTTTACCAAAGATGCAGCCCAGAAAATATCTCCATCCTCCCACTCTGAGCTCCCTTCCCCAGCAGCAGCAGCTGCACTATGTTATCGTGTCCTTGGGAAGACGCAGCTTGGAGAGCACTCCCAAAGTATCCACCTTGAGCGTTGATCTCGGCTCCTTTCTCTAGCAGGAGCTGTACAATCTTATCGTGTCCTCGCAAAGACGCAGCTCGGAGGGCGTTTCTATATTTTCCACCTTGGGCGTTGACCTCGGCCCCCTTCTCCAGCAGGAGCTGTACAATCTTATCGTGTCCTTCTAAAGACGCAGCTTGGAGAGCACTCCCAAAGTATCCACCTTGGGCGTTGACCTCGGCTCCCTTCTCCAGCAGAAGCTGTACAATGGTATTGTGTCGTTGCGAAGATGCAGCTTGGAGAGCATTCCCAAAGTATCCACCTTGAGCGTTGATCTCGGCTCCTTTCTCCAGCAGGAGCTGTACAACCTTATCGTGTCCTTCTGAAGATGCAGCTTGGAGAGCATTCCCAAAGTATCCACCTTGAGCGTTGATCTCGGCTCCTTTCTCCAGCAGGAGCTGTACAATCTTATCGTGTCCTTCTAAAGACGCAGCTTGGAGAGCATTTCCATATGTTCCACCTTGGGCGTTGACCTCAGCTCCCTTCTCCAGCAGGAGCTGTACAATCTTATCGTGTCCTTCTAAAGACGCATCTTGGAGAGCATTTCCATATGTTCCAACTTGGGCGTTGATCTCGGCTCCTTTCTCCAGCAGGAGCTGTACAATCTTATCGTGTCCTTTGAAAGACGCAGCTTGGAGAGCATTTCCATCTTCTCCACTTTGAGTGTTGACCTCGACTCCCTTCTCCAGCAGGAGCTGTACAACCTTATCGTGTCCTTCTGAAGATGCAGCTCGGAGAGCATTCCCAAAGTGTCCACCTTGAGCGTTGACCTCGGCTCCCTTCTCCAGCAGGAGCTGTACAATCTTATCGTGTCCTTCTAAAGACGCTGCGTAGAGAGCATTGTCATATCCTCCACCTTGAGCGTTGACCTCAGCGCCATTCTCCAGCAGCAACTGCACGATTTTATCACGTCCTTGGGAAGATGCAGCTTGGAGAGCATTTCCATATGTTCCACCTTGAGCGTTGACCTCAGCTCCCTTCTCCAGCAGGAGCTGTACAATCTTATCGTGTCCTTCTAAAGATGCAGCCTGGAGAGAATTTCCATATCCTCCACCTTGAGCGTTGACCTCAGCTCCCTTCTCCAGCAGCAACTGCACGATTTTATCATGTCCTTGGGAAGACGCAGCTTGGAGGGCATTTCCAGACTCGCTACCTTGGGCGTTGACCTCGGCTCCCTTCTCCAGCAGGAGCTGTACAATCTTATCGTGTCCTCGCAAAGACGCAGCTCGGAGGGCGTTTCCATAGTTTCCACCTTGAGCGTTGACCTCGGCTCCCTTCTCCAGCAGCAACTGCACAACCTTATCGTAACCGTTTAAGGAGGCCCAGATGATAGGGTACGTTCCGGCGCCATCGATTGAATTGATAGCCTTCCTATCGAGAGACAGTAGAAACTCAACTTCCCGCTCATGTCCGTTGAGTGATGCCAGGTGTAAAGTCGTCATCGAAGGCGGGGCACTGTAACTCTCGATGGTCTTCCAAAAGATAGGGAACCACAATGAAAATACCTTTCTACTCAGATCGTAGATTTGTTGAACTTGACCGGTCGCTTCTTGGTCTTGGGTCAGACTCATCTTCCGTTTGTGGTCCGCCCAATATAATGCTGAATAATGTAAAAAGCTTCGAATGTTAGAGCATGATTCTTCATTGTGTTCCAGATCCTCCATCAATAGGTATCGCAAGCAAATAACGGCCATTTGATCCTCAGTATCAGTTAAGGACCATGAGTACAAGCAGTCGACACTGTTAGAGCTACTTTTCTTGAGAAGAAATTCTCTAGCTGTCTGATGAATAAAGTAGATCTTGGAGTTGTTGATGAAAACAAAAAGGCCACATAATCGACGCAGCTTTTTGTAGAATTGGGATGCTTCAATTCCAGCTTCTGCAGCAGTTTGGGCTTGTGGAGAGGTGGCTATACCGAGCGCCATGGCCATTTCCGCCGTTGTTAAAGGGCGCCGTGCTGCAACCATGATTTGTAAGATCTTCCTTGTAATGTCCACTTGACGGGGTGGCGATCGACTAAGAATCTTCTCGTACGCCTCATCGACTGATTGAGGTATCATCTGTATTTCTTCCTCAGAAGGGCGGAGACTATCCTCAAGTGTGGATCGAATGTCGTCAATGGCTAGATGTAACCAGAGATACGTACGGTGCTCCATTTGTAGAAGCTGCTGCTTAAGTCGCTGCTCTGTATCACGTGACAACGCTGCTGCTTTGGCGAACTCTCTTACTCGCACCTTCACGACAAGGTTGATTTCTTGATGGATCTGATCATTTTCTTCCTCTCCTTTCAAATGAAGACGGGGGAAGGAGCCCGTTATTGCTCGAAATCTATTCTGAATCTCGTCATAGGGGCGACTAGTGACTAGGAATTTCAACCAGGTATCCTGTCTCTGCGAACGTGGCAGGCGATGAAATGACTGTAGCTTCTCAATCAGTCGATTCTGATCAACCTCACGGCACTCATCAAGCGCATCGAAAAGACAAATTGTCTTGCATGATTCATCTGATAATACGGCGGTTGTAAAAATCCTCCAAAGTTCGTCAACCTCTTGTCGCAGTTTTTCACCATGTTTTCCCCATGATGGTATGGCATGACGCAAGAGCTGAGGCTGCTGGCTAAAAAGCTGATGGAGTACGGAGCAGAGTGCTGAAGCAAGATGATTCTGCTCGTCGTTGTCCTTGAAAAAAAAGTAGCAGATGGTCACTCCTGGATTAGAAACTTCTAACTGGTCTTCGATTATCGATCGGGAGAGCACGGACTTCCCGCAGCCTGGGTCAGCAGACACTATGAGAAGATCGTTACAGTTGCTTTCTGCCCAACGGATATATTCGGGACTCAGTGTAGCCCACAGGCAGGTCCCTTCTACCTTTCTAGGATTGATATTCTTTTGCTCCTCGTAACTTGATACCTTGAATATTTGGTGGCAGCGGTTTTGCTGATCCGTCAACACGAATGTAACCTTCTCACGATGATGGTGCTCTTGCTGAACGTATGCTTCGTCTAGACGTTGATTTGTGCCCATAATTTCGCTCTTCAATCCGTCTATATAGAGCCATATAAGCAATTCACTCTTTATTCAGGACTAACCCAGCTAGGACCCTTTTCACTTACTGCATGCGTCTACTACCAGGTTCTCTTGGGAGACATGGCCAACAGGAACATATCCCAGCAGCTCTTTTGTGTACGCTGCTGCTACTAGAGCCGCATATCCTTGCCATTCTTTGTTCTTATGCGAGTCGGCATAATCACAAATTCCGCGGATGACAACACAGGGAAAATCGAGCATTAGACCAGCTGCCTCCATTTCAAAGCACAATGTCCCGGTCTCTGAACGAAGTTGCTCTCTTGTCCGCCCGTGCTTGATAACATGATTTCCAGAAGCAATAATACCATAGTGGGGCTGTGGATCACTATCCTCCCGTTCATCTCTTATTTCTTCCCACTCTACTAGACATTTATCACAGTTCCTTATATTGGCAGGGTGATCATATTGTATCTTGAAAAGTCGATCAGATTGTAAAGCAGGCCGGCTAAAATTCTTCCTAGTTCGAGCGGTTCTTCCGATTGCACTTTGGAGATACTCCAGATAGCGGGGATCATCCGTCAGGCTGGCAGCTCTCACGGTGCCAACTGCGGTCAATATTGCCCTCGGCGGACTGTTCAACGAACCAGTGCGTTCGAATTCACCGCCTGCAATAATCTTGCCCATATCATATTGAATCACCCCACCACAAGTACCTTGGGGATAACTAATGACGACATCGCCGAGTCGAATATCATGAGCAGCGGAAGGAACTCCACCCCCGATACCGACCATCAATCCGATTCGAAGCGACTTGGAGAAGGTGCGAAGCATGTTGGTTGCGACCGTAGTAGCTGAGGTAGTTCCGTACTGGCCGCCAGGGAGGCAGGCGACCACGACGTTGTGTTTGCCGATTCGGCCCAGCGTGTAGGTATTTGAGTCCGCTGCATCTTGTTCGTCGAGAATTCCGAATTTCTCATCTAGCATCTCGGCAGCAGCAGCAGCCTCGATTGGAAGGGCACAGATCCAGCCGATTTGGAAAGCATCTTTTGGAGGACGGGCCATGTAGAAGGTCAGTGTGGTTTTGCGAAAAGAATAGTTTTGTGACGAGGAAATTTAGGAATGGTTGAATAAGAACAGAGGTTCATGGCCCTTGTGCTGGGGGTCACTACAAGGAAAGAGCCCCATCGCGTGGCAGACAGGAGAATCCCCGTCACCAGCAGCAGGTCTCAGCCCGGGCTGAGGGGAGGAGCGTAGCGCGGCAACAGAGCAGCTGCTATTGGAGAAAGCCACCAGCCGCTAGCGAGGGTGCGTCGCACGTGATATCATGGTCCGTGACCGGCGATGCCGTGGCACTACGAAGTCCAATCAGAACGAGTGGGTTGAACAGCGTCAGTGGTAGAAATATGGCACCCAGACTTGACGCGTGGCGACTCGATCTCATCCGTGACATGATCCAAGACCCACAACCGTATACTAACGCGCAGATTGCCGAGGCTGCCCATTGCACTCCACGATCAGTCAGCACTATCCGCTCGAACCTACGATGCTTTGGAAGTGCCAGAGCGCCGGCCAACGGTATCGGCAGACGACGAACGATTACCCCACCTATGATCGAAGCTCTCTGTGAGCGTCTCATTGAAAAGCCGGATCTCTATCAGGATGAGATGGCGGTTTTCCTGTGGGATGAGTTCCGCGTCCTTGTCACCGTATATAGCATTGGCAGAGCGCTTGCATCGGTTGGATGGTCTAAGAAAGCTGCAAGGCGGATAGCAAGGGGGCGAAATATCGAGCTACGGGACTACTATCTTCATACTATATCGTCTTTTCGATCCTATCACCTCGTGTATGTGGATGAGTCGGGCTGTGATAAACGAGCAGGTTTCAGACGGACTGGATGGTCCCCACTGGGAGTGACACCTGTCCAGATATCTCAATTTCACCGCGGGCAGCGATACCAGATACTTCCCGCGTATGCTCAAGATGGCGTTGTCCTTTCACGGGTTTTCCAGGGATCGACGGATGCTGGTGTCTTTGAAGATTTTATTCGCCAGCTTCTGGATCACTGCGGGAGGTGGCCGGAGCCAAAATCTGTTATTGTTATGGATAATGCTTCTTTCCATCGTACGGAGGGTATTCGGCACATGTGTTCTGCGGCCGGTGTCAAATTGGTATACTTACCGCCCTACTCACCGGATCTAAATCCGATTGAGGAATTCTTCGCTGAGCTTAAAGCCTTTATTAAACGACAGTGGCTGACATATGAAGAGAATCCGGGCCAGGGTTTTGACTCCTTTCTCCAATGGTGTGTTGATGTTGTGGGGGCAAGAGAAAAAAGTGCAAAAGGTCATTTTCGACATGCAGGCTGGAATATTGAAGAACCTTGATGATGAAATTCGAAGTTGTTCTGATCTATAGTCTACTCAATATTACACTTATAATGCTTAATCCAATAATTGATATCCCCGACAAAACGGCGAGCAATGCCTCTTTTAACGCCATTCTTTATGAAGAATCCCGGGTCCTGATCATCATGAATCTGGGCAAGATCCAGTCCATCTTCAAGTGCAGTATCACAAGCTTTGCGAAATTCAGCTTTCAGTTTTTCATCATTGACTTGTGATTGCTGCCAGTCACTATATTCAGCAACGGCAAGGTCTCGCAGACCAGGGATCTCGATGAAATCTGTAGACACTTTTCCATTACACATATTCGGCGTCAGCGTCGGCGTCGGTGTGGTTGGCACAGAGTGAGGGGAAGACTGCGTAGGAAGGACGTTGGTGATGTTTATAGGAGGATATCCATTTGTGGACTGGGCACCGCTCTTTTGCCTGTCAAGTCGTTGCTGCTCCTGTATATATAGTTGTTCACGAATTGACTCGGGAACGTCATCGTGGGATTTTAACACACCGCCCTGTTCAGCAAAATTCACCAGGGCCCTCAGGTTCTGTACTGTTAGTTTAATGTGCTTTTTGCTAATAGGGTCACGCCAGCAATGCGGCCCCAGCTCACATGCTCCACTGGAGCACCGCATCAGACTGTAAACATAGTCCCAAGTAGGAGGTTGCCCAGTGGCCTGTTCCTGTGCGCTGATATCTGCCTGCCGTTCAAGCAACATGAGCTGGGTAGCAGATGAAGCCCCTCTTTTGTCTGTCCCTCTTGGGCTGGGCCTTAGGATGTGGCTACTCTCAACGTAGCTGAATGTCATATTCAGTGTTAGTTTCTTCCCAGCGCGGAAAAGATCGCCCCACAATAGAAGCTGTTTCTCCACAGCAGGCCAATCCACATCAGTTTGGTCACAGGAAAGAGTGAGGTCTGGCTGATTACGGTGATTCACTGATACAACGGTTGTTGTATCATCTAGTTCAACTCTTCTCTGCAGAAATTTCTTGCCTACAAGTTCCTTTAATTTTGGCTCCAAAAAAAGACGCCAGTGAAACCTTGGGGCCAATACCAAGTCTTGCTCCGTATTTTTCCGGATTGTTTTATTATTGAGGGTCACCTTCCACAAAATCGAATAATGAAGACAGGTGGGTGGAAGCTCGTCGTATGACCTCCCTTCCTCCCACTCACCCAGCTGAAGTAGACGAATCTGACCAAGTTGTGGCGATTGGCGCTGTCTGGAGAAATCATCACCTGGGCGATTCTCAGGGCTAATAGAATTCATCATGGAGGGCGTCTGGCAAAAGCCATCTCCTGGCGTTGGGGCATATCCTGGCGTTGAGGCATATCCTGGAGTCGGGGCATATCCTGGAGTCGGGGCATATCCGGGAGTTGGGGCAAAGAGCGAGGACTGATCGAGTTGGTCATACGAGTCAAAGAGCGGTGGATCATTTTGAGTGTTGAATGGACTGCAACTCATAATTTCCTGGCTATCATGGGAGATATTATCAACGTCATTGTTCATCAACAGACTCTTGGGGGTCTTTCGGTTTGATTGCTCCCTGTTACATCTTACCTAGACAAAGCGACCGCTGACAATAGAGCATAGGCAAACAGAAATATCTGTATAGTCAACAACATCAGCATCTCGCAACGGCGATGATGGTTAATTACACAGGCGCTCGATCTGATCAGTAATGGTAGTGACCTGGGATGAAACACTCGTAAAGCAGGATCACTCAACTCAACAAATTGTTTGCCTCATTTGCATGTAGATCTTCCGAATTCCATGGTATTCCAGAAGAGATCGACCGCTATTCCTGATTGGGACTAAATGTCAGCATTTAATATTGAGGGCCCTTCCAAATTCTAAAAAGATACACCAAAAGTCTCTCTTTATTTCATTCTAGTTGAGAAGACGAAATGTTAGCAACGTAAGGATATGAGCTAGCTACTCGCATATCATTGGTTTTCGTGCTGATGACTTTTGCGGGCCGCGCGATGGGTCCTGAGCAGCCAATCGTGTTGTATCATCATAGTCACGTGCTTATCCAATACCCAAGTACACCCCCCGACGAAAGGATAATGAAAACAAATGTGTAGTATTCCGTAATTATAATACCGTAAGCCTACTATCCTATACCGAGCATTACCTTGGGTGGTTATTACCGTACCGTTAGCTGTTAAATAATTCCGCGCGCTAATGCCTTGGCAGTGGGGCCTGAGACAACAAAAGCAGGCGTCAGGGTAGAAGCTGTTTCCGCTATCGACTGTAAGAAAGCAGATTCTTTTCCGAGATATATACATATCTCGTCATCCGAGTCTCATACTTGGGGCACGAACCTTGAAAATATAAATACAATGAATTCCGAGTCAGACATTCACTCTCCAAGGCAAGTGACAACAGCCCCGCGCCTTCATAGCTCATTAATTGAGCACATGTTCTAATGGAGAATTCTCACCTGTCGAAAGCTCTAATTCACTCATCGAGTCGGCAAACCTACCGAAGACAGTCCGCACCATTGATTTTTTGGTCCTATCATCTTTCCCAAAAGATTTTCTCTGGAATAGAGTAATAAGCTACCGAAATTAATTATTCGGCGGTGTTGAAAAGCAGCAGAGCCAAGAAGATGAGAGGGTTGGGTAATTTTCTATTTCTTCTCAGGGAACACCCGTTGTTCTGTATTTGCTGGACATGGTTTGCTTTCAGGTTCTAATTGGAGACTTGATTCACCCGAAAATTGTTTCACGAAATATATATGTAATTTAGTCAGGAAAACGTCTTTTTTCATTCCATTTGTTGTTTCTCGTAAAAGAACAGTTTCTTTTGTACGTGAATGCAGTCATATTGAACAGTGCCTGGGAAGGCTTTTTAAACTACCTAGAAATCGAACAATATCCCCATCTCCGTTCGTTTGTTAGTATGTGTTTTGATCATTGCTTCATTGACGCTGAGCCCCTGAGTGTGCCACATCAATAGCTCGGCGTTGTAACCTTCTGCCGGACTGCAATTCTTGACTAAAACCTTTCAAGGGATAAACACCTCGGAGCAGCTGTTAATTTCAAACTTGCTTGGATACATACCCTGTTTCTGTATTTACACGGCCAAGAATCTGCGTATTCAGAATTAGAAATGAGGCCTACATCCTCTACTTCTGCTTCTTACGGCCATTCGAAACCAGCACATTACCACATTCAAGACATATCTATTCAATTCTGTACTTATATTTTCAATCACGACAAATGAGCGACCTAGACGAAATCGTCCGGGTTATAAGTCAGCAACAAGGGGAATATGCATACTATCGCACTTGATACAGCCTCTTCAAGCAGCTGCAGGATGACGTGGCTGAATTCATAGAGCAACTCAATCGCTTCCAAAAAGCCGAATCAAGCGGTCTACTTGAAGTCTCTAGTGGCATATATCGGGTAACGGAGGAATTCCGGTCATTGACCCAAGCCATATCCGCTCGAGAACAGAACGCCCGCGCTGCCTTATCTGAATTAGTCGGATTACGTTACCCCGAGAATTATCGTGTCAACTCCGATAGGACGCGCAATGCAAGATAGGAGATATTTTTGCCAGTTCGGCAGTAAGCCAATTGTGGCCTGAAATTCGTGGATTATACTTGTCATAGCTGCAGAGTCTGCCATTTCAGGCAGTACAGCAAACGGCATAGCCTAACTTTATTAAATTAGACAGCCAGTTGTGTCATGCTTGTTAGCAAATTCAAGTCAGTGTCCAATCACCTGCTGAGCCTGACTCTGGCAGAGTTGGTTCCTGGGTTAGAGGTTAGAGGGCCTTTTCCCATCTATTTTCATTTTGCACTCTTCCAAAATTGTTCAAGGCGATTGGACTTTACTCCTCCTGGGAGCTCAGGCCGTTCTAGAATTCTGCTAAGCATTCCTGGGACCGGATGAGGTGAAGAGCGTATGAGTAGGTCCTGGGAGCGTATGAGTAGGTCCTGGGAGCGTATGAGTAGGTCCTGGGAGCGTTGTTACTCCTTGTCAGCGATCGACATGAGGTGGACCCACATAGTTTATCTGGGTTCCCTGCATGCGAGGAAGCTATCTTTCATTTGCTCCCTCGTGCTACGTCTTGTATCTATAGACGACTATACCTTTATTAATATTAATCATTCATTTGGAAGACTCAGGGACCGGGGGTGAGCAGGAAAAAATGTATTTGATTTACCTGGCGATCTAATGGCTGGCAAGCAGAGCTCATTCGGATCACCGGCTGCAGATGTGTATCCATTCGTGTAGTCTTTCCCGCTTGGGTATCGGAGATGGAAAATATTGACAGGGAGCTTTAGTCCGAATATGATATTATTGGAGCTTTGCGGTTTGAGATTGAAACTTGCTCCGTCACTATCTGATCCTCAAGTATATAAAGGGTGCTCTTTCCCGAATTGGCTCCAGGCTCTAGTATTATCTTTTGCTCCTATTCTAGACCTTTTTTAACTACCCTTGCCTGAAAGTTGGTGGCTCATGATGGCAAGTCCTTCCGATACGATCATTATTACCGACGACGAGGAACTACCAAGAACAGAGCCAGGTGGCTCACGAGCCCCTCGGAGGGCCCCACGCTGTGATTACACTTACTCGGACTATGAAAAATTGTTCAATGAATCAATTGATGCGACCAGTACGAATCCGCCACGCAAGCGTAGAAGAACCACAATTGATGGAACTTCTTCTATCGTGGTATCTGCTTTCCGTGAGACCTTTGTCTTTCTTTTCTAACGGCAAAGCAGGACAACGCTTTCAAGAAACTTAAACGTACAGTTGGCCATGAGATTGAGTTGTTACAAATGGAAGTCGGAATGCTTGGAAGTGAGCTTCGGGTGGAAAAAGAGAAGCGACAGAAGTTACAAGAGGAACTTTCTCAGCAGAGAAAACGAGCGCTAGAGTGCATGATCTGTTACACGCAGCCAGATCGATGGGTGACTCTTCTTTGTGGACATTTGGTTTGCGAGTCATGTGTAAAAGTTGTTGAGCCAACAAACAAATGCCCTCTGTGCAGAGCATCCTGTACGGGATATGTCAAGTGCTACCCATTTGCCGGGTAAAGCCTTTTTGTCCGCGATTTAACCTGACCGCACTTCCTTGTGGACTTGAAGCCGTTTCGGCTTCTGCTGGTCATTTCTTTCTTACTATATGTACTAAGATTGCAACTCATTTATTCCATAGACCTTCTTTCAAAGACCAAAATGAAAGAGATCAGCGACCTTGAAGATGAGGCTGTGGCAATCGGAGCGAGGGCTACTTGCGACGCGCCGGGTCGCAAATGGGTTGGGCAGTTCTTCCTTACCGGAAGATCCAGCTAGTCAGGACGAACACCTCTCCGACGCATCGCATGGATCATCAGATGAAATCGGGACTGCTGACGATGAATACGAAAGCGATAACGACGACTCAGGAGCCATCTTGTCGAAATATTTCAATCCATCCAAACATGCCGGTATGGCAAAACGGAAAGTTACAGATATCCCGACCGTGGCTCCAAGAAAAAGCCGGCGGGCAACACACGATTCGCGTGATGTTGAGCTGGAACAATCCGACTCGGACTTGGTAGGCTCGGACGATGACTCTTGGTATTACTCTGATGATGGGAAGATCTCTCGGGCTTATTGGCAATTTGTGACAAAACATGGTGGTAACCATATGAAGACATTCTTGCCCGATGATGATAAATGCGATCGTTGTTTCCGGAATGGCAGAAGATGCGACTCCGCAGAAAATGGAATGCCTTGTTCAACCTGCAGGAAGGAAAGTCAGGGCTGCAGAACACAATCCAAAGAAACGAGAAAGTTGATCCTTCCTGGGAACCGTCACAAGCGTAAAGAGATCGGAAGAGTCCAACAGGAACAACCATGCAGAAGATGCTTCCAAACGAATCGCAACTGCTTCCTCATTAGCCCAGGTGACTCCAAATGTGAGGGGTGTCAAAAAACAGACATAAATTGTAACTGGGACCTAACCGGAGCGAGGAAGTCAACAGCCCGGCAGGACAGAAGAAGAATTGAGAAACAGGCAAGACATGAAAAGCTCGGATTTGTTCCAGTTCCTCGTGAACAAAAATGCTACCGGTGCGCAGCGAAAATAATGACATGCGACGGAAAGATTCCATGTAATAAATGCGATAGCTTTCCCCAGCGTCTTTCATGCCGCCCGCAGGGTGTAGAAAATCTGCCACCTTGCGATCAGTGTAGACAAGGGCAGCGAAGCGGGAAGAAGTGTGATCGCGGACGACCCTGCAAAGCATGTATCCACGGGAAAACAACATGCAGCTATGAAGCTCAAGATGGTTTGCTAACAAGGATCTATCACGTTCCTGACGCACCGCTTCCAACTGGCTTCTCGGTGGGGTCCCTTGGGGAAGGAGATTCGTCTGATGAGGAGTGCGTACGATGCCAGAGGATGAAATTAAGTTGTGACGGAGAACATCCCTGTTATCGATGTGTCAAGGGACATAGTAAACACATTGTTAATTGTCACTATCGTAGATCTGATGGGACATACGAATCGTGGGCTATACGACCATTCGAGGCGAAAGGTCTCGACGAGCCAAAGCTTCGGGAAAATTACCAGAGCTATACCGGTCGGCGAAAGCCTACAGTTCCCAACGAATCTAAATCGCTCGATACGTTGAAACCCAAGATCGCAGAAGATGACACTAAAACCGTGCCATCAAAGGATAGCCACAGGAACTTCAACTTTGGTCTCGCTGCGTACAACAAATGTACGTTTTCAGTCCCGCGACTGAAGGACCACGGGGCGGCTGATGGAAAATACAACAAAGCCAAGATCGAAGAGCTAAAATCTCATGAAGACAAAGGTACATGGAAGGTGGTACCATTTACAAAAGAGATCAAGCCGATTACTTCCCGTTGGGTCACGACCGACAAGTATGGACCAGATGGTGAAGTTACCAGACACAAGGCTCGCTTAGTAGCAAGAGGCTTTCAACAGGAAGAAGGGATCGATTATGACGAAACTTTTGCGTCCGTTGTTAAGTCTACTTCAACCCGTATCTTGCTTGCCTTGGCGGCAATTTTCCGCTGGCATATCCACCAGGGTGATGTCAAGACGGCGTTCCTGAACAGTGAATTAGACAAACCAGTTCACATGAACCCCCCCAAAGATGTAAAGATTCCCCAGGGATGCTGTTTACTACTTATGAAGGCACTTTATGGAACAGTCACCTCGAGCGTGGTATCAGAAGCTCAGAGATACACTTCTGAGTTGGGGCTGGCGAATGTCCGCCTATGATCCATGTGTCTTCATCAATGACCAAAACGGACTTATCCTCGAAGTTCACGTTGACGACATCAACGTGATGGGCAAAGACTTGCAAGCAATTCTTCAGTTTAAGACTGAATTTGCGAAAGAATTTCCGATATCTGATGAGGGGGAGTGTTCCTGGTACTTAGGAATGCACATAGAACAAAGTCCTGGGGAAATTCGTATCCATCAAAAACGGTATATCGACCAAATTGTCAGCAAATACGGCTTCAACGATGCAGCCCCTGTCATGGCACCCCTTGATACAAAGTGCAAGCTAGCGAAACAGGATGACAATCCCTCCAACACCAAGTTCCGCAAAGAATATCAATCAGAGGTTGGATCACTTAATTTCGCGAGCAATCAAACAAGACCGGATATTGCATTTGCTACAGGCTATGTTGCTCGATACGCATCCAATCCAAACCGAGCTCATATGGATGCTGTTGATCGCATTTTTACATACCTGAAGGGTGACACAAAAAAGGGAATCACCTACTCAGACAAAGTTGGCCTCCAGCTCAAAGGTTTTGTCGACAGCGACTTTGCCGGGTGTGAGGATTCACGCAAGTCGACGGCTGGGTGGGTATTCACGCTTGCTGGAGGGCCTATATCTTGGTCATCCCAAAGACAGAAAACAGTTGCGACATCAACCATGGATGCAGAGTATATTGCTTGTGCCGAGGCTGCGAAAGAAGCTGTGTGGATCCGCAATTTTATCAATGATCTTCGTATCCCCGGGGTCCATATCGAGACCGTTCCGCTATATATCGACAACAATTCTGCATTGAAGCTCACCAGAAATCCTGAATTCCATAATAGGTCAAAGCACATCGACGTCAAACATCACTTCATTCGTGAGAAGGTGGACGAGGGAATCATCAATACCCAGCGTGTCAATACGAAGGACAACTTGGCAGACGTGTTCACTAAAGCTTTACCTGCATCTGTACATAAGGACCTATCTGAACGACTGAATCTTCTGCCTGGGAGAGGTTTCGATTCTAAAATTTCCATGACAAAGGGAGAAGGCAGTGTTAGAACAGCGTCTGAGATCCTTGACGTGGTGCCTCGGTCCCTTCGGGCCCTTGACACAGGGGGAGAGTTGGATCCCAGACTACGTGATGTATAGTACAGTAGTGGCAGCCTATTAGGCTGCCACCATTACTCTAGGCAGAAGGCAGCTACTGTGACTACAAATAGCTGCACCTACTATCATAACTAGAAATGCATCATCACACTTGTATCTCAATCCAGTGTCTCAACTTTGCGAGGGGTCAGTGTAAATGAAATCTACTACTACTACTACCCTGTACATGTGAGCACTTGTTCGTGTGAATTGAACAGAATCTTCTCCTAAACTGGCTAAGATGATAGAACAAATGGTCTCGAACACATATACATCCAGCTGCACGTCTATGAGAACCTTGATGAAAGGCCTAAAAAGCACCTATAGCGAGAAGCATATTGCAACACTAATCAACTTTTAAACTCATTATTTTGAGTCAATTTGAGATAACAGTATCAATAAGAAATATTGTGAATTCCTTTTCCTCTGCTGACTGTAGTCTGTAAAAGATCATTAAACAAGATACCTGTCGGTGTCGAGTTGGGAAGGATGCTAGTGGCTGAGATAGATACAAGGCTGAGGTAGATATCCCGTCCTTGGTTTCCATATGAACTGCTCTGGGGTGGGATTCATCAATCGTAATTAACGGCAAAGCCAATAATACTACAAAGAAGCCTTGGACAATCCCTTATTCCTAGTGTTCTGCACAAAATTGAGTATCAACCCTACATGATGACTCAATGCAATAATTTCCCCATCAGGATCTCGAACAAGGACCTCGAGATCGAACTTTCCATCTTTGATTTGCTTCGACAACACTCGAACAGCCAACCACTCTATTCCATCATCCGGAAGAGTCGTCTTCATCTCCATATTCATCACCACGGTTGGAAACCACATTTCATCCCGCTGATGATCTTTTCCTCGGACCTCCTTCATATCGGAATCACCTGACCGGTCAGGGGGCGCATTCAGAAGCTCACGCAGTACCGGGGCTGCCAAGAACTTGTGCATGTTGTGCGGGAATGAATCTACCACGTATGCTAGTGTGCTTTGTGTGATGCGTTCACCGCTAGCCAGCCGAATTCACATATCCAGCACTCCGGGGCTCAATGGTTCTTTACGAGGAACATAAAACTGCCAGCGGGCTAGCGATGGCATCATAGTCGCGTATGCCTTCGGAAGTTTTGACTTTTCCCAAACTTCGTCGGCGCCATTGGTCTTCAGAGCCTCGAAATCAGATACGGATGAGAGCTCAGCAGCTGGCGTTACTTCATAGCCTGTAGGCATTGAGATGCCAGAGAATGAGCGTAGATTTGTATGAGTGGTGTAAGCAAGCACCCGCCGTCGTGAAACGAAATGGTCGATCCATGGCGCTTGAGAGAGGAGTCCACCCTGCCAGAGAGTTAGTTGGAGGGTGGAGATTTGCTGACCAAGCTTGACATCCTCGATTGTGAGAATGGCTGGCCCAGTTGACGCTCGGTTTGGAAACTCGAAATGTGCAGTCAGGGTATCGGGCTGGTCACGTAGGCGAAGATGAATCTTCGCTGCTGCGAGCATACATGCAGACGTGTAACCGCCATTGGGGACTAGATTGGTCAAGGTCAGACCAGTTGCTTATTTATGTGTCTGTCGCACCGACATGGCTACTAATGCGAAAAGAGATGACACTAAGGGACAAAATGGAAGTGTTCAAGTACCTGCACCAACACAAAAGGCTTCACTGAGGTTGACTTGGTATGCGTGAGAGCTCAGCTGCTCAACCTTTGCGGCTTCAGAGAAACAAGCGGGAATTCTAACGGCTTTGTCTGGTTTCATGGCGGGATTTGGCCGGACCGGGTGATTCAGGATATGAGGCCAACTTTTTCAAATGGCGAGAAAGGAGAGCTCAGTCAAGGTTGCGATACTGATTCCATGTGGGATTGGTGTCGATTCTGAACAGGCTTGGAAAGCAACGAACTTGAACTATTTATTATCCGAGGTGGTCTTAGCATGGACCGGAATTTTCCCCCTGTGACGTGGTACTCTGCATGTCTTTGTTTACCGTTCTCTTCAGAGTTTAAACAGTCTGTTACGGGGCAAGAGGAAAGGGGAATTGATCGACTAATGCTTCTGTCATTAGGGGGCGTGTCTGGCTAACTACAATCTGTACTACATAGTGACCTGGGATATACATTTATGCTTGTGACAGCGGGGTGCAACTGTACATTCATATTTTCAGAATAGCAGTCATTCCCTTTAGGTTTGCAAAAGATTTGGACGACCCAATGCAGTCCAAATTGCCCACGAAAAGATGAGAAGTTTCCACAACGACTACTGACGTGCTTTCAGCGAAGAAACTGAAGAAGTGCACGATCATTGTGGAGATGATTTTCTTCGTGATATGAGGATGGTGCAGATCAGGAACGGGGCCGCACCATCGGAATGAACAGTTGAGATACCTAGAGGAAGCATCAAGTCATTGAAAACCATCTTGATTTTCATTTCTTTTATACAGTATACCCTCACTTGTTTCTCTGATAGAATGATAATTGATCTACGAATTACAACAATTTTTGATACCCCCACTGTCCAACGAACGAATACTTGACCGCTGTTTTATATTTTCTTCGAACTTCGATGCCATGTGTATCCACTCTTTCAGCCGTAGTTTTGCGAGATTTGGACTATGAATACTCTGAGGATATTGATGGCAAGCTAACAAATAGCGTGATATTCGATCAATAATTGCAGCAACAGGAGCTCAGTCTTTCAGTCAACATAGAACTTGTGGAAATATACTGCACGGATCTTTTCTCTCTTTGTGATATGGTGGCTACTAGGGTACCATATTGTGCCAACATTGTTCTTTGATGTCAAGGGGTTTGTCCAGACGTGATTTTGTTGATAAAGACAGAGGATATACCTGTGAGGCAATCACCACCCCGCTGACTCTGAAACGACCACAGTGAGCGTTAGTTCAACGTTTAATGAGGCAAGCAACTCGCAGACCATAAGATAATATAGATATGGAGACTACGTTTAAAAGAAAAACAAGGACTCCATGATTCATTCAACAGTTACTTAGAAGTGTCTTTGGCCGATATGAAATTGAATCTCAACAGCCCCATTTTTAAACAGCGTAATTCTTGGCACCTATCGAAAAGCAGCTTGTCGTAATTAACCCCCCATCGCTTTCCGATCTGGAAGCCAATTCAAAATGAAAGACGCAGGAATCTTGGAAATAAACAGTTCAACGTGCATGAGAATGTGAGAATTCATCAACTTCTCTTTTGGCAAGAAAACGCCAGAAGTGAAGAAGCGCTTCTCCGGAATTTGTGTTTGTGTTTGACATCCGAACGTTCAAGCCACCATTCACACCGAATACACATTCTAGTTGGATTGCGCCCAATTTGGACGTTATGTGAGGAGTTTTTGTTGAGATCTGTTAGCTAAGTAGGCAAACGTCTCCTGACGCAAGATTGGTGAAGGAAATCCAAGGGTTGGGAGACCGCTATCATACAATGAAGGAACGCAGGTTTGACTTGTTCTCCATCTCGATATTCTCTCTATCACAATCAAAGGATCTTCAACTCTGGCAGGCCTGATACAGTAAACAGACCAAAAATTCGGCATCATCTGCCACGGAAAGGATTTTTATCACGAAAAGGTAGAGAATCGTCGTCCTTCATTTGAGTCGGCTTTTGTTGAGTTAGCCTTGGTTCGTTTGCTTGCGGTCCAGGTTCTTCTAGAACATGCATTTTGCGGTCGGTACTGTAATATTTTTTTGTGAAGCATGCAACTAAAGAGCAAATGTGCGTCGATCACAGTACCCTTCATTTTCCCCAAGCTCTGACCTGACATTATTCTTAATACCTCACTGCCATCGGCAACTATAGGGCGGATATTGCATGCGATTACCGGACGATATAGATAACCCCTATTGGAATACCTCAGTCGATTTTAATATTTCAGAAAATACAGACATATTCAAAATTGGCTTCCATGATCTACACCAATAATTCTATTCCAGTACCCTGCGTAGGGACATATCATCCAATACATAGTAGCAGATCCGAACCCATATCATCACTCAATAAAAGATAGTCAACTCCATTATTGGCCTAGGCCAAGGGTCTGAGATATGTAGTCTTTATATATAAAACGTGGAAGCCAATTTCGAATCTGCTTGTACTGACAATGGCATATACCCTCTTAGAGATGCTGTTCCCTCTGAGCGAAACGGAAATTGATTCCAGTAATGGCGAAGGAAATGGCCAAATATGAGCAGAGAAGCTTTTTCCCATACCTCTTATGTTTTCGACGGGCTTCAAACTACTGGTGCTACATGTACAGGTGTTATTGTTTTTGAAAGAATATAAAGCTCTAGCCCAAATGCCCTGTGGTGTTGAGAGCTTATAGAATATCTACATTTTGTCCGCCTAGTCCGTTGCCTCATTTTGTTTCCATCATTCATTTACATTATTCTTTTGCATTGCTTTCTTCACAACTTTAATCTATTGAAACTTTATACAACATATAGGCATTTTCGAAATCTCAAAATATTTTGAAACAGCAAATTTGAGGGTCCATCTAGTGAACATGGCATGGACCTTACCTAAGACCTCAACAAAGGATAGAATGAGAGGCAAGCCTTTATGAAGATGGACAGCAGTTTCCGGACGAGCCAAAATTCTAGGCCAACCCATGAAGTTGCCTTTCAATGGTATTTAATGCTATTGCATCCAGCCTAGGTTGGCACCATCGGTCAGTTCGATCATCAGAGCTGCCTTTACAATGGCCTCTCCAACGGAAGCCTCGAATCATCCTACTGGCAAAGGAGTTGACAAAACAACCATTGAGAAACACGATGGGAATGAACATATCGGCACAGACAATTCCAAAAAGGCAGAGACAGATAATGAGAAAAGAATGCCTCGAAACCTCGATAATTGGTTGAAAAGTAGTAACAAGCGGCCTTCGACGTCGTCGGGGCGCGATCAACCAAGCCAAATAAATACTGAAGCTCAAGACTCTGAGTCTGACGAGGTTGACAAATTTTCCCAGACAGCCGCAGCGACGGGATCTTTCAGTACCCCTACAGAGAATTCAGGCTCAGCCGACTTAGACATCGAGCGTCCAGAACAACTGGATCAGGGAGGGAGACCTTTGGAGACTGATAAAAGTCAAATGAGAGACCAATCCACTAGTAAGAAACCAAAACAAAGTGGAACGGGGTCTTCATTGAATAAACCTGAAGGAGCCTTTCCTGAAGTCTACTGTAAATTCAGCTCATGGCCAGGCTGCTGTCGAATAGTCTTTGGCTATGGAGAGCCTGGGAAAGCAAAGTACGAGATTGGAGATCCAAAAGAATATACACAAATGGATCTGGATAGCTTGCCACTGATATCTGGAAAGAAGGAATCCATCTTGGACATTCGGATCAATGGTGCCCGTTTATACGGGCGTCGCAACATTGGAAAAGTAACCAATGTAGCTTCTCTTACACCCAATCCGGATCGAGAACGGAAGCCACGGGTCACGAAGACCGGCAAAATCATACAAGTCTCCCCCCCTATGCTTATCAAGATAAAATGGGTTGACATACAGGAAATTCATCGTGCGGCGCTCCTGAGCGACCAAGATTGGAATATTCGGAGTAACATAACGAAACGGCTCAAACAGAAAGACCACGCTTGGCTTGATGAGCAGATTATTGATGCTGCCAAGGCACAAGACAAATCTTACGAGGAATGGGCCGCGGAAAAGAGGATCGATAGTGAAAAAAGACCACCGACTTACTTTCCGGGGAAGGGTGGCTCTGCCAGCCGATCGCGGGCAGCAAAACAACCCACCACAGCTCAGGGCGCCCATGCTGCGACGAATCAAAACGACCGGGTCCAATCAAATGATGGACAGTCTCTGAACACGAAAAAGCGAAAAGCGGATTCCGGGATCGAGCGTCTGGGCCAAGACCGCCGAATGAAATTCCAACACATTCCGAACCCGCCCAGCAAGCTCATCGACTACAATGCATACCTTTTGACTTGCATGATGGATCAGAAGCTTACGCACGAGAAGCTCAACGATGATCCGGAGGGGTATAAAGCCGCAATGGATAAGATCGAGATCGACTGGGAGGAATACAAAAAATTGATGCTTGATAGTGGCTACAAGATATGCCCGGGAGGCGATCGAAACACTCAAGCGTAGGCCTCCAAGACTGCGCAGTGAAGCAATTGAAAGCTTGCGATGTTTCTTTTGTTCTTGTGTGTTAACAGTTCAACACTGTCCCTGCTTTCGTCATTTGAATTCAAAGTTGAATAGAATATATAGTAAATTCCCATCTAGGCTTCTTCTCCAGTTCCAATTTTTTCGCAAATGGCTGTTTGCAAATGCGTGCGCTCCCATGCAATTTTTATGAGAAACTTGGTTGATGGCTATCCACATTATACAAAAACCGGTCGAGGAGGGCTGCAATCCCTACGGTTCCCAGTAAAGAACCATATGTCTTGTGCTTCACTGTCAAAAGAGAATAATCTGTAGAGAATCCACAGAATTTCCAGACCCATTTGTCAAACCGGCACATCATTCCCAACTTCAACTCATGACAATGCAGGACTCTGAAATTTAAACTCCAAAGCTATTTGAATAATGCTACGTCAGCCTTTATGTAGAAATTCCAAGAGCCAATTCCACGGAAGATTCTGTACGTCATAGCCAGATATTATCGCGTCGGTGGTGGATTTGCTCCACCAAAATTGGTTCCACGTAGCTTTGTTGACTTGCAGCGTCCAGGCTCTCCAGATCGATGCTCTGTGCTTGCTGTGTGCGATGCGGTAGCCAGGTTTCTTGTCTCTCTATCCCCCATTCCCTTGTACTCTCTCTCGAAGTAGAGGGAATTCGAAAATCTGACAATTCTTGGCTCTCCGCACGACAGGCGGATGACTTGACAGACGATCGTACCCTATAGCCCTGCGCTGGAGCGCCATTGGCATCTCGTATTATGAGGCCACTATATTGCACCCAGGAAAGAAAAGCTGCAGCTGTGGCCAACACGCGGCCACTATACCCAGGCATTGGATCGCCAGTTCGAAGATGGTGATGTCGCACGTGTCGTATGCGGGATCAGGTGTCTGCGTGGCTTTCTTGAGGAAAGAAAGCTCGCATATCGATACAGTCATCACACTATGGAAGCCAACACATGAGTCCCTTGGAAAGCAAAAATGTAAATTTGCGAAACATACAGGAGACGTGGTAGGAAAATACTTGCCACGATAAGGCGATATTTGATGATCTGCAGTGTCAGGACCAGTGGAATTATTTGCGAAATCAAGAGTGCCTCGGTCGCAACATTTGATATCACCACAAAATACCGCCAGGCAAGCTGGTTGTGCGTTAGCCGCAAGGCCTTGCAGTTATTTGAGCTCACGCGCATGAAGAAAAAGAATGTGAGTAGTTACCAAGTTAAAACACTGGCCGCGCCACAGATCCCAAGGCGGGAACTTGCATTGAAAAGCACTACGTAAAAGTACAGTCAAAGCCCAGACATATAGAGCCATTTCGATGCATCGGGACAACCGTTTGCCCTTAGCCCCTAGCGTGAACTGCCGGATGAAGATGACAAAAGACATCTTGGAAAGAAAAAGGCTTGCCGTATAGAGAAGGAATGCAGCATACAAGCTCTAAATGTATCTTGTCAGCGGGCCGTGTGAGGAGTGGAGAATAAACACTGTCACCATTTTTTCTTCTTACTTTCATGACTCGGACTGCCTCAAGACTGGATATCTCTCCTGAATGGCTGCCATAGCCTGATCCCACCGCCAAAGATACAACAATGGTCTGGCCGGCTGCGAGCGACTGTTGCAATCTTGTCAGCCAAGAGCGGTCGGACTTGATCAAGACAAGCCAGAAATACCAGTGAAGTTACAATGAGAAAGTCATCGATATCAAGGCCATGAATTAGTCGATATTTGGTGCCCAGTCGGGTGCACACGCTTAGAATCATCACAACCAAAAGACACCAGGCAGTCACATTGATTGCAGGATCCTTGGTATCACCTTTGAATCGAGTGCCCATGGCTGCGTAGAAAGGGAAAACGAAAGAAGTGTAGGAAAGAGGTCTCTTCGTGGCCCTGAAACAGCTTTGAATCGCCTTTTGTACTCTTATGTGAATGTACCTTACGATTAATGAAACCTGCCAAATGCCAGCTTGGTTTCTAATGTACAGTTCTGATAATTTGCGCTGCGATATGATGTGCCAATAAGCATTACCAAAGCTCCCTATCGGTCCCAAGGTGCAATGTGGGCACGACTAAGGTTTCGCACGACCAGAATGTTCCTAAATCTAGACACCACGTTCCTAGGAGCTATCAAGTCTATGATAGACTGATACTAGAGCCAATGGCCAGATGGGTCATCCTTGTTTTGCATGCTGGACCCTTGACACGAAGCGTCATCAGTCGGGAGTGGCGGACCCACCTTGACCAACTTGGGCCGTGGTTCTACTGATAAGAAGAGATATTCATGGAGTATTCCATGGAGTATTCCATAGATCGAAGGTTTCTCGTGGAACCTTCATTCATCATCCCTTGTGGGCATTTCAGATCCTAAGGGTTTACATCCACTTCTTCAGGCATTGTTTCTTTCCATGGTTGAAGCATGTGTTCTGGGCTCAACATTAAGTTCTGGCTTACTACACAGCAAGATTACCCTCGGTCTCCCCGGCAGTCAGCCCCACTTCCCACGATGGATCTAGGTGGGTACCCACGAAACGATCACAAAAAGCATCATTGGTTGGACCAGGTGATAGTGCAAGTTATCCATACAAAGTCTAGAAATGAAGAATGTTGATCCCAAGCAAGGCACCTTGAACGCGCCACGCCCAATCAGATTGCTGGACAGCGATGAGTGGCATGCCGCTTCTTCTCTCCTCTTTTATCAGTATTTATTCCCTCAACCTCTGAAGTCTCCAAGCCGGAAAAGTCAGACAGCCTTCTCATTCTTTTCCAACTCTTCTTCGAGCTCTACTTCGGCGTCTCTCTTCGGATAATTCGCTTTTTTGACTGTCTTCTAAAGCCAACGACATGGATTCGGGCGAGCAAAAGAATCTTGTCCCTGCCATCAGAAGGGGCAGCTCAGCAATAGCCCATACCCCGACAGAGCGAGACGATGTCCATCTCCAACGAATGGGCAAGAACCCGGTCCTCAAGGTATGCCTGGCATGGGCAACGCGAGTTTTGCGAGTCCATGCAGCTGACGATTCAAGCGAAATTTTGGCATGCTGTCCATCTTCGGATTCAGTTGTACGATCCTTGGGACGTGGGAAGGATTGCTCGGGTGAGAATTCTCCGTTCCGGAGTGTCTGGATGAAATACTGACGGCATGCACAGCACCTTCATTAGGCCCCTGGAGAAGTACGCCCCTCACCCAGGTATCAATTTTTGCCATGCTAATGCACTAAAGTGGTGGCTCTGGTGGCGCGGTATATGCATATATCTTTGCCTGGATCGGCACCGCATCCATTTTTGTCGTCCTGTCAGAACTATCGTCGATGTATGTTTTCTAAGCATGGTAACAGTCGCAGCACCTAACTGTCAGCTAGGGCACCCACCGCGGGCGGACAGTATCACTGGGCAGCCATGTTGGCATCGACAAAATACCAGAAGTTTTTGAGTTACATTACAGGTAGGTTTCAGGACTCGCTTCGCCAAGGCCGACTCCTGCGCTAAAACTTGGCCTGGCAGGTTGGTGGACTGTGCTTGGCTGGCAGACCGCCCTCGCCTCCTTAGCCTTTCTAACCGGAACAACGATTCAAGGTGCGGCAACCTTGGGCAATCAGCAGTATGATGCGCAGCCTTGGCAAGGCACTCTGCTCGTCTGGGCGGCTCTTGTCTTTGCCTTGCTCGCTAATCTGGCTGGTGGGAAGGTTTTGCCCCGGCTCGAATCTCTCACCTTGGTTGTGCACGTTCTTGGTTCGGTATCATGATCCCCTTGGCATACATGTCAGACCACAGATCCACGGATGAAGTGTTTCTTCATTTCTCCAACGGTGGAGGCTTTGCCACCCAAGGCTTAGCCTGGTTTGTGGGCATGAGTAGCTGCGCATTCGCACTCGCCGGGGGTGACGCCGCCGTCCATGTAGGTGCCGAGTCCTTCCTACGCCTTCGCCTTGGAGATGGGGGCACTGATCTTTGCAGATGTCAGAGGAAGTAGAGAATGCATCGCGCGTCGTGCCTCGCGTGATCCTGCTGAGCGTCCTGATCAACGGCTGTCTCGGCTTCGGCATGCTGATTACTCTTCTCTTCTGCGCATTTGATCCGAGAGACGTGATCAGTTCTCCCACCGGTTATCCCTTCATGGCGATCTTCTATGAGGCAACCAACTCCCGGTCGGGATCGTTGGCCATGTACTCCATCGTACTAATCAACTACGCTTGTTCTCTCATCGGCATGATGGCCGCAGCGTCTCGCCAGCTGTGGTCATTTGCCAGGGATAAATGTGTCCCCGGCTGGCATTTATGGGTGCAGGTAAGCTCTACATCTACTGCATCGGCTGTGATTGATTTCTAACCGTGGCGATGGATAGGTCTCGTCAGCCCGGCAACTACCCGTGCATGCGATTGTTCTGACCGTGTCTGTCAGTATGTCACTGGCACTCATCAATATCGGCTCCTCCGTCGCTCTGGACGATGTTCTATCTATGGCTGTGGCAGCGCCTATCTCTCCTATTTGGTCATCTTCATCCTCTTGTTTTGCCGCCACATTAAGGGCGATATCACGTTCACGGATGACGGCAAGTCAACTGCTGTCAATGTGTCCGGTGGAAAGCTTGTATGGGAGCCTCTGAGGATCTCACGTATCGTTGGATGAGGAACGTGTCTTCCGAATGAATAATCAATGTTAAGAAAGCTATAGTCGACTCTAGATACAAGACGTAGTGCGAGGAAGCAAAAGAAAGATAGCTTCCTCGCGTTCAGGGGAACCCGGATGAGCTATGTGGGTCCGCCTCCTCCACTTATCGTATATATCTCATCTCAGTCTCTGACAGCGGCAGCTAACGGCCCCATGAGCGTCAACTATTGGCTCCTGGGAGATTCGTCAACACTCCAAATAATGCGCCAGAAGTCAGCGACGAAGGGACCGCCGTCCTCTAAAAGCTCTTGGAAACATTGGTTTTCTCCAATCCGCCCAATAACAGAAACGACATAACGCGTCACCAAGTTTCGTAGAGCATCTACCCGACCGCCGTAATTTGGGGGTGTGTTCGAATATACGAATCGAATAAATTCCATAATACTGCCCACCCCTGTATCAAATAGCTTGAAGCTGCTCAGTGTTTGGTAAAGCTTGCAAAGAACGAGTTGACGCAAAGGCTCTATGCCGTATTTGTCGGCTAGCACATATAGTTTTGCCTGCTCGAGAAAGACAGGGTGAAAATCTTCCCAGGAACCAGTAATTTCAGGTGCTGTGAAAGTAGTTTCCAATGGATTACTTTCTGTACCCGGAATGACCAAAGTCCGAGTGAATTTATCCCGCAGCTGTCCAGTCCAAACACTTCGTTCTTTATAAATAATCTCTGGATCATTGCATTCTGTTCCCTCGGGCGGTGGTGCTTCATCTAGAGGTTCCGGCGTTTCAGGCGCAGGTTCAGGCTCGGGTTCTGCTGTAGGCGAGTCCCGGATCACGTTCGAGCGACGACTTTTGCGTTGAACTTTTTTCTTGATTGCTTTTGTGGCTTCCAGAGGAGTCCGACCTTCGATCAGGCGAAATGAAGGGGGGGTGTAGTTTCTGAAATAGGCAAATTCACATAACCGAACAAATGTGTCGACATCGACCTCCGACCAGTCAACGTGTCTTGTTTTAGCCTCAATCATTTCACCGTTCATGAGAGAATTAAGACTTTGGGAAAGCTCTGCTAAAGCAGAAGAATGAACAATTAATTCCTTCTTTTCAGCACCTACTGTGAAAGTGAATAAAGGCGAGACAAGATATCTTCACAGTGTCAGACTCTAATCATGACAAAAACAATAATGCGGCACCCACCTCCCGAAAGAGCTCTCCATCCCGGATTGTCGAAATAAGGTAATAGTGAGCAGTGAGACTGAAATGAACTTGGTTATGGAAAAGCAGGGTAGGTGTTGGAGGATTCGGATGAATGAACTCATGACATTTTGTTCACAGGGAATACCGCATATGCACCAGGGAAGGGAGGACATGTGTCCTAACTTAATTGGTTGTACTACTGATTTGCTCGTGAGAGAATGCGAGTTAATTTCCTAGGAAACAATGAATAACTCGAGCATTATTCTCGCAATATTGTTATCAAGATATCAATCCTGACGGAGGGTACTGTATTCAAGTTTTTCCAGATTGAATCCTTTTGCGTGGGGCTTTGTGATTGGCTCGATGTTATTCCATTCTCCACCCTACCTTTAAGGCACAATACAGACTAGTTGGTGACCTAAAGCGGTTAGCGTTTATCTTTACTCAGAGTCTCCATGGCAGCACTTCCCAAAATTAATTCTCTACATTGTATGTACACCGGAAAGCAAGACTGCGAACCAGGCAGCTACGATTAAACTTCCAATCGTAGCATTGCCACCCAGCTTTTCAATGACCCTTTGAATAAGACAGTAAATGATGGTAGTGCTCGCTGCTCCGGCAATTGTAAAGATCCAGGTAATCTGCTCTATTTAGCATATTTTCGATGTTTTTCCTATGGTAAACCCCACTGTAGAGATGGAAAGATTCAAAAGAGCTCCCCATTGTCGTATCATAGTCATAGACCCACTCTTTCTCCGTTCAAGGATTGTCCACAAAAGGGTAGTGACAATTCCTAGAATGGAGGTGATAATACTTATGAGGTAAGCTGAAATGGCAAAATGTGAAGCTTTTTGATACCCAGCAAGTGCTTCGTTGAAGCGACTTGGTATATGTATGAGCTGCTTGGAGCTCTTAGATTTCGCCTGTAATATGTTCAATATGTCGAAGGAAAACGTGTTGATTGGTTGAGATCACTTAGAATAGCTTTGACTGTCCCTTTTCAGCAAAGTGCAGCCAAATGGTGCAAGCTTGCACTCATTTCTACTTCATCATCATTTTACTTTGGTTGACTTTCAAAACCATTGATATGAGGCAACATATTGGGAATCAAAGAATGTGATTGCGGTCAAGCTTGGCTATCGACCTATGTAATTTCTTATTGTGATGGGCTTGAATGTCATACAATTAAGGGTACATAGTTGCGGGTCAATAAAAGTGTCTGCAATAGCGTTGCACGGCCCCTGTGAAATCAATCATTGATAAGAAGACGTAAACGAAAATATACGCCAGCTGAATACATTTCTGACATATCAGCTTACGTGTTACCCTGAACAGGATTTGTGATTGGAAGAGCTATATTCGACTTCTTTTTTGTTCCCAATGCCCTTCTATAAAATGACACAGATAAACTTTTAGGTACAGAAGAATTCGAAATCGCCTTCCATGATCTACCCGCACAGATTTAGTTCTTGGCCCCTTTGAAAACCTCCGGTTGTCCAATAGGAGCGGCTCAAGATAATGAAGGGCCCCACCACAACGCTCAATGAAGCATAGTTCAGTCCAGTTTTGGCTTAGGCTAAGTGCCTGAGATAGTTTCTCTGTGTAAAAGGTGGAAGGCAATTTCGAATTCTTTTGTAAGGGGTCTGAACAAGAGGAAACATGCACTCGAGCTTCTGTACATCAATAAAATAACACTAAAAATACAAAAATACAGTATAATCGCATAGGAGGAAATCTGAGTTGAGGGGTTTTTTGCAGTCCTGATTTCCCCTCTGTCTATTATAAATTTGTTATTTCACTTCGGGTGGCACGCGGCTTAATTCTTTCGGCGATTATGTACAGAAATTCATGCAGAACGGAAGCTCTGAACTGTCTCAACAAAAACCTCACTTGATTGAAAACATGGAAAGAGCATCACGGAATGATACGCTAGCGCTCACTGATATTGTGCGCGATATTGGCCGCCAGCAGGGGGAAAACGTATATTACCGGACCTGCTACCGTCTCCTCAAATATCTGCAAGACGCAGTGACTCGGGCTGTGGGGGACTTGGAGCACATCACCGCCCCACCTCCCAACTGCCATGTAGGCTTTGTTGGTGCCCAGGAGGTAGCCGATAGCCTCCGAAAACTAGCACAAGGCCTCATATTGCAAGAGCAGGCAGCACTCTCAGCATTGGCTGATCTGTATTCTACTCACGAGTCTCATACATGACAATCATTATCTCCTCCGGGAGAATACAAAATCCAAAATGGCAACGTCATCGACTTGACAAGTACAGGACATGTTCGAAATTGGCTCCCACATTTTACACCGAGAGTATCTCAGACCCTAGGCCCAGGCCAATAACGGAGTTGACTAAACATTACTTGGCGATGATGCGGGGCCCGGGTGCGGGTTTGCCAATATTCATTGGATGATGTGGCTTCACACAGGGTACTAGAACGAAGTCCTTTGTGTAGATCGTGAAAGCCAAATTCGAATAAATCTGTAGTTCGGGCCAAATATTCCGACATTATGCCGGAGGGAACTTAGGGATGAAACTTAGGGTGTGAATAAAAATTGAGAATTTTTGCCACGAAAAGACCAACGAGAGAAATATGACACATGTCCATTTGTTACCTGGCTCTTACTAGAAATGGCTGTGTTATAACAAGACTTTGGCATTTCTATGGATACTGGGTCAAGAAAACATTGCAGAGCCTGCAATTACCGCTCTGTCAAGGCACGAAGGCATAATTATCAAGCCGTGTTACCGCTCTTAACTATCCGTCACGATTGGAGGGTTTCAGTTCCTGTCTGCTGCTACGTTTCCCACCCACCAGCGGCTATCCTTAAATGATAAGGAACATCGACCCGCGAATCATTTTTGATCATCCCAACCAAAAAGCCAAACGTGTAGAAGTCCTGAAAGCGGCAATGTTGTGAGAGCTTTTCGGACGGGCCGATCAGGTTTTCACATTTGGTAATGATCGGATTATTGTTCTAGCTTGAATGAGTGCAAAGAAAAAGATATCAAAGCGCATTTTAGATCTTGATTACTCACATCATTGCAGAGAAAAATGCCCGATGACTCTTGAAAAGCAACTCGTGTACAGGTATGTGGCGCCGCGATACAGCTGGCATTTTTCTCGTCATTCAGATGAGAAATATTTGCATCGGTGGCGTCAACATAGGCGATTCCCGTGGTCCAGTCGCATTGTGTATTAGTCGATGACTGTGGTGTTGACTCGCTCTTAAGCTTTTGCAGACGAGTGGGATACTGCATAAGGACTTACGAGCTCGCGGCTGTTTAGCATGCCCTTTGATGACCCCTCGGGAAATGAGAAAACAGGGGAGTCGATGATCTGTGTGGCTCAGTGCCAAAAGGAGTCAGATAGTGAAGAATTCACCACGCGTTAGACCATTCACCTTTTCATCCTCATATCCATGGAGAGGCTTGGCATTCTGATGATGTGAGTGATGAAATACTGAAAGAGGCCTCAGGCTTCACCGCGAATCATGGCTGATTTCCGATCGAGTTTACCTACCGTGAGAAGTAGTAGAGAAAATGTCAAGGCAAGAACACTTTGAGCATTCATCATAGCCCCAAGTATTGTTTGAGCTGTGCACAGGAGTACAGTGTAGTATATATACATTTAAATACCATGGGGAAGATGTAGCTGTAGAAGAATAAGACATAGCAGCATTGCTAGTGCTTCGTAAATACACTGTGCAATTCAATCAGAGATTCAACAGCTAAGCATAAGAACTGAAAGGTGGGGTGGCAAGTTGACTCAGCCAGAAAGATGCTTTACTTCTGCACAAATCTCATAAATCCCGCGGTGTGGAATTCAAAGACCTGCAAAGCCCTGGGTAATAAAGTAGATGGGTACAAAAGAATAGTTGTCTCCACGGAACTCCGAACAGAAGCTGAGGTAATTCTGAAGCTAGCTGGCACAAAAAGCACTTTCAACCAACGTTCACTATATTTGAGTGAATCTCTACAGTTGAGACACTAGACTTATAAATGGACAGAGGGTTTCTTCTTGAATTTGTGGACAATACTCCGCCGTCATCGTCGTTGGCTTGGACCTGAAGTCTCGCAGAAGATCAAAAAAAATTGAGAATAATCTCAGATCATCTGACATGGTCCGGCCCGTGTTGATCTTCTCAGCGCTAATCGCTTTGGTCCATGGGAAGCTTAACACGAGCGCTCTAGTTTCCAATACTTGTGACTTGCTCAGTCAATGGGCACAGATATCTCCTTTGAATGGCTCTGTAAGCTACGTCCAGAATGAGCAGACCAGCGTCATGTCACTCCTTCCAGACTGTACAAATATTCTCGAAAAGGCAGCTGTGCTTTGTGAGTACGATAAGTGTTTTTGTATGATAGGAAGTCACTAATTTGAATAGGTTTGAGTGACTCAGAAACTTGCAATCAGTTTTCTCTTTCATGGGCCTTTTCTCCATCTTCTAAGCATGTGAACAGCAAAAATGACGAAAGGAAGCTGAGACGAAACGTGGACGTCGAAAACCGTTCTTGCCAGTATGAGGATGCGTCATCTACTGCTCACTCTGCCATCATGGCAATGTCAACCCCAGCACAGACCATTTCAACCTTGGCATCAACTACAGGAAAAGTAACCGCGAGTCTTGAAATACCAACGGGAAATGAAGAAAGGTGTAGCTCCAAAGGACTAGTCCCAACCTCTGCAGCTTATGAGTCACTTGGCTCCACTGCTAAAATTGAAGGCCTTTCCGCCGAAGCTGGTCGTGCATGCATCATCAAGTTGCTTGACTTCAATTCCACTCCGCGTGGGAAATGTTATTGTTCCGACAATACGACTATTGATTACGTCAACGGTGAATGTGAAGTCTACTCGTGATGGGAACTCCCCTGAGAAGACAACAGCTGTACTCAAGACTACGGCTGAGGAGGACAATTTTGTCCATAAAAAGAATAGCATGTAGAGAAAGCTTTGATTACAGTATACAGGGTAGTAATTTCATTTACACTGTCCCCTCGCGACTACAGTATACAGGGCCGCTCGAAATTAGCTTCACCTCTTTTTCTTTTTCGAATCTTAAAAAAAGGCTTGGCATGATCCACCTTCCCCCATATTAGGCTTGGTCCTGCTAGAACCAGCAAATGGAAAGAAAGCCAAGGTCAAAGGGGCACCTTAAGCTAGCCAGAAAAGGCATCGCGTCGACACAAATAAGGTTCACAAATAACAAACGAAATAAGAGAAAGGTGAATCTGATTTCGAGCGGCCCTGTACAGTACGGAATTTCGAATTCTTCTGTACATATAGACATTGAGATTGAGCATTGAGATTGAGTTATTGTGAAATACATTCGTGGAGTTGTGTACCGAGCGGAAGCTAAACCCGAACCGATGGCGGACCCACCTGCGGGAGGACCCGAGACACCACCCACGAACACTCAGGAGACGACCGTTTTTTCAGTCGAGGATTTCCAGCCCAGGGTGAACAATATCCCAACGCGCGTCACAAGAAAGAGAGGAAGACACAATGAAAGCTACGCATCGGAGGAAGCTACCGGCCGGATCACCACCCGGGAAGTATGGAAATTGATCGACGAGCTGAAAGACATCATCCACCATCAAACAGCGACCATCGCAACCACCCAACATGAACTCCAGGAGATCAAGCACAACCAGAATGTCCTCCAGGAACAGAACGAAATGCTCCAAGACGAGTTGAAAGCATTGCGGATGCAAATCAAGACCACCCCGCCGGCCACAACGACCAAGACTTGGGCCACCATCGCGGCTGAAGGGGGCAACGGCACCTCCCTGCTGAACCACCAACAACCGGAGAAAAACCAAGATTGCATTCGAATCAACACCCAGAGAACCCTCACCGACCCGAGAGATAGCACTAACGATGATGAAAATACCTTCGGACGGTATCTCCCCATCGAGACCGCCAACAATCACATCCGCACTGCATTGCAGAGCGACGCCGCGACGCAAGACGCCCAAGTAGCCGGTATCGGCACCACCAAAACCGGGTACATCATTCGATTCAAAGACACGGAGTCTGCCGAGAAGGCCCGCAACAACACCGACTGGTTACAAAAGTTGGGCAACAACACGAAGCTGGTTAAACCGCGATTTGGGATTGTTGTACACCGCACCCCCACCGAGGAATTTGATTTGGAATCAGGCGCCACCCAGGCATCGCAGAAGATCATGGAGGACAACAACCTAATAGACCGCGGTTTCCAAATTGAGGAACTGGCCTGGATGAAAGCGAGAGAGAAAACCTTGGGGAAGTTCGCGTCACTGGGGATCTGGTTCGACTCCCCAGAAGGAGCGGAACATATGCTCCAAAAGGGGTTTCTTGTCAGCGGGCAGCTCATCACCCGCGTGGAAAGACGCGAAATCAAGAAAAAAAGATGCTTCCGATGTCAGCGTTTCGGTCACTTAGCATGGTCATGCAAGGAAACACCGCGATGTGGGCACTGTGCAGGCCAACATGAACGAGAACGTTGCCCACCAGGAGTGAGAGCCCGATGCCTCGACTGTAGCGGCGAACACCCGACTGGTGATCGACAGTGTCAAACACCGGCGACCTTTAACACTACTAGATGCTAGAGAGAAATCTCCGCGTCCTACAGCTGAACATGATGAAATCGGGTCCGAGAATGGAAGCGCTGATCAATGACCCTCAGAGCCAAGATCTCGACATTCTGTTGATCCAGGAGCCATCGATCACTACCTACCGCACACATGTCAACCACAGCGCCTGGAGGCTATACCGACCCACCACGCAGACCGATGCAGTTCGCTTTCGCAGCCTTCTTTATGTTAACCGAACGATCTCTACATCCTCTCACCGTCAGATTCCTTGCGACCACCCAGATGTGGTAGCCGTCAAGATCTGGACAGCCGACTCCCAGATCCTTGTCTTTTCAGTCTATATTCCCCCAGTCCCCCTTTACACGAGTGACGACGCCTCGGCAATACCAGCCCTTACAGCTATACAAAACACTATCACAACGAGCATGCAAAATCAACACCGGGGCACGAGCCTCATTGTCGCCGGCGATCTCAACCGACACCATCCCATGTGGGGTGGCAACCACATCCTACCCAACTTCATCGAAGATGCCAGTGACCTAATAGACTTTTTCCAAACTCACAACCTCCACAGCTGCCTCCCTCGAGGAACTGCAACTTACTGGGCCCTGAACAACCCTGGTCAAAACTCCACCATCGATCAAACCACAACGGATAGACCGGATCTGCTAATCAAATGCCACCTATATCACGAGAACTACGGGTCCGATCATCGCGCGACCTACTCGGAATGGAATCTACGGCCTCCGAGTGCGCAAAGTACCAAAACCAGAAAAGCATACAAGCGTGCGGATTGGGCCAAAATTGGTGCAGCAGTAGTCAGTGAGATGGGCCCTTGGACGGAAATCAAGACCCGACCAGCACTCGACCGAGTGGTGGAGAAGCTCACAGCAACCACGACTCAAGCGGTCAACCAATTCACCCCCGACACGCGCCCAACACCATATTCCAAACGATGGTTCACCCCGGATCTCAAGGTTCAACAAGTCGAAGTAAACCAACTGCGCAGAAGGTGGCAGGCGAGTTGTGCGCGGCTCGGACGAGACCACGCGAACACCACGGCAGCCTTCCAGCTGATGCAACAAAAACGCCGAGCGTGGACCCGAACGATCGAGCAAGCTAAAGCCTCACACTGGAAGCAATTTTTGGACGAAGCTGGGGAAGGCAAGCTCTGGAAAGCCGCCACCTACATGAAACCCAGAGAGTCGTGGGGATGCATACCGGCGCTACGAGTTGGTTCGGAGGAATTGACTCAGAATGAAGACAAAGCAAAGGCTTTCTTAGACACATTCTTCCCCACCATGAACAACCCTGATCCTAGCCAACCAAATTCGCCGAGACCAGAGCTGCCGTGGCACCCGCTAACGGAACTGGAGATTGAGCGATCACTGAAGACAGCGAAAGGAGCCACTACACCAGGAGAGGACGACCTACCAATGCTCGTCTGGAAACGACTGTGGTCATATCTGAAAAGCACTATCACCAGCATTTTCAAAGCCTGCGTAGCGCTCGGATACCACCCGGAACAATGGCGCAACGCGAAGATTATTGTGCTAAGGAAACCAGGTAAACCAGATTATTCAGTACCCGGCGCCTATCGCCCGATATCACTACTGAACACGCTCGGCAAACTTCTGGAAGCGGTGATAGCCAGACGACTGTCCCATCTCGCCGAGCAACACGGCTTACTGCCGAACAGTCAGTTTGGTGGACGACCGGGCAGAACCACCGAGCAAGCCTTGCTGATACTGTCCGGCGCGATTGACAAAGCCTGGTACAAACATAAGGTGGTGACATTAATCGCATTCGATCTTAAAGGAGCGTTCAACGGAGTGAACTGGATCAGTTTAGACACCTCCTTACAGGCGAAGGGGATACCGACGCTAGCAAGAAAATGGATAGCGAGCTTCATGAGTAACCGGTTCGCCAACATTGGATTTGATGATTTCCGAACCGAGACCGGATCGCTGGCGCATGCGGGTCTCGCGCAAGGATCGCCACTCTCCCCCATCTTGTTTGCGTTTTTCAACGCCGACCTGGTCGACCAGCCCGTGGACTCCCACGGAGGCGCATCGGCATTCATTGACGACTACTTCCGGTGGCGAGTGGGTACCTCGACCGAGGAGAACCTAGCCAAGATACAGACCGAGGATGTCCCTCGTATTGAAGAATGGGCGCGACGAACCGGATCCTGCTTCGCAGCGGAGAAGACCGAGCTCATCCACATCACCAGGAAGAGAAGGGTGCAGCTGGAGGGACAGATCGCGTTTGATGGAACCCAAGTCAAACCATCGCCCACAGCAAAACTGCTAGGAGTCGTCTTCGACCAAGGACTCCGGTGGAAGGAACACGTTCAGCAAGCCATCAAGCGTGCCACAAAGACAGCCATTGCCCTCAATGGACTTCGCCACCTACGCCCGGAGCAAATGCGACAGCTGTACCAAGCCTGCGTCACGCCCATCGTAGACTACGCCTCGACAGTCTGGCACGACCCGCTTCGAGACAAAGTCCATCTCCGCCATTTGAATACAGTCCAGAGAAGCGTCCTGATCCGGATCCTGTCAGCGTTCAGGACAGTAGCCACGGTTACACTGGAGGTCGAATCACACTTACTTCCCACACATCTTCGTCTTCGCCACCGAGCACAGCGCACCATTGCGAGGCTACACACGCTACCCCGGGATCATCCCATTTGGAATGCATTATCCCGCGCCCGAAACCGCAGAAACAACGTGGGATCGTACGCACGCTTCCCTCTGGCGGAAGCGATGAAGACCATGGACATAGACCGACTCAGTGAACTGGAAACGATAGACCCGCGGCCATTGCCACCATGGCGAACGGACCCATTTACGGAGATTGTGCTTGAACCTGACCGAGAAAGGGCGAGAGAAATGGCAGAGACAGCAAGAGAGAGCTCCGACCTCGTGGTCTACTCGGACGCATCGGGACGAGATGGCCACCTGGGCGCTGCTGTCGTTGCACTAGACGAGAACGAAGAGGTGATGGAATCTCAACAGGTCCAAGTGGGCCCGATGGAGCGGTGGTCGGTTCACGTCGCAGAGCTCATCGGTATCTTTCACGCGGTCGACATGGTTTTCAGGCTAGCGCATCGAAATCCAAATGCCGAAGATGAAACACCAACAACAGCAACTGTCTTGTGTGACAGCAGATCAGCCATACAAGCCGTCCAGAACGTCAAAAACAAGTCGGGACAAAGGATCGTACACGCAATCAATCAGATGGCCACCGAGGTGGCTACTGCGAACATCAGGCTCCGCCTCCAGTGGATGCCTGGACATTGTGAGAACATAGGGAACGACGCAGCGGATAAACTGGCAAAGGAGGCCGCGCAGCCGGGGAAGTCGCACCCCTTCCGGCCGCTACTCTCCAGGGAGTACGCCTACAATTGCAGCAAGATATTTGCCCAATGGAGTCAAGAGTGGAAGTCAAGCACGAAAGGGGCACATCTACGGAAAATTGACAGCGACCTACCAGCGCAGTACACGAGAAAACTTTACGGCAATTTACCCCGAAGTCGCGCGTATCTGCTGACACAGCTGCGCACGGGCCATAACTGGCTGTCCAGCTACCGAAAGAAGATTGGCTACAATGATGACGACCGGTGCGCATGCGGCGCGCAGGAGACGGTCGCTCATGTATTGATGGACTGCCCAAAGCTACGAGAGCTACGGTCGGAACTGAAAAGAAAAGTTGGGGACGCGTTTGACAACGTGTCGAGTCTGCTGGGAGGCTCCAAAGAAGGTGAGAAAGGTAAACCAGACATCGTCTCAAGGGCGAAGACGGTCCAGGCCGTATTGGACTTCGCCGAGGCGTCGCAGCGGTTTCGCAGTCGTGCGCCATGAGGGCAGCCTAACAACGGAAGCGGCAATGGGCCTCGATAGGCCGTGACGAGGCTCTAAGTTCCAGTCAGGAAGTGGATCATTCTACATGTACATAACCATGATATATAGTTGTCGTATACTGCATATCGTTCGCGAGGGGACAGTGTAAATGAAATTACTACTACTACTACTACCCTGTACAGTACGAAAGAGAAAGTTCTCAATAGATGAAGCCAGCTGTCATTGGGGTAATTAGTATCAATTTGGTAATCAAGAAAAAATTAAAACAGCCATACAAGCTATTCGCGTAGAACTTCTGATGACATATGCTTTATGACCTTGTCAAGGTACAGTATCGTTTTATTCAAAGCAGGTTATTGAAGTGAATAACTTAAGTGGGAAATGAAAGCTGTATGTCGTAAATGATACATGAAAACACTTTGTCAACAGCCACTACGACCATGCGTGTTCATCTAGTTGGGCTTCTATGTAGACTCTCCGGGAGAGAACGTGTACTTGAGTATACTCGAATTTGATTTGTTACGACTATTGGACTATTGGATGCTCACAAATTCAAGCTCTCCGGGTCCCTCTATTATTGATAACATTTTTGATGAATGCTGAATATGCTGTTTCATATCAGGTACATGCGTAGATTACAATTGAGGCCCACGAGAATGAATGCGCCGGTAGTCGTCAGCGTGAGAATATTTCCCCAAATGCATCACGACAAAGTGTATTTCCGAAGAAAGAAAAGCTTACGCGTATAATTTGACCCGCTACTACAGCACAGCACCTGGATGCAAAGATACTACTTCATGCATCATAATCAAACAATAAGTGGCCATCAGAGTGTCATTATGTATGAGAAGCTGTGCCGATTGTCATGTCAGAACCCCTTTGCTCTTTGTCTTGCTACTGTGTCCTATTGCTGCATGCATTGGTAAAGGACCTTCCATATGTCACTGCGGCGGGCTGTAACGGAGGAAACTGGGGGTTCCGGGATCGCCAATTGCTTTGTGATAGATCCACCGTAGTCTGTCGGCGTTTTATGGACAGCTGACTTCGAACGCTGCATTTTACTCAGCGTAGTTCCTTTGTCATTTTATGAGCTCTTACCATATCAGCTTCTGTCGGAGTGGGAGCTTCGGGATGAGAATGATAGGTGTAAATCCGCCCATTAGGCATCTCCATTATCAACCAGCTCCGGATGGAATAAAGACGCCAAAAATCATTATGGCGCCGAAGAAGGTTATTTCTGCGTTTTCGCAACTGCTCTTGCTTCACGCGTTGGGATTTTGAAGACATCTCCACTGTCGTCCAGAAAGGAAAATGTCCCAGTGAAGGCCCCAGGGTATAATATTGACGCCAGCTTATATGTCCATTCAAGGGACTTGCCACGTAGGGATGTATGTTGGGTACTGTAGAATGAGAAGCGATTATTGTTGGAGAGATGTTAATGCGGGCGCGGACCTCTTAACGATGTAGGCCAAATCAACGCCGTCCGTTCAAGGTGTTGAACAGAAATGTCAATGAGACTAGGAAGTTTGAAGAAGTCTGGTATATCAAGGACCAGCCTTATGTATGAAGCAAAGTTTGACTTCCACTTTTACACAGAAGTTGAATGGGGGCCGCTCAACCATTAAGTGTGCCAAACTCTTTCCAGGGATCTTTGTTGAGCCAGAGCTACGTGGGCCTTACTGGAATTTATATCTTTGGCGAAGCTTTTTGAACAAGAAATTCAAAAAGATCTAGCTTTCTTAGAGAACCGCTCTCTAGACGCACAAGTTTGAGAATTATATTCACCTGGGGTTGGCAGGTGGACTCGATCTAGATGAGTTTAAGCATTGAACTCGAAAAACGATAGTACAGCTTATTTGCCAACAGAGATATGATAGTGCCTAGTTTGACTTGATATGGATGACGGATATTATGCAAAAATTTTGCCTAGGAAAATTGCATCAATCTTTGATCTTTGCTATGTACGACTCCTCGTAGACTGCGATACAGGGAGTCTGAACCAGACAGTTATTTCATACAAACGAGTTCAAAGTTTGCTCCTATTGCATAAATGAAAAGAATGTCTAAAGCCGAGACTAGGCCGATATAAGATGTGACAATAACCTGTGGAATAATTTTGTTGTCTAGACTTCCGTCTTCCCACTGGACCACCCATTTTTGCGAGAAGATGCGAGGGGAGGACGAGACAGATTACTAACTCTTAAGAAATTGATAGGAATTGTGAGTAACCCACTTTCAAGCTCTCAATGAACGAATTCCTGTCCTGGAAATGAATACTTTATTATGGAGTTTTGCTCAGAAGGTATGTATTTAGACCACGAAATAAACATTGATACCGTCCTCCTCCCTAAGCCAAGCATCCACACACATCACAATCATATACTTCAAAAGAATTAATCGTAACGGTTTTGCATTGAAACGCGTCCAGTACACTGAAAAGTCCATAATTCAAGAACACTATCACAAGAACAGATGACTAGATACTCACCAAGTCGGATTGCGCTCAGTAATTTGAAATGTCTATTTTGCGTGGTAACGGGGCCGAAAGCGTCCATGCTGCCTCAAATGAGAGTGAACTAGTAGTGTTTGTTACATATAGGCCATGGAACGAAATGCTTCAATTGAAACCACGAACCTCTTCTTTCTACTGGAAACAGCATCTTTCCGTGCGATTCTTCGACTTCCTAATGATTTAGCGTTAGGCATGCCTAGGAAACATTGCCGACTACTGCTGTTGAAATTATTACCTTACGTGGGGTCTGAACCCGAGGGTTAATAGTGAAGCCCATCAGCTGAGAGGAGTTTAGTATTATTCTCCAATGCACGGATTTGGCGAAGCTCACAGTCGTAATGCAGGATATCACCATCAAAACGCAAAGTGATAAAATCATCTTTCACTAACGGAAAGCTATCAATTCAGGAAAAAGTCCGATACAGTAGATAGTGGCAATGCTTGGTCGAAGCGAAGTACTTATAAAGAATAATTGTGTTTCGAAGGTAGCCCTTTTATCTACCGAAGGCAGCAGAACCATAAACTTCCTAAATCACAAACAGCCTGCCGGAACGGTCAAGTCTATATTTTGAAAGTAGATGGCCAAAAATGAAGGTTCAGATGATCTTGGGGCTTATGCATTCATCCAGGCCATAAGGAAAGGGTGGTCCTAGTGGAAAACAATATCAAGCCATCCGAAAACAGTAAGCAGCCTGAAGAAAGTTCAACCGAAACAGTAGGCGACTGAGGCTCTATATATATGTACGGGAGCACCGTCGAACGCCCTTCTGAATAGCAAATTGCATCTCTCGTGTCTTCGTATGTCTCATTCACAGCCAAATATGTCCGCGGAGGTTATGTTCGACGACGAATCTTCTTGCAGTGGAATAACCTTAACTTCCTATGAGTCACCGTTGCAAGTCACCTCACGATCAGAGCTTGACTCGGAATATGTCCCGTCCGAGACGAGCGAGGACCGACGATTCGTTGTTGCCGAAACTGATAATCTCTCATATTACTCCCAAGACGCCTTTGAAGTAGAAGACCTTCTTGATACCCACATGATAGATTGTGTCAATGACAATAAGCGCGAGGTGGGCAGAAACCCCTCTTTCCAGGCCAAACACTAACATATGCTCTAGTATCTCGAGACTGGAGTAAAAGTGCCTATCAAAGCAGTTGCGAAGCGAACTGTGTGTCAGGATGGACAATTACAGATTCAGCATCTGGTCCTTTGGACTTCATGGGAAGTTGTTGAGAATTCTGAGGCCAGGCAGGGATGAAGCGGAAAATCGGGGGAGCATTCGTTCTTGCTACACGCACAGTATCATGTTACTGTACCCCACTGCACTATAGTCCAGAACGAGTTGGAGAAAGGGAGAAAAAATCTTGATTGACACATTTATATCAATAACATTAGAAGACTCTCGTAGCTACACATCCTTTGTCTATGACAATCCCGTGAAATCACGTCGTGCTAAAGTCTGCTTTAAATTGATCTATGATGCGTGTCATTCAAATAATTCCATCCCATTTCCGAGACACCAACTGGCAGAAAGAGGATATGCCCAACGGCTATCGACTCGCGAACTCATTTATGATCTACGGATAAACGAGCTGCAGCTGTGTGAACATGGTATGTATCAGGGCAGATGGATAAGTCAGTTTCATTGTTTCCGAGAGATTGACGCTCTGCGTCAAGAATGCTAGCTCCCTGGGTCTTGTACATGTAACTCCCTTCACCATGGATGTCAGTCTCAAGAATTCAACCGCCTTCTGAACTTCACCATCTCCTTCTTATCTTATATGTATAACTCAACTGGCAATTGAGATATTAGACAGGGAATGGTTTTCTGGCCCAGATACGTTTGGCATACTGATAGGCAGGAGTGCGTGGGTTGGTCAGTGCTTTCCGCATCTGAGCAACATATACCAACACTTCATCCTTCGACCATGGCATCGGATCCCCACACTTGGTGAGTAAATACATTGAATATCCTTCCATTCCGCCCAGCCAGTGCTGCATATTAACCATACCCGCCTCTTTCAATGACTTATCCCGAGCCCAAGGTCCGATCGGCCATTTTTTGTTCTCTTCGTGAATTTCAACAAAGCCAGCTTTCTCGATAGACGCGCGCATTGTTTTTGTGACATCGAGTGACTTCCCAAGCTTTTCGCCAGCCGCAAAAAACCGTGGCCCCCAAGTCAATAGCACACTATCCGCCGCAATACTCTCGTCGTCACACTCGCATTGAATATTCATTTCGATCTGTTCAAACCAGCCGCCGGGTTCAAGGTTGTCGTAGCATTGCTCGTATAGAAATGCCCACTCCTCAGGCGTGAAGGCGCCAATCCCGTGTCGCAGGTGGATCAAAGCAAAATTCTCCCGCCATGTCCACCTTTGCAATACGTCGTCCACTTCAAAAACACAGTTGGGTGGGATCCAACTTCCTGGTGGAGGGAAGAGGTCGACACCCCGAACAACAGCGTTCGGAAACATGTCAGCAACGTCCATGGCCCATGCGCCTTGTCCCGTGCCGACATCAAGCACACGTTTTGGGTCCTGAACAGGAGCACAGAATAAAGGGTTTGCTCTGGCGGAATTCATGAGCAAGGCGGCGAGATGTCCCATTTCACGAGTCTCAAATTGTTTCTCGTCGGCAGGGCTAAAATACCCGGAGCTTCTTAGGGCTTGACAACGTCGGCCATTCTCCATGAACCCTTTGTATAGATCGGAGGCGATCGAGGTAGTCTCGGATTGCCAGTCCTCAGGCTGATAGGCTCCTGCTTCGGGGTGGTGTGGGCATGGGTCGGCAGCGATGTGGATATTCTCCAGGCTTTCAGCCATCATTCTAAGGCACAGTGCTACTGGAGACAAATTATGGACGGGGAATGTCCGACGATTGTGCGGAGGGAGAGAACCCCATTCCAGTGTTATGGCTGGAGTAGCCCCACATAATTTCCTTTTCATTTCCACCACGGCCGCTGTGATTTGTCGGGGGATATAGCTGTGAATCCCCGGCAATAGCAATCTGTAGTGCAAAGCGGCAGCCAATCACCGTGAGTCCACTCACGCACGAGGTTGCGTTGGGCAGTGCTCGCAGCTTCTCCCGCAACCCAACCAAGCGGAGGCGTGCTGCGCGATCCGACTCTCGCCCACGGTCAACAGCCTTCTCTTGCTATTTGCAAACATCCCATTGAGCCAATACCCGTCAGCATCACTGCCAGCTCGTTTCTTGTGTTGTCTTGTACTGTAGTCGAACGCGCTGCTGTGTTTTCCCAACAGCAAGGCCAAATGCGTTCTTTGGCAACTCACTACAGTTTCGCTCAATTGACGCCCTAGCCTCACAGGCGGCACCCACAAACCGCACGCCAAACAAACACCCTTGATCGAAGACTCTCGCTTTAATTCCCACGTCACTCCCACGGCACCCCCTCCGGGGCTCAAGGAAAATAGTAAGGCGAATTCTCGGGACAAAAGGGATGAAACAGTCGGGTGGAAGGCAAGGAAGGCCTTTCATTAAGCACGGGAGCATCTCCACCGGGCGGGTGGTGGTACAAACCACAGCATGCGAACGTTTGGAAAAGGATAACAAACACTGTGTACTGGTCGCAAATGATGATGATCATACGTGTACCAAAATGCATGGCAGACGGAGCTGACAGGCTAAGCTTCGCCGGGCGGCCTTTCCGGCTCAAGAAAGGCGTCCGTCCCTATGGCTTCGAAGATCATCATGCACGCTTGCTCGAACAGTCAAAGCGCGATTGTCGATCAACGTATGGGATACGTCACGTAGTTCCCCAGACTTCTGGACTCCGAGCATGCGCTCGCATCGTGATGATGAGCCCCAAACCAATCTCTCGAGTCAAACCTAACTAACTCAGTTGGCATAATTTCCGTAACTTCAATGAACCCTCGCCGCTACTATAGAATTGCAGTCGCAAGAGACGTAGGAGACAGCCAGACTACTCAAAATCCTCACCCCGTTATTGAGAAAGTCAAGCGCTTCCTTCAAGGGTAAATCAGGGAAATTGATCTACAGTACAAAGTCAACCGCCCTATCAAACTTGAACGGGCGAAGTATTCCATGGCTTGGCTGTCACTATGAAGGACCGCGAGTGCGAGTTCGAAGGGAGAGAAAAAGAAAAAAGAAAAAAGAAAAAAGAAAAAGAGCCGAGGGGAAAGCCAACACATGTGGCATTTGCAATCACGATTGACTCTCAAAAATCAACTTTGAACGAAGAAGTTTCTGGCGCTACTCCAAAAAATTTAAACACTCTCCACGAGTCTACTGATTCCACGAACAGGACAAACTTCAAAACATCTTCGACGATTAATTATCATGGCATAGGTTAAATCAATTAGAGTTCAAAACACTACGAAATGCGTGTTCTGCCCAGGGTCTGTTGGTCTGTTCAACCGCAGTCTAAATGTGTCAACAGAGACTATACGCAACATCACTTTCATGATCATCCCCATTATGCCAATGAACTCTAGACTTCAAAGTTCTGGGCACACATACTGGAATTGCGACAGCAAGTTTCAACCTTGCTGAGAGACAGGGCTATTTATTATGCCATGCGGGACTCTCCAGTTCTGTCTTCTTAGCGCCTGCAAACGTGCCCTTGGATTATATCGTTCGCGGAAAGCATTTCCCAGATGGAACCAGGGGTTATCAAACCATCCCTTCCAGCTGTCGACGATGAACACAGCCTAGTACCATCCAAAATGGCCCCGGCATTCCGTGACAAAGGAGAGGCAGATATCAGCTTTGCTGCTCCCATCGAGTGTCCCGAATTGGGGTTTTCTCAAGACGATACCAGCTTGGCCTTGTCTTCAGCCTTTGCATGTGTTGCGCAGAATGATCCAGTTTTTTCCGTTTGTCCTGATTACCGAGACTCTAGCTTATCATTCCATCCATGGTATGATGCTTGCGCACATGAAAGCACTACCGGTTGTTATGGGTACTGTTCTAGGCTGGCCTCATTCAACCTGCCTCCACCACCACCACCACCATCATCTGCTGACTTTGTCATTGGGCTTAATCTTTTGGCGACAGTCAGCTTGACAGGATCTCAGAACCTTGACTCTTCCAACACATGGCAAGCTGGTACGGTCAATAGGCAAATTGAGATGGAATTTGTGCCACACCACAATAAGCAAGAGCCCTTTTACGCCATTCACAGCGTGGCAGAGCCTTCGCTTACAGGTTTTGCAGATGTCTGGTCCAGCATGCCCCAGCAGCAAAAGTTCGAATGCAGTCATCCTGGATGCAGATGCTACTTTAGGTGTCGAAAGTCCTTTTCCCGCCATCTGAATAGTCACTCGGAAGTCAAACCCCATGTCTGTTGGGTCCCTGATTGCCACCGCAAATTTTCTCGTCGCGATAATCTCAACGCTCATTACTTGACACACGGAAAACACAATGGACGAAACCGCTATGTGGCCACTATGGACCTGGCGAATCCAAAGTATGATCCTGCCTTCAGTGGTCAATTGACAACTGATGGCTGGCCTATTGAGTCACCAGCCGGCCATGTTCTCCGCGAAAACGAATTGAGTTCACAATGACTTGCTTGACTTTGTTGCGGACGAATTTATCAAATCATCGTTTTCACGAACACAAGCCTGGTAGGTAGTATCCGAGAAGAGCAGGCGCTCCGACAGTCTATAGGATTGATAAGAAAATAATGAGGATCGGCATTGTGGGCTATCCTTCGCATGATGAGGGCCAGAGTGCCTTCCCGGTTAGCATGTGATAACGGTCGATAGGTGAAGGTGAAGCAACGAAAAGTGGTGACTGAATCTATTATTGGCAAAGCCTTCACCCGTATATGAAAAATTTAGTAGTTGAAGTATATTCTTGCTAGGTTATTTTTTTAATGCCGACAATAAGAGTGGTCAATCCTACCCCGTTGACTATATTCAACGTTGCATTCCCTGCATGAAGATTTCATTCAAAGAGACAGTGCAGATAGATTCGAGATTGCGCAATTTGTGAGCTAAGTAGGCAGCACCTGAAGGCATTCTCTCATAGTCAATGGTCCTTTCTCAGAATGGGATTCGAGCATATGAATGAGAACTTGCCGAGAGAGCAGCCTAAAGCCTTAACGCGAAGAGCATGGCAAAAACGCACAGGAGTGATCGTGGACGTCCGCGTCGAGGACCTTCTTGTTTTTGTCATGGTCAAACGTGCTCGATTTAGACACTACACCATAATCGCCCAATACCTAACCGGAGTGTTCTTAAGCAGTCTGCTGGCTCCGAGGTGACTCTGCGGCCCACCTCATTATAATTTCACCATTATGTCTCATCTTTACGCACCAATCTGCCAGAGCGTTGGAGGGAACGATGCAATGTATAGAAACCATGTTCGGCCACATCAGCTTCACCCCCACTACACTACCATGATTGGGCGAAGGCCCGTTGATCCAAGCCAAACATGGCTTACTTCCAAAATTCATCCATGGGTTACGAACCCTGAGCCATGGTATTGCCTGCCTAGATCCGCCGGCTGTCTTGTGTGCTTTGGGCAGCATACGCTGAACTAGCAGAAAGCAAGTCCTTAGTATTCTCAGCTCCCTCAATGTGTTATTTCGCCTGGCCATCGATGGGCTGGGCCCCTCCATCACCCGATCGCCGTAAGCTTTCATACAGGGAGTCTTGCGGTTTGGGAAGCGACATCGGGCACCCACGCGACTTGAAAGTTTGTAATTTGCGGCCGCTCGAAAGCAGCTTCACCTTTCTCTTGCTTCGTTTATTATTTTGAACCTTAATTGGGAACACGCGATACTATTTATGGTTAGTTTAAGGTGCTCTTGCAACCTTGGCGTTTTTTTCATTCGCTGATTTTATAAGACGAGACCTAACGCGAAGAAAAGTGTATTGTGCCAAGTGTTTCTTTCAATATTATTGTAGAGCAAAAAAAAGAGGTGAAGCTGATTGTGAGGCGGCCCTCTAGGTTCTATCGTTTGTATCGTATCACAACTAAAACCTGGAGCTAAAAGATGGCATTAGACCGCAGAAGTAGCTTCTCAATATCGGCGGGATTCATAGATCGCGTTACTGTACTACTCTGTACATGGTATGTAGTCCTGTAAGGACCTGGCTTTTCTTTTCCTTTCTTCTTTTCTTGCGGCTATGTCAGCCTTTCAAAGTCCTGTCAATCGACCCTTTGTATAGATGATGCTGCGGCATGTTGACTAGGGGTGTTGCAGGTATATAATCTAGTTTGTCAGTGTATCAGTCGTACTCTACCCAGTATGTAAGAACTCATATATGGAGCGATTTGACCAACCGGGAGGACCGTCCCGCCAGGGGAAAGTGGAGTGACAACGGCTGGATGGAAGATCATGACAGGCCAGCACGAGAATGATCGCTATTGGAAATTTTGTGTCGGCTAAGCCCCATCTGCAGACGGAACTCGGCACGCGGACTCGATACTGTACTGACTCCGGACATGGCAAGAGATGATAAAATGAGTCAAGATTCAAGTCTACTATCGATCATGATCCATGGAACCTGGTGGTGAAAGGTCTCACTATGATCGACTTTGCGTTATTAATGATCCTCGCAAGTGGGGCCTCACGGAGATCAAATTTTTGCCCAGCCAGCTCACGCCAAGCTCGGGGCAGAGGTAAAGTGGGTCTTTAGTAAGTATTGTGATGCCTCCACAACTCCATCACCCCAAGCCCTTCACGTCCCTTGGATCAAATCGAATGGGAAAGAGCAGGCTCGAGACTAGTGCAAATCAAGCAGCACACCAACTTAGCCAGTATCACTTATTTTAAAAAATGATCTCACATTCTGATCGTTTGACGGCCGGTGGTGTCCGAGCATAACTGGATCTTTCGCCCACTGAAGCACGCGTCTACCAAGTGAAGCAGCATGCCATAGTTAGAGCATGATGGGATCTAGGAAGTTTTTCAAAGCATGGCTGCTTAAAGCCAATCAAAGCAAATCGATTCGCACGCAATGGTTCCCCGAAAGACATCTGAATCTGGTTTCTCAAATGGTAGCAAAGGCAAAGAGATAGCCAATCTTAATTCTGCCGACGCGTAATTGCTTGCAACAGAGTTAGCGAATTCTCACAGATCCACACCAGCTGATCGGCTTTGCTAAGACATAAAGGTACGTGCACCAGGATTGGGCTTAAAAGGCACAAAAGAATCCCTCGCAAATGGTTCAGGTCCAATTCAATTCCCTGGATAGAGCAGCCCGCTGAAACTTCTGTTTGATAGCCCGCGTGATGTCCACGGCAAACCAGTCCGTCCAACACGGCGACCGAAAAGCGCAAATGGAACCCCCAATCAAGAAGCGACGGATAACTGATACAATAATCTCGGTAAGTCCAAGATAAGCCCGTCTGTTTGACCGGCGGATTTCAACTGAGACGTTGACTAGGATTCCGACGGAACGATTGAGGATCATCAGCTATGCGACTACTTGATTGGTTCCAATCGGGAGACAAACTAAAGACTTCGGTCAAAGCTTAAAGATGCCCGAGTGAAGCTGTCAACTGTTGAAAGAGACTTTGATACCTTAGAGGCCACACACGCTCAATGCCCGTACTGGATCCAGAAGAACGAACATCTCGTCGTGATGTTGGAGGATCATTGCGAAAGTCTTGAATCGGAGCTGGGCATGGGTTAGAGAAGGCATGATCTGATCTTGGAAAGCGAAACCGAGACACCACGGTTGTCTTGCAAGATGAGAAAAAGAACGCAAATGAAATACGTGTATATACATAACTGATATTTGATTGTAACTAGAACCAGGAAATATGTACATTTGCCCTCTCTGTCACCCTTGGCTTGTCGATGAAACCGGATTATAGTGTAATATTGCGCCGTGAATTTGTTTGAAACGTAATCTGAAGAATGCGTGTTGAACGATCTCCTCCTACACCACTCTCTATCTTCAAGGGAACCAGTAATGACGCACTCCATATAGCTAGAACGAAAACATTGTCTCCTTCCAGACCATGTTGTATGGGCCGAGTGGGAGATGAAGAAAATGACTGCTCAATAGAGTGTAATGCCGAAAGCTCTTTCCACGCGTGATATTCTCTACCGCAATGATAGTTGTTCGTCACCACCCAGATAAAGCTCATTTGTCCTCTTCATTGATGTACGAGAAGGTGGCCCAAAATTTAGAGTCAGATGTTGATTCACGTTGCAAATGCCGATTCCTGCTTGTTTGGGAGAAAGCCAAGTCTGCGGAAGAACCCATCGATAAAACTGGCTCGGAGGACATTGTATTGTATTGTAGCATACTGTATGATAGAACGCTGTGCTCGACAGGGTAGAAGAGGCATCAGTCAACCTTGTACAACTTCGTGGAACCTTGAAGTAACCCAGTCTGACTCTCCGTAGTTGGGTAGGTTTCTCTTCTGCCCACCAAGCTGGCCATGACCGGGCAGGAAAGGTTGTTCTTTTAGCCACTGTTGCACTTGGTTGACCTGATGGCGGCAATGGTTACACAGCAAGAGTTTGGCTAGGTTTTTGCTTGACTTCTCCGAGATATCGCCACGGTAAAGGTGAATCTCTGCACGCGCTTGAGAGTAACCAAAAGCAGAAACGTCGTGCTCACAGCCTTTTCCATTTTGGATCCCTACGCAGAACGCCCGAATTGAGAAAGACGCTTCGGAAGGATCGTTACAAGGAGAACGAATGGCGTGTACCTTCTGCTCGCGAGCTACAGACGAACGTTTGCATCGCTCTGTGGTTTGTTGGGTGCTTTGAATGCCACTTCGGAAATGGGATGCTTCCATTGCTACTGATAATACAGTGGTATTGTGAGGATAACGAAAATGATGAGGATGATGAGGATGAGCGATCGATTTAATATAAGTCACACAAACCTCCCAGGAAGCTAAGAGTAGCGATTCCACTGTCGTACTGGAGTCAGCTGATAGGCTGTGTTGACTTTGGCCAGCTCCTGGAAGTAACCATTCCAAAGTCATGAGCATAAACCCTCCGGGGAGCAATTCCCAGGCCTCCGAGGAGCCAGAATATGTGATGTCAGGGATATAGATGAGGCATACACGCTAAGCCTAGAACGTGGACCCACATGGCGCATCTGGGTTCCCCTGAACGCGAGGAAGCTATCTTTCTTTTGCTTCCTCGCGCTACGTCTTGTATCTAGAGTCGACTATACCTTTTTTTAATATGACCCTTCATTGAAAAGACACGCTCCTCATCAACAGATACGTGATACCCTCACAACGGCCGTAAAGCGTCCGAGGAGCTATTCGCAAGCCTCTGAGCCATTATGTGCGAAGAGCCTGTTTGTAGCTCCTGGGACGCCTGGATATACGCAGTCTATGCTTTTTGTGAGGATCTCACGTATCGTTGGATGAGGACCGTGTTTTCTGAATGAATAATCAATATTAAGCAGGCTATAGTCGACTCTAGATACAAGACGTAGCACGAGGAAGCAACAGTAAGATAGCTTCCTCGCGTTCAGGGGAACCCAGATCCGCTATGTGGGTCCATCATCTCCACCAATAGTACACACTACATCAGTCCCTGACACGTTAAGGAACAGACAGGTTAGACCTCCTGGGTTGTTATCAGGCTGATGGCCGCATGGAACTTGAATAGCCCAGTAACAACTGAGCAAAGAAGACTATGGCATGCATGAAGATTGGGTAAAGGACAATTAGATCAACAGTGACTATGTATTGGTCCAAAGCTACTGTATGGCCACATATAGCATGTGGAAGCAGAGAGCTTGAGGTGGCGTTCATTCGTGTTGTGGTTTGAGGTTGGTGCAGATCAGGAACAGAGCGGTACGGTTGGAATTAGTTCCTAGGATGCTTTTGTGAAGTACAAAGATTATGTCGGGTCAATTCGAAGTCCTTGGTATATAAATGGCCGTGCTTTCCTCTTCTGAATAAAATATTGAATCTTTCTGTTGACTACATAACATCGGTTTGCACGCATACTTCAAAGGTTGAAATGAAAGCGAATTGACCAAATCACCAACAAAGCACCGTGTCTGATTGTGTCTTAAGGGCCGCATCCTCCAGAAAATTTGGAGACCGAGATGTCCCTAACATCAGAATGAACAGTGATATTTCTGATGGATAATCGTATTATAGTCAAATGTAGAGATCTACTTTTCGATGCCATGGCTTAGAAATACAGGGACTCAGTCAACCGACTAGCTCGAAAAATTCGCTCAGTTAAACTTTGGCATATTAGGTATATCGAGCCACTATTCTAGTCCCTTTGGAGCCTATGATTTTCAATGTATACCATCGCATAAATCTCCAAACATTCCATGTACTGTACCGTCAATATGAGTTAAAAGCAGTACCGATTGCTATCATAAACATGAAAAGGAATGACCACCGTTTGTTGACAGTTGGCGATACCACACTTGCAGAATTATGAGCTGGCTCATTTTGCGTCAGGAGAGTAGGCACTGGAGTACCAGCAGTCGTCAGGGCACCCAGTGTGTGGAAAGTGGGAAGCGGAAAATGCGGTAAAAGAAAGGATAGAGGAACATCAGCGTTATACTGTTCCGCTTCCCTTGAGACATAGGTGTTGCCAGTTGCGAATCGCTTCCCTCCACTCATCATTGCAGAAGGATAAAGGGCTGAAGGTTGCTGCAGCATTACCCTAGTACAAATTTTGAGTCAGTAACTGAGAGTTTTGCGGGTTGCAGTATTTTAAGATTCTAGTGTACTGGGAAGGCGCGGGCTGCATAGAAGTCGCGTGCGACAAAGGCATGCCCGACATTTTTTTATAGAATAGTTTCTCACTTAGAAGGGAAAAACTGAGATAGTTGGTACGTAACTCGGAAAGCAAAGGATAGATTTTGGTTTTCAGGCAGTATCGAGAGATCGTAAATGAAGGACAACTTGTCCAGTTGTTATTTAAGTGGTAGTAAATCGAAGGTAAATATATCGCGTCGAGGATACATATGGAGTTGCGAATTTTGACGAGCGTTCTACTACGATTTGACAGAATTTATACTTAGAACTGATGGTCAAATTTTGCTCCCAGGGCAGAAATTTAACTCCACGATGCTGGCGTTGCTAGATCTAAAGCTTTACAAATATACCAAATTAAACAGATTTCATTCTATAAGGGAGAACGAACTGTCACCTTTTTATATGGTGGATGTTTAAGTTTCTTATTCTAGGCTGTTTTAATTATCAATAGATAACGAGATGAACCGACAATTAAGGATTTCAGTTGAAATATCCGCGGGTGAGCGTCCAAAATGCTATGTAGTACCTTGATTGACATATGTTTCGTGAAGTGGAGCGATGGAATCAGTCAACCTTGAATATGGCTCTTGCTGATCGCATGTTCAAACGCTCTTCCACTTTCCACGATTTTAATGCTCGGAATAATTTGTCAGGAGCATTATCAAAGACTACCGCTGTTATTTGCTATATCCAGCTCCAAAGCCACACGTTTGTATTCCTGGTAAAGGCCAGCAGTGTAGGCATGAAGCTCTTCGAGCTCTTTACTCATTTCAGCGGCTTGGTCTTCGAGCTTCGAGAACTCTCCTTGCACCTCTTGAAGTATGCGACAGAATATTTCAAGCCTCGGGTCTGGGACTGATATTAGGACAAAAGCATATGCTACTGAAAACTGAGTGAGGCTCACTGACCTTGCCTGAAAGACATCCTTGAAGATGGCAGACGAGTGAATGCACATGAATATGTTCTTTTTGACATTTTGGTTGATACAGTACTGTACCGGAAAATATTTGCTCGTGGAAGCAAGTGATGTGCTCAACTCCAGCGATAAATAATCTGTAGGTTTGTTTCGGATCAAGTTTGAAAGAGAGTAGATCAATACATCTGTCAGGTATGATGCTTTTCCTGCTATATTTTCGAATCTTATGCTCCTGGGATCTATGAACACTTTCGCCCCCATATCAGTGACGGATAGGACTTGGCTTTAGAAAGGATAGCGCCCGGCAGTGCAAACAAGTTGCGAAACTAATGATGAGAAAGGTCACCGCAATGATGGCAAATGATGTTTATGGTCTACTGCATTGTCGTGATAGGAACACAGGAATATTCACTGGAACAGGATAAGATAAATGCAAGAAAAAAAAAGGAAATCTGTGTCTAAATAAACGTCCATGGAATTGAGAAGAGCGAAAGTAAGACATCTACCACAGAATTGCGGTGATCGTCCAGTGAAACTAGATGACATAGCCACCGTGGCATTCGTATCGGCGCATGGAGTCTTCTAAGACCTTATGTAAAGCGCAATCTAATGAAAGCCCCGGAAACAGAAGGAAGAATAGTGGTACGCGATGACCAGGCAGCATTCCGGGTGAGATCTGGTAGCAGCTGTTCATTCCAAGCCATCATATGAACCATTCCCTTTGCAGTACGGGAGATATTTCCGAGAATTGATATTCTTCATCCGTGTCATAAAGTGACCAGTACGGTGGCCAGATGCCTAAGCTGGTGATATTTACAAATTACCTAGAAATGCGGTTGAGGAGCACCGTGCTTGTATATCTTTTTTCATAAGTTCCCCACCGTACAAAAGCATCGGTTAGAATAAGAGCTTGTAGAAATCTGCGGCCTCCACGTTGGTTATAAAAGTCTTCATGGAAATGAAACACACTTGATGTTAATGAAAGCCCTCTTCAGCTGATTTACAGTAAAACTTTCCACATTCAACGACAATTTTACCTGAAAAGGCGTACTCGAGATAAAAGCCCGGCATTGATTGAGTTCAAGGATTCGTGACCCAAAATCGCTCCTAGCGTCAGTTTTGAACTATAATTTGAACAAGATAGATCAAGGATGAAGTCTCAACACAAACATTGTCGGCAGTACGTCAATCAATAAGTTAGGGGCACTAAGCAGCATACCATTACGCCCGTAGAGAAGAGAGTGCGTTATACTGATCACTTATAAAGCCCCCTTCGTAAGCTTCAGCATGGTCAGCCCCACAAATCGTCGCGTAGAATATTATGGATTTTGATCAACCCCAGCAAGAGCGACCTGAGACTTGTTTCTTCCCTGAAAGCCCCAGTTGGGCAACCATAGCAGAGGCTTCGAGGAGCAAAACGTCCAAGAAGCACGCAGAAGACTCTGGACTGACGCCTGCCGTGGTAACAACTTCGAAACGACGACGACCGAATACATTACTGCGCCGAGAGGGTGCGAGTACTGGAATTCAACTGCAGGACAGTGATCCCTGGGATGATTTCGAAAAAGGCATTGAGATCTTTCCTGCACGACACGTATATCTCGCTCGAGACCATGGAAACAAAGCACGGCTCGTTCACATTCAGCACCTAGCCGCAGGAGTCGCGGGATCTTTGCTGGGAAACATTAATCGCCATTCGCACCGAAGCTTTCTGCGTCTTCTCCAGTGTTACCAGTATGGGAGCTCGTCTTTCTTGGTATGGGAACCGGTCGAGCTGTCTCTATCGCAGGTCCTTGGCTCTAAGTACTCCATCCGTGAGGCTGAAATGGTCTCCATCATCTGGCCGGTAGATAACTCTCGACCTTTGACCGTGGCTTACATCCTCTAATCGCAAGTCTGGCAGATCCTCACTGGCATACGCTACTTACGTGACGGCCAATACGCACTTGCCTCACTGGCCAGCGATACAATTTTCCTCACGGAGAGCGGCGACGTGAGAGTTGGTACGTAGAATTTCTTCTCAAATGTCGACGCTAGCAATGAAACTTATACAAGCGGCTCCCAGCGGGAGTGGAACACAGCTGTGAAATCTGCGCAGCAGATATGAACAAGGTTACCATGAAACTGCTTGCCCTATCGGATATTGTCAAAGAACTCCGGAAGAAGATGAATCCTCTGCACCCGTGGAGGACACAGGCTCAGGGATTGCCTGAAAAATTAATGGATGTGTCCTTGGATGACCTGTTGCGAGTGAGTGGCTCTCACAGCGGAAAGAATCAAACCAGCTGACAGGTGATTAGGACGATATATTTAGGCAGATGAAAGGCGGAGATTTGAAGATGCTGGTTAATATTGCAAGTAAAACCGGCCATTATAATATCCGGTTTCCTCAATCATGAAGCGACCGCTTGAGCTTCTTACTGCCACACTAACAGGACACTGTAGCTGAGACCATGGTGGCATCCAATTATCTTAACTGTTGCTTTCTGGAATATTCTGCTCCTTTATCTTATCCGAGTCATATCTCGATCAACGTTCCGAGCACAGGGGTATTTGGTGCCGATTTCTTAGCTAGAGCGACTGTATTTGGCAAGTGATTCAAGATGTCGTCTTAGTGCACCCTTGCTATGCAGCGTGCAACCCTCTAAAGTATAGCTAAAAGTAGCGTCAGCTCCCTGTGGATCTGAAAGCGCTACATCTTATTGTGAGCATGAGGGCAGTATGAGTCGGGCCTAAATTTTCCCCCGGAAGGCTGCTAGTTGGTTTATTGTTTATTTTATATGGTGGGAAGCATCAAATATTGAGGACTTTTTCCAAGCGACCATTCTTTTTTTTCTTTTTTTTTGTGGAGCGTTGTTGTTAGCACGCACATGGGGCGATGTTCACCCAATGGCTCTCTTTACAAACCATCCATCTGCCCAAACAAAAATTCCGCATGAGGCTCTGCTCCGGTCTACATCCTATTCTTGCAGTCGCAATGTAGATACTAGTACGTATCGAACGTTCTCTGATATAAACGTCGTTGCTAGCGTTTTGCAGTCATAGCGAAAGTCATGAAACAGCACTACTGGGATCAAGTTTTTGTAGGAGAGAGATTATGAGCGAAATCACACTCAAAGGACATCTAGCCTGATAGGCCCTAGGCTCGCATACAGAAGATAGCTTGAAAGATTGGCTTCTTGCCTTCCATTGTCGAATACGATTGTTTCGTCATCTGCGAATTGCCTCGTCCGAATTTTCATCCTATACCTGCCTCATACCGCTTGCCTGCCTGCTGTGGGCCTAAATTTAATGTCGATTATTCTCACTACAAGTCAGTTCACACGGAGTATCGTGTGCACGGCCCTTCGCAACACGCATAACCATGGCGGAGCCCTTTCTGGGACGTTGAGTAATATGTATATTTAAAGTGATCGTTTTGCTTCATGAGGTAAGCTGGTAGTAAGCTGGAGTCATGTCTCTTCATACGAAAAGTGATCTGATGGCGCCGCGACAAATTGAGAGAAGATCCAATCTGATCCGAGATTGTAACGACCGCGACGGGCTGGCTGATCTTGGTGTCGTCTGTAAGAGATGTACGCCCGATGAGGTTTGTGGCCTTTTCAACAAGGCCTGGGATCTTATTGTTCCGACCGTGGTGCAAAATCCCGACTGTAGGACCCTTGACTTCAATGACAGAAGCAGAATCATCACGAGCCGAGCCTCATCACCTTCGCTTCCGAAATCTGCCTCGTTCGTGTCCTTCTTCCTTTTGATCCGCATCAGACCCAAATATGGCGAATCGACACAGGACGAAGAATTTCGATAAGTCAACTAATCGCTAGAACTCGAGCTGGTGATACCGTTCCTTCATCTCGACTATGGCTGGATTCCACGTAAATATCGACCAAGCAGAATCCTTTTATCAGCGGATCGAGTGTCGACACCCGGCTCGTATTGAATTGGTGCAGGAATATGCTGTCTACTGCGACCAAGTCGCTCCGCGCGGCGAGTGTGGTGTGCGCAATCTCGTCCGGGAGGGCTCAGGCGGTAATTCGGCAGGTGACGTCGTGGACGGAGCTCGGTTTGAAAGGAGAGGAATCATGGAAGGGGCCAGCGACGCTAAACAGTGAAATTTCCAATGCAAGGGAAAGTGTATATTGTCCTTCGTCTTCAACACGGGGGTAGTACTGGCGATGTGGAGGTTCATCGTCCATATCAGTAGGCCACCCGGCGCCATCACGGCTTAACGACAAGAAACCCTCTCATCAACAGTTGGCTGAGATGGCGCATACAGTATGAGCGATCCCATGACGAACATCCCCTAGGTTGGTAATGATAGTGAAATATTGTGATTCTTGGCGTACCCAGGGTGGAGAAAGAAGACAAGCGGCGTGGCGTGCCTGCTGTCGGAAGGTTGGGAAGGGATTTTCGGGGACACAAGTGGGCCGATATATACTAGGATAGTCTAGTAAATAGTCAATCATGATCCTTCCATGACAGCGGTTCTTCGTTTAGTTGCATGTCGCTTTCCAACAATCGCGACTGACAGTGACATGCATTATCTTGCTGCCCCAGGGATGGACAAAATGAAAGTGGTCACCACCACTATCACGTGATGCAATTGGCCAGCGAGGCGGTATGCAAATTGCATGATGCCACTTGGGCATCGAGTACGAGCCAACAATGAGTCTCACAATGATTGGCCTGCGGTTCTTTCAAGAAATGACTGCTCGCAAACTGATAAATACCTAGCCTGTCATTGAAGTCATCGAAGCCTCAGTTACGGAAGATAACGATATGGCATCAGCGTATGTTCCGACTCGATGGCAGAAAACTCTGGTGTTGCATGCAGATGGAGCACTTGATAGCATGGATCAGAAAGGTCTAGAGCATCTCGCATTAGTTACAGATAGCTCATGTCCTCATGCCGCTGACCACCTCGATGCTGTGCGGGACTTGGCCTCTTTGAGATCGTTGGAATGGGAAGGGATTCAGCAACCATGGGAAATCGAACTAATGCGCCAGTGCATTCAACGCAATCAGAAGCAACTGAAGGTCCTGTCCATCGGATTCAGCGTGGGAGCGCATCATCCAAATTTTCATGTAGACGTGCTCGGACTGCGGGAGACCGTGACTCTTCCTCATTTGGATCATTCGACCAAATTTCTTTCTTCACTCGTTTCATTGACACTCTCAAAGACGAGTATGCCTACACAAATTCCAATTAGGGACGTGCCTCTCTTCTCCAGTCTGAAGGTCTTGAGATTACGCGGATGCCCTAATGCCCTGGAATTCTTGAATGCCCTGTCGGATTCCACGCCTCGTCTCCAACTAAAACGATTCGAGTTTTGCGGCGATAGTTTGGCTTCCACTTTTGACAAACTGGACGATATCAACATTTTGATCTCACTTTTGCTTTCATTTCGAGGTTTGAAGCATTTGCATCTGATAATCTCAAATTTTCCACACTCTTGTGGTCTTCGAACTGCAATCCAGCATCACATCGCCACCCTGGAGACGCTGGCATATCACGAGCAACAGCTGTCTCCAATTGACGACGACAGACTATGGTGGGACACTCGAGATTATGCTCCCTTGTGGATCTTTGAGCAGGCGAGAAGTCTCCACCTTCACAGACTTTCTGCCCTGGCGCTTTGTGCGAGTCCATCGTTCTTAGTAAGTCGCCCCAACATTTCTAAGGCTGTGATATATTAAAAAAGGACAAGCCAATAGAAGAAGAAAAAATGTGATTATTGATACTTATTCTAGAGACCCGTGCTTGAGCCAGTAGGCTCGGAGTGTACGCTTCGAGTCTTACATGTGCGGTTCGTGGGCTTAGATCATTTGCATCGCGATATTCAGTCTGAGGTGATGGCACAGATAAAGACAGGACGTGCGTACTGTCCATGTGGTTGCTGGGCTAATCACCTTCGACGAGGCTCACTCTCCAGTAGCAGGTGTAGTTTCACAAGTATGTGGGAAGAGTCATTGACTTCTGATCTAATGAGAACTTCAGTCTCTCCAGGAATGCCGGACGGCTCTGACATATCTTCTGACGAGGCGCGAGAGATTATAGAGTTCGCGGATTGGGCGTTTGGGCCGCGTGGCCTTCCGAGTCTGAAAGTCTTGGCATTTGGCGACTTTTCCTACGAAGAAAGATTCCAGCGGCAACGCTTTCTAGCACGCCGACGGATGAAAGCTGAATTCGGGGCTTTTTGCGAGAAACCCGGTCTTCCCGCCAACGAAGAGCCTGATTGGACTCTCTGCATCACCAACAAATTGTCCGCCCTCGATGAAGATCCTTTCCAGGGATCTGACACGTTCTTGTTGTTGTAAATCAAAGGAAGATTGATTGTTATTATCATCTAGAGGGAAATATGAGGCTATATATACAACGAGAAGAACAAGTTGATTTCCAATCAACTTGATTCTTCGTATAGATATTTCGGCATTAATTCCGATGGGACGGCTTGGTTCCTGATCTGCACCAGCCTCATATCACAACACTTGTCTGTATGTCCCGATGGGTCATTAATGGAATTTCCGGAGGAGTGGTAGACGGCGAAGAGTCAGACATGGGAAGCTGAATATGGGAGACAAGGCAACGACTTTCCCAGCTGACTTTTCATTCGCCGAAAGCCAAGAGAGTCATATCTTCAATAGCAGATTTCATTGCGATGATCCAGGAAGAATCATGCTATCCTTCAATTTGAGCTACTGTGTGTCATACATTGCGAGGTAGATAAAGCAACAAGTTCAATTGCAGAATCCGACATTTGCCAAGATGGCTGGGCTGGGACAGGAGGATGCAAGAATAAAGGCGATTGGTATTCCGCTTTGGACTTCCCGCTCTCGATCGGAAGATTCAAGTACCATGAGAAGGCTGTAGAGAATGGTATTGTCGATTATAGGAATTTAACTTACCACTTACCCATAAGGACCCGATCAGAAACTTCTAGGGTCTCTTGAATCATAATGTACGCAGATCTAGACGTGACTTGAATCGGATATTTTTTGCCTCGTAGGGGCATTTGACTGACGCCACACGGGTATCCAGAATAAAACATCCTCGAACCTAATTTATGGCCAACATGCAATAGAACTTTGTTTACATAGTTTTAGAGGCACCCAAACAAAATCATATCCAGTGTATATTCCAAACTCATCTTCCTGGGTGGATGCGTATAGTGGATTGGGATCATCATGCAGAGTTATGGCCCCACCTGAAGTACACTGCCGTTCAAGTCGTGCTAATTCGTCTCTTCACCGAAGAGCTAGCCAAGTTCTGCGACTCATTGCTGTCGGGAGAAGTCTTACGCACGTTGCAACCTGCTGTCGAAGCTGTCGATTCTCACATGCTCTAAATTCTTTGAAGGGTATCCCTTGGTAAGACTCAGATCGCGCAAAGCACTCGAATGGAAAAGACGCACGAGGAGAAATTCACATGACTCAAAAGCGTGGCTCACGACAACCCACTCGTCAATCAAGGATCTCGGACATATTACCTATTTTCGCAGATCTGCATTGTCGAAGATGGGGTCCGTTTCCATCAAGTGGTCATCTATGGTAGCTTGCAGTTTATCCACGGTACGCAATCGAAATGAAGGGGGATCCATGAGCACTCATTCGGTAGAATATCCATCGCAGTGATCTCTTACCGCTTTTTGGTGACTCCAAACGCCTCGCGATGGGGCTGACGGGGCTTTGGGGGCGTCACGTTGCAGTTTGGGCAGGAGAATGGAGATGAAATGGTAAGTACACAAGAGCCCGTGTACCTTGCGTGTGTGCAGGATGGCATAGTTCTGAAATCAAAAATGGACGAATTGCCCCGGTTCCCTATTAGGCTACCAAGGATGGCAGTGGTCTCGTTGTTGACACGGCGACGATCTACGCCCCTTGACCCACAATTCTCTTATGGTTGCACTCAGCGTTTGGTGCCTATCGACTGGTCCACGCGCCTATGGCCCACTTTTGACTGAAAATCGCAAAACATCGGGAACTTGGGTACAGTACTTTGATAAGCAAAAGGCTTCCCCACTTAATTCACATTTTTGGCACCCATCACATCCCGTACTCTTAATTTAAATGGAGCTGACGCCTCGCATGAAATGAATCTCTAAGAAAAGTCTTGGGCATTCCTGTCCTGTACCTCTTGAGATGTCCTCTGGTTACCTCCCAGTACTTGTCTCTGCTACACATTTTGACAATGGATAGTCTGGTGAGATGTCCGTTGGTTTCCTCCCAGCGCCTGGTTCAGAAATTCAAACGTTGATCCTTGCAGAGATGTCCTTTGGTTTCCTCTCAATACATCTTCTTCCAACACATCGTGATTATTGATGGTCGTGAGATGTCCTTATGTTCCCTCACCTTACCTCACCATCCGCTGCCATCTAATATTAGAATCATCTACGGTTCTCTTCCTCCCAGAGATGCAGTTTCCTTGGCGGTCCCCAACTTGCAGTCCACTCGCCTTTGTCCGCAATTGATTGTTGTGTGTGACACCGGTCGATCTGGATGGTCTTCCATGAAATCATGCAACTTTTCATACACTCATGACTGGGAAAATGCTGGAACTGTCATCGAAAGTACGCTATCCTAACTTGTTCTAGCGTTAAATTCTGTATGCATACCATGTATACAGTAAAAGAATTGTTTTAAATTCAGCCGTACGGCTTGCAAGGCTGCCCCAAATGATGAGGCCTTCTGGTCGAATTGGCATCGCACGCTCGCGAAATTCTGGGATTGAATCGGAATTGAACTGCCGTGTCTTCATTCCGGATCGGTAGTATGGGCAATTATGGTGTGAGTTGCTTGAGACAGCCCCTCATTCTGTCGAATAGCTCGGTGCCTATTGCACCATGTCTGTCAAAAATGAACGTTGAAAATTTCTCCGTTCAACAAATCAATTCACGTTCAATCTGAAGCATCGAAAGAGTTCCACTCTTCCATATTATATATGTTCAAAATCGTGTAATACCGCTTCGCTACTGGATGCTCAGTCGTAATTGCACGGGATTCATCCCCGACAAGGACAGCGATAAAGTGTTTTCTCAAAGCGTACGGGAATTGGAACGAAGATTTCGAAGTTCATGTCCATGGTTGCAAATGATTACCCAGAAATTGTTGAAGTATCGAGATCCTTCCAATTGGTGCGGGTATCCTGATTTCATCAAACTTCTATTCCTATGATATGCTACAAGACACTCTTGAATATATTCGCTTCCCAGTCCCGATCGTTCAATGATAGTGGTCACAACCTCGGACATGCTGTCTAAAGGCTCACTCAAAAAGAGGACGCTTTCAAAGACCTCTGTTACATGATAATGAATATTCATCATAGGAGGGGGAAGCTTTTGAACAGCACTAAAACGATGGCTTTCTAGGCCCCTTGGACTGACATTCGGGTAGGCCCCGTTTACACAGTCTAACCATTCTACGTATAATGAGCTTTGATGTATCCTCAACAGACAATCTGCCCCACCCTTCTTTGATTAGTCTCTTTTAGACCATAATCGGGTTAGACTTGATGCAGATTCACGGGTTTCAGTGGTTAAAGCTGAGTGCATCTGTAACTTGGTTTACCACCCCCACTATTGTAAAAGTAGAGAAATTGATATTGGATTGTTTTTCCCGGCGGGAGTATGATTTTTTGGAAAATTTCCAATGATCGACCTACCAGACTCGCGTTTTTATCTTGGTCGATCCTCTGTTTCCACTACCTTGATCTTATGATTACTTAGAACGTCGAGTCCAAAACAGTCACAATGGATACTGCAGCCAAGAGAGCAGACATTTATATAGGTTTCCGATAGGGTTGCATAAATTTTAGATGCCAGGTGGAAACTATAATTAATTTTTTAGTTTCATCTGGTTCAATTTTACCCATATGACGACACGAATCAAATGCGCGTCACATTATACTTTTCGGGATGGACGAGGCCTTTTTCCTCGTACGATCAGCCGAAGAGGTACATAGCTACGGAATTTTACAGATTATTTCTACCGGCTATAGCTGTCGTTTTCTGTTTCTTCCTTTTGTTTTCGTTGAGTATTGGAGGAATCAGCCACATGCAGACCGGTTTTGAGTACCGTAGTCTTCATCCGTACTGCCTCTTGCGTTGAACTTCAACTGATTGGGTTCCTCTTAGTAAGCAGTCTCTCATCTGCTTGACAAACAATATGCAGATATATCTTCAAGACTATGGAAACTGAATGGAAGTACCTGTATCACAACTATCTGGCTTCTTATCTGTTTTGCAGAAGCCGATCCAGAGCGAGGCTCATTGAACGTGCACAAGAATTGCGATTTCCCTTGGATGTCCAGGGGGCAGTTGATGTGCCGTACTTGGAGCAAGATTTAAAGCCTAGCGAGGGTTTGCATCTCCATTCCGAGAGTCAGTCAGTGGCACAGGCAATTCGTTGAAGATTGCAACCAAATTCGATCGTGACAACATAGCTCAGGTCGAATATAGTGCGTGCTGTCTTGGCAGTTTCTATTTCCCCCAAAACCGTGTCTTTTATGATCTCTCCAATATCAATGGTAACCCTTTCTTTCCCTATGGAACAAAAGTTTCTCCCTCGCGCAAAGATTGCACGAGTTATGAAATGCGCGGCTTTCAGTGAAAATTGTGACTTTGTATACATACTACTAACTACATGACAATCAAGCTACTTTGGGCTGCGACATTGAAACCAATCTCCAAGTCGCGCTCTGCTCAGATGAACGCCAAAAAGCAGACAGCATCATACAGTCCTTGAACTCAACTTGGCAAATGGTCAGATTGGGATTCTGTGCAAAAAATGTGCATGTACTGCAAAATAAACACACTTCATAAAATCTTAGAACCCATTCCATCATTGGCACATACATGATTCGTACCCCACTGCTGCTTTTCCATCAACAGATTGAAGAAGCCTCACTCTACAAGATACATTACACTACCTTCCAGTCTTGTAGGTTTTATAAAATGTGAATTTTGATTATGCTTTTACTGGGAGGAGGCCATCATGCGGGAGGCCATCATGCGGGAGGCCATCATGCGAGAGGCCATCATGCGGGAGGCCATCATGCGAGAGGCCATCATGCGGGAGGCTATCATGCGTGGGGTATGGAACCCACCATGAGAACCCCATTTGTAATATTTTGACATGCACCCTCGGCACAATTAAGTGGGTTGTCGAGATTCGCAGCAGCACAATCAAAATGGAATTTGAATTTCCAAGATGCATCGTTCTTTGTAGAAATCAGCCCATGCCATGGTTCTTTGATACATTTTGCGGCAAGGGGTTCATTTCCCCTCTTTACAATGCAACTCACTTGTACTGAAGATCCCAGTCTCCTTGATCTTATATATTTGACGGTCTCTGCCGCAAATCAAGGCCTAATATTCCCATGTCCTATGATCGAGGTCTTGGTGCAGCAAACAAAGAACAAAGTCTATGGATCTGCATAAGATGGCAAGTGGTCAGTGAAAACCCCCGAAAAACTAACCTTTACTCCTATTTCTATAGTATGTCCACTAACATGACCCCCAAACCATCTATCAGAATCGCAATTCGCATATCATTTAAGTCTTTTAGCCATCGGAACCACCGATGATGAAAAAGAGGAGACAATATCAGCACCGATTTTCACCGGTCCACTTCTCCAGCTGCCTGAGCTGTTGCCTTCTCAATTTGGGTTGCTCGCACGATCGAAGCGTATCCAACAGCCAGGGGTTGTAAACAAGACAAATGAGGGAATTGAAGACGACCCCCGCGTGTTTTTCAACGTTTCAGCTCCATCGAGTACTTTTATCTGCGGATCTCAGGGCTCTGGTAAAAGTCACACGCTCTCCTGTCTCATCGAAGACTGCTTAGTGCGCTCCAATGCGGGGTGGCTCTCCAATCCTCTTACAGCAGTTGTTTTTCACTACGATACTTTTATTTGTGACAGTGGCGGATCTCCATGCGAGGCCGCTTTCATAGCATCGCACTCTGGAATCAAGGCCAGAGTACTTTGTGCCCCGACCAATTTCCGGACAATCCAGGTAGGTCTCATTTTTGAATAGAAGATTGACGCTTCCCACTGAGAGTTCCCACAGGGTACGTATGCTAGGCTGAACATTCAAGTTGAAAACTTGCAAATCGATCAAAGTGATCTCAATACAAAGCGAATGCTTGATCTCATGGCAGTAGGTCAAGAGAAAGGAGCAGTGCCGCTGTATATGCATACCGTTCAGCGTATCCTGCGCGAATTGCGTCTCTTGCAGCAAGAAACTGGCTGTTCGTTTGATTACTCGGCCTTCAAAAAACGAGTTTTGAATGCTGATCTTCTACCGAGCCAACTCGAGCCTTTGAAACAAAGATTGGAAACACTTGAGAGCTTTATGCCGCGCCAGCAAGCAACAGCTACTATGAAGAACAAAGATTTGAAGGGCAAGAGCCGTGCGAAAGGCTCCATTTGGACTCCGGAGGTCGTATGCCCCACTCCTCGCTGATGACCAACTAGCTGATTGTTTTGATTAGCCATCTCAGTTGACTATTGTGGATCTCTCCTGCCCTTGCATCTCTCCAGAAACAGCCTGCTCACTCTTCAATATCTGTTTTGAGATTTTTATGGAGCAGGACACAGGGGTCGGTCGTGTTGTTGCCCTTGACGAAGCTCACAAGGTTTGTAGATACATATCATAAATGCTGTGAATTTAGACCATTTGCTGAGGATCTTCATCCAGTACATGAAGAACTCGATAGAGTCTCAAAACTTCACCAACACTCTCCTTTCAACGGTTAGGTTACAACGCCATTTGGGAGTACGTGTATTCATATCTACACAAGAACCAACAATCTCACGTGACCTTTTGAGCCTCTGCTCTATTACGATTGTCCACAAGTTTTCATCGCCGGCGTGGCTTCGCGCCTTGCAAGGACATGTAGCAGCTGCTGCTATGGGTGTACAATCCAGCGGGGAAGAGGTTATAGAGAGAGATGACGATTTACCCTTGTCGGAATCCTCGAATAAGCTGTCCTTTTTCAACCAGATTGTGGGCTTGAAAGTAGGGGAGGCTTTGGTGTTTGCCCCCAACGCTATTTTTGAAAGAACAGAAAAAGACAGCAATGAACGAAAAAGAAGCCGGTTGGGAGCAGGTTACATGCTGGTACAAATCCGGCAGAGGCTAACTGAGGATGGTGGCCGAAGCATAATGTCCACTTAGTGCATTCATACAGCTAGCTACAGCAGGCAATGAAAGCATAGGAAATTGATGAAAAGCAAAATCAAAATTCTCAATTTCATCACTTTCTTATGATGGTGATATCAAATATACTGAGTAGATATGTCTTGCTGTAGGAGTGCATTCTTTGACATGGGTGTTGGAATCAACCGGAGCGAAGATCACGTCGCAGTGGTTTTTTGTGACGGTCGAGGCAAAAATATTGTGTTCTGGAAGATTTCGATATAGATTGAGTTTGGCAAGTGGGACTGCTGACTTGTCCGGCGTAGCCAAGAAAACAGGAAAGGTAATCATTCGCCCAAAAGACACGTAGTGCCACATTTTTCCACAGAGTTTGAGATGCAACTTGAATAAATGAGTAAAGCTACTGCGGTACGAATGTTTCGTACGCGGTCAGACCGTAGGGCGCAACAAGGTGCGTCTTCTCTTATGCTATGCGCCCCCACGTTTGTGATACAGAAGCAACCCTTTCTAGACCTGAGACCTAGTGGACCCCAAGTATTGCGTAATACCTTGTTCTATGTGATCCAAGCCTCGGCAAGTACTCGCGTTCAGGTGCAATAATTAGAAGGCGTTGGTTCGTTCACCACTTATGCGCGTAGGAGCTTCGCTGATACGGCTTCACTTGTGTTTGTAATCGCCTCTATTCTTGTTGCGCCTCATTTGACTCGAGCCGGGTGCATTGGGGGTTCGTGACCCTGGCTACTGTGACGTCGCAAGATAGGACTTGGGTTGAGCATATTCCTTGTGGTATTCGCTGAATTTTCAGGGGTCAAAAAGGATCTAGTATGCTTTTTAAGCTATATATGCGGTTGGATTTTTATGGGTCATATCATAAGGGGGTGTCCTTTGCAGCTGAAATTCAGCCGTAACGCTAACATGAGGGTTCTTATCAGGGGTGGAGTGATCATTGCACGACCTTTATAGCTTGATTGAGATTTCTGGGCTCTCCTGACTGTGGGGTGCCAATTGTTTCATTGTAAGCATGGAGAAGCATAGACACGGTCATTATGATAAATTGATTTTGAGTCGTTCATTCCATCAGAGTCCCAATATTTAATGTGGGGATCATGAATCGGAGCCATACATGACGATATCGCGTGCCCCTGATTTCTGTCAGTCGCCAAGATTCATGAGTCAGAATCATGACTATTCCATTTTACGTTAGCCACGTCGATATAGCCTCTAAATGTAACAAGGCGATTCTGAGCGCGACTGTATACAAAATTACGGGCCTCAATATGATTCGCTATAGCCACGGGCCGTTTTGAGGTCGTTCAATAATACTGACGAACATACATTACTTCTTTTTTTTTTTAAAAAAAAAAAAGACTCACCAACCTTGTGTTACTCATGGTAGAAGCGCTTCCACTACCGAGGATAGATTGTTGAATACTTGGAGAAGCACATTTAAGCCAGTGTACTAACCAAACTACTGACCCACGAGCACCCGCTGCGACACTACATGCTGGAAATGACACATGTGGCAAGGTTGCATGCATAGGGTCCAATGAGACACGAAAATGCACAGTAGTTTAGCGACAGTTGGTTTTTCGGCCCAGCCGCCGGCGTTAATTGTTGTAATTCAAAGGAAGATTGATTTCATTTTAAACATTTAGTGGGAAATATGAGGCTAAATTTACAACGAGAACAACAAATTGATTTCCAATCAACTTGATGCTTCGTATAGATATTTCGGCATTAATTCCAATGGGGGGCTTGGTACCTGATCTGCACCAGCCTTATATCACAACAGTAATGAAATGTGTCTGTGTGTGTAAAATGCCTAAGAAATAAAAAAGTCATATCCCTTCCCAACATGAATGTGTATTGATAGGCCCTATAGAGGGTTCTATCAGGGGCACTATGAAATACCACACATCATATGTATTGAGTCAATTGACTGATTAGGTTGCACCGGCCACATGTGCTGTCGATTGATCTGGGCGGTGGTCGTGAACGGCAGCAGGGCACGTGAATGCCAATTGATCTCGTAGGCTCGGTGGATTAAAAATGAAAAATGGCCTGCCCACTTTGTCCCACCTCTGTCGTTCCAAAGTCTTCCCACGAAATCTGCCGATTAATTTAGGAACTTACATTGGTGCCTTGGCCTTTTTGTTATCTCTATGTTTGAAATATGGAATCTCAAGGCCAGAAGAAAAGAAACAAACCGAGGAGCGAGTTTTATGACATTTACACAGGGCCGTTTTGATGGCCCAACCATCTTCACATCTTTGTATTGTCTGCTTACATGTGACAACTGTTCGGAAATTAATGTGATTTCGAGGGGCGACGTACATCCACGAGGGACTGGGTGTTATGCAGACCATGGCGTTTTCACATCTCTTGAAAAAGCTCGAAACTTTATGAGAGAACGTGAAGTAGTGGAGCCCAAGGAGATTCTCAAGGAGGAAGCAGGTGAGACTGCACTATTACCCGGCAACCAGGTTTTCTATGCGGGAGCTGATTGTAAAACTCCTGGTATTTACGAATGCTACCAGTTCGTATGCATTCTCCGGGGTGTCTTTATTTTTACTGACAAGCACCAGCGGAGGATATGTTGCGCACTCCAAAGTTAATCGTATTTCCGGATCATGCCACAAGGCTTGCAGCACACGAGCTCATACGGAGGCTTTTATTGAGGATTGAAAAGATGCGTATGCTGAAATATGGCGGAGACATATACGCAAGGCACTGAATCAAAGGTTTAGGCCGGAGAATATGAAGGTCCAGGCAAGAAAAATTCTAAGTCCTGGGAATAGCGTCAATTTTTCATATGAATTTAGCACATTAAGTTGAAAGGAAGAATAGAAGCGTACAACTTATTGGTGTTGTCTAATTACTGTACCCACCTTGTTACTGATTTTGTTCAGCAGTATGGTATTATGTCCTATTGATAGGATGAAGCTAAACAAATGTCTCAGGTCTCCATTGCTATGCCCCAAGTAGTCAAGATTATCGCGAAACATTTTGTGGGTCCGTCTTGTACATTCATGCAGCCTCTCCAGATTATGGAAAAGGCAGACCCGATCCCTTGACTTTCCCCCCGAGCCCAAACAAGTGGGTCAACAATATGAAGATGCAGACCTGTGATAGCCTACCGTATCATGTTAATATTGGTGGCAGTGGCAAAGCATGTGTATATATTATTATCTCACAATCGGGATGATTTCGTGGTAATATAATAACCCTTCGTGCGCAAGACAGCGAATGCCAAGGTCCTAAGTCGTCATATGCCAGGAAGCAGAGCCTAAGCATTTCAATCGGAGCTCTCTAGAAATTGCACTTAGCCTCAATGGCTTCCTTGGCGCCTCTTTTTCAGCCATATACTCTTTGCCAAGCCAAATACGACTGATTGGGCGAATTCTCTGGGTCAAAGTTAGAATGCGGAAATGACTGGGAAAATACGTCGAACGGAGTTATCGGCGGAGGTAAAGATGCAGGCAGATCGTGGGTATGTTGATCGAGGGCTTCATAGCTGCCGAATGGTCGGTAGCAGAGCTCATGCCTCGCCATTTTCTGCGTCATATCTGCTTTCAAGCACAAAAATTGGCTAGGATTCTATTTCATTGCCCGCATTACGAAAACATCTCTGCTCCCTTATGCCTGCTTTTCCGACACATTACTCAAAGAGGGATTCAAATCCTTGACTCGTATGCGCCAATAGAGTCGCACAAGGACTGTCAATTCAGGGAAAAAGCGCCCCAATCTGATTCAAATCCGGGGTGTATGTGCGCAAACATACAATTTTGATACCGGCTTTTGAATTCATCGCTTTGATATTTTAAGAATGATGGAAGGAAGCATTCTCATAATTTTGGACCGTTTTGGTAAAGGCCATTTCCCACAGTGATCGAGCAACGGCCTTTATGAAGACTTGAAAGAATGGGGCAATAGTGAAGCCATTAAAGATGTAAAACAAGAAGATTCCGCTATAAACACAAGCTAAAATGATTTCGTAACGTTGATGACAATGAACTTTGCTCGTCTGCGATAGGGCTATACCCAGAAGTGACCGCCCTATTTTCCGGAATACAACTCTCCTATCACATCCCGATTCATCCACGCTCACTACGTGCTATGCTAATTAATCAGCTACGAAACTCACATACTTGTTCCGTAATCAGATTTTCTATAGCTAGGTCTTTGTTTGGGTACTTATTCGGTCCAACCGTCACGTTTCAGAGCACGACTAAAAGTACGCTTCTCCATATGCACGCCAAATACATTTCGTATAACAATTAATACAAACAAACAATTCATTAACGCCCTGCGGTTCATCTGAAAGGGCAACTATCATTGGTCTACTGTACACGAGCATCTGTATATTCTGTGTCTCCTGAAAGCCCATACATAAAATCTGATAACAGGTGTTATCTCTAGTAAGCAATCTGCAGCAATGTTCTCGTGGGCCAGTAGATGGGTTAATAGGCTGGCCTGAAGGCGCTTCTACAAGTTTCAAACGTCCTATCTTCGGCAGTTGCAGGGTGTCTACTATCAGGGTCACTCGAAATCGGATTCACCTCTCAATTCTTTTCTTGTCTTTCTCAACTTTATCTTCTAAATCATTAAATTCATTATTGTTAAATTACCTCTGATGTAACACCTGGCGCCAATTTGTAGATAAATAAATAGAGATAGTCTTATTGTTGTATAGTACTGTATACTACACAATAATCTTCCGCCCCATCTCAAGTTCCTTCACTTGTCTTTGTAATCGTTGTCGCTTTTTCCGAACAGAGATCTCCTCTCCAGCTATTTGCTCCAGTTGCTCGCGCGAAAGTTGGTACACCCATGAAGGAGAAAATAGTGTCATCGGCGCTACCAATCCAATGACCAAATGGTAGTCCGCCGCTTGCATGCATAAATTATCAATGAACCTTTTCCGAGCTACCTTGTAGTACGATTTCAAGATGTCGTGAATGTCTTTCACGGTATGCTGTAGATTACTCATGTCATGAATCCGGGCAAGATCAGAGAGTCGAACTGATTTTTCTCTGGAGCCATGCTCGTTCTTCACAAAGAAAGACGACTCTCCAACTTCAGAGATAATGCGGCTCTGGCGGCTGCATTGACGTCAGCAACGGATAAGCGATAAACGGCATTGTACTAACCACTTTTGCAAATTGCTGTTGAGGTAGTGATTTTGGGTCATTGGGGTGCCTTCCCTCTCAATCCGAAGAAGAAATTCTGTCATACGCAGGGCGCGTCGGTATTTCTCAAGAAGATCATCCATAAGAAGGGAGAGGATGATTTCTCCTCTTCGTGGATCGCCACAGGCGACGTTGAGTGCTTTGCGCGTGAAAATGTGAACCATGCATATGACATCACAAATGTACCCCTCCGCTAGATTGGGCCACTTGGAGGATTGCCTCTTCAGAACGCTTGCAAGTATGGAAGCGTTGAATGTGCCAAGTTCGAACCCGCGAGACGCCTCGTAGATGTCTTCAATCCAAGGTAGAATACCTTGTGTCAACGCACCATGAATGGGTTGACTCTCACGGAGAACATCCTCAATATCGTGGCAAATACTGATTTTTCTGCTAGGCACTGAATGGCAAATTTCTTGCTCCTCCTCCTTCTCCTCCTCCTTTTCCTCATTATTCATTCCATTGGCCACAGTGCCAGTAGGGCTTGTCGGAGGATCTTGTCGATTTTCGAGGTCGTCATCATGACTATGCGACTTGAAGGTATACACATGACCCCGGGACTCAAAGTCTTCTGCCAGCTGTGCGTTACGATTCGCGACCAGTGTGGCCAGTCGGAGATCACGCTCGTTGTCAAAAGCATCTTGGGATCCATAATTAGTATGCAAAGCATTCTCGGTGATGCGCTGAAACTTTGCCACAATGGCGAGCAGATATTTGCTTTGTTGCTCTGGAGACTCTCGTTCGTCCCCAAGTCTGTCAAGGGACTTTTTACATTCCTTGAGACGCTTTGAAACTTCCGATCGAACCTATCCAGATTAGCAGCCGATAGCAGTAATTTCGGTGAAACTTACATTTGGAAAAACTCGCCGCACGTTGGAAGCCAACAAGCCTTGCAGTCGCTTAGCCAGCGCGACAATGCCATGGTTGTCATCCGAAAGTTGATTCCACGGAGCGGCTTTGCGGAAGGTCTCTTCTTCAGCATCACGGTCCTTCAATGGATCTTGAAGGTCCTTCTGGCCAAGGTTTCGGACTACTACCCACCCGAGTTCCTCCGATTCTTGTTTACCTTCCACTAGCTGAATGATAGCCTCTTCTGCACCTTTGTCGACTAGATCTGGTTTGGTGAGAATACGTAAGGTCCTCATACTGTCTGGATCTAGTTCGCGCGTCATCTCGATAATCTCCTGCGTTGCAATATCCACATTGGCTGGTACCACGGCAAGCATTATAGACCGGGGGTTGCGCATGTAGCCTAGCACCATGTCTCTTACTAGCTTAATGTCGGACTTCGACGTCAAACCGGGTGTCGTGGTTTTGAAAATCCCAGGAACATCAATAACACTAATGTGATTTCATCCGGTCCATGGATTTCTAACCGGAGAATATCCGCGGAGAACGTGGGTTGGCCGTCACCCATGGATGTTGATAGGCCCATCGCGATGTGGACCTTTGGAGGGCTTAGTTTCGTGCCAATGCACGGTCCAGGGAGGAACTCACCTCCGACATCATATTCTCAAATTCGCTCGCACTCAACGATTCAATGCCAGTGACACTCCAACACGCATTGTTTCCATCATGACTGGCCTTGATTATTGAGCCTGTCACTTGGCGCTTACTCAGGCTCGGGTCTCTCCGAAACAAAATTTGAGTCGCAAACCTAGTACACAGGCCACTGTTTCGAGGGAACTTCAATTTGGTCAGACCTTCCAAGATGGAACTTTTCCCGCTGGACTGGTCTCCGATCACAACCAGCTGTGGCAAATCGATGTATTCTCCCACATTACACGCGAACAATTGGTCGATCTTGTCAAGAAGGGCGGGATCAGCTAGGCTGATACTGGCTTCTCTTTGAGCTTCCTGTGTAATTGTCATTGTTGGCCGGTAATTTTAGCAGATGAGAGCAGACTCTCTTATATATACAAGGGCCGGGTTGTATCTGCAACGACGCTAAGCCAAAACAAGATATGGCTGTGAAGTAACCACCAAAAACCTTGCGTCAAATTTCGTTTTCGATCGTTCTATCGTAGAAGTCTTTTTAGATATACTGCTGGGAGGAAGTCTGGGTCTCCGCAGGGAAAAATGTTCGAATTCTACGTGAACTAGAGTTTGTTTGTTCGTTCGTTTGATTCATTCCTTCCGTCTGCTATTACGATGGCTATCGGAATTTCTGCGTAGGCTAGGCCTACCTACAACCTCAAGCTTAGAGCAAAAATTGCAACAAGAAGAGCTTCAAGAGGCATTCCTAAAAGCTCACAATGCGGAAGGTCGTCGATGCGGGAGGCCGTCGATGCGGGAGGCCGTCGATGCGGGAGGCCGTCGATGCGGGAGGCCGTCGATGCGGGAGGCCGTCGATGGCAGTTCATGCAAGAGGCTGGACGAGATCTTGCTTTTTCTTAAAGAGTTAAATTACATTTCGTGGCGAAAAGCCTGTTACAGTATGATAGATGTAAGGAAGCAGCCTGAAGCTTATCAGTGGATCTACGAATAAACGTCATAGCGCTGATTGAGTCAATCAATCCTGTTTAGGCTACTTATGACCTATCAAATATGATCAATTCCACCGAGAAGGACTGTGCACGATGCTGATCAATTTGAATATGCATTATCATACTTAATTGTATACGCCATGCTTCCAAGGCATCTACGGGTAGCTAGAGTCTAGTATGATGCAATGCAGGACAGGCAACAATTTACCATATTTATACCTTAGATGTAGCCACCCAAATACCCTGATGTTCACAATCGATTTCTACCTTCTTTTCTCACTACCCGCAAATAGACCTGGATTCGGACTCGATGGAGGACATTGTTCGCAAAAATCAACGGCTTTAGAGCGCCATTTGTGAAGATTATGTCTCATCTCATCCAGAAGTATTTTCCAGTCTATCGGAACCACCGGGTCTGGTCACCGAGTCCACAGCACTACAAGGGTCTTCCTCTCGTATCAATCAAGATACATGGTCAATGCAAAATGCTGATAACGAGGAAGCTGAGACGCCTTCGTACGTCAACATTACACCATTGGAATTGAATGGACTCTTTTATTGCCGAGTTACGGGGTGCAGCTGTAAGATTGGCTTTTCGGGCAGGGCTGAAGTCAAGTGAGTCTTGCACAAACTCTCAATTCGATAAATGTTCTGACTCTTGTAGCAAACACATGCGGGCTCATGGCTTGCCTGCCAAATGTCCAGTATGTCCGTATGCCGGGGCCGATAAGCGGGACTTGCAGCGGCATATGTTCTCTGCTCATAGAGTAACGGCGGAAAGACTTTTTGGTACCAGACCTTCGATTGTCTGTGGCTGTGGTACAAGCTTCACGCGGAAGGACAATGCTCAAAAGCATTGCAAATTAAAGGGATGTGCTCTCCAGCGTAGTCTGGATTCTTAGATTGCGAGAAAGCGAGCAAATGATGGCTATGCAAAAGATACTTGAGGCCTCCCCTAGCACATGTTACACACGTAGCCAATTGAGGACACGTAGCCAATTGAGGACACGTAGCCAATTGAGCAAATGCTATTTCCTGCGTGACATGGCTAGAGCAGTGTTTTCTGGGTCTTGAACTTTGTACAGAGCTCATTGACCAAACCACTGTTACCATGGGCAGGACAATATATGTAGCCCTACCATGACTTGAATTCAAACCTGAAAATGTGAGAGCCTTGTAGATATGGAGGCTCTCTTTGTTTAGCGAAGTATTTAGAGCAAGATTTTGTATTACAATATCAAATCACGTAGTAGCTATTATACGCGCTATACTTCTGAAGCTAGAAATTAAGTACCTTACAATTAAATACCAATACTGAACGATGATTTTCGCTTAGATCTTTAGTGACTGCCGGACCCTTCTACCGTCGCTGGTGAAGCGTACGAAAGAATATAACTGAGCAACGGCCAATGCAAAAACACAGATTGTGCGCATTTTACGATAAATTATCAAGACCCAATCTGGGGCGACTACAAACAATAAAATCAAGAGCATCATTGAGTTCATCAGGAAGACATGATTTATTTCATGATTTATGATAGGCAGTTCTGCAATGATCAAGAAGGCTGAAAACCTCGTTTATAAACCGTCCTCGCTCCGGTTTCTCGTGAGAAAAAGGCACGTATTCGCGTGACCTTCCTTCTGCTTTGCTCTAAGTCCAAATAGATACACCACCGTCTTCCGAGTCTGAGGTGTCTTGTTGATTCATATTATCACAACAACCTGTGCCAGAGTCAATCCTAGATATCGGGTAAGTCTTTGGTTCCCCCAAAGAGGGCAGGTTGTCCGCATCCTTCGTCAAAGAGGATTTAGAATCCGGATGCCACGGACTCTGCGCGCATACTCCAAGTACTTGGCAAATAATCTGCTCACGCAAGTCTTGAGTGATTCTGTTCATGATTCTCTTTGTTTCTTTGCCTAATTCCTCTTTCTCGGATCCTCTAAGACACGGGGGACTCCATCTGGTCCAAATCTTTTGGTGGCATGGTGGGACCACTATGCGAACCGGGTGGTATTTGAAATAAAGTTGACAGCAGAAGCAAGCTGGCTTACTACATGCTATGAAGCAATCATTACTTGCAAACTGCAGCTTCGAGTCATGAAAATGTTCCAACACTTGAATCTCGGCGTGAACAATAGGCTCAGGCTGCTTGTAGAGCCTTAAAAACCGTGGAAATACCCCTGAGACTTTGTTCAAATGAATAAGCCCGTCTTTGACAGCCAGCAGCTCTCTAGAGTCTGCTTTCAGCATTCTCCCCACAATCCCCTGGAGGTTGGTTTGTTCATCGCGTGGTGGCGGGTTTATACTCGGTGGAACCTGGATGACCCTGACTGTGTGGCTCTGCAGTATGTGAAACATCTTCGATGAGCTTTCAAAAAGCTCCATAGGTGCTCTAACATGGCGGGACAGCCTTCCAATATAGTGTCTGACTAAAAAAAAGGGCGACCTCGTGACTGCTGAGTCTTGTGCTTGCTCGTCTTTCAGAGCAAGATATTGGAGTTGGTCTGTCCATTCTGACTGCTTATCCCATACATTGTGTGCCAATTCACAAAGTTTGAATGGATCTTTCTGCTCTATCAACTGCGACAAGAATTCCAAAACTTTAACGCCGTGAACTTTTTAGTTTTGGGGCATTCATTTTAGTTGTGAGGAATACTACATACCTGTATCTTTTCCTTGGCCTTCAAGCTTCTGCACACATTCCTTGGCATGAACTCGCACGAGTCTCTGTTCCTCTGATATGCGTGGACTGGCAAACATCGTGCAAAATTTGATGAAATCTCTCGTATTGTGTGGGTAGTTCAAGCAGCTGACTTGACGCAAGAAAATAAGTCCTTTCTCGAGAAACGAGACGATTCTAAGAGTATCTTTATTGGAAGCGACCCAGAACTGATACTCGACTTCAGTTTCTGCCAATCCAATTGCGGTACAAGAACTTCCACCCTTCTTGAAATCGCAGATGAAACAAAGATTTTGCAAAAACTTCCGTCTCACTTTTACATCATCATGTAAAACTTCTGCATGTGTGATATGTCCACCTCTCGTCTGACCCAGCGCTTTCGCGAGATAAAGCACCTCGTAAAAGCGGGCTTTCAGCTTGAAATGACTACCAATGCGAGGGCGAGCGGTGCAAAGAGGATCAATTTCCAACGGACCATCATTTCTCACGTGCATTTTTTGTCGTGGTAGCCTGGTACTCAATCCGTACTGGCTGTAATTTAGATGCTGGGCTTTGGGGTAGCTTGAAGAGACAACTTACGTGCACTAAATAAGCCTGGAATCTTTGATAGACAGCCAGAATTCCAAGAGTGAGAAGATTCAATCCCTGCGGGAGGCCGGCATACAGGTGTTTCGCAAGTGGGGCTATACGAGAGAAATGTGTCCCAAATTTCAGTGGCAAGGCAGTCTCTCCCAGTCCTGTTCACCGCCGTTTGTACATGTTCACACATGCTTGCGTCCAGAGCCGATTAGATATGTCAGATTTTGGATGACTCTCACCGCCTAATTGCCTAGTCATCTTCTACCGCGAACCCAATCCTGATTTAGATCAATGACAGGAGTATAAGCATTTGTACCCTTTATCGGTGACCTCACTCAGGCAAGATGGAGAAGGAAAGAGAGTATGTTTCGGCCGTAACGGGTCACCTGTCGCAGCGGTCGTAGATCAGAAGCCTCAGATGGGGCCCGTCCGCGCTCCCTTCACAGGGAGGCAATGTGTCTGCATTGCAGTAGCTTCTATATACAGAGGGAAGGTGAGAAGGGCAAAGGTGAGTCTTGACTACGAGAGGGATGAAGGGCTAACTACGGAGGCAAGCAGCTGACTTCCATGAGGCAGCTGTGAGGTGGGACGCTCGCGTGGTGAACAACGATAATGACCGCTGGTCGCCTTTCCAACCTGTCTTTAAATCGCAAGTTGTCATATGTTCTTGGCTTTTAGTGTTCGCTTAATTGCAGCCGGATCTATGGAATGCCATAATTAAGTCTCTCATAGCTTTAGGAAACTCTTGCCCTAAAATTTGGAGCGCGGGCCTAGCTCTTGACTTGCGTACCAGAGATCTAAGTCCAATTAAAAAAGCTTGTGTTCAGACAATTTCACTCCCATATAAAAGGAAGGAGCATGATGTCAAAGGACTTGACCGTAATATAGTACATTCGGATTTTTGAAAACGATGAACGAATTGGGTAATTCCATTGCTTCATGTTAAAATAGCCAGTGCTTGATACTCGCAGTATGCTCGATCATTCACTACGCGCTAAATAGAGCCTTTGACGAAATCTTTCCCTCCGTATCTCCAATTAGGTCCAAATCAGTCTCTAATTTATTATTGTACTGTAATAGAACAGGTCCCTCGTGGAAAGTCACCTTCTCGTGGTGAGGGATGTCAGTAAGTTGGACTGCAAGGTCTGACCGAAGCTGAGAACTTTCCAAATCGAAAATCTGGCGGAAACTCCTTTATTGGTTGTGATAACGCAGCGGGAAGCTTTTTCAAAAGAACACGTCAACAACTTCGCAACGTCGACGAGCCTCCGAACAACCGACCCGCCTACACGTTCTCAACCTTCACTCACCGGGTTTTGCTTACAATAACTCACCTGCCCTACCGGTTCGATCGCATGTCGATTCGTCAGTCCTTCGTCTGCTATCTGGTGTTGCCGCCAGCGAGGCAGTCAGCTACTTCGGGCGTTAATATGAGAAGTACTCTCGGTAAATCGCTACTCAGGGAAGAGGTTCACGAATACTACATCGAAAACTACATCGAGAATGGACACGTGGGGTCCCGGTGTCACAGAGGGATGGGTTATTGCTTTTGGGGAAGATGATATGATGACAACAACAAGAAATCGTTAAGGATATACCGTATGGGCTAGAGGGGTTTTTTGCAGCTGGTTCAGCTTTTCCTCTCGAAAATGAGACTATGACAAAATGTATGCAATGGAAAGATCAAATAGCGTATAGGTGCCCTCTAGGCTTGATACCTCCGGGTGTAATGAATTGTGTGTGTGTGTGTGTGTGTGTGTGTGTAATAGAACAGCATGGGCCGCATCAGCTCCTCGAGCCTCTGCGTGCTTCTTTGTCGAGCAGCTGTCTACATACGCGACCTCTACTTCATCGATACAGACAGATAGGTTATGAAGTCCAGATGCGGTTTGAGAAAATCGAAAATCAAGCTTTCTCGGATGAGTGAGGCGGATCAAGAGATTTTTGGGATGCTCCAACTGGAAATCATCCTCAAGAAAACGTATCAGGTAGTTTGTCACACCAATACGCTTCAAAAAAAGCTCACAGGCATCCAAAGTGCGATTATTGTCCACATACAATGCCCCAATCACGCTCTCAATGATGTCTGAGTAGAATTTGGACAGCTCTAGACGTGCAAGCGCTGCCCACGGATAGCCTTGACCATTGTCCAGACAATCTTTGATAGCTGAATATCCTTCACGATAACGCCGATTGCATAAATGTTGATATTTCGTGATTTCTGGTGAGTCATGGCGCATGAAATTCCAGAGAGCACTTTCCAAATTTCCTTTCTCAGCTGTCATACCACTTCGACTGATATGCTGCAGATGTTCATATGGTTCTTTAATAGAGAATTCCATACAGAGAAAGGCTAGAAAGTCACCATTGACAATAGCTGCTCTAGCTTCGGTCATTCGACCTTCAGAAAGTCCAGGATAATGATCGTAAAGTGCTTTTGATACCAAAAGCTCCAAGACTGCATCTCCAAGGAACTCAAGACGCTGATACGAAGCTGTAGAGCAGTCTCGCTGTGATGGGTGAGTAAGTGCCTGCCAGATGAGGGAGCGTTTTTGGAAGCAGTACCCAAGAATTCTGTCAAGCTTTTGCTCTAGATGCAAGGGAGGCAAGCTCGCGGGCTCATCTGGTGATACGAAGTTCGGCATTACGCTAGAAATATCTGGCAAGAACTTCTCAAGCAACTTGCGAGACAAAGGCAGGCCAGCAGACTTGTACGCTGCCGCAATAAGAGCCTCCACAACATCTGCGTACATTTTACCAGGAGTACAACGGCTTGGGAATTTGTCCTGAGTGCAAAATGACATGATCCGTTTCACGGTAATGATTTCGGCACATATGAACTCTTGCAAGCTAGCATTCACGGCCGCGTGTATCAACGTAGCGTTTGATACCGCATGCTCTCTGAACTTGGATAGGTACCCCTCAGGCCATAGAGGATATTTATCAAAAACGTGAGCAGTCACATGAAATTTCAGAATGGAGTCGCCAAAAAACTCCAGCCTTTGGTAATTGACAGTCAATTGAAAAGACGGCGCTGCGAGTGCCTCAGATATTAATTGAGAATCCATTTGAGGGAAGTCTTGTAAGACCTGGCGGCGAAGAGCCTGCGTATTCAACTGAAGTTGTAGCCATTGGATGATTGTCGGAATCGTAAGACTGGCTTGGCTCGTTTTCCAAGGCAGAAAATCAATAGAGCATCGAGTTGCCATTAATAAGTTGTGCTTAGTGGATTTAGATAAAGCGTTTTCCTGAACCAAGGGCACAGAGAAAAGTCTTCTCATTTTTGGAAGTGCCCTGCATTCAATCAGCAATGCCCCTGATCTGATTTCTTGCGCCCATCTTAAAAAGATCTGTGGTCGGCAACGAGCATCACGGCTACGAATCAGGCCCTGGGGAGACAGAATGGGAACTCTGGCCCGCACGCCTTGCATATTTGTCGACCCTTCATGTATTGTGAGCCATTCTTCCAGTTCATCTAAGGGAATGTCAGGAGTAAAAAAGGGCAACAATTCTGGATACTGCAGCCATCCAGGTTTTGCCTGCGTCGAAAACAATAGAATCGCGGAAGTTTTCAGTAGCATCTGTCTCAACTCCGGTGTGGCCATAGTCTCGGTACCCGGTGGATGCATTGTGGCCGAAATATGTGAATGATTACCCCGGCTGAAATGCAGTTGCAGGAAATCTTCTATCTGAAAAGGAAGGTACACAGCCATATTAACATCGGGGTCCTGTACTGCATCCTCCGTGAAAGTTACACGACATCTGTAGAGTTTTCTCTCTAGCCAATTACCTGGTAGCCGTGCCCACATGGCCTCATATTCATCCACACGGGGTATTTCATGAGACGGACTTTTAATTTCCATTTTCTCAAAGGACGGTCCCTTTGAGAACAAAGGCAAGAAATGGTCATCGACGAGCTTATTCATGTGTAAGAGACGAATTGCTTGGAAAGCTGTATCTTGCTGAGCTTGTTGCTTTGTCTTCCACCAATGAAGACCTTTGACGATTCGAAGTGTGGGATGTATACAACTTGGCAAAAGTACAGTTGACTGGGCTTTTTCCATATGATTGGACTCAAAAGAGAATTGAGGGTAAGTATGCACGTAACTTGCGTTATTTGCAACTGCACAGAAGTGATATAAATGTGCAATGGCATTCTCGTTGGTCAGCAGAGCCCTGACAAGAGATTTATGTCAGCTGTATATACATAGTAGTCAAAGGTTGAGAGATTCACAAACCCCGTTGCCAAGCGATGCTCTAACGTCAACTTGTTCATCCTGTTTCCATTTCCAGTCGTCTTTTGGGTGCGAAGATGATCCATGCGTGCGTTTTGCATCTCTTTTTCGAGCTCATTCCATCGTTCTAGAGTGCAAGAGAATGATTCGTCGTTGCTTGGGATCATGATTATGTGTTCAGGGATATGGTGACGTGCTCGGCCGCGGCGTTGAATAAAAGATTCAATATTATCAGGCAAGTCAAAAGAAATGATCAGATGACATGCTGGAATGTCAATACCCTCTTCCAATACGCTAGTAGCCACAATAAGATTTATACGGCCATCGCGCAGCCGACGGACCACATCCTCGCCTTTTTGAACATTGGCAAGATCAGAATTGTACCGATGTTCAGATCGATTACTAGAGCCTACGCAAGCGGCACTCCAAAATATTCCTCGAGTTTTTGGGTGAGTATTGATTAATTCTGTCAAGATGAAAGCACTTATCTTTTCGCGCACGAAGATAACTCCCGAGAAATCGGGATGAATCTTCTCTGCAAGAAGTGAGATCAATGTCTGAACCTTCTCAGAAACACTTCCTTGTTGCTCAAGTTGGATGGCAGTACTACTCAATAAATTTTCGATGAGCTTACGACATGGTATTTCTTGCCCGTAATCAGCTCCGCTGTTGAGCCAAAGGGCCCTATGCGTGAGAAAGCGGTGCACAGCCCATGCTCCTAAAGTCTCCCAGATGGTACCAGCTTGTCTGAAAAATCTTCTCATGGTTTCGAAGACTTTTATGCTTTGGGTGGTACTTTGGTTACGCAACTCATTGGGTGCATCCTTTTTCATATCTAGGTCATGGGGGATGGGTGGCCTTGAGTAGCCGTTATGAGGATAGAAAATTTTCGTCGGGCGTTTTTCAAAATTCTTGCATATCATCGCTTGGTGATTGGTCATTGGAGACCGACAATTTGCATCCAAAGTTCTCTCGAGTTCCCTTAGATGGGTTAATCTTATGCCACTGACCATGAGTAAGCTGCTTACTGGACATTCCTCGCATCAACAAAGGCAGTCAAACCAAGTATTTTTGGAATTTTTTGGCCATTCGATTTTGCATCCTGATAGAAGCCCCGCATGAGTTGCCTCCCAGGGTGCGCTTTCCTGCAAGAGTGTGCTGTTGCCAAGTCAGAATGGTGAAAACAAATTTCGCGCTTCGTATAAGTCCGTGCCTGACCTTCGTCAAAAACAATCAAGTTCAATCGGGCTAACGGAATGAACCCGTGAGTCATCGCGTCAGCTAGAACAGCGTATGTCGAGAAAACCACCTTCACTCCCCGAAGAGCGAGATCCCAAATTTCTTGAGTCTCCCAAAAGTCCATTGCGTCATCTCCAGTCAGCATTTTCATACTCACTGCAGGCATGTATTGCGACATGCATTCCAATTGCTGGGCACATAGCACTTTTGTGGGTACCAAAAACCAAATCAACTGGGTCACTCAGCATTCTCCATCAAATATGTGAAACAAATTTTCTTACTTCTTCGGCCTTGCAAGATTTGAGTACCTCGGAGATTACCATGCTTGCCCTGCTCATCAATTGTATTAGACATATACGACAGTGAAATTGTATGCGATACAAACAAGTAAGTTTTCCCACTGCCCGTCGGCATCTAAGATATCCTGATGTCAACCTTCGCATCTAATCAGTTTTCATTACACTCTTACTACTGCAATGACATTTCCTTCCATACTCAAGGAAAACATTTCCATTTGGTAGTCACGCGGTTTCATTATCTCCATACTAGGAGACGCAATCTGAGACAACTGAGAAAGCTGAGAAGGGGCTCGGGCTTTCAAAAGAAAATAGAGTATGGTGTGAAATCAGCGAGAACGGCTACATTTGAGGAAACTTTCTATTCAAGAGACACGGTTTTTGAGGCGAGCAATGACCGTTCGTGAACGCATCCGCGCATAGAAACAACTCTCAGATGATGTATCATGCACTATGACATCCTCAATGACTTCTGGGTAAGTAGGCTCTTGAGATTTTTTCTGCCCCCTCAACTTACCACCTGCAAGCCGATAGATGCAGCCACGTCGGTCGGAGAAGCACCGGGAATGCAAAGTGTCCCCTTAGAAGCGAGCTGTCAATCTTTACGGGATTAGTCTCAAATAACATTATAGGGAGGGGTCAGTGCAATTATGGCGCCAGTAAATGCTTCTCGACATTTGAATGGTAGACAGATGGCGTCAAACGCTGAAGTCTACCAGTCTATCCTGAGCGACTAGACCCCTCATATGACTAGGAAAAGCTGTTTTCTGGGAAAAGGCTTTAAATGATCAAATGAACAAGCAGCATATTGGACAATCTGTACATGGTTGATGATCTGAAGTGACGGCATCCTGATGGTGATTGGGGTGAGTCATCTCTAGTACTGCTGGCATTGTACTTGACAGAATCAGAAAGACGGTCTAGACAGGCTACGTGTCATTTCCATCCTCACCGCTTGTCGCCTATGCATGTTGAATCAAATTTTCCACCATACCCTGGAATGATGTCAAGATCACATCGCAAGGCGAGTTCCAGGACAAATAAAAAAAAGTTCATATTTGCACCTCTCTTACTCACGACATTTGAAAGGCTTGAGACATTGCGTTCGAAAGATACTATGATCCCTTGTCCACATTTGCCGAGATGAAATAGACCTCTCGATCAAGACTTGGAGCGACCTCGATCATTGGACAAATATTCATCTCGATTGCAAAAAGAACATATCATGCCTGCAGCCGAGAATTGTGTCAAAGGAACAAGCGCAGTAGATAGTGAGTACAAGCCTCCGATGCAAATATCACTTTCAAGCTGGCTCTGACTTTGTACTCAAGCGCAAACCTTGGGAATGATGATGTTCTTGGCCAAAGTGACCTTGATGCTAGCAAAATCATCCGGCAAACCTTCTGATCTGCTAGTAAACATTCCTCTCAGTCATTGGGATAAAAAATCGAGTTGCTAAGTACGATATAGTCGGAATCCAGTGACTTTATCCAGTTATATGACTTCTCAACGGCCATATCAGGACTACAAAATATAGGTCTTTCTTCGAGTAATGATCCGCACGCGAACCCTCAAGAGTCCGTTTATCGACTTATTGGCTGGGTATATCTCACGCAAACAGAACAGCATGCCCAGAATTTAATGTGGTTGCTCTTGACCCAAACCAAAAATGGAGGCGTAGGCTCTAATGGAATGATAAGTCTCAAATCTTGTCAGAACGATCAAGGAAGCCTAGTGGGAAACGTGCTCGAGAACGTAACGGTCACCGCAAATAAACAACTTCCGAGATATACAGAGACGTTGTATCGGAAAGCACAAGAAATCGGGGTAGTTCCAAGACGCACAATTTCAGTGGTGACCCAATGCCCCGCCCGGGTGGAAGCACGCATTCAATTCAGGATGCCGACAGTGGACGGAAAAGTCAAAAATGTGACTGGAATGGCAGCCGCTCATAACAAGAAGGCTGCCCAGCATCTAGCAGCAAAGGAGATTTGTGAGGAGTTGCACTGGAGATTGGAAGGCATTATCACTACATGAGTACTTTCATATATGTATTGAAGCACGGAAGAGATGGTTTTTTCAGGAATGAGAGATAATTCATCTGTAACTTGAGTGTGTCTTTCTTGTTTTTCTTGTCAATTATTGTGTGTTCTCAATGGGTGATTTGTGAAACGAACAGAGGCATAATGCCAAATTTCGGAACATTATCAGCACAGCTTATATACTGCACGAGTTTCGCTGTAAGTTTAGTTTGAGACACTTCCGCTCCAAGCAAAGATGGGAAGTCGCATAACCATATTGGAGAGGCTTTCCAATAAGGTAATAGGAAAATATGAATACTATTGTGGTGGTATTATGCACAAAGATGAGTTGAAGAGGTCCAGCAAGGAACCGGATAAGAATCGACAAACATGGATTCAGAATGAGTGTCCATTTCCATGCCGATCTATGGGCCGCCCATCGCCGGGGTTGAATATCACTGGTTGTCGCACTGGGTCGGTAGGAGTACGGTCATTGTGTGTACTTACATTTATTAACGATCATCAATAACTTCATACGTAAGCTCTTCGGTGGTGCTTCAGTGGAACAGCAGATCGCTAGCAAATAGAAATGAATCTAGTATTTTAGCGTATAACATGACCCAGACATACATACACCATAAAGTTGATTCTTTGCCTTTAGAAATGCACCTTCTTAATTCTATCGAATTAGAAATTATTGGGTCAACCCGTATTTACCACGTGCTAAATCAGAACGAAACTTCGAGCGCAATCCTTTTCTGATCTAAACAACAGTAAGTTTCGCTTGTGACGCCATAAGCCAAAGGCAGCTTCATTTGTCTTTTTCTCTTTCCGAATTAACTAGATTGCAGCATGACATGGTATTTCATTAATACATATGGCATTGAAAAGAGTCGATTGGCCCCCACTCGTCGTCCAGGATTATGTACCCATGCGATTGAGGATAGAGCATTTCTCCACTACCCTTCGTTAAAATTTCATCCTCCTCCAGAGAAGCCCAATAGAAATAGAAGTGGGTTACATTCTAGAGGTAGTATTGAATAGCCTGTTGCCAGTATCGGTTCCTCCGCTGCCGATGAAACTATTTTCAGAGAGACGTAGAGTAATGAATGACAGGCCATGAAAGCGGCGGAACTCCTGGGCGATGGGGCTCGATGTCACAGATTGCGATTGCACTACGCCAGCAACCACCAATATGCGGACAGTGGCCTTGTGCCTCCGAATGTGCTGGACAAATTTGAGGACTGATTTACCGCTATTGACCACCGAGTCAACAAGGATAATGGTTCTCACACTGGCAAGGCACTCCGGGGAAATATCTTGGGGGGCTCGTGCATGTAGAAAGGTTGCGGTAGGAAAAGCTCTACTAACCCCCAGAGCCATTGGTGCTCCTCCACGCATGAGAGCCACTATCAATGTGTTCCTTTCATGGAGAAGGCGGTGGCCATCAGTTGGGTGACCCTGAACGTGGCGAATTGGAAATATTTCCACGCCTATGATATCGGTGCAACACTCAGTTGCGAGATACCATCCAACCCGGCTATGAGCTTCTTGCAATGCAACTCCGGAGACTGCTGCGTCCCGCATGGGAGTCATGAGAAGCTTCGCTGAGGGACGACTGGTAGCATCGATGACATGGAGCTTGTTAGGGCGAAGGAATATCTCATCCATGATAAATTTGTCAGAAAGCTGGATCAGAGGCAGTCGTGACGAGTCGAGTCGCGGGGTGGCATGGGCTGGCAGGATCACCTGGCGGGGTTTGAAACCATTCTCCTCGATCAATGCAGCCAGCGCATCGTCCATGCTGTGACTTCTGTGGGGCTCTTCTCCTGTGATGACGACTGCTTGATGGGCAGCTTTCAGCATCCCTAAGTCTAATGGACTATCGCCGAAGGCCCAGACATAAGCGCCATGGTTTTTCCGAATATGTTTGACCAATTCTTCTTTGAGGGTCGGCGTCACCACAATACCATCCAACAGACGACCACCACCAATCACTGGAATTCTTCTTTCGAAGCCCTCCCTTTCAAGGACTTTCTCCCAAATGGCACGTATCCCGCACGTAAGCACGATTGCACGAATATGTGGGTGCCCTTCTATCAGGCGCAGTATGTTGAGCACTTCATGGTGCATTTCGATCACATCGGCAACCTTTTCACAATGCTGGGCGTACTGTCCATCGCTAACAGCCTCCTCACAGAGCAGTGTTGCTTGCCTAAAAGATCGATAAGAGTATTTCAACGGGCCTGCAAACAGATCTTTCAGTGGGCAAGATGTTAATTTGCCAGCCAGGCACTGAGGCAACTCTCTCCAGAACAAATTGCCGCCATCTTGTGGCGCCAGAGTTTTATCGGCATCTAAAAGCAGCACTGTCTCCGGTCGTTGAGAGCCAACAGCAAACACGTTGTCAATCTGCTGCTTGGCAAGTCGCATGTTCAGATCCTCCGAATGCCGATGGAAATCTTCGAGGAGAGATATCATTTTCCTCGAGTCATCACGGCCTAGGGAAAATGATGTGAAGAGGATGCCATGAATCCGGCAAACGTGGCGCAGCTTTCCCATCTCGGCCCTTTGCCACTTACTCAAATGCGCGACCGACACATCTGGGCGGCTTTTTTCACGGTCCTCCCGTCGAAAGTCCGCAATAGCTTCGGCCGAGACATTCAGGTACACAATGTGTGTGTAGAAATGGAGGTCGGCTGAGGTGCAGACCCATTGACCGGATTCCTCCCCTTCAGTCCATAGCATGGCATGTCCAGCTACGATGGCTGCTTTTCCAGATTGGCAGGCTTTTTCACTGATTTTTTTGATCGCACACTCCCGATATCTGAGTTTGCATTCCTCGCTTGAACTATGGAATGCTTCAAGACCCCCTGGCGTGACGGCGGCAATGACTTGGCTTCCATCGTAGAAGTCAAAGCATGTCTTATCGAGACCTCTTTTCAAAACTTCTAGCAAAAAAGATTTTCCAGACCCGGGTATGCCATATAGCCCGATAATGACAGTCTCGACTGCCAAAGAAATCTCATGCTCTTCATTTGCGACTCCAGAAGCGTGTATGCCCGTGGATTGCATACTTGCGGTGATGTTGATTTGGAATAAGACTGTTTCAATTTCAAACGTAAAAGTAATTTATTGAGGGGATGCCAGGGGCTGTAGCACACTTATATATCACCTCAACTGCAGTCGCCATAATATTTGCCAAAAAGGCAGCATGGGTATGTAAAGCGGTGAGCACATCAACATGGCAGTAGTCACAGTCGAAAGCGAGTTCAAGTCTAGGTTGAGCCGGCACCTTGATTGGCCGACATTGGGACAGATGGAACCTTTCATTGGGAGCGTAACTCCGCCTACGTGCATATTGATCACGTCGCATGTTAATCAAGGAAGGAGCGGCCAGATTTGTCGGAGGCGTCGACAGGCTTGTCGAAACTTGATTGGATCAATATTATGGCGACGAGCTACTTCATCCACTTTGTGGTCTTTGCTGGGGTTGACAACTTCGCGAACTGCCATGTGGTTGGGGATTCTGCAAACAAGGGCCGCGATTCGAAAGAAGCACCATCTGGAGGTGAACTTAGCAAACATGTAAGTATAGGTCGGTGCCAGATGTATTCCAGTAAGAAGGTAGAACGGGCGAAGCCGGGTCCCGTCGTAATGAGCTCGCTTGACCGTAAAGAGAACATCGGACGTTTCGCTCAACTTGGGCAACCCAGGCCTTGCTTGACGGCGCTCTAGAAGCTCTTCTCGGACGCGCTTTCGATGCCATGATGATGACGATACCTTAGGAAGGCCAAGCCTCTTGAGCCAAAAGACCGTCAGCGCCTGGCTTCCAGACCGCATAGCTGTCGGTGCAGGTTATGAAGATCGTAGGCGGGGCTGGGGGAAATTATGCCCGGCGGGACAACCTTTTTCCGAGCCCCTGATACATTTATCGTGCTGCGGTCATCATTCGAAGGCCCATGGTCTCCTGCGTCACGGCCTCCTGCGTCACGGCCTCCCGCATCACGACCTCCCGCATCACGACCTCCCGCATCACGACCTCCCGCATCACGGCCTCCCGCATCGTGATACTGGCCTGGTAGCCCCACAACTTGCAATGAATCCCAAGTTTAGAGCCGTGCGGTCACTTTGACATTCGCCCCGACCTTGCGAGTGTTGATCCACTAGGCTATGTCTATAATAAAGAGTTGCATGTTAAACATCAGTTCTGCCAGAGCTTTAAATAAAGACTTTACATGTATGTATGATCCACTCAGAAGGCTGCTGTGTTGTCTTCTTAACGTTTTACCCATTTGGAAAAAACACGAACTCGTCTACATGTAAGAACAAAAGGCTTAGAAGTAAGTTCTTTCAATTTTGAGGTAAATCAGACTTTTACTCAATCTAGAGCACGACTAGTCGATTTGAACCTTGTATTTACGCGATCTTTCCATGCATAGCTCTTGGTTCCAGCGAAGCCGTATCAGGGAAGAAATTCACATCCCAGGCTCTTGCTGTGGAGATTCTCTGGCTTCTACATACATTATATAGTTGCTGCGTCTTGGTACAGCATGACAATCAGGTCAACACTGACCAATCCAAAAAGATTTTGTCAAATTTCAAATCCAAGGATATCGTCCCGTTCTTCCATTGGAGTACAGCGTTCGTGGATCAATACTTAACTTTTTCAGGCTGAGCTATGTACAGTTTGTGGTGAGAGCCAACGCGACTTGCTGTGCTAGTACATGTAACGGCCTCAAGAGCAACACAGTGACTGCGTTTGTACAAAGGAAATTAAAGCATTATTGGTAAAACATGCACTCATTCTACCCGCGTGTCCTCAGTTTCAGCGGCTAGCAAGTCGCGTGAGAGTTTGGCCGTGGGATTTGGCCGTGGCCACAATTCGCCAAGCGTTTTGGTTGAACGAGGATATTCTTAGTAAGACAATTGCCATTGTAATATGTCCATCCATGGGCTCTTGGCGGGGCCCACGGGTACCCGAGAAAACATTGGCATCTCAGCTTGAATTTCCCCGTTCATTGATCACCTTCATAAAGTAAGTCAAGGTGTCTTGACAGAGGACTAGATGATCGGCGCAAGAATCACGTTCATATTTATACTCGATGTTTTGCATTAGACGTGTCCTAATCTCTTACTGAGAATACGAATCTGTTCCTGTTTGTTCCTATTGGAGGGTATCCAAGAATGGATATATATCTACAACCGAGAGCTACTGGTGGATATCTACAATACATTCACAATTGGATAAGATATTTCTCTGTTTAGAAGAAGATTGAACCAATGCGTATTAGGCTCCATTCAACGGCGGAGCATTCTCAGTGCCAGAGTCCAAACTCCTCATCATCCACATTAGTTGATAAGTTACACTTGCTTGTTTAGCCAAAGGGCAGCACGTCCCTTCAACCAATGACTAAGCACAACACCATATCACGTGATCGAATGGGTACCGATTCCGGATGATACGTAGTTGTCAAATTCAAGGCGCCGAGAAAGCTTCAAAAGTGCTCTTCAGTCAAGGTGTTTCCGATTAAGTGCAGTAGAAAAAACGCCGCCTTTATGCGTGTATGTCGGTGATCCAGGGAAGTCACCTTGGAGGAATCATTGGCTAATTGCTGCAAGCTTGGTCGCGTGCGTGATGGTCGCGATCCCACCACATCTCATGTCGCTTCATGCAGGCAGGTACGGACTTCGCCCAGGCAATGCATCAATGGGCCTAGGGAAAGAATATTTCTATTCAAAAATACGTTAACATCATCATTGGTTGGTACCTTTTCGTCCCCGGTTCAGTCACTGTCTGACTAGAATTTGCAGAGCAACCACACCTTCAATGTTCCTCGACGACCCCCTTCCCTTCCACCTTTTCAAATTGCACCCAAACTAGCCACGAAACGAGAGCTCCACACGGGACACTTATTGCAGGCCTTTCTTGGAAATTGTGCACGGGCACGAATCGACCGAAGCTGGTAAACAATGAGCTCTTTCGTCGGGTATCCTTGCCAGAATTGCAACCGACTTCCGTATCGGTTGAGATGGAGCATCGGATAGCTTGATGAAACCGTATACACCAACCGTAGCCTACTGGATATCGCAGTAGTCCCGGCGATTGGGTCTGGGACGCAGCCGCTTGAGCCATTCCTGGCGGATCCGCTCTTTGACAGCGGATTTGTCTCCGTGCGCCTCTTGATGCTCTTTGTAAAGACTTGAAGCCCTCCATGGGCTATTATGCGTATCTTCCGCCCTCTTGCGTTTGTCGCATCGGAGACGGAGAGTCAAGCGAGTAAGTCGTTCCGAGGGGCTGGCATGGATGTTCTCCACGCTGGGCCTTTCGAAAACCCGCGTAGCAGGACAGGTATTTCTCTTCTTCGGCCTTGCTTGTACAGAAAAAGAAGGACTGAGGAGACTGACTGTCTCAGAATTGGCATCCCCCCGACGCTGCCGCCTGTGAGAGATCTTTGCCATGACGGGTGAAAGGAAATTTAGAATCTTTGTTCACTAGAGGGATTGCATCCAATCGGCGCTATTTATCTTCTCGAATTGTTTTGATAAAGTACCTTTGCGTCACACATCTTGACGCGTCGCAATCGTCGCGGGATATGGAACCACGGTGTTATGTTGAGGGTATGTTCGTTGAGGTTGCGTTTCTTTGACATGGCTGTTTACGCCCGCGTGTTTGTTCGCATCTTCGCAAGCCCCAAGATCTGGACTGAAGGCACTTTCAGTATGGGGCATTCTTTCTTGATCACCTTGGTCGGTTGCGACTGAAAGATTTCGATAGACGTGCAGCCTTAGCCAGCCCGACTGCAGGGGGCAATCCCACGGTATCCCCAGGTACAATGGGTGGAATCTGTTGAAATATCCTCTTAGGCTAGCCCCTGGCGACAGAAAGCGACCAATCCGAGACGACGGTGACACGAAAAATTTTTTTCCTAGAAATTCATAGTACATATAAACACGTAAGTGCGCATCTGTCGCGAAAGCTGCTGGTCTATAGCTGCCACTCGAGTTCCAGTGACTTGCAGAAATTCACTTTGCACCCGACAAAACATCAGTGTGCAGTTTGATCGAGACGCATTAAACGTGTGAGATTGACACCGCGAGTCCTGATGTTGAACTGTCAACCTTTTGAACGGTATCTCCACTGCGACTTGACCCTGGGGCAGACCGGCCCTAGCCATTCAAAATTGAACAGATGAGACCAGGCGGGCCTACCCGTCCATAGTAAATAACAAATGCCATGAGAGGTTGTGCTTAAGGTTGTTAAGCACGCGGTGACATCTTTGATATCTGGTCGACCCCGTCAAAAGCTCAACGATCTCAAATGACTCTGACCAGCAACGGAAAACGCGCCCAGCGAAGGCAGGAGTGTCGCAAAGCCCTTGCAGAGCACATCTGTAAGAGAAAAGGGCTTTTCTTTCGTTCGAATTGCCGCTAACGATATCTTGCAGATGAACGGTTGAGGCTGTCGGTTGCTCCAAGTAGGGTTCGATTGCGGCCGGCGGCGGAGGACGGCTATGCCTGGTCTGTAGCGAAAACTAGCGCTCATCTTTTGGAGACAAGCCTCAGCAATGGGTCCGTTGGCCTTTACAAGAATATCCTGGAGGAACTTGGCCGTACCATAGAGGCTGTGGATCCCAAGACTCTGGCCTTGACTGAGCCAGTTACACAGTGGGATGCGGGCGAATCGGTATTTTCTTCCCCTTGAAATATCCTAGATCCATTCAACTAGGTCAATAAGTAGCTGATCAATTGGCACCTCCTAGACCCGCGCTGAGTCCTTTACTGCGATTATTCAAAAACTCGAGCAAGAGAATGACCGGTTGGAAAGTGAGCTCGATCGACAGCGTACCCACATTGAAGAACTTTTGAGAAGCGAGCAGGAATGGGTGGCGAAGAGAGGCACATTGGAGCAGGACCTAAGACATGGTCATGGCGTGGCGATGGACTTGCAAGAAGAACTGAAGTGGACAAAGACCAGCGTGCAAGAGGCAATCAGGTGTCTTCAACGTTGTCCAGGAGTCGAACTCATGTCGGAGTAGGAAGACTGGAGAAACCGAAAGCTCAGTGACTTAGACTAGAGGCCTCTAGCGATTTAATCAAATATGCAGACATGTCAACCCAAACGGAGCAGTGCCTGTTACTGTATGCTTATGTGGAAACCTGCTAAAGACGCGCCATACTAGCTATTCATACGCAGAGCTTTAAGCTTTCGACTCCAGGCTACTGTACTGTAGATAATATTTGGGCAGCACAATTTGGATGAAATGGATAGGATTGATATTTCGAGAACTTTGTAAGGTCATTTCCCTCAGACCTTGGAACACGACTACAATATGCTCTGTCGACTATCGCTTGCGGCTAAAGAAGCCTACCGCGTAACTTTTCTATCCATAGGCGCTGCCACTAGCAACTTTGCTCCACGAATCAAGCAGAAGGTCTTTGCCTAGTTGCAACTACTTGGATGACTAACTGAACGGACCAAGAATGAGACGGACTTGAATGGTACCTTTGGTCTACGCATGCAATGATTGTGATTTTCAGGACATTCGAGTCGAGAACTAACTTCAGGAGTGAGCTTTAATGCCTCGTAACGACCCAATGGGTAGATTTTGTACAAGTGTCGTGGGCTATAAGCAGGCGATTTAGATTCCTCAGGAATGCTGATGAAGACTACGTGGAGACAGTATGCGGATCTCACTCTCTATAATCATGAATGCGTCTGGGGAATTGAACAAACACAACATAATCTCAAGATCCACGAGCAAGTGTAATTTGGCCATGAGGTTTGCTTGAGCCTCAAAAATTGGGGTCTCATATGGCGCCTCGGCTTGTGGTGTCAGGCGAGCAATGTGGCGTCTTTGGCCATCTTCCCAATCGAAGACCGCGGAGTGACAAGTGAGACGGTTCTAGTAGAGTCGGAATTTTGTTTGACAAGTGTTACGGGGGTTTATACTGATTTGTACGACCACTTTGAAATATTTCAACAACTATAGATCATATTGAAATATAAACAGCCCATTGGATGGAAAAGGTGTTTTGATGTGAGGCCTGCGGAGGCGTGAAAAGATGTTCATTTTTCTCTTTTACTAAGGGGAGTCGTAGTGTAGATAAGTATCGTTTATGAAGAGACCGACGCTTACTGTATATCCCTGATTTCTAGTCTAAAATCTGCCAAAGAATTGGCTGCCTTCATATCGATTTGCCCGGCCCTTGAAAACTGTCGCACCAGTCTCACGAGGCTTTATCTGACAATGGCGAGATATGGAAACATTGTCGCTCCTTTTCGCATGTGCCATTGGCTTCCCTCTTACGCATGCTTCAGTAGAAGTGTCCGGCACATCTCTTCGGACTTGTTGAGCCAGAATATTCAACAGTCTATCGGAGCATTTCAGGATCTCGCTGTCCGGCGTGACATCCCGCTGTTTGACTAAGCATGTCACTACATCCCTCAGTACACGGTTGGTCTCATAAAGAAGCTCCATCACTCTGGCTGTCTCTTGTATGTCAACCTTGGCTTGGTTGAACGAAGCTTGTAACGTAGCAAACTCTTCTTCATATCTTGAGAGAATACGTTCGGCTCGGATGGCTCGCGTGTTTAGGGACGTGATTGTTCGAAGGGCATCCCGATGTAAATTCTGATGATCCATTGGCTAAAATTTCCAGTTATTTTACGCGATAAGAACAGACAATTGAATCCATTGGGATGATCCTGGATGATCAGGTGTTGAGATGTCAAGGAGGGTTTTCTATTGCGCCGATATAGAAGATGTCTGGCAAAGAATGATCTCACATATAGTGAATGTTTCTGGAGACGACTGACTCCCTTTATATCCGTGGCCAGTAGTTTATGACCAAATGGCTCATGGAGCAATTCAATCGATATGTGTAGGGGATGTACATGTATACATGTACCAAGACTCTTGAGGCTAGAAAGGAAGAAATCGGGACTTGAAATGCAACCCCAGTGCTTTTTTTGGACGCAAAGGGAGGAAATGACTTCCTTGGATAGACACGACGGTTTATCGTCGCAAAGAGCTTTTGGTACGGGGTCAACAAAGTGAATGGTCGAATGTGAATTGAGCGTTGATGTTCTTAGATTTCAAGTTTGCAAAAGCGCCTTTGACTCGCATGTGCATATTTACACATTTATCTTATCCGATGTCACCAATGGCAATCGAATATTATGATTGCGAGAAGATGGCGAGGCTCACGCCTTTACGTAAGAATATGCGCTGAATGGGAATTTACACAGGTCTGTTTGTGTTTCACGGATGTTTTCGACTTTGCAGTTATTGTATGCTCTGTCAGGGCCCTGAGAATTCTGGAAGTCATGGCTCAGAAATCACAATGAACTTCAAACACCGTGACAAATCGTGAAACGCACAGCATGTTTTAACAGCATAACCATTCCCACCCTTTAGCGGGTGTCTTACACGAGTGTAGACTTTTTGATTGCAACTATGATCCTGGAACCGAGTTCTCTCCTCATGACTAACGACACAGCACTAATGAATCACAGCGATTGAACAAACTCACAGATCGAGAATTTTCGAGTGATGTGATTTGAAGCGGTGTTCAATAGGCAAAACCGCACAAATGAATTTGCGTATCAAGGTGATATTCCGCGTGAGCGTGTAAACAGGCAAATTTCTACTCAAGAGAATCACAAGAGCATAAAATAAGCTAAAATGAACAACATTTGATATGAAATGAAATAAACTGCATTGTAGAAGAGCCATTGCTCATAAACGCTAGAGGCATGGTGCTAAGGGCGCAGGTCATTTTGAACGATGAAAAGTACTTTATACTTCTTCTTTTTATTTTGCTGTTTGTTTAAAATTGAATAACGAGAAGAGCCTCAAGAATGCTTTTTAACTTATTTTATTGGGAGTAGGGCAAGTGGAGTTTTTTAAAGCTCACTTGCCTAAAGTACCACTTCACCTTTGAATGTAACTGACTTTAACGGCGAAGCTTTTCACCTCATTTCTTTTCAGCGTGCAATCTAAAGTAGCACAGGAACACATGACATCTAAAAAATAATCCTGCAATCGTCTAATTATCAAATGCCATATGTATTTGAATTCAACGAATAGGTTCCACTGCAGAGCCTTGTTTTCAATATTTTGCCAGAAGAGCGAATTGATTATACCCCAAGCCATTGTGCATGCTAAATATCCAAGCGAAGACATATGACAGGGTGACGTTGAATATGGAAAGTTGGCATAGGCTGGAGTCAGTTTGCGCGACCAGATGAGAATTGCGCCTAGGAGGATGGGTGATAGACGTACATTTGGTACATAGAAGGAACGCAATATACAGAATTTTCCTTAGAGAACAATATGCTGCCAACAAGCCTGGAAGGCTCCGCTGGAATTCCACTTTTCCTTTTCTTGACCGCGAGCGTCTTTTATTGTAACAATTCGAACACAAAGTAATGACGAGAGCCCAACGACGGACCGACGACGGAACTTGAATAGCCTGAGAAAACCAACCACGCCGAAGCTCTCTAATGTCTCATTGGTACAGACGACAAGGTCCCTCAGCATCAGAACTACTAGGCTTATTACCTTATGCTTTCAATTGGAGCTTGCTCAAAGATACACCATAACGGATTTACGTGTGTGATCAGGAACAAAGATGTCTAATACGGCGGTTTTCCGGCACCCAAGCCAACTATTCAATTGCAATTGCCTTTGGGTCGTTGATTACCGTTCACTATCGTGCATCGTAGATTTCTCACGTGGATAATGATTGCAAATTAGACCATGAGGTCCTTTTGCACGCGCCAATGATCCAACCTTCTTCTTAGGCTTCATCAAGAGTGGCAGAAGAAGTACAGTAGTTCTGCAGTCTAATCTTTGGGGCGATGAAACAGCGTATAATTCTATTGCTGGTTTGGAAGCATGGAAGCGGGTAATGGACCACTGTATGTGTCGTACCAGAATCTCGAAACGGGTGGGCCCGTGCCAATGCTGGGATCGACAGAGATTTGGAATACCTGTCCGACACGGGCGAAACCCACTCCGGGGTACGGGTACCGGGGAATTGGGAGTGAGCTAAGACCAAAAACTTGGGGGCGTTGTCGTCTCTTAACTCCAATTTCGATTCCACGCTTCACAACGCTGTTGTATTCTTGGCATCGCTCAAAGTGTTTTATCTTCTGCTTTGACATTCTGGGAACATGAAATCGAATTTGATCGTTCCGCGGCTAAGTTGGGGACAAGACCGAACGGGAATCTCGTCGGTGAGAGTTTTAGGAGTCCGCCAACATCAAGTGAAAAGGCTGGTTTGCCACCGCGAAGCTTTGTTTTAGGGCCCACTAACACTCGCGTTTACAGCATGGGCTTCCCATAGGATATCACACCGGCCTCAGTGATTTGACCAGGTGGTACGTGGTCAAACTTACCAGAATTCGAATTTTTTGTTTGCGCTCTGGGCCCCCTGGGCCCCCTGCTCACGACACTCAAGCTGCTACGCCAAGCATCCTGTCTGATTTCCATGAATAGCAGCTCAGGAACTGATCAGCTTTAATCGAATTTTTGACGTGGAGAGCGTAAGGGCCGTATTGTAACTGGAACGAGGCCCTTGGATATTTTTGGACGCTACGTCTAAGCTAAATGTATCGCACCAACAGCTTTCACGACAGGTACAGTAAATTACAAACCCGAAGGCACGTCTATGTTCATTGACTGAGCAGATCGTCTGGTTTGCCCTGATGTCCGTTCCATGGATGCCCCTTCTGTCTGCCCATTGAGAATGCCCAGCCGTTGCTGAAGCGATTTTACTTTTTGTTCCAGCTCTTGAAGTCTCTCATGGTCGTCTGCTATGGCTTCCAGATCTCTTTGCATATCAGAGTTTCGCAATTCCTGAACCCGAAAGTGGTTTCCCATTCTCCTATAAGCTTAAAATTAGACAATCTGAGATCAGAACAGAGTTGTCGTCGACAGGAAATTGGTACATGTACCTACTCCACTCTTTCATTAAAACTAAGGAGAAATGAGTCAATCGTGGATCGAAAGGTCTGAGAGCAAGGGCAAAGACTCACTCCTTTAGAAGGTTACCAACCAGATCCTTGGGAATACCTGGCACACTTTCAGCCTTCAAATCTTCAAGAGATTCAGTTGGCCCATGAGTGGCCGAAGGGCCATCGTTGATGAAAGTGTGACTTTGTCTAATCGTTGTGTGCTCGGACAATTCCTCGCAGACCGGCCCTTCATTGTCATCGCAGTATTCATCTTCTCCCAAACCAACTTCAGAGACAGGAACACTGCAGATTGAAGCAGTCTGTTGTGCGCCTCGCTTGAAAATTTGACGCCACTCAGTTGAGAAGTTGACTGGTATTATGAGCGACTCATCCTCTCGCCCATAGTCCATAGCTGGCTGTGATGGGGAATGGGAGGAAAGACACAGCTAGAGGACAGGGGACAAATATGTATGCCACGTGAGCGACTGATGCCATGTGGACAACCATTATGGGAGAGAGTGAGGAACGCGCATTTAAATTGACAATTGCAGAGCGGTACCTGGCTTTCCCTCAAACTTTCGGTGATTGCCCTACCCAGTAACGAAGCCGGAACAGATGGAGGACAGGGTGATACGTGTTTCCTTATGCTGTGTGTATCTAAAATTCCACGCAGAAACTGTACAATATCGCGTTTCACGAGTACAGGGGCGTTTCCGCCCCAGTTTCTTGGTGTGCTCTAATCACGAGAGCGGCTTTGTGGGAGATGGCCAGACTAAATTCTGTCTACCTTTCACTTGATCGTTGCTTTTGAAACAGATTGCATTGAATACTAAAGACTTGTATTGATGAGGGCTTAGTTTTGCCCAAGGAAAGCCCGAGAAATTTAAAAATGGCAATCTAGGTCTTGAGGGATTGTTCAACTTACCTTACAGTATGACCCATGAAAAGATGGCAAAGCTTAAAATGAAGAGCAAATAACCAAGATGTAATTAAAAATTCTGTTCATTGTTTCTATCCATGGTTTGCACGTATCCACCATAGACAATACAGTAACACTCACGCACCCTAAAGATGATGATTAACAGAAGAGAGAAGATTAAAGAAGAATTTATCCTTCCCCTTCTGATCCAGGTATTAAACAGACAGTCCCACAAACAACGGAAGACTGTGATGTCCTCTGTTTGCTCTCTCTCCCGTACTCCTGTTCTCACACCATGCCTAAAGCTGTCTACATACCTTGGACCGCACCCGAGGAAGAGGTTCTTCCAGGATGGTTGGCAAAGCACAGGCACCTGTCTTGGGAAGGAAAGGCCGATAAATACTGTATCACCTGGTCCAACCAATGATACTGTTTGTGATCGTTTCGTGGGACCACCTAGATCCATCGTGAGAAGTGGGGCTGATCGTCGGAAATTGTGTTGTGGGCTCTATGGTACGCACAGAAAACATACTTCAACCATGGAAAGGAACAATGCCTGAAAAAGCGGATGCAGGCCTCTAGGATCTGAAATACTTGCAAGAGGCGATGAATGAAGCTTCCACGAGAAACTTCGATTTATGGAATACTCAATGGAATGAATTCCTCTTATCAGTAGAACCACGGCCCAAGTTGGTCACGGTGGGTCCGCCGCTCGCGACTGATGACGCTTCGTGTCAAGGGTCCAGCATGCAAACACAGAGGACCCAGACGAGGTTTGGCCATTGGCTCTATCAGTCTATCATGGACTTGATCGCTCCTAGGAACGTGGTGTCTAGATTTAGGAGCATTCGGATCGTACGAAAACCTTAATCATGTCCACATTGCACGTTGGGCGATACGGATCTTTGGCCATGCTTATTGGCATATCATATCGCAGCGCCAGAACTGCACTTTAGAAACCAAGCTGGCGTCTGGTAGGTCTCCTTCAAGGTAGGGTGCATTTACATTAGAGTACAAAAAGTCGATTCAAAGCTGTTTCGGGGCCACGAAGAGACATCTCTCCTACTTTTCTTTCATTTCCCCTTTCTACGCCCTTTCTACGCAACCATGGGCACTCGGTTCACAGGTGATACCAAGGATCCTGCAATCAATGTGACTGCCTGGTGTTTTTTGATTGTGATGATTCTGAGCGTTTGCACTCGACTGGGTACCAAATATCGACTCTTTCATGGCCTTGATATCGATGACTTTCTCATTGTGACTTCACTGGTATTTCTGGGCTTTTCTTGATCATGTCCGACCGCTTTTAGCTGACAACGTTGGAAAGTCGCTCGCAACCAGCCAGACAATTGTTGTATCTTTGGCGGTGGGATCCGGCTATGGCAGCCATTCAGGAGAGATATCCAGTCTTGAGGCAGTCCGAGTCATGAAGGTAAGAAGAGAGAAGAGAATGGTGGCAGTATTTAAATCTCCACTCCTCTCACAACCCGCTGACAGAACATATTCAGAGCTTGTATGCTGCATTGCTTCTCTACACGGCAAGCCTGTTTCTTTCCAAGATGTCTTTTGTCATCTTCATCCGGCAGTTCACGCTAGGGGCTAAGGGCAAACGGTTGTCCCGATGCATCGAAATGGCTCTATATGTCTGGGCTTTGACTGTACTTTTACGTAGTGCTTTTCAATGCAAGTTCCCGCCTTGGGATCTGTGGCGCGGCCAGTGTTTTAACTTGGTAACTACTCACATTCTTTTTCTTCATGCGCGTGAGCTCAAATAACTGCAAGGCCTTGCGGCTAACGCACAACCAGCTTGCCTGGCGGTATTTTGTGGTGATATCAAATGTTGCGACCGAGGCACTCTTGATTTCGCAAATAATTCCACTGGTCCTGACACTGCAGATCATCAAATATCGCCTTATCGTGGCAAGTATTTTCCTACCACGTCTCCTGTATGTTTCGCAAATTTACATTTTTGCTTTCCAAGGGACTCATGTGTTGGCTTCCATAGTGTGATGACTGTATCGATATGCGAGCTTTCTTTCCTCAAGAAAGCCACGCAGACACCTGATCCCGCATACGACACGTGCGACATCACCATCTTCGAACTGGCGATCCAATGCCTGGGTATAGTGGCCGCGTGTTGGCCACAGCTGCAGCTTTTCTTTCCTGGGTGCAATATAGTGGCCTCATAATACGAGATGCCAATGGCGCTCCAGCGCAGGGCTATAGGGTACGATCATCCGCCAAGCCATCCGGCTGTCGTGCGGAGGGTCAAGAATTGTCAGATTTTCGCATCCCATCTCATTCGAGAGAGAGTACAAGGAATCAGGGAATAAAGAGACGAGAAAGCTGGGTACCGCAGCGCATACAGCAAGCACAGAGCATCGATCTGGAGAGCCTGGACGCTGCAAGCCAACAAAGCTACGTGGAAACAATCCTAGAGGAGCAAATCCACCGACGCGATGATATCTGGTTATGACACACAGATCCCTCCGTGAAGCTGGCTCTTGAAACTTTTACATAAGGTCTGATGCAACACAATTGAATATCTTCGGAGTCTGTACTTCAGAAGCCTACCTTGCTATTAGTTGAAGTCGCGAACTTCATGTATGTGCCAGTGTGACAATGGGTCTGGAAATTCTGTGAACTCTTGACAGATTATTCTCTCTTGACAGTGAAGTACAAGAGTGATGGTTCTTTACTGAGAGCCGTAGGGATTGCAGCACTCCTCGACCGGATTTCGTATAATGTGGATAGCAATCAACCAAGTTTCTCATAAAAATAGTATAGGAGTGCACGCATTTATAAATAGCCACCCGCGAGGCAAATTGAAACTGTAGAAGAATCCTAGATGGGAATATGCTATATATTTTATTCAAGTTTGAATTCAGATGACGAAAGCAGAGATAGTGTTAATCTTTTGACGAAAATAAGCGGAATTCTCTCATCTCAGGCCAACTGCTGTAGTCAAAGCACCCAATTTCAAAATTCCAATCAACAAACAAAACAAAACAAATATCGCAAGCTTTCAATTGCTGTACTGCGTAGTTTCGGAGGCCTACGCTTGTGTCTTTCGGTCGCCTCCCGGGCGTATCTCGTAGCCACTATGAAGCATCAATTTTTTGTATTCCTCCCAGTCGATCTCGATCTTATCCATTGCCACTTTATACCCCTCCGGATCATCGTTGAGCTTGTCGTGAGTAAGCTTCTGATCCATCATGCAAGTCAAAAGGTATGCATTGTAGTCGATGAGCTTGCTGGGCGGGTTCGGAATGTGCTGGAATTTCATTCGGCGATCTTGGCCCGGAGGCTCGATCCCGCAATCCGCTTTTCGCTTTTTTGTGTTCGGGGACTGTTCATCATTTGATTGCGCCCCGTCGTTTTGATTCGTCGCACTACGGACGCGCTGAGCCTTGGCGGCTTGTTTTGCGCTCAGCGTTTCGCTAGTGCAGCCATCCCTCCCCGGAAAGAAAGTCGGTGGTCTTTTTTCACCCTCAATCCCTTTTTTCGCGGCCCATCCATCGTAAGAGTTGTCTTGTGCCTTGGCAGCCTCACCAATCTGCTCGTCCAGCCAAGCTTGGTCTTTCCGTTTGAGCCGTTTCGTTATGTTACTCCGAACATTCCAATCTTGGTCATTGAGGAGCTCCGCGCGATGGGTTTCCTGTATGTCAATCCACTGAATCTTTATCAGCGTAGGGGGGTAGACTTGGATGACCTTGCCGGCCTTGGTGACCCGTAGCTTCCGCTCTCGATCCGGATTGGGTGTAAGCGAAGCTACATTGATTACTTTCCCAATGTTGCGACGCCCGTAGATAGGGGTACCATTGATCCGAATGTCCAAGATGGATTCCTTCTTTCCAGATATCAGTGGCAAGCTATCCAGATCCATTTGTGTATATTCTTTTGGATCTCCAATCTCGTACTTTGCTTTGCCAGGCTCTCCATAGCCAAAGACTATTCGGCAGCAGCCTGGCCATGAGCTGAATTTACAGTATATTTCAGGAAAGGCTCCTTCAGGTGTATTCAGTATAGATGCCGTTTCCTTGAGCTTGGTATTTTTGCTAGTGACTTGGTCTCCATTTTGGCTTTTTTGAGACTTCAGTACACGTCCTGGTTGATCTGGTGGTTTTGGCGACTCGTTGCTAATATCGGCCGAGGCTGCATTCTCCGTGGGATATTACAGCAGGGTCAACATTTTACGACTTTCAAAGCATATTGCTGAAGAATGCCTGGACATTCTATGGGTAGAACAATTTCCGTCTCTGTCTGAACGGAGAAGGAGAGTGCTGCATGAGGAGAAACTTCACGGAGAAGAACAGGTATCGAATGAGATACTTGATTGTTACTGCAAATCCTGCTGGTGTGTCCTATGAGATAAGAACGCAAGATGATTCTTTGTGGGCTTCAATCCTACCAAACCTGAAAGCTCTCCTCATAATTCTAGAGCAACCAATCGAAGCTCAGGGGCACTATAACGCTCCCACACTGAGGCAATATATCGACGAGTGGCTGGCTTGGATATCCCCGTATTTGGAAACCTTCCGTCGTCACATACCAGAAACATTGAACGTTGTAGTCGACGATGACGGTAGGGAGGAGACCAGAGAGCTTGTTCAAGTATATCTGCCCGCTACGTGCAGACTGAAACGCACAGCTTTGGGTGATTTTTTGTTTCGAAGAGGACGTTTCTCTATTGAACCAGGTTATTGGGATGATTTATATGATGGGCCGACTAGTTCGCGGGATGTCTAGGCATCGCGGAAATTTTATGGCCACAACATACTACCATGGAAGTCCTTCCAATTTGGACGGTAGATAGATTCCACTTAGGCTGGAACCTCGCTTTGGGGGTATTCAGCCTATCTTTTCTATGTTTAAGTACATGGTATAATCCACTTGCCTGAAAGGCGATTTTTGAGCCTCACATGAGGAGGCCTGTACTTGTTTTCAATTCAATCTGTGAAAAGGCGAAGGTACTCCAATACCCGGCGTCACAAGTGGCGTCACGGCTTACATTTGGCCTTATCCACATTTGAGGGACAAAAAGACTCGCCAATTGCCGCAATTCTGCGGATGTTAATGATTGTTAGCTTGTTGCACTCAGCCTCAGCGGCCATCTGAGACGATGTGAAGGACTGGCTCTATAATAACGCGGACAAGATACAGCTTGGAAGAAATCTTGGAGCCATATTACCAGCTTAACTTCAATTGCGCGGTTAGAAGTCTTTCATAAAGGAAGACCTTCATTGCCAGGAGAAGGAAGGGGTAGAGTAATGTGTCGACCTGAGGAGCGGTTATTTTACCACTAAGAATAGCGGATTCAGCATCTACACACACCGCCCTATGTTTTGTATGGTAAACCGGGTAAACATGGAATCCCCGAGTTGTAACATACCATACTAGTGCTTATCCCCAAAAGCATTAAGACCTTTCTCAACAGAGGTCTTCTAGATAGTTCAATCAATCAATCAATCGATCCAGTAATGTTTGATTCCCTCAGTACTAGCGCGTACAGATATCCTGAGATCCGACATGATGTCATGAGTAAAGGAGTTTCGCGTAAACTACATCGATCGCGTTTCTGGAGTGTCATGTAAAATACAAATCCTATTCTTAGAAACAGACGATCGACGAAACTTCCATAAATGGATTAGTATGTTTCAGGCTGGAGTTCGGGAATGAAAGTCTAAGAGTGCAAAGGTAAATCTGATTTCGAATATTACTGTATATATAGTCCTGTGTTTCCCTCTTAAAGACAATAACAATTAATCTTCCTTTAAACTACAACAGAAACTGCAAAGCCAGTTACCTAGAGTGCTGTCTTACTATGGAGTGACCACGATCTTAACTTCCGAAACATCAGAATGGACAGGCCCTTTTCGATTAGACGTGCCCACGTCGTCTGCATCGCCCGAGGGGCGCATTAACTCTCACCATATGGCTGCAGACGGTAGTGGAGTATCGAATGTAATGTCAGGTACGAGCGGTGCTACAATTTTGGGGACCGTGCTCGGAGTGGGATTGGTGTTTACTTGCATATTCAATCTCCGCAAAGCATGCTACCGCCCTCGAGGTGCTTATTCTAGGAATAGCCGGATATTAGACAAACGGACTGGGACCAGACCGACTCAACTTACTGTCGTGGAAAAATCACGATTTTCTGATTTTCCGTGATGATTAAGTATAGGTTGCTTTCTTAGCTTGTGTTTTAAAGGAATACAATCCAACGCGAGGGAACAGTGGCGCGGAGAATAGGTGCATGAGAGTGATTTGCATGTTTTCTCAGCAGTACACGTATATGCTTGTGTCCTTATTGGGTTTAAACATCGGATAGCCAGCTAAGGCTCCATTTATTGCTGATGTGGCTTCTTTATCGAGGTTCATCTTGTTCACATTGTTCGCGCGTCTAGTATTCTGGGTGGGTGTTTGAAATACGTGCGTAAGTGTCCGTCAATTTACTACTCCGTAGTGGTACTGTATTATCAAGATCCGAAGAGAAGCAGTGTTTAGTCATTCCATTCACATCTCTGTAAAATTTAGATAGGTGGATCCCTATGCTGTTTTGAACTTCTTCTTGAGTATTCCGAGGTGTTGGTACTGTATACGGCGCTTGATCTTTCATGATATGAGCTTTCCTCTTTTGCCCACCCTTTTTATGATATTCATACTCCCCTCACGAACCTTTCTTGATCGTCGGCCATTTGTCTCTGAATCTCAAATCGACAGTCTGAAACGATTAGCCACACGTATAATTCTCAAAATCAGCTTGCTACCAACCTGTTCAAAGCTCGAGCTCATTCATCGAATCGACCAACCGACAGAAGACAATCCACATCATCCCCTCCAGTTCTTCATTTTTCAATACGCCTCTTGCCGCCTGATGCTGCAATGATTTTGGCCTGTTGTAAATTTCTAGAGAGCCGCTGACGGGCATGTATAGCATTCTTCAATGCATTCCTGTCAGCGATCTTCAAGACTGCCTTGCAGAAGCGCCAGTCCTCTTTCAATCGCCATGACATGGGCCAATCTAAAGAAATCGAATAGAATCCAAATGCACTTTTCCAATCTACCGTTTTCCAATAACATAGACATTTGACAGAAAACCCCACGAATCGTATTTTGCATAAGGCGGTGGGTTTGGGGAACATCGAGAGGACCGAGGCATGATAAGTCGCTTCCGGGGCGGAGTGATTAGAAACGATCTTCGCAACTTAGATCTACAAAATGATATATGTACTGCTGAATCATGACCAAACACCGCGTCATCAATTTAGGATGGCAAAGATGTCAACTCGGACGCGTGTAATTTGCCCGCGATGGTGAAACGGTACAGTCTTTACTTCCTCAATTTCTTACGATCCGGCTGGCTCTTGCAAGGATGGGACGACGTTCTGTGTTGAACTGGATGTGCGCATCGCTATTTGATCCTTTCTCCGCAGCCAGGGGCTTTCCATACTGGAAGACTTAGAATTCTATTACATCTTAAATCCCGACCGCATGTACGGTTTTCTTTAGCAAGCACCGAAGTATCGTCAGACTCATAGAAAAGCCTATGTCCCGCAGCTTTGGGGGGTACTACTGATCTTATATTTGTCCCTTGAACATATCACTGATCAGCATCTCGGCCATCAGGACTTCCTAAACTGGTTGGCCTTACCGACGTATATAAGGATCCCTCCTAGCTGGGATAGCTGAAATAGTAAAAGAGATGATAGCCAGAGTATCGGAAAAGTCTATTTCAAGACGTGTCTGATACAACAAACCCTCTTCCTACACAACGGGCATGATACGTCTCCTGTTTTTCGGTACACTTCTCCATCTGGGGGTCAACGCTCATCTAAAGTTGCTCTATCCAGCGCCTTTCAGCAATGATACGCTTAATAATTCACCTTTGGCCTCAGATGGCTCTGACTTCCCTTGCAAGCTACGGCCTGATGCCTTTGAAGCCCCCATTGAACCAACATTCATACGAATCGGGGAAACTAATGCCTTGAAATTAGAAGGGAGCTCTACTCACGGCGGCGGATCTTGCCAGATAAGCTTGACTAGTGACGAGAGGCCTTCGAAGAACTCAAAGTGGAGTGTCATCAAATCTTTTGAAGGAGGCTGCCCAGCAAATGTCGTTGGTAATCTTCAAGGCGGCTCAGAAGCCGTCCATCCGTTCGATCTCGACTTTGTCATCCCCGAGGGTGTCACTCCTGGTAAATACACTCTCGCGTGGACATGGTTTAATCGGGTTGGAATCCGTGAAATGTATATGAACTGCGCTCCTATTACGGTCATCGGCGATGCGGCAGACAGGCAGTCCAAGAGCGGGTGGAAAGCGTCTTCCATGTTCCCATCCATGTTTATCGCCAATATAAACGGTTGTATGACGAAAGAGAACGTTGAGATCCGATTCCCGCATCCCGGGGCATATGTCGAGTATAGAGGTAGTCCCGGTGACCTTGCCTCTCCAGCCGATGCAGCCTGTATGGGGACTGCTTTGTTCGGCGATTCCATGGAGAGCATTGATCCAAACTATTCTACGGATTCAGGTACACAGAGTGTCTTACCCTCACCTTCTCGACAGCCGACCTCTCATCTGGCTGGTCCATGCTTCTAGGTGTAGTTTGATTGAACTACTGGTCCGGCTGGATTTCGAATCCAAGGTTGTTGGCTTCTTGAGATAGGAGTAGCTAGACTTAGTAATAACATAATTCATCCATATATATACAGATGATCAACCGAATCCACCAGCTCCTGTATATTACAGAATCCACTATCTTCGGATCAATTGAGTGAATACTAGCTCTCCTGTTCGGCGTTTTCGCTATGCCATGAGCTATGATTATTCGGGGGAAAGGGTCAATCATTGGCTTTTAGGCATTTGAATGGCACAGAAGAATCAAGAACTACCATCTAATGTGGGCACGTGCGATTTGTCAGTTCTGATACAGAAGAATTCGAAATTGGCTTCCATCTTTTACACAGAAAGGCTCTCCCAAACCCTAATGCCAAGGCTCTGGTGAAACCCACTAGTCTCAATCAAGCTAGACTGTAGATCACCTTGCGGGGGTCAGAATGGAAATGTAATGTATATGACAAGACCAATACACCACGGTGTTACCTTCCGCCTGTGCAAAAGTCAACCCCAACACTGAAACCCAGAGAGCGAGACAAATGCCAACGGGCACAGAATGGCCCCAAATCTGGCCCCCTCGACTCGCGAATTCATAAGTGATATGATCTTCAGCAAATCTTTGACTACAGCCCAGATCGCCGATGCCGCAGGATGCAGTACGCGTTCTGTCACCACTATCCGCAGTAATCTAAGGCACTTCGGTGACACAAGAGCACCGGTTGTCCGAGCAGGAAGACCACGTAGTATCACCCCACTGATGTTAGAGGCTCTCTGTGACCATCTACTGGAAAACCCTGGGCTTTACCTGGACGAGATGGCCTTGTTTTTGTGGAATGAATTCGGCACCACCGTAACAACCTCCAGCATTAGGAGGGCGCTGATCTCCCAAAAATGGTCAAAGAAAGCCGCTCGACAGAAAGCGAAGGAAAGAAATCCTGATCTACGAGACTGTTACTTACACAACCTGTCTGAATTCCGCTCGTACCATTTAGTGTATATTGACGAGTCCGGTTGTGATAAACGAATCGGCTTCCGGAGAACTGGTTGGTCCCCGCTTGGTATTACACCAGTCCAGGTCTCCAAATTCCATCGTGACCAACGCTACCAGATTCTCCCCGCATACTCCCAAGACGGTACTGTATTGTTTTATCACGAGTATTCCGGGGCTCGACCGATGGGTTGATCTTCGAGGATTTTGTTGATGAGCTTCTGCAACATTGTGGGAGGTGGCCGGAGCCAAAATCTGTCTTGGTGATGGATAACGCCTCTTTTCACCACTCGGATCGGATAGAACAAATGTGTTTAAATGCGGGGGTGAAACTACTGTATTTGCCTCCATATTCGCCAGACCTGAATCCTATCGAGGAATTCTTTGCTGAACTTAAAGCATTTATTCGGAAGCATTGGTCGGTCTACGAAAACGATCCTGAACAGGGGTTCGATAATTTTCTAGAGTGGTGTGTGGACTGCATCGGCGCAAGGGAGGAAAGTGCCATAAGCCATTTCAGGCATGCAGGCGTTAGCATTGTTGAAATATGATTTGAACAGTCCGGTTATTACATAGCTTTAATTGACCTCATTATATATCCATGAGATTGAGATAGGAGAAAAAGAATATCATAAAACTGCTTCATGTAATTTCTGTTATGTTGCTCTAGCTGTATATGTCACGTCGCTACTTCATTAGTTACTCACGGCCTCTTGTGCCTAATTGGGCCCATTGAACGATTTCAGAAACGAATCGGCGCGCTACGCCCAGGCTGATGCCTTGCTTCGTGAAAAATTCTGGGTTTTGATCACCATGGATCTGCTGGAGATCGAGGCCATTTGCCAGCGCCAAGTCTCGTGCCTTGCGGATATCATCCTTGAGATTTTCTCTACTCACTCTTGACTGTTGCCAATCACTATATTCCTCCACAGCCACGTCGTGGAGACCAGGTATTTCAATCAGACCTGGAGTTGATATTTTCGGATGGTAAGTGGCAGAGTCAATGGAATCAGCGACTAGCGGCTGGGATGCTTGGTTCGGAAGAACAGTGATATTAATGGGAGGGCAGAACGGCCCGGGCGCATTATGGGCAAAGTCATGACTTTTTTGCTTTCTCCTTCGTTCATTCTCCTCAGTATAGAGTTGCTCACGGATACTATCAGGGACATCATCGTGGGTTTCAAGGGTCCCGCCTTTTTCCACATATTTCACGAGGCTTCTCAATTGATGTGTTCGCAGTTTATAGTGTCTCTTGCCAACCGGGTCTTGCCAACAATACTGACCTTCGTGGCGACATGGCGGCCCAGGGCATCGCATCTTTTGATAGACGTCCCGCCATACCGAAGGCTGACCGGAAACATCCTCTGCATCAATCTGTGCGTCTCGATCTGCCAGCATCCGCTTGGTCACGGATGACTTCCCTCTTTTATCACACCTTGAAGGCAGGGAACTGTCTTCAATAAAGTTGAGAGAGATTTTAAGCCGCAACTCTTTACCAAGACGATGGAGGTTCGCCCACATAAGGAGTTGCTTTTCAATGGCGGACCAATCCACATCTGTACTGTCAAAACGTTTAGTCAGATCACGTTGAGACCGATCATTGACAGAGACAACGACAGTCACATCGTCAGCTCTCACTCGGCGATCGCGAGCAATCTTTCCTCTGAGAATCTTCTCTGCCCTGGCCTGGATTCGCGACCAATGGAAGCTTGGCATTTGAATCAAGTTTTGCTCAGTATCCTGGGCTACGACTCGGCGATTAAGTGTGAGTCTCCACTCGATGGGGTATTCAATACAGTCTAATGGCTGTTCATGAGATACTTCTTGCGGTTCCACCGTTTGTCGAACCCCGACACGGTCAGGCTGCGTCTGAGAGAACGGAGACATGCGTGCGTCAACAGATTCTTCGCGGTCTAGTGGCAGACATTCAATGGAAGATGCATCCTCATGGTCGAAGTATCCAGGAGTTGGGGCATACGAAGGGGTCTCATCTCCCGGTCGAAGAAATCTATTTTGACAACTATCATTCTCGTCCAAACCGAAACACGGCATTTCCCAACAGCAAACGCTACTGAGTCTAGACGCGTCATTACATGTTAGCCAACAACGCGATTCAGGACGAGAGGGGTTGGAAAGAATTCGTGGCTCACAGGACGAGCAGAGGGATGATTAATATCATAGACGTGCAGTCGAGCCAGGTGGGTGTTCTTGATAGTCAGTAATGAGCTTTGCAGAGATGAACTGCTGGGCAATGCAGTGGGGAACCCACGAGAAATGAGAGACCTTGAAGGCGTGAGCAACAGGCCCTACAGATTTGCTCTATTTGTAAAGGGGACGAGTGGCTGCCAAAACCATGGTATTAGTGGGAATTAAGGCACCACTTGTGCCTTGGATACCTATCAGGGGATCGTACTTCTACGTGACTCCGCTGCTTTCCACGGCACTAATAGGCTCACTAGAGACCCATAGGTCCCCACAAATCGCCTATTCTGGTAAGGTATGTGTGCGTTCCAGTTTCTGCGATGGAATTCCTGCAACAAAGAAGCCGTCCAGGCTCTGTCCCAAAGATAGAACTGAACACCTCATCACCTTAAGCGCCCAGGTCACATGACAGTGAGGCTGACGTTGAAAGTTCCTCCACTTTCGAGAGAAAGAACTTTTGATTGTTGCACAAACAACTACACCAGGAGTATCACGAAAAGACTTATGTCTTACATATCGTTCAGCGGCACAAACTTCGGGAACCAGGTGGGAATCAACAATGGAACGATCCATCTGCCTCCAGGTAAGTTTCACAAGGCACGACCCCACCCAACCAGCACTGATGCCAATCGCCGCCTCCCGGCTCAGAGCGACCGGAAACCCCACCGCCCCCTCTCTCGACTGTTCCGTTCCGTCGCGACCCAGATTTTGTGGATCAAGGATCGCTACCTGATCTACCACAAAAGAAAGACTCTATAGAAGGTGCTCGGATAGCGTTTGTCGGCCTGGGTGGCGTAGGGTGGGTTCACATAACAGTATGCCGAACTCCTTACTAATTATGGAAGAAAATCGCAACTTGCTATCGAATATTGTTATCGAATTCGAGATCAATCGCCTACGACCTGGGTTCTCTGGATCCATGCGAGTAATGCAGCTCGATTTGAGCAGAGCTGCCGGGAAATTGCCGACCGAGTGAAGATACGCGGCCGGCAGGATCCCAAGGCAAATATTTACATGCTTCTCCATAACTGGCTCAATGATCCGAAGACTGGAAAATGGATCCTCGTTCTAGATAATCTCGATAACGATGAATCTCTTCACGGAGAAGCTGCAGCACACTCAAATGGCCTTGTGGATGCTTCGGAGAACATACCAAATCGATCTATCTGGTCATATTTTTGCCGGAGCTCGAGGGGCTTTATTATGATCACAACTCGAAGTAGACAAGTGGCTTTACCGCTCCGCACGAATCGAATCGAATCGAACTTTTGCCAGATTCGATTCGATTCGAATTAATATTGAAAATAACGATTCGTACGAATTCGAATTCAAGACCGATTCGAATTCGATTCGAAGTTCGCGAACTTCTTGGTTCTAAACCTTATTGGGAAGGCGGTCAATCACGCCTGTCGTTCAATACGATATGTAGCCAGCAATCAACACCTCATACAGGTAGCTAATTATCAGTTAACTAGTAGTTGGATACTGAGGTAAGTAGGCTAGATTTAGTCTAATAGTAAAATTAAACGATTTGGCCTTGAGATGAATAAGCTGTAGGGCAGTATCAACAGATGCAACATTTCGACCAAAACCTTCACCTAAATAATATATATATTCTACTCCTCAGCTTATTCAAAACGCCCACAGTCTTATTGGTGATCTGGTTTGCTTCAAATTATATGAGCTGATATACTATACTAAGATACACGTAAGATATCAATATAGAGTCAAAATATCAATATTTGTATATCGTATTCGATGAACAGTAAATGGGTAGTCTAATCGGGCTAGCGGAGACTCCACAAGAAAAGTGTCTTCGCGCGTACGTGCTTTCACCAAAAACAACGTCCAAATCGGGTTCAAAAGCTACAGATAAACATCACATCTGGGTGCTCGAGGGTAAGTAATCGATCAAGATATAAGCCTGATATACTAATATAACGTTACAGATGACTTCTCTACTTGCTGCGACATTTGACTGTCCTAATACTAGGAAGAATAAACGCGATTATGCGGCGCTTAATAAGTATGGCCTTCTTGCAGAAGACATACCACTTCCGCCTCCTCGAAAGAAGACGGCGGTCCGGTCCGCCCTTAAGTCGCTGACTCCTCCGATTTCAACGCCTCCTACGGCTCCAAGCAATATTTCTACGAGTTTATCGAACCTTGATACGGACATACGCCCTTCGCAATCAATATCTCAGGTCGAATGCTCGGTAGAGAGGGTCGAAATCAAGCAGACAGATGAGACTAGATCGAAAGAGCGGAGCTGGGTTTGGAAATACTACCTTACGACACCTGAATCTGGTACATGGAGATTAGGAAATAAGGAGCGGTCCGAGCTTAAACACCTGTGTATTGTATCGCCATCCACCTGCCGATTCTTTCGATTTGCGTCGAAACTACGATCTTCAACCACAGCGTTGAAACAACACCTGCAGCATACCCACAAGCTCTTCCAGGACGGCCATTCAGAGTGCCAAGGATCGTTAAGCTCATGGATTTCCAAGGAAAAGAAGCTCCCATTCGAAGAAGCTGTCTTAAATTGGATTGTATCAACCTGCCAACCATTTACATGCGTCGAACAGCCTTCATTCAAGGCTATGTTGAGGTCTGCCGGATTCCAGGACTCCGTACCAAGTGCGGATACTGTGTCGCGCCGATTATGTCTTCGGCTTGATGCTCTTGACAGTGAACTTCGAATCTTGATGTCTTCAGCATCCTCCATCGCGCTATCTCTGGATGGTTGGACAAGTCAGAATTCATTGCCAATGCTGGCAATTAATGCCCACTGGATGTCTTCTACTTTCCAGCAATATCGAGCTTGTATTGAGTTCGTTGAAATCGAAGGCAGCCACTCTGGGGAGAACCTTGCTAATATCGTTGCGACGGTTCTCGAGAGGTTTCATATATCTGATAAAGTTATGACGATTACAGCTGACAACGCGTCTAATAACGATACTTTACACCGATATCTTTACCAAAAGCTGTCTCGGCGGTACGATGAGTACCTCGCCGAGACCATTATCCGAGAAGGGACGATGAAATTTACCCACAACTCCCAAATTCGCTGCTTTGCTCACATCTTGAACTTGGTTATGAAAACCATATTGAGGTCTCTACGCGCTAGTTCACATAAGGAAGCCTTCGATCTCCTTGATGATGTTGCTAAAAGGAGCTGGAAGACGGTCAACGCTCCTACTTCGCCGATCGCAAAGCTTCGACTAATTGTCCTTTGGATTGTGCGATCCCCTCAGCGAATACAGAAGTGGGATAATCGACCTGGCTGTACAAAAGCTATCAACTACGATGTTGATACTCGTTGGAACTCTACCTTTGTTATGATTGTGAGAGCTGAAGAGTGTCGCCGGCAGCTCGAAGATACGATCAATGATGACCCAGATATTGAAGCCTTGCGTCTCACACCTAACGACTGGAGACAGCTCTCGGATATCAAGAAAGTTCTGGCTCCCTTCAACGAATATACCGAGTACGTCTCTCGAGATAGCCCATCAATCCATATGGCAGCGCGTATGTTTGCAGAGCTCCGCTCTATACTCCTCGCTATCAAAGAACGCCGAGGCGAGTGGCAGAAGGTCTCACCAGCAATAACCGTTCCTGTGTCCGATGGAATTACCCTCCTGGATAAGTATCATGACTGCGTCAAAGACAACGACATATACTATATCGCAAGTGTTCTGGATCCGCGAATTAAGACCAAGTGGCTCAAAACGTTACCAGATGGAGAGAGGATCGATCATTGGCCGAATCCGGGCGTTTCTGGAGAAAGCGTATTCCACCCCAAAACAGCCAATATTGACTACTACAAGCACCAATTGGAAGAGCTTCGAATATCGATTTCTGGAAGCCTTTCAGCCTACACAGGCTAACGCCGCTGAGTCTGATATTGATAAGTATTTCGATACTCCGACAATCAGCACTGGTTTCGATATGAGCCAGAGCCAGACCGAATTTATTCGAAACTGGTGGAATGCAAACAGGCTTGAATTCAGTTGCATGGCTAAGGTAGCACAAGATCACCTTGCTATACCAGCAGCAGAGGTAGATATCGAGAGATTATTCAATGGCGGGAGAGATGTGTTGGGAATTCGACGTTTCTCCATGAAAGGCAAGACCCTTGGGACTTTATTAAGGCTGAAAGATGCCGCACGTTGGAAGTCTGAATAATTACATAGTTATGGTTTCTTCTGGCAAACATACGAGTGAAATTCTATACCTGATTCAATATATTTAGAGCTCTGAATGTATATCATAAGCCGTACTAAAAACACCATTCGAATCCAATGGACACAACGGTCACAGTTGTTGAGGTTATGGCTGGCAGCACGAGCGGAGCCACTACCTCGAACACTAGACATTGGTTCGCGAACCTGTTCGAAATTCGCGAATTTTGACGAATCGAATCGCCCATAGATTCGAAGCACGAAAAGCAAAGTTCGAATTCGATTCGAATCGTCAAAATTCGCGAACTTCGAACAGTTCGAAAGTTCGTGCGGAGCGGTAAGTGGCTTCAAGAACCGTGGAAGACTATGAAATCATTTCAGTTGAACCAATGAACGAATCTCACGCAATCTCGCTCTTTGAAAAGAAGGTTGGGGCACAGCCCGAGCGCTCTGCAAGTATTCAGCTAGCTGCCGCTCTAGAGTTTATGCCACTCGCGATTGTGCAGGCGGCGGCTTTTATCAAGCAAAGAGCACCACGAGAGTCAGTGCCACAATATTTGCAAAGGTTTCAGAAAAGCGATAAGCAGAAAATCAATCTTCTTGATTATGAAGGGGGCCAACTTCGCAGGGACCCAGAAGCCAAGAATGCTATCCTTGTAACATGGCAGATATCATTTGAGGATATTCAGGAAAGAAGGCCATCAGCAGCAGGTCTCTTATCTCTCATGAGCTTCTTTGATAGACAAGGGATCCCCAACAGTCTCCTGCAGGAAGTTCAAGCTACAAAAGGGAAAAACAAAGAGAGCGATTCAAGTGACAGAGAAGATGAAATAAGCGTGTCCAGCGACGCCGACAAGTTTGAGAACGATATATTATTGCTCAGAGACTATTCGCTGATATCCGTCACGTCAGATCCAGCAAATTTTGAGATGCATCGATTGGTCCAACTAGGAATGCAGAAATGGCTTCAAGCTCAAGACCGCTTAGAGCACTGGAATGAAGTTTTTATCCCAAGGTTGGATAGACATTTTCCCGAAGGAAGGTTTGAGAATTGGAAAGAGTGTCAGATGCTATTTCCTCATGTGCAGTGTGCAACCTTGCAGAAACCGGTCGGAAAAGGCTCAATGGAAAAGTGGGCATCACTTCTTCACAAATCAGCGTTGTTTGCATGGGAGAGAGGGAACTTCAACGATAGTAGAAAGATGGGAATGAAAGCAATGAAAACAAGGGAAAGTCTATTTGGGGCGAGGAACGAAAGAACACTGAGGAGTTCTAATATGCTTGGTTTAGCGTATAGTCTGGGAAGGGAATGGAAAAAAGCCGAAGATCTCCAGCTGCAGGTGATGGAGACTCGTAAGGAGGTACTTGGACCAGAGCATCCCGACACTCTGACTAGCATGGCCAACCTAGCATCAACCTACTGGAATCAGGGGCGATGGAAGGAAGCCGAGGAGCTCGAGGTACAGGTGATGGAGACTTTCAAGGAGGTTCTTGGGCCAGAACATCTCTCTACTCTGACCAGCATGGCCAACCTAGCATCAACCTATTGGAATCAGGGGCGATGGAAGGAAGCCGAAGATCTCCAGCTGCAGGTGATGGAGACTTGTAAGGAGGTACTTGGACCAGAGCATCCCGGCACTCTGACCGGCTTGAATAATCTGGCATTAACCCTAAGATCGCTGGGCGAAAATGAAACTGCGTTACAAATGATGACCACGTGTGCTGAATATCGCAGCCAAAAGTTAGGCCCTCATCATCCATCCACCTTATCATCAATGACCACTTGCAAGGAGTGGCAGAGTTCAGGTGAAACCTCGTCCTTCGAGTGTGGTGAACGGCAAATCATATCATTCTTGGAAAAAGATACCAAAGCTATAATGCCAGCGTTTTTTAATGGCAATCATTCTATTTCCATCGAGCCTCACCATTCCCCACCAATAACTTGGGTATTTCATTTGATTTGACTATTTCCCTCCATAAGTCCATTAGCCCCACACGAAGAGTCTCAGTGGGAAGCTTGTGAGGTGGCTTGTATTCGACTGTAGTGAGGAGGGTGTTATTTCCGTCAACATACTACATAGCCTTAGGCCAATGCGGCAGTAGTGAATCCATATGCAAGATCTTAACAACCGATGAGCTCGACAAGAAAACATAGACACAATGTAAATCACTATTACTACCTCAGTCGCTGCATACGACACTACTTATACCCTTGGTTTTCTACCACATTCAGCAATATGGATTCCATTGCTGAGCCTTATCTCCGGGAGTGGGTGTACGCGACCGCGATTCCCTCCAATCACAATCAGAATCTGCCCCCGCCCACCTGTGGAACTTAATACGACTGTTACCCTCCCCGCGCCCCTGACTTTCATTCATCTTAGCGTACCCCCAGATTCTATCAACATGACATTTATGATTAGACTCAGTCTTCCAGAGAGCCAACTCATGATCCAAAGTCTCACAAATGCGTATGAGCAGGCTCAAAATTCTGCAGCCACCACAGTCGAGATAGAGCTTTCAAATACAATTGTCAGTGTGCGATAATTGATACTTGAACCACAATATGAGCAAGCTGACTTCTTTTAGTATATTGGTATTTTAGACAAATTATGGCCACGACTTAATCAGTTACATGCTGGAGACTTAGAAGCTGAGAGGCTTGAAGACGTGAATGGTGTTCACGATACGACAGATAACCCCAGACGTGAGTTCAAAATGAGCGATGATTCGGTGGGTCAGGGCACGAGGGGGAAAAGCCCTGAACCAAAGACTTCGGTGGGCGCGAGTCCCGAGACCACAGCCACGGCAGGCAATCGCAACAGTTCGGAAAGCAATAGCGACACCCAAGAGAGTAACAACGATGATCTAGAGACCACAGCCACGGCAGGCAATCGCAACAATTCGGAAAGCAATAGCGACACCCAAGAGAGTAACAATGATGATCTAGAGACCACAGCCACGGCAGGCAATCGCAACAATTCGGAAAGCAATAGCGACACCCAAGAGAGTAACAACGATAATCTAGAGACCACAGCCACAGCGGGCAATAGCAACAGTTCGGGAAGCAAAAGCGACACCCGAGAGAGCAGCAATGATCACAAACGTAAACCGCCGACACACGGCGATAGATCTAAAATTGATGCGGCATCTCAAAACGATCGTCAGAAGAAACGACGGGAAGGCGAGACCGCAGATACCGCGTCACATAATAATCGCCCCCCCAAAAAACGGAAGGGTAGGGAACCTGCTATTGATCTTGATTCAACCCTCGTCAAAGAATGGCTTCAAAACCCAATTTCATTTTTCTCATCGGAATTAACGCTCCATGAAAAACCATTCGGCAGTACATGTCAGTATCTGCAAAGTCTTGGATCATCGAGTGAACTCGATCGTGTCCGAAAGCGAATTGTCAAAGCGCTCTTTCATCGACTGCGAAAAAGACTGGGAACTAATCGCCTTACTCAAAGTGTCGTCAAGGATCTAGCAAAAATTGCTTCCAACTCAACCCATTTCAAAATCTCTTTTGAAACCATGAAAAATTGGCTGGATGAGGGGAAACGACTAGATTCTCTTTGCTGGGCAATTGCAGGAAATAAAAAGGAAGGCTCGCAGCCTCAAAACTATTTCTATCTGGGTAGCTTATTTTTTCTGAGAAAATGTACCGATACGGAGTAAGTAGTCCTATGGTTATCATTTAAAAAAACGCACGCTGATAGCATGAAGGCTTAAGAGACTGAGTCTTGATGACGAAAAACGTTTAAAGCAGATGCGAGAGTTGGAATTAGTACGTCAAGAGGAGGGAGGCGATGAACAGCTTAAAATTTTGGCAGATAAACTGATGAATAAACTGTGGGCTCCAATAGAGGCCTCGATCTGTCAAGGTCTGGGTGAGTGATTTTCTATGGTTAGCAAAGATATCTTGCTAATTTTCAACCCGGTAAGAGAATGATATGATCCACCCTACTTTCGAAGCCTCACCACAAGTACCTCTTAGCTGCAACGGATCGCAATTCGGTATTATTGCAATGCAAACACAACCTGAGCCTGAGACTGAAGTTACTGGTCAAAGTGACCATGGTCCTGGTGGAGCAAATATACATGGTAGCATGGAGAATAGCAATATTCTTCATGGATGCTATACACCAGGAAATCAATTGCAGCCTATGTTAAGGGATGACATACCAGGTCTACGGGGTAGCCCTGATATTAGTCTAATAGAGACTATAGGTCATCCATCGGAGGAGATGTATTTGCGTGATGAGACCCCACGAGCAGGTATCTGGGAGTTGCATATCGGGCCCGACGCCAGCACAGTCAATGTACACGATTTCAATCTTCCATCAGGCATGATGGATCCCCTTGGCGGGACCCCAGACGGCTACGAGTTGCATATCGGGCCCGACGCCAGCACAGTCAATGTACACGATTTCAATCTTCCATCAGGCATGATGGATCCCCTTGGCGGGACCCCAGACGGCTACGAGTTGCATATCGGGCCCGACGCCAGCACAGTCAATGTACACGATTTCAATCTTCCATCAGGCATGATGGATCCCCTTGGCGGGACCCCAGACGGCTACGAGTTGCATATCGGGCCCGACGCCAGCACAGTCAATGTACACGATTTCAATCTTCCATCAGGCATGATGGATCCCCTTGGCGGGACCCCAGACGGCTACGAGTTGCATATCGGGCCCGACGCCAGCACAGTCAATGTACACGATTTCAATCTTCCATCAGGCATGATGGATCCCCTTGGCGGGACCCCAGACGGTCACGAGTTGCATATCGGGCCTGATGCTAGTCCCATCAACTTGAATACACAAGGTGTTCATCATGGAGATAACCTAGTAGATATATCACACGGATTTTGGAGTCGGCTTGGGGAGTCGGAGAGCTTAATGGATCCTAGTAACGATGAAACATCCAAAGATCTATCCTCAACAACCCCATCCCATCCGCTGACAGCCCGTCATTCTGTTCCTGTTACTTAAAGAAATATTATACAATAATAACAAAAGTATACAGCATTCAAGTTCTTCTAGACCAGCTATCATAATGGAACAAGAAAAATAGCAGCGGCCTTTGGGCTGAAACTTGGCTGACCACTGACTTTGGCGTATTGCCCCTCTTCCACTTCTCCCCCCGGCATCAGATTGATCTTTTTTGACAAAGGGATCAAATACCCATAATCTCGGTCGTAAACTAGCCTGCCAGGCTTTTGCCATATTACCAGCTCCCACCTCCATGCCTAAACAGAATGCTGGTCAGACTCAGGCAAACCCTAGCCCAACGCTTATAGGGCAACTTACTGTCCCAATCTCCATTTTCAGCACAAAAAGGGATACTTTCTCCTCTAACATCCTTCCAGTATATTTTTTATTACCATGCTCGTCCTCCGTCGAGCTGGAGAGATCGGCAGGTGCAATAGTTAATCCTGAAATTGCCGTTTCTGGAATCATGTCCCTGATTTCAGCGCGTACGGTATTTGCCAAGTCTGGGAGCTTGTCTATCTCGACTTTGATATCCGCTGTCGGCGAGCGCGGATTTGTTGCCATAGCTCGGTCGAGGCAGCCTTCTGTAAGATTAAAATCGTCAGTACAGGAGGCCTTGATATATTAAAAAATGCTATACATACCGTAGGCTGACGTATGATATTCAGTTGAAGAGTTGTGAGGGGCAGGCGGGCACCAATTTTGGGCCAAACATTATCGTATCGGAATAACAATTTACCGAAAATGCTCCGGGACAGGAATAAATACTAGAGCGCTTCTCCACACCAGGCTGTCATTGAAGTGCCAGTGACCCTACATTATCTTCAATTAAGCTTCTGAAATAGGGTGCTGACTAGGCATTTTCAAGTTACGGTTGGTAAATTTTTGCTGGTGAAATAGGTTCCAACTCTTACATGGATTTGTGAGCATTTTGGCTCTTACGTCTTTAGAATTCACCATCAGTCTGTGCAGATGTCGAATCCAACTCGATTCTACTAATGGCGACCACGAACAATTATAATAATCGAACGTTCAATGTTTTCGCTTTCTCCCGTGCACCCATCGAAATTTGGGGCTCCTTCAATTGCGACAGCATGCAATACAGCGACTTGCAGGAAAAAAAACCTGCTGTAGGCAAACAGGGCAAACTAAACAAGGGTATGGGGTGGCGGATCTATACTAGACTCTCTATTAATAAGGCCACTCCCCTCAACTTGCTCAAATATTCTGAGTACTATCGCTTTCTCTTCTCTTATTTTTCGATCTTGTCTAGAGTAGAGTGGCCAAGCCGAGCGCAGGGGCTGCAGGGGTCAGAAGAGCCTTGTCCCGTTTCTGGCGAAAGACATGTTTCAAGCAAGTCTTTCGCCTAAAGAGGTTAGCGGTTTATGAGACTCCACTTGCAATGACGCAATGCCAAATCTTTTCCAAACGAAAGACTTGTTTGGAGCAAGTCTTTCGCCAGGAAAGGTTAGTGTTTGCCTGGTCTAGAATCGATTTTACTAGCAATAATCCTACTCGAGCCTAGTATTTACGTTCGGGGCAAAGTTATCTGGCGCTCATAAAACAACCAAAATTAGCGTGATCTTTCCCATCCAAGGACTGGATCCTACAATGTTAGGTCAATTCCCTATCTTGGGTACATTTAGAATGCAGAGGAAAGTTTTAGATTTAAGATTCGGAATTTTTAATTTCCTTTTTGTATAACTGATGCTTCTCCTGCAGGTATTCAATCATTGTCGAGACCGAGTACTAGTTGGAAGCATCTTTTTAGGGTAGGCGCGTGATACTTTCCTTATCCGAAAACAAGAAGGGATATGATTTTGATGGGCTTAAGAATATTTGAATGGATTTCAGTGAACTAAGACAGAAAAATCACCTTGTGACACCATCGACATCAGATGGGAAGGGGGAGATTGCCATTGGGCTTTGGGGTTACCTTTTCATCGAGTCTCATTCCTGACATAACAACGAAAATGCGCGCAGCGTTTTTAATTGAAGACAACAGATCTGTTCCCTGAGAAAATGACTATATAAGTAGGTCGAGGAGTCTCCTTTGAAACATAGCCTACTGTTATCGATATAAAATATTGATCATATCCTTTACCCCACGTGAGAATACGAAGGTCTTCAATTAGCAAAATGAGTGTTCCTGGTCAGTATCATTTCTTTTTGGAAGAAACAGGCTCTGATATCCATTATACCCATTAGGAGAAAAAGGCGTCATTTTATTAGGACGTCACAAAATCACAGTTCCAGGAGATCTCATCGAAGTATGGGAGGAGGAATTTGGGTACAAGGATCTCGTCATCACGCTCAGTCAAATTCAGAATGCCCTGAGAATGATTGACGCCATACAGGGTATCTGTCCCGTGAAAGCCATACCAAAAACACTCGGAGAGCAAATCAGCAATCCAAAATTTTTGGCCCATGATCTTGGAAAATTTATTCAAGTGGCTATCCTGATCGGCCGGGAAGTATCTGCAGAGAGGTTCTTTAGCGGATCTGAGGCTGATTGCGATCTTCAGTCTCCCGTTAAAGTGAATTCAATCCCGGGAACTGGATGGAATAATGGTCGATATATGATATGTTTGGAATGTATCTATCTTGGTGACATATTTACTGTAGTGAAGGAGGTCGGCGAGTTATTGAATTTGCTTTATTAGATATAAGAGCTATCATGGAGTCCCTTGATCTATTGCAAGCCATGGACGACAAGGGGCCGAGAAGCCGAATCCTGATCTACTACAATGGTGCCCATACTCTCAATTCATCCTTCCTTGTCAAGTAATTTGTGCATCGAGCTTTATAGCAGAATGAATACTCCAATTGAAGTACTAGATTAATAATTCCCGGTGCATGAACCCGGAATAAGTCGGCTCACAGAAGCACTCAAGGAGCTATGTCTTCATTCACTGAGTTGAGTGATGGATTTTGTGACCTGTATCAGTTGAACATGACCAGCACAGTGCTTACATGCGTGACTGAGAGATAAGAGTGCTGTAAGGCGTTGGCTATAAAGCTCGGAAGATCCCCTTGAGGAGCTGTTGAATAAGCCATCTGAACAAGTATCTGTTCATAATGGCAACTCAGGATTACCACGAGCCAAGCTTGGCTGAGCTTCAATCAGAATTGGACATGTTCCCACAGCGTAAGAGACTCCAAGGTTCCGGACCAAATGAACAACCTACTCACTGCTCTCGATAGTGTTTATACTAAGTGATAAGGCGGCAATCTACCTCACGCCGACTCACACGCTTCTGAAAGAAGAATGTTCCAGGCTATTTTCCAAGACATCCTTCTTGACGCCCAGTGAAATTTTTCTCACTCTTTCCTTGCGTTCGTATGATGAGCCAGAAGCCTCTTTTGCATTATACCGTGTTATCCTTCGCACCCGCGGCGAGAGGTTCATCGAAAAGGAGCCTGAAGGTCTCACCAAGATTGTTAAGAGCCTTGGTAATAAAATTTCAGTGCTTTTACCGGACATTTCCAACGACCCTATCCCGGCCATTCTGGAAAGCATCGCTCCATCTTTCGATGATCATGACACCACCCGAAATTGGGTGCTTGAACTTTCTGTGAATGGAATCCCTCGGAAGTTTAAAGCACCACTAGGAACGTTATCTCATTATTTTACCAATAATTGTTGAGGTATTCTCTCGCCTATAACCGGGCTACATTGAAGATCGTTTCGGGATTTTGTATGTATCTTACTCAAGCTTCATTATACTGCCGAGGATTAAAATGCTTCGCGCTTTTGTAAATCCCTTCACTGTGATTTGATTAATGAATCGTTTTGATTTTTAGATATACGTGTCTACCGGTATTTTGCTTGGCATGAGGAAGGCCGATACTGAAGGTACCCTGTACTTAAGATATAAGATGAGTAGGCTGGCATCTAGGAATGCAAATCCAGACAACGTTAACTGAGGCCTCTCACAACCAACATGTCCTTTGAATACCGCAAGACTTTTGGGCCCTATAATCCATTGGCAAAGGAAATGAAATTGAAAAGAGGCGTCACCTCAGGCGTTCGCCATCCCACTCCTTCATCTAGTCAGTGGTCTAGTCTTGAGGAGATTGAGAAATTGCTGCCCACGGAGCTTATACGCCTGATCATTTTCATTTTGCTCGATTCGCATGATGGTCTCCACACAATTCAGGCATTATTCAACGAAGGGCGGCATCTCAAGCTCGTGGAAAATATTGATATTGTGTTATCAAGCAAATCGACTCATAAGTTTGTTCATGACCACTGGAAGCTGCATGCATCTTCTTCCGATCTTATTTCTTGCATTAGCTGTAAGGACAATCATGCCAAGAAAGAACAACCCGAAGACTTAGTGTCATGGACCGTGAAGAATTGCATCCCGTGCTTGAATATTTTGATCAAAAAGATTATCCGGCCCTTGACCTTCAACGCACGCGGATACGGCTTGCTCTGGGTTGCATTTGAGGCTGATAATGAAGAAGCGGGTGCCTTTATAGTATCATCAATGAGCTTTAATGAGCTTTTCCAGCCAATTACCGTTGGTGATGGCTAGGAAAAGGGGATTACGGTAATTCAAGCTTCTACCTGGCGACGACGTTGGTTCGAGTTAGTCTGGGATAGAATTCAAGAGGAACCAGGCCTTTAATGGGCATCTTTTGGGCCAAGGGCCATACACAATGTGGCTCAGCTCGCTGATGTCCGTCTAGCAAGGTCCCTACTTGGTCGTGGGTTAGATCTCGGCGCACCAGACGAAGAAGACCAATGGCCGGGTTGGTATGCAGTTTTGAGAAAAGACAGCACAGAAAGAACAGACAACACAATAGTGATGTGGGAGTGGTTTGCCAAACGCCATCAACCACCTGAAGGCTACATTATCAGTGCCGTTATGGACGGAAACGTCGCTGCCGTGAATTGGCTGTTGAGCCACGTTAAAGCCCCGGAGGTCTGGCACGATGCTCTGAAGGCCGCAGCTGACGTGATAACTATGGACCATGCGGAACTCCTGGAAATAATTCTCGAGTTTCCGCCTTTGCGACGGGCAATAAACGAGACCGATCTTGAAAATACGTTGATCGATATCGTTCAGAACACTTGCCAGAAAAGCACAATGTGGATTGGCACCATTTCAGAGCAAACCTTTTTAAGTATTCCCCGAAATGATTCTGTCTTGGAAGACATCGCTGTGCGGAAAATACAGGCCATTGGGCGTTGTGGTGCTGCATTGGATGTCTTGGGTTTGGCCGTTCAGTCTGAGGAGGCTGGACTACACCGTCTTACTGAAGCTCTAAACATTTTTTCGCAGTCCCCTGCTTCTGAGCTGTAATGAAACAACTGGTAACGGTGTTTGTTAGTACGGAGGCTGTATTGAGAAATGCATTAGATTCTATAAAGTTTATTTTTGTTCTTTCTTCCACCGTATCTTACATTACAGGCGAGAACGGTAGGTGGTAACTAAGCTCAAACCTCAAAAATTCCAACATAGGAAATGGCGAGCTTATCCCTACTTTCTTTTTCGTAACCGATGCGTAAAGTGTAAAGAGGTGTGACAATCAGAATTGTCTTCGTTGTCACGATTTTGCACATGAACAGAGTGAGCCGAATTGCAGGCTGACTCGGATTCCCAGCCGAGAGTTTGGCAAATTTGTAAGTCATCTCTGACTTGATGAGCCAGATTCGAACGATCGGAGCTAGATCTGCATTGCGCCGTCTTGTGGTTTTTATTTCTTGCCCGGAAGAGACTCCAATTGAGTCTAGAACCTCCTGTGGGGTTTCTTTCAGCTTCACATAAGCCAAAGCTCTTAGGTCTCATAAAATCATGGGTCCGAGCCACAGTCAGTCTAATATAAACTGCTATCACCTTTGCGACTTGGGAGCAAATTTGATACTGCTTTATTCCTAAGGGAAATCAGGACAGAAGCGATCTGGTCATTCTAGGGTGTAAGCTTAAAACACCCAAGCTACCTCACGCTTCGAGGCATGGAGCCAGGGACCTCCCCATTCTCAACGGACGTGCCGATGAGCCAGGTAAGCCAGATACGATGGAGGAATGAAATTCGCATGTTCCTACGTCATGATAAAATCCGCAAGTTCCTACATCTTGGATCAAACAACTTGATGATGAGCCAATTGCAAAACCTCGGGCTTGATGATTTACGCTCAGAGAAATCCCAAAGGTCTACTACTGGTGACGTTCGGGAAAGCTTTCGAGGCTTTGAAGATCACATGCTCAGATTTGAGGATAATAGAGTGTCAATAGAAGAATTGGCTGTGAGCCTCAATCGCCGGAGCGAACAACAAGTTAATCTTCTACTGTTTTCCGACCTCGTTAGAGTGGGTTTTGGATATCATTCCTTCAGAGTCGAGCAATTCACTTCTCAGTACGACCATCTCTACTGGAATTTCAGTCGTGCCTGTCAACATCACGTATCCTGTGAACAGCGCCTTTTGTATCTGAGAAAAGTAAGGCACCTGATCGCTAACTGGAGATGACCTTGCTGACTCCGAAAGGCTCTTGGAAGGCTCCACACAGATCCTTTCCTTTCCCAAGCGATTGAAGATATTGAAAACGATTCACCTTCCGCAAGGGGCAGCTTGAATATCCAATGCCTGCGCTCCCATTTCATTCAGCCCCTAGAGGTGCTTCTTGACACCGCTACGTCAATAAGAGATATTTTGCAACAATTGACATTACTAAGCTATCGATTCCGGACCTATCGGTCTTCTATCGTCGATTGGACCAAGCCGTTTGATATTAATACCGAATTCCTGTGGCGCGTTCAGCACATTCCGACAAACAGCCTTGCAGATTTCCTGACCATGGAAGACCATATGCTCCTCCGGCAGATGAGCCTATCGGCACTGTCCATAGAGAACAGCCCCCCGCGTTCTCGAGTCATGAAGAAGTTAAATGAATTAAGCCGGTCCGTGGAGGAGTGTTTAGCGACAATCACCAATGTGGAATCAAAAATTGAAAGCCTTGCGATGGTGAGTTTACGGTGCTGAATCAGGTGAATCATTACTGATTAATTACAGCGTCTCTTCGAAATGAATAACTTTGTCTCTCTAACAGCAATCATACAAGGGGCATATACGGCTAGGGGCTTACCTGACCTTGTGCAGAGATTCGAAAACTTGATTCACCCAGTAACGGAAGACATTATCTGCCGAGAGCTGCAGGACAAGCACCCGAGGCTTCTTTCTCCTTCTGGGGCTATTATGTGCCTATCAAGATTGAATGACAGTAGACTTGCGGAGCTTGTTTTACTTATGGCGGAAAATTATAATGTGAATCAGAGACAGACGGGTTATGAGATTATGACAATGACTTATGGCGCGCTGCATACCAGAGCTGGGCTTGAAATGGCCCATGGAGACTCGGAAGGCGAAGTGCCAAATGCCGAAAATAAAGGATACGGAGGCTCCCCAAGCTGGCTGGGTCGATTGATTTGGGAAAGTTGCTTTTCATGATAGCAGAAGCAGCTAAGAATTGAATTCATGTGTATGTATATAGGCCAATGAAATGGATAGGAAACAGACCATTGAGCCCCGCTCAATACAGTAATCAGCGGAATTTGACGGTCGAAGACTAGATTTCAGTTCGCCAGCATTGAGGCCCCGAATTTGGCCCAGATTGCTAATTTTTGCGCTTTGGCATAGTCCCTTGACCTTGGGTGTAGAAAGTCAATCTCTTGTAACACAAAAGTGAGCTCAACATGAGACCTACATCTACATCACCCTCAGTCACACTCCCAGCAAAACCGAATACCTATTACTTGCCAGACATAGTAAGCCCAAAAATGCGGCTCCGTATCACAGGACTTAAGGTTTAGGCTGGGGAGTGAGAAATGTGAAGCAAACTCATAAGCGCTTTTTGCCTTTCGAAACGCAGTGATGAGGTATTCGCGCCCCTGGCTCTGAAGTCGCATCAAAAGTAAGGATCACATCTGACCACTCTAAGTTGATTATTTCCTTCTGAGAATACGGACTTGCCACTGGCGTTCATTATGACATTATGAGACATCCAAAGTATGTTGACAAATAGGCCTACACTCTAGTTCGGTAGTCTATTAAAGAGGGCGCAACCCATCCGATCCACGGAATGGCTTGTTACCTTAATCTGCCAACATGAGTGACACACGCAAGTCAGCATCTTTAGAACCATTTCCACTCCCCGGCCGATTCTCATTCTCTCAATTACTCCTTGTAATCTCTTATGTCTTCCTTCAGAGATGTTTACCCGCAAAGAATGATGATTCCCGCCAACTCCGAGATATTATCCGCCGTGCTGAGGATGACTGGACGCCACAGATTGGTCGCGAGGGCTTGATCGAAATGAAACGAAAAAGCTGGCAGCAGTGCGATCAAGAAACACAGCAGGTGTGGACGACTTTACGAGACGATATGATGCGACAGAACATCTTGAAATCTTCTTTATCTGCCGAAAAGTTGCGTCACCGTCTCCGGTGTATCCTTTGCCGCATAGAACAAGTATCTGCACAAGGGCTCAATGCGCTGTGCACCCCAAAAGAGTGTTTGGAGCGTCCCCGCATATCCGTCTACGAGAGCCTTTCTCTAATTTGCCGAAGTTTGGCGGTGATGTCAGTCTCGTGGAGCAATGATCAAGCTTGGTCGGCTCCATTTGATGTTCTATCACATACCATTACTGAAATATTGAATGATCTACGGAGATCTCCGCTCTTCTCTGACGGATTATCTGGCCCCGAGTTGGAAGCCTCGTTGAATTCTCTTTCAATGGCGCTGTACTGCGAGAATGAGGGAGCAGATGTGCTTGAGACCCGTCACTCGAAGCCCAAAATAGATATTGGGTCGACAACATGGGTTCAGGCCTCTTATATCCAAAAGAGGATGCGTTTTAAGTCAAGATATTATAACACCGGGAAGTCGTGGCATCGATGGATTGAGAAAGGCCCAGGAAATGGCGAGGCAACTTATCACAATGCAAGGAAGGAACGAACACGCAGAGTCCGAGAAGAGTTAAACTTGAGTCGTATTTAGAAAAAATGCATTTCAATCATGGATATTTATCTGCTTTCCAAAATGGCGCATTAATTCCTGTATTCGTTCAAGCTCGGTGGCAAACCATTTCATGAGCCGTGGATCCGAAGGCATGTTCGGCTGATTTTGAGCTGAGAGATACCTAGTCCAAATATGACGAAGCGCATTGTAGGCATCATCCGCGTATGTTTTCCCATTCGCTCTTACAAAAATCACAATATTTCGTGAAAAGAGAGGATCCGTGCTCAAAAGTCGACAAGAGGTAAGATCCTTGAAGACAGAGCAGACGCGTGAGACCCCCTCGGGCTCGACAGCTATCTCGACTTGGTAATATCCCAAAGAAATGGCGGCTCGCACGATATCCCCCAAACCGTTCATTTCAATGTCGTCAATGTTTTCACATTCGATTCGCATTGTCTATATGTATATTTAGTAAAAAAAAGAATGCGGGTATCACGACAGGAATTACTTTGAGCTGTGCCATTTTGATCGAAGGGTAAAATTGCCTTGGAGCGATAAGGATTTTTGAACGAAAGGGCCTTTGCAGATCACTTTCAGCAGAGTACTGGAGGTATTAAGTACGTTTCAATTTAGGATGCAACGCAATGAATCAAACACCTGTACATGACAAATAATACATATCACTTTGTGTGTTGAGATCCTGTATTGAGAGAATGTGTGACTATGCCAAATCAAGTACCTACGATCGTAGGTGATCGGCACGACTTAAAAGCGCCTCATACCCGAGTGTGATTTCTAGGGCAGACAGACCAAAAATGCCTCGCTTGTTCGACTTTGTGGGCAGTGATCAAGAATATATCGAGTATTTGGAATCTAAGTTCCAGGCTTTAGAATCATCACCAGATCTTCATTCCGCACCATCGCAACAGCAAGCGAACGACTTTCGCTTCGTGGAATGCAGGCCTCAGGCCGCCGAAGCCCGACAGCTCGCCGAAAAAAGATCGGCCACTGAGTGGGAGAAGCAACTCCAGGCTTTCATATCATCGATACCTGGTCGTCATGAATGGCAAAAGGCACGAAAAGATGCAGGCGTAGACACTGTCCAGAGGAACAGGCAAGCTATGTGTTTGATGTTAGGCCAGCAGACTGCGGCGATCTTCGTGTCTGCGGAAGGCAGCATCATGTTGCCGCGAATGCACCCATGCGACAATCAAAACCTGGTCTTGAAAGGTTGCATGTATGGCGAGTTTATCTGCCGGTGTGACAATGATAAAAGCTTTGCGGTTCGAGTTGCGGCCTATCAGAAATTGATATTTCTTAGTTACTGCACGGTCTTGTTGCGAATCGGAATGTCAAGAGATACGGTATACTCGATGATGGGGATGTATTCTGACAGCAAGAAAACATCCACTCTGGATTACTATTGCTCCGGAGCTCTATGGGTCAACCGATGTATGTCAACATTGCTAAAAAATGGCTGGGGATACAAGAGCTGGGAGATCTTCCTCCTTGGTAAGGCCGTGATTCTGCAGACTTGCCAGAAGCAGGCTGACACCATTAGAACCACGCTCGGCGGCTATGTTTGGGCGTATCGCAGCCAACAACAAGAAAAGCTATTCCACTGTGGTCGACCAACTAGGTACAGCGAGCGTTCCTATACAAGAAGACGGTTGGATACCATACTGTGTGCCTGGGATAGTGAAATACTTGGCGGGAGATTATGTGGAGTGAGTTTATTTGCAAGGCGTCTTTGAAATCGGCTAATCCTTATGTCAGACTTGGTATGATCTGCCACATTCTTGACTATGAGCCACAACAAGTTCCCATCATCGAAGCGGTATTCCAATCTTTCTCCGAGTTTGGCCAATCGGAAACAAATGGCACTTCGGATCACATCCGTCCAAGGGAGCTGTGATCACCGTGTTACCCCTGGTCGTCTGACCTCATATTTACTACCAGCAGATCGAAATCGGGGGTAACATGTAATCCAGGGAGTACAAGGTAGTAATGGCCCAATACAATGGTATGGATTCCACCATGCCTATCTAAGACCTGCGGGGTTCCGTGGACGATGTTGATTGGTATGAGAAAGACGTCCTGGTGGATTGGGATTTCGCGAACGGAGGACACGCGCCACATCATGTAATTTCGGCCCTGTTGGCGTCAATAAAATTCTTCTCTCCCGACGTGAAGACAGACCTGTAGACCGAGAGTGCGTAGTAGAGGCTGTACCAAGGACTCAACTCTCGACCTGTCGTAAACCCTCCATCCCTGATCATCGATAAAGTAATCCTGCCCAGGTGCAGTGCTTCCTAGGGCCCATGAAGCAATCCGATGCCTTTGAACCTCGCTATCTGCGCCGAGTCTAATGGGGCTCGAGATGCCCGACTGGATTTGAAGGCCGTGGCTCGGTCGGGGAAGGAAATTTCCAATCTACACCCTCGCACATCATTTGGTTAGAATGAATCCATATCGAGATCTGCCTCCTGCTATCGAGGGCGGGCTAATACCATTGGGAATTTTCAAAGCGATTCTTCGATCCAGCACTTAATAGCCACTTATGGTAGACAGACCATGGTACAGTTGCGACATCGAAAGTGGGGAAGTGAGGGGTCATGAGCGTTCGATGGCTTGGCAGAACTTCTTTGACTCGCAGCTTGGTGTTTAGCTGCCGCCAAGCTCCTTGCTAGACTCGGCGACGGAATAGAAAGGGAAAAAATTAACTCATCTCTTTCTCCCATATATACTCTAATTAATCAAATTTTATCATGAGCTCTATCCTGGGTCGGAATTGCCATAAATTCTTCCGGGTCATGATGAATCAAATCTCCTGCCGAAGTGCCACCATATGTTAAAATTAGATCAAAAGGTCATGGTGGCCATGAAATTGACTCAATTCTCAGCTAGGCTCACCGCAAGAGTGGCTCACGTATCTGAGATAGGTAATTCAATACAACTCATTATTTCTGAAACATCCCATTGTATTTATAGCAGGGGGTCCTGGTATATCTAAAGGACACCCCGCAATTTCCAGTCATCTGTCTGTTTGAAATTTCCAAGAACGCCCTACCAGTGACTCTTCCCTCGGCATGGATAACAACAGCAAGAACGAAGAAAAAACCTGTGGTGGCCATGCCACTCAGCATCATACAGGGCCGATGGTTCGCTCCATTCCAGAGAAGGCAAGTCCCATCAATGCAAAAGTAAGGGCAAAAGTTCTCTCAGCTAATGGCATCTCTTTGATGTAGGACTTTCGTCTCAACCAAAGATCCCCAAATGCCGAGAAGGAACACCGACAAGGTAATGTCACAATCAGTTGTCATCATGTTATTAAACCTAATGTCATATATTCAACTCGTAGGGAGTTCTTCTACAGGATCTGCTCACGCCTTTTCCGGTACCGAAATTGATGGGAGTTCGTTTGCATTCAACGGTAATGCCGCGGGTGATATACCAAAACAGGGTGGACCTAGTATTCACATAATGAGAAATGGCACTGTGAGCAGCAGCAGTGTCCTGTTTAATGGAGACATGGACCCGGAAAGCTTCAAAAAGATGTTTTGCAAAACCCGCTAGGATGATAGTACCGGCGTTGTTTGCCTAGCTTTGCCTGATAATCCATGAAAAGTTGAAAGATTGAGAGCTATCGGTACTCGGACTTGTCGCATTCTGCAATCATTGATGTAATACTGGAATGCACGATGTTTTGTGGGGCATGGCTCAGAGCTATTCTTGTACTGTTGCACTACTTCCGGGCTTATTGCAGATATTGAAAGTCAAAAATGAAGAATGAAAAAAAAAATAAGCGACTAACGTATTTAAGAGGAGTACCGTTGTCTGCAATTTTAGTTTCTTATGCCTTTCCAAATTTATGATCTTTCTCTGAGGCCTATAATATGACCAGCAACTGGAATCCAACCACCGATGGTAATCATGGCGCCGATACACCGAACCAAACTGTCGACGCTGTACCTGACCTGAATTACGAGTTCATTATTGAATGGAAGGAATATTCCCCAAGTGGAGAACCCTAGTATGTGATACTGCGTATTCAAGGAAAACATTCCTAATACTCGAAAAGCCAGGCTGTTAACTACACACATTGCGAGTTTCAAGACGGGGAATTGATCTGCATCCACGGTCGATTACTTAGAAAATCACAGACCAACGCAATCGGCCGAACAATTCAACGGAACCCTAAGATGGGGACTATTGGTGTCATAATGGGACACGAGTATGTATTTGCGAGTAGTGCTTCATGCTTCAAGTCTAACGAAATGAATTCACAAGGTATCTGCAGCCTGATGGATCAAAACATTTCCTGCTCCACATGTCAGTAGACCTGAAATTTGTGAAATTAAATTTCTAACACGATCAAAGAGCGTTTTCGATTAGAATTGCAGCTTTGCGAAATGGACGTGTACGCGTGTTGGATGCGAATGGATGGGAGGATGTCCCAGATTTCATCAAGAAATATATCATGTAAAATGGTCCACACTCAGCTGAAATTACATATCATGCACCAGTTCTGCGCTAGTAGAGAGAATCTACAACAATCCAACAAATTACAGCAAGTAGGAAAAAATTGAAATTTTACGAGCTCGAGCCGCTGATCTTCCATTATCACGGAAGGTGAGAGAGATGGTGATGAGTCCTCCAGTCATAGAGGAAGGGAAAAGAAGTAACAGAGGGGCAGGCGACTTAGCTGCATGAAGATATTGACAACGTCCGTGTGATACGACGGGGCATCTTTGTTCCGAGCTTGCCTGTTTCGGAGGACTACAAGGTTGAGGAAGATTCCTGGTACCAGCGCTTAGCTGATTGGTAGGACTTGTCTTACTATAAGGGGCGCTTGGCTTATTTTATTTCTTTATTTGAAGCATCCAATGAGATAAAATTGCCCAACTATCCTATTCAATATTCAATATAATATACCATCCTAGTCGAGATGAAGGAGTAATGTAATCATAACATTTGAACTCTTCGATCGTTCGTTTATGTTAGAATGCATTTTTAATTTACCGGAAACTCGATAGTATATTCCATACAGCGCCATAATGTTCGTATGTTCTTTTGAGTATGTACTTTCCAGTGCTGTAGTGCAAAGCTGTGGTAGCTGTCATCTGCAAACTCAGATCCACCGTTGTCAAAAGTCGAAATATATTAGTTAGACTGCATTTCGAAAAACACTGACCATGGCGCTGAGGATTTTGGGTAATCGCGGTTTTTTTGGGATTCTGACGTGGCGTATGGAAGCCCGAAGTATTCATGTTCAAGTATTGCTAATATATAAACCCAAACAACAACTCCAAGCTGTTTAATTAATTTTTCTACTGTCCATCAAAAGCCTACAGAATGCCTGTAAACAGCGTTTACGCTGTTGACCCAGAGAACACTCTACTGGAATTTGAGAGCTTGGAAACCATCAATGCCAGTATCGAATTCTTCAAAAGAATTGAGGCTCTCCCTCGGGAGCTTAGGTTCTCTATCATCTGGAACTCAATTTTTTGGAAGAGTTCGCACGCAGGCCTGCACACTCACGAACATTTCGCCCAACTCTAAACTGGGAACCGACATTGCAAGTTTTTTCTCGAAATTGAACACCTGGAATCAGCCTTCCGTTATTTTGAGTCTGGTCACAGAAACCATAGAAGTATGTCCATCATGTTTTGGGTTTTTATTCGATACCAGATTGTTCGAAATAGAGTACCTCTTTAATGAAGTATGTGGGAAAAAAAGTTTCTCAGTTAGGGGAAGGAATGAAAACGTCATTTTAGCAGGAGCCCATATTCTCTCTGCAATTGAGTTTATTGAATTGTTCAATGTTGTCAGTTATGGCATGACCTTTCTTGCCCAATCTACCTGGGAGAAACAGTGGTTCGAAATTTCCTGGGACCGCATCAAAATTAGAGAGGGGCTTATCAGTAATTGGTTTCAGCCTTGTTTCTCTAATGTCTACCGTTATATGACCCCCGACCGAGCGGACGAAATGCTAGCCCTAGGAATAGATCTAGCCGATCCCGAAGAAAAGAACGAACCACCGCACTGGCCATTATTCGCGTCAGCCCATAGGCCAGCGGAAATGTACAATTGGCTGTTTCTACGTGGTTATCAGCCATCGGAAGTTGCGGTTCGCGGAGCTGCAAATGACCTTGAGTGTATGGAATGGCTGGCACGTCATGGGAAAGTCTCTGAGCAATGGAAGAAAGGTGCAAGGACGGCTTGCGGGCCGCATGATTCATCAAGTGTCGAGATACTTGAAATCATTCTCAAATCTCTAGCTCTCGATGTTGTGAAGGATAGATTGTACCTTCAAGAATTGTTAGAGTTCACTGTCCGAAAGGTACTTTAAGTCTCCCAAGGGGCATCTTTTCCTATATCTGGACTTGAGGAAAGAGATACAGATTCCTACCGGGAGGAAGTATACAAACTGGAGGATTGTGCTGTACGGAAGGTCGGTGTTATCTATGAGGCAGGTGGAGTTGGAGACCCAATTTGTGAATCTCAAATATCGTCTGAAAGGTGTCTCCGAAGACTTACAGATGAGTTGCGAAATCGTCGAAAGAATTCTATCCGTGGGTCTACTTAATTTGCGTAAGAAGAATTTTGAATTTAGTGTATGTAACTTTCTTACAAGTACCAGCCACTTCACACAATACAGGGATTATATACACTATTTTTACTTTACTAATGGAAATAAAATTGCGCACCTATCCTGTTCAATTTTCACTATAATATAACACCCTTGTACAACATAAAGGAGAAGCGTGGTTATGAATCACTCTTGAATCACTCCTTTGAGATGTGTGCCCGAGGTCCGAAAAAAACCGCAGAGCTGCAGCAGCTGTCATTCGCAAATCCGGGTCTTCTTTCAGCACGGCTCTAGAGTAAGTTACCAATGAAGAACCATAACTATTTATCAATTATCAATTGGGATATTCATAAAGTATGTCAAATGGATTGAGATGCATTTCATGTGTTATTTATCAGGCTCCGAACTAGACTACTTGTTCAACGCGGGCGTAGCTAAACTTTCATCATTCAACAACGGAGAGCTGTCAATCCTTCGCTTGACAGGTCCTTGCTGTTGCACTCGAGGGGGTTGAAAAAGCTTTAAACCTTGAACGGCTGTCATTCGCAAGTGCGGCTCAATTTGCAGCATGGCTTGAGAGCACTTTGACAAAATGTCTGGCGAGCTTAACTTGGCTATATCTTGGTCATCAAGATCAAGAAGACCATCATCACAGGGTTTGATTCTTGACTCGATCACTCTTCCGCGTACCAATTCCAACCCGATAATACCGCAACTCCAATAATCAACTTCTTTTCCATGTAGCTCCCCGTACTGTTGCTCTGGTGCAAGATATCGAGGGGTTCCAGTTCCATCAAACCTAATGGCTGCCTTATCAGATGCACAGCCGAAGTCTGTAAGCATAGAATCCGGAGGGTCATAGCTCCTCACTAGTATATTAGCTGGTTTCACATCGCGATGCCAAATGCCTTGATCGTGAAGAAAAGCAATCGCTTCCAGTAATTGTGAGAAAAACGTTTCTCTCCCAGCAGCTGACACATTTGATCCATAGAGCGAATGGAATGTTGCATTAAGTAACGGCGATATGATAATATATTCATCTGTGAGATTCTCCGCTGTTGGTGTCCATTTTTCATCTAGGTACATCTGGATTCGGTCCTATCATCAAGTTAGTGACAATGAAGGAGTTGATGTATTGGAACTAAACTGACAATCTCACTTTTAGACCGTCTCAGATCAAGATGGATAATTTCTTGGGGGCTGCATATTCGGTCCTATAAAGAGACAAGGATATGTATAAGCTTTCCACGTTCAAAGAATATCGATTGATAGAAGGAATTCGTAACTGACATGGGTAAACTTAGAAATCTTTCTGGCCATTATTATCTCTTTATCCACGTTCCGCCCATTTCTCTTACATTTCAAGATCCATTTAGCTGCTGCTGGTTGTCCCGTATGTGAATTGATGACCATATGCACAATACCAAAACCACCGCTTGAGAGTGGTTGTTGGAATATCCAATCCCCAATCCTAGAATCATTCTCCCCTGGAGTAGGGAGGATTAAAGGATGTTGCTCCCCATGACATCGACGGAAGAGGTGGCGGAGGTCTAGCTGGAACTGTTCTTCTTTGACTGAGTCTCGAATGCTATATTGCAATGTAAAGATACATTCTCCGATCATGATAGTGTTTTTCCGGTGTATAAGGCGCTGGTCTTGTCCGAATATCTCTCCATCCATTAACACCTTTTTCCCTGATTTGTTATCGGCAATAAGAAAGAAGCCGCTTGCTCCTTTAACCCAATTAAATCGCGCATGAATTCCAGCTGCTCCGTCATCCTGTTGATCCAAACATAGTAGAAGATCTACACCACGATGCTGTAGTGACTCACGGCCTTTACCAACTCTCCATCCAATGTGAGCGAATAGAGGTAAATTTTTAAGCGAAAGAACAAAGCAATTTGTAGGCTTATTATCGAGAATTGTTTCCCCAATGAACTTCCTGTGATAGTCTGAGCCTGACTGAGCGGTCTTATCGATCGCTAACAAGTTTTGCGAAGCTATTGTCGCTGAATGGCTCTGGAGTATTTGGTTCAGTACTCACACCTCTGGTGTTCGGCAAAGGTGGGGTTGATGCGACCGTAGACATAATCGACTCGGAACAAATTTCTCATTTGCGGAGAAACAAACCAACAAACAATGTATGAATGAAAGAAGGAACGGAAAAAGAAGTGGAGGGAACGGGGACCCAGGGATTTATTTTATTCTTGATCTTTCCACTTGAAACAGCCTGAAGCCGAATAAACCTTGATCAACTAATAAAACCGTTGTTTTTACCGCGCGCGTTGTCGCCCAGGGGTGGCGCATCTCACATGATCCATCTGCCATCTCTCATCGATACCCAATCCCTTCAGGTTCAACGCCTACAACATCCACAATGTTTAGCCCGTTGGAGCTTTGTAACGCGTTGAACCGTGTAAAGCACCAGAAAAAGAGTCGGCTTGCTTCATACATTGACGCCCACTCCGCATCCCAACCTCCCTACCACTCACCATCTCCTTCGCCTGAACCCCCATCATCCCGCACATTGGAGCTCGTTCCAGGTCAAGACACTTCACCAACTCCGAGAAAACACAAACCAAGATACCTCTCCGATCAAACACCCTTGCCCAATCTTCTACAGACATCTTCTAGGCAAAGCCTGGCTTTCATCCAGAAATTGGCGGTGGTTATGACACTACAGCTTCACCGAATCCTGTTCGCTGTCGGTACGGTTCTCCAGAAGAGAAATCTGATCTTCACATAGACGACAAAAATAGGAATATATACTGGGATAAGAGAATTCGTCATTTAAACCCAGCTGAAGCTCTCGTTGATCAAGAACATATTCATGGGGCGTGTATATACATGTACATGTTGTAAAGTAGTCCCAGTGTTGAACAACTAGGCCCAGAGCTTAAAATTAGTCCAATATGGTCTTGAATATACCAATCATGGGAGTCTTGTCTTACGTGGATCAATTATCTCAGAAACCTCATAATGCAAAACTTTCACATACTGGGCTAAATGTGAATCCACTATCAAATCCAACAAATCGAACCCATTCCATGAAAATGTGAACTTAAGGTATGAAAAAGCAATGGCAGCCAAACTTGTCGGCACCTCGAGTTTACCAGAGAGAAGTTCTTCAACAACAAGATAGGGAGCTCATTTGCAATCACATTCAACATCTCTACCGGGAGACTGTCCATATTGTATGTTTTGCTGGGCGAGGGTTTGTTTGTTGAACGGATATCTCTGTATTGTAAAGTCATTGGAGTCGCTTTTTATTTGCCTTCCAATGCCGAGGGGCAAGGGAAGGGTTTTCCACGTCACAATACCGTGTATTGAAAGCTTGGTTTACAGTTCCATTATACAGCCGTGTTGGCCTTCGTAAAAGTGGGGCGGGGCGCACTAGTTTTAGGCACTAGTTTAGGCATTATATAAGGATGGTATGTATCCTAAAACTAGAGCCATGTACGACCTTCAAATATACAAACTCTCCTAGTCCTCTTCCGCTAGGTCATCAAAGGTAAGCCAACGCCTTAGATTTTCTACAGTAGGCTTACAAATCCAGCACTTGTCGAAAATGAAAGGAATGATCACTTGGTCCTGCGCGGACTGCGATTCCCGCGATCGTGCCAAATGCAAAATCAAGCTTCGATCCTATGACCCCGGATCCTCTTATACTCGGTTGTGGTCTTTCATTTTTCCTGCCAAACGGCATATTAATATTCACTCTATTTGCCAGTCATGTATGGAGGAGTTTGAATTCTCAACGGAAGAGCAACAGTCTATTCTGATGAAAAAGAGGGCGCAATGGAATTTGGAACGAAAGGTCTGGCTTAAAAAGGAATGGCATTTGTGGCTATCTTGCGAGGAATGCTACGAAACCCGCCATTCCTACGCGGAAAATGGAGAGATTTACCTACACCTTTTCGGAAATGTAGGCATCAGTTGAGTGAATAGGAAGGTGGCATTAGTTTTGGTAAGTCAAGACTACTGGTCATATGGCATTGTTTTATTATAGTTTATGTAAATCTGAATTATATAAACCTATGAAATCCCTTCTCCAGCTATCCATATTATTATCTGCCCCCGCACGCTTTTCCAAATGCCAAATTTATCGTAGAGCAATCCGTCACCACTGGGAAGCTTATGGACCTCAATATCGCTGGTCCGAAGATGTTTTTTTCTATTCAAGTTCCAAATGGTGTAAAATACAGATATGTAAGTCTCGTGCTTCCACGCCTACAGGTTTCTTGGTTTCTTCCTTAGCTTCGTTATTTTCCTTATGAATGCTACTACGTCCATTATTATTAGCCGGCTCTACGTATACAAATCTGTAATAAATTGAATGGTATTGCATCAATAATGTGATTGTTGTCAAATAGAGGCGAGTGAGTAAGTTTTTTATAATTAAGGAGCGTCACAGAAATAAGCCGAAGAGAAGAAAGCGAATGAGAAGAAAACGATTTAAATCCATTGTCAAGTATTCAATTCCATCCGTCATTCGCATTATTATAAAAAGAAAGGGCAGCGGTGTAATTGACAGTAATCCATGCGTTGGGCTTTCCATCCTCTGTTCCACAGGCATCGACGTCCAACCAATAATAGTAGGTCCGAGTTCCATTGACAAGTTGAGGTATCGCTTAAAAAGAAGTCAGTAATATTCAACTTCAAGTTCTACTAGGGATTCTTCACTAGCTTGAGCCATCGCTTCCGTTAAGTAGTCCAAATGATGTGGAATACCCCGTACATCCATACACATCGTTAGACCATATCACGCATTCACCCGCATAATCTATAACCTGGAGAGTACCACATATGGCTGCGGATATATAGAGGCTAGTAAAGAGGGCTTGAACGGAGAGCTTCATTTTATCAGTGGTCACAGTCGAACTTGAATGGGTTTCCGAATATAAGGGCGATTCTCTGATGTATTTATACTAAGCTCTCTATTCAACAATAGTGTGATTGCCACCAATGCAGACACCATCCATCTTCAGCGACTACAGAAAAACTCCGGAACATGTTCTGCGCTGTAGGATCGAATGAATTTCGGGACGACAGGAATTCTGGGATGTTCAGGGGAGGGGGTCATCGCGTCTGTTTTATTGTATCCTTGGCCATGAGACAGTCCCTACCTTAGCGCCGGAGAGCGTTTGCAACAAAAGGAAATTGGCGATCGTGCTCCGCGGGGAGAAAAAAACAGAGGTCTGCAAACCTTCAGCCAATTCGATCTTGTCCAACGAGAACATCGAAACAATATTTAGAAGAGGTTGTCTTCTGTATAGATACACCCGAAACGCATCTTATGAGGTAGAAAGCGACCGAGAAGGACATTACATACAGATACGCAGGAAAGGCGATTTTGATTCAAAGCAGGTCTTAAGCCGAAACAGGTCACGAAGCAAAACATATTGGAATAAGGCTTACAAGACAACCAACTCATCTGTGTTTATACGTCTATATTTTGATACTTGTGCTGAATTGACATCGATCTTGGCACGCTATCTGATGCAGGCGAGCAATGTTTGACAACTCGAAGTCTCGTTATAGCTGTCGCCCTCAACCCCTATTAAGATTTCTTTAGTGCAATGGTTTTTCTTTATCCTTCTTGGAGGCCCTTTCTGTCTCATCAAACCCCTCCGGGTTCTTCCTTTTGTACAATCTTGAGCACACCGAGCACTCTCAGGTTTTTGGCCCAGTGTCATATTTGCCGAACGGGAAATCTAGGATTTGCTGCTTTTCAAACCACTTCATACTATTCGGAAAACCGCTTATCCTCCTCTCAACACCCCCCGGCATTCGCAGCGAGATATTCACAGCCTCTGTAGGGTCCCGAACATAAAAGGAAACGGGTTGAATCAATAAACAGCATGAGTGACATGATTGCAGCCCCAAGGGTGCTAAATTCTCGTTGCTCGTGACAAAAATCATTTTGGATGTGTAAGGTTTTCGAAAGCCGGCAACAGAGCCAGGCCTGGCTTGTGACCGCAGCTCTATTACCGCAAATATTAGAAGAGTTAAGATCAAAGAAGTTTGTCGTCTTTCATTATACTGTACCTTCTAGAGATAGGAACAACAATCTTCATCGAAGACGTTCGGAGATTTTCAAAGATCATCTCTTTTGCGGTGTTTATTCACCAGCTCCAGAAGCCGAAATCGAGTGATCGGGATCAGCCCAGTTCCCAGGACCCGTCAGAACATCTGAAGAAGTAAAGTGTTCTTGGGAGCAATATTGCTTGACCCGGGGGCCTTTCTGTTCCTGGGATAGGAGAGGGCGCTTTAGACTATTAGTCTAGCTCTGTGAACTTTTGCGGAGCTACAATAATCGACATTCCGTTTGTCAAATGATTATGCAAGCTCTGTTTACAGTACATGTATCTTGAAACCACACATTCGTATATGATCCCCGTACTTTCTCAAGCATGACTTCAAGAGCTTCCGTCACCGTATACAACCCTTTGGACGTGTCATCAGCACTCGTATGTACTATTACTCAGAATATGAAAATTAGTTCGCTTCACGGTGTGCGGAAGTCTTCGGGCAAATGGTGGCCCAGTAATTGACTCAGCACGCCAGAATCCAAAACAAAATGAGATGCGGGTTTTATTGGCGGGATAGAATACTAAGCATAATAATGTCTTTAATTTATTAGCTGCCTACATCCTGTGTTCAACAAGGTTTGCAAAGATACGACACCTACATCAAAGACATATCTGTATTCTTCTCGTAGCAATACTCATTCCACAAGCCACTTCCACCTCATGGCTGCTTCAAAGGAATGAGGAAGGCAGCATTTGCAAATATGGTCGTTCAGTATTTTACCTAAGGTTATGCTACTCTTGATTTTGTTGTAAACGACAATGGTAAATATCTCAGTGTGGGAGAGTTTGTTCACAAAGTTCAATTCAGTCCTGCGCGTAAGGGGATGGGCTTGCTACTACTCGAAAACCCAAGTCCACACATAGTGAAGCCGCTTGGAAACCTCAACCGTGAACGAGCACCATGGTTATGAAGGAGAAGACCATTCGCTGCTCGGAAATTTCAACCTTCCTGAAGAAATTCTGAAAAAGGCGGCAATTTCCAGACATGGAACGCGTCAGCTGAACAAAATGACGCGATTGGAATGTGCCCGGATTGTGCCCTGGAATCTGTTACTCTCTGGGTCACGCTGACACAGTTCTCCAGAAGCGTGTTATAGGAGAAAATGTCAGAAGACGACGCGAAAAGTCTGTTTGGCTATGAAACTTTGCTTCTCGAATCGCACAAAGACGAGGCATCCTTTGCAACTGCAGTTCCATAGGCTTTGTCATCACAATCGCGTTCAAAACTCACTGTAAGACACAATAGAACTCCTTCTAATTTGCTTACTCTCGAGTTGGCTTCTAGAACGGTATCTATCCCATGCTAACTCCAAGTTGAACATTGTGAGTACAGAACGCGGCACCAATTCCAGCCGTCAAATTTGCTAAACCGTGATTGTTTCAAAGCAATGCCATGGGCAATACAGATCACACGACATTATACGTTTGTATTTCTCTCGGTGGCGGCCTGAGTGTCGTACTGCTTATTGCATTAACCTTAGGGTAGGTCTCACCTCCTTTGGATTTTAGACGTGTTCGGACAGTTGGTTCTCCAGAACCTCGAAAATACCCACAATACCCCCTGAATCAACCAGATCGACGACAGACAAGCTGACCCCGCATAGCCTCACCATCTATGTCCGTCGAAAAGACCGGGCAAATTTGCTGCGCGTAA